GAGAAGAAAGAGGTTCATTTTTCCTTGTTGTGATTTCTTTGTCGACCCGCGTTATTTTTTATTTCAATTGTTACAAGGTTTTATGTAAGCGTTGGTAAGAAATTGGAAAGGAATATGTTCCTGTCTTTCTCCCAGCTAGAATCACACTGGAATAAATTTTCTGTGTTCATGAATGATTTGCATACTCGTCATCAGCGGCGAGCACATTCAGACATTTACATATAATCATTGGAGCTTTCCGAAATATGGGCTAGGAGAATTGTTTGCGTAGATCGTCAAGAAATTCTCGTGCATGTAGGATGGCTCATCCTGGATGGGGAAAATTATAATTTTGATATCCCTCCTTTCAAATTCCATTTCGTCTTCAATGATGTAAGCTAGAAGATCGGTATTTGCTTCCTCAAGGGTTTGAGCTTGTCAGAAGCAGAGTTGCAAATTTGCTGAGCTGAGTGAGCTGAGCTGGCTAAGTGAGCTGAGCAGTCGCTCAGCTTAGCTCAGCTCAGTGATTTTGGAAAATGATCTGATCTGCTCAGCTCAGCTCAGCTCAGACAATTATCACTTAGCTCAGCTCAGCTCAATCAGCTCAGTTCAGCTCTAATAAGGGTCCGCTCAGCTCAGCTTAGCTCAAATCTCTTAAACAAAAGGTCTTCTCAGCTCAGCTCCGCTCAATGACCTCTGAAAAGGGCCAGCTCAGCTCAGTTACCTCCAAAATTGGCCAGCTCAGCTCAGAGAAATTTTTACTAAGGTCAGCTCAGCTCAGCTCAGAAAAATTAATCAAAATTTGCAACTCTTGTCAGAAGGCTTAGTCAGTCTTATCAATATTCGAAGTTGATCTTGGGAAATTGATGCTATCAAATCAATAAAATTTACATTCGCGAGGAGAAATCTGCTGTTCGAAAAGTCACAATGTTCCAAGCAAATATGCATTCATTTTCTTATCTTGCAACTAAAATTTATTTTGTTGAAAGTTGCAGAAGACGGTCTATTTTCGACAAATGACTTTCAAATTTCGGCCAGCCGCGGCATCGCTTCTCGGAGAATTCTCCCAGGATGTCCATAAACGGATTGATAACTTAATTATTTTTAATCAAATAAAAACTAGAATTGAGCACTACCGTTTTGTTTGATTGTTTTCGGAGTATTATTAAAGCTGTTTAGTTTGCTTGAAATGCAGCCCAAACTTTGTCCTCGATTAAATCTCCTCACAAATTTGATTTTTAAGATTTTTACCAGTCGAATCGCTCTTAATCCAAGTTCAGATTTGATCAAAATGAAGACATTGTAAAAAATGGCAAAATCGATGTTGACACCCTTAAACTTGCTGTCTGAACGCTTCCTGGGTTTCTTGCGATTGCCGCTGATGTTTTCCTGAATCCACAAGCTTGCGTTATTCTGATAGTTATTAAGATAATCAAGAAATGTCAAAGGCGTCGAGGTAGACGTCGCGCTTGCTGTCGTCGTAACTATTAGCGGGTTTTTAACGATCTTACGTTCTGCAATTATTCACGCGTCTCGCTTAACTAACAGAGTAACCCAGTCTCTGTCGTAATCGCCGGGCAGCAGTATCGAACTCCGAAGTCGTTGCATGATCCATCAAGCGCTACATCCTTGCACATGATCCCGATGAAATCTGGAATGACAGCGCGTTCCGCTCCTTGCGACGCGTTCAAAGAACTCAGCAAGGACTCCAGTTGCTCGTCAGAAAAATTTCTACAAGTAAAAATTAGCGATTGGACATATTATGGGCTCTTGCAATGGTCTGGGCTCGGTAGACCTGAGTAGAAAACCTGAGTCAGGGTTTTAAAAGAGTAAAATGAAAAGCCGCGTAGCGGCTTTTTTAAAAACGAAGCCGCAAAGCGGCTTCGCTAGTTAAAATCATTCATTGAGTTGGCAACTTTGGCGAAGCCGCTTCGCGGCTTCGTTTTGAAAAAAGCCGCGTTCAATGTAATCTTTTAGAACTCTGACTCAGGTTTTCTATTCAGGTTGCCGAGCCCAGATTATGGAAAGTACCCAAGTACTTTTTATATTGAAAAATTAGCGATCGGAACTCATGATCACTGATCAAGTTGAAAAACTATTTTTTCTTTGTGGTTCAAACAACTGCCGTTCCTAAAACAAAGTCTATCCCAAATCGCCGTATCATTAAAAACATCCTTATCCCCTTTTTTCTAAAAGGAAAGAGTCACTTTGGAAGATCTAATTCAATACAGAGAGCGGGAAAATTATCTTCGATCTGAATTACTCGGCGAAATAGTAGCCTCACCTTATTTTGGAAGGCGTTGTTTTACCGCTAATCGAATTAAATACAACATGATTTTACGATGTTAGATGTTGGCATTAATATCAATTTCCACTCACGATTATCTCGTGTATATAATTGGGAAAATCGATATTTAACCAGACTTCAAAATACGCTCGTATGTACTACGTACTTCTTTGTCCACTTGACTTTCATGCTAAACGGTAATTGCCCGCTGCTACGATTTCCGCCGCATTGTTCGAGACTTGCCTGATGGTCGTGCACACTGTTTGTCGAGCATCTTCACTTTGAACCTGCCCGATTATAGAAGCGGGCACGTCGATAAAGTGAGTGAGGAAATTGTCGGTGTCCTTGGGATTCTCTATCAGTGGAACGGGGAAAGGACATGTGGCTTCGATAACGGCGCCAGATGACCAGTCAATTTCGATCAATTCGGTTGCTGAAAAATGATGATGAAAATGAAAAGGTCCTCGAATGTCCCCAATGTCCCTTAATAGCCCTGAATGCTCCTAAATGTCCCAGAATGTCCCCAATCTCTCTTAATGTCCCCAATGTCCCAAAATGTCCCTGAATGTCCCTGAATGTCCCCAAATGTCCCGAATTTTCCGCGGACTTTCGTAAAAAGAAGTGAAGCCTGTTTAAAGCTAGAATAGCCATACAAGATCCTCTACTCCTAATGTACCTCCAGGTATCTCCAGGAATCACTTTTTTTGAACAGCATAATTATTCAGCCTCCAATGTTACGCCCGTATGTAACCTTGGAGCTTGAAATTGAATAATCTTGCAAGAAATTGTTCTTTACTCCATACAAGTACCGGTTCTGGGCACTTTTCACAAAGTGCTCTTACTGAAAACTTTACCTGAACTAGAGAGCGCGAGAATCAAACAAGTCCAAAAAGTCGGAAAAGAAATCATTTTTTGCTTTATCTCTTTTTGAAAATGGAGAACTGATGGAAAAAGTGTTTTAATTATGAATAAGAAGCATTGATCCAATTATTTAATCAAATTAGCGCCATTAAACTAACCGAGAATTGAAATTTCTTGTGAAGCGCGAACAACGACTAAACATTTGGCGTCTGATTTTCTGACTCAGATGTTTCCGAGTTCGTTTTCTAAAAACCCACTCTTTTGATCTTGAAAAATAGTACTAAAAGACGATTTCTTCGTCGGATTTTGCGGTAGTTTGGACATTTCCTCCGCGTGAATTTCATTACGCTATACTTTCTGCTCGTATTTTTAAATAGAATCTTTGCCTTATCTGGGCTCGTTTGTTCGACTTTTTTAGGAGAAACGAGAATTAAGGATTAAAAATAAAAAATTTGGAAGTAAGTTCCATTGGCGGACGATTTCGCAAGCTCGCATTTTTGGCGAACCGCGGTGTTGGGTCGCAATCAACCCGCAAATATCGAAAGATTCTCTTGAAATGAAAACTAACAGAAATGATCGTGAATTTACAAACACTCACAGCATTCCCAGAAGCGATTGAACATGCACGTTACTGTCATTTTTACAGTCGATAACAAGTTTTCAGAAGCTTTCTGAGCTTGATTTTTGAATCAATTTTGAAGCAAAATGAAAAGCCGCATAGCGGCTTTTTAAACATGAAGCCGCGAAGCGGCTTTTAAGAATTTTAACATGATTAAAAAGGTATATTTGCGAAGCCGCTTCGCGGCTTCGTTTTTGAAAAAGCCGCTACGCGGCTTTTCATTTTAGATTTTCCAGAGCCTGACTAAGCAGCAGCCAGCTAAAATTATGCATAAGCTGTAAACATGCCTCTAAAATGCAGCTTTCTTTTTGACTCCAAAGAAAAAATCTGCATGGCTAGGTTCTTTGTTGATTAGTTTGTTTGGCGCACGTGCACGTTTTGCACGGATTCGCTTTGTCACGAGAAAATCGGAAGTGCTAATTCCGGGGCAAAAGCGCTTTAGCTCAACGAACATCATAAGCTCCTCAAGCGCGTCAAGTTCGACAGCCGTCTCCGAAACAAATGCGCCAAATGGTCTTAAACGATGTTCGAACTTATGCCTTCTGCCCGGTCTCTTGATTGTTGCTCTTTTGACCGGCCGCAAAAGACAACGTGAAAAGCAGTTGTAACCAACTGAAACTGTCTTCTCACGACGCTTTACTCGAGCAGATTATGGCCCATTCTAGGCTATTTTGAGATTCAGAAATGCGCGAAAAAATCCCGCAAAATTCGCCCAAAAATACGATTGAAACTGTTTTGAGCGGAGCACCGCGGAATCTCGGGTTAGGTTCGAGTTCACAACCGTCATGAATTTCAATCAGATTTAATCAACTTCTCAAATACGCTATTTTTTCTCAACATTTTTTCAGAAATACTTCCCGCTAATAAAAAGGGTTGAGCTCGAAAATTGCTCATGAGGTCGGAAACCTGTGTAGAAACCTGAGTCAGGGTCCTGAGAAAGCATAAACGAGGCCCCATAGAATATGGGGCCCTAGCTCTCTCGGACCCTGACTCAGGCTTCTGCACAGGTTGCCGAGCCCCGGATCATTTTTTCTGGGAAGAAGGAACCTTCTCTTATCTTCCGTTTTCAATGAATTCAGGGGGCGAATGCGGGGCTCGACTCAGGCTTCATCCGTCTAGATTTATTGTAGGAATTAACCGCCTTTTATTTAGCTCGTTTTCGCCGCTTCAAAACACGAGAAAGTCCCAAAACCCAACGAATCTTCAACCCTTCATCTTTCTTCAAAAAGTCAAAATTAATCCTCAACTGCCAAAATGTGGAACGACCTCAAGCAAGAGGTCAAAATGCTGCGGCAGTACAGTACGCCACTGGGAAATATTTGGTATGTAATTCAGGTAAGAAATCGTGCTTTCAAAAATATGTAAAAATATGAAAAAATTTTTCTTGAGAAAAAATTACGAAAAAGGCTTTTCTTGTTATTTGTTTAAAGAAAAATCAGACATAAGAAAGCTGCAACGTGGCTACTATTCTACAGTCAATAGTAGTTAGCTAATTATTTACAGGAAATCTCTAAAAAGCAACGTCGCATTTTCCAGGCAATAGCGATTGCATTCTTGCGCCATAGCTGGTCCGCAGCGGATCAAGTGCATTGCTGCCCCGGAACTACCGGAAAGCATCCATTTTAACCTGCTTTGACAATACCACTCACTCTTACAAAACCACAAACATCAACTACAAATTGAAGTCTAGTTTTCCAGCTCTGAATACCGGCATTTCTCTGTTTGTTTTTACAGAGAAACATAATGTTAGATTTTCTTTAATTGATCCTTGATTTTAGCCACCACAGTATCTCAATTTTAACAGGCCGCAAGTATTAGCATCCTCATACCAAATTGTTGCCAAAATAGGCAATGTGGGTTAATACACGTTCATAGTCACGGCTCGCATATTTCTCGGGTTAAAACCCTCAAACCCAACATAATTGTTAAATTTAGGGAGGCCCCTGTATCAGAGCAAAAAGGGGGAACCGACAAAGAAATTTCGACAAATTTTACGTGGAAATTTTCAACCAATCAGAAGACTGCAATCGCCTAACCGGCCAATCAGCAACCAATAGCCGCCCACGCAAAATTTGGCGAATTTTTTTGTCGGTTCCTTAGGCCATCCCACAATAAGGGTGTCCTTAATATTTTTTATTTAGTTCATTTTCCGACTCCTGATAGTGTCGATGATCGGAAGCCAAGTGTATGGTGATGAGCAAGGACAGTTCAAATGTGATACCAATCAACCCGGCTGTCAGAACGTTTGCTACAATAGCCAAGGATAAAAAAAGAAGAATTCACCTTCCGGAATATATGATTTCCATTTCTCATCCTTGATCAGATTCTCGCCAGTTTCCCACATGCGATTTTGGTCGATTCAAATGCTTTTCCTTTCCATGCCGAAATTCGTCTTCCACGCGTACATCACCTTAGGACGGTCACGTGATCAACCACAGTTAAACAATAGTTTAAAAAGTTTAATCCTAAGCAATTTTTCTTTGCAAACGTTTATTCTTTCGAAACGTAAATATAAAATAAGCGACCGGTTCCGTTGTTTGACCCTCTGAATAGTCATAAACAACAAAAAGTATTAGATCGAGCGTGGGAAAAGCTCAAAGAAACGGAGACTGAAGCTCGCGCAGGTTCGTGATCCTTCATTTTAAGGGGTAGGCCTCGTAATGGCTCATTTCGGCCGACTTTTCTGCATGAATTTGGACCCTTATTTCTTCCGAAAATAAGGGTATATCAATCCTAACTCACGAAGAATAATCAGCCGAAAATCGGGTTTATGATGTCTGGTAGACATTCTGTCTAGTAGACAACTAACAACTTCATTAAGATTTCTCCGATGATGAGAGCACTACAAGGAACTCGCAACTATCCGACTTAAAAGCCGCTAGGTAAGCTGTTTATTTTCATCAACACGGGTGACTAGCGATTAATTTAATTTCAAGGGCGTATGAGAAAATCGAAAAGCAGAAGAAAAAGTACATGATTCGTGAAAGCCAAATCAAGGCGGGCATCTCTCATAATTATTGCATCAGTATTAGGTGGCTCAAGCGGCCGCGTAAATCGGATACTGTGGATACCCGCAGAATAGAAAAAGAATCACGTGGATGATCGAGGAAACTTAGAGGAGGTGATCTGGACGCCCGGCATTAGACTTGGATACTTGGTGCATCTTTTTTTCCAAGAAAGGATCTTTTGAATAACTAACCTTTTCCTAAAAGAAATTTTTGATGATCCGACGGTCTGAGCCGCCATTGAAGGCCTGTTTTTATGGCTAGCCTACAAATTACAACAGAACCAGACGCGAAAATCCGGCTGGATCGCCTTTCGGGTTCCGGAGCGATACGACTGCTTTTCCGACGAACACGTGAGTACCTACACTAAAAAAAAGGAGTATCGTTAACCGGTTCAAATGACTGGTAGACTGAATATTTACCATGCGTTGTAAACAGTACTTAGTTGTCTTTAATAGCTTATTAGTAAATGTGTTAATGATCTTTTCGGTGGAAAAATAATTACAGCTTTTGTCTAACAAGTTAAACACTATGTTCAAATTAAAACGCTAATGATGATAATAACCTTGGATTATCCCCTCACCATAAATAACACCAAACATTGAATTCTTCGAAAATTTAATTGTCTATCTTTCCACGGCAGACATTGTTTTTTGTAAAAAAGAAACGTGTCAAAATAAACAAATTATATTCTCCCGTTGAGGGTGCTTTCACTGTCTGCCAGAAAAAAGTACTTTGAAATTCAGGAATTCAGATTATGAGATAAGGGTTGAAGATTGCTTTGCTTTTGTCTGTTGTTTATCGCATATGAACTTCAAAGAGTAGATTTTTTACAGTGAATCTCTATAACGGGTTGTCTTTCAGACGAAACCGCCATGGGGCGATGAGACTGTAACTGCTTGTGGACAGAGCAAAGAAATTCCTTGCTGGGTTTCTCGACCTTGGGAGAAGACGCTCTTCGTTTTTATATGAGTAAGTTTTTGACAGGGAATACTGTGTTATAATTATTTAAGGCGGAATGGCAGGGATTTCGATTATAATTTCTATTGCCGAGTTTTTGTATATGTCGACTCATATGGGCGTCAAAGGGTACAAGGTACGTATTGGGAAGATTAAAGGGAGTAACGACGATGATTAAAGAGGAGGAAAATTTTAAACAAAGAAAAGAACCTTTTGTGGACGCAGGACAAGATTTGGAATCCTTACGAGAATCCAGATTATCAACAAAAGCTTAGAGAGCATAACATAGAAAATGGAAGTCTCAGTAGGCGGCGCATCAATTCCAGGTCAGTGAAACTCCAAAACTCGCAAAGAAATTTTAAATTTAACTCGAAATTGGAAATTTGCATGAACAACAAGTGCACTTGCGGGTAAAATGAACAGAGCTAGTTGTTTGTGAAGTTCAAATTATGCGCAGTGAAAAGAGGCCGGAATTGATCGTTTAACATAAAGCCTAGATCGACGTCTGGCTACCAGACACCAACGCGCAGAGAGAGGCCATTTTCTCCGCCGAAGAACAATCAGCACGAAACATCAGTGCTCATTGAGCATCCTCGATCGAAAGGACCGACTCTTCCTCCCTAGCCATCTGGGCTCGGCAACCTGTTAAGAAAAAGAGTCAGGGTCTGAAATAGCTGAAATGAAAAGCCGGGCAGCGGCTTTTTTAAAAACGAAGCCGCAAAGCGGCTTCACCTGAATATTTCTTTGATTAAAACGGTAATATTAGCGAAGCCGCTTTGCGGCTTCGTTCTCAGAAAAGCCGCTGCGCGGCTATTCATTTCAGCACTTTAAAGCCCTGACTCAGGTTTTCTACACAGGTTCCCGAGCCCAGCTAGCCATAGCGATCAGCTTGCTTCATGAAAGAAAAAAAAAACTATTTCAGAAACTGCTCATTGAAAATATTAAAAATAAACGCTTCCAGTAAACTCTTCACTAGAAATAAATGAACCTCGATTCTGATTTCCATTTCCGGCAGATTGGAACATGAATAATTTATTTTTGCGAATTTTCATTTCAAAAAACACGGTGAACACCTGTTGTAGAAATTTCAAAAATTCAGTTTCAATTATACATTGCTCGCGGAATTCGCTGAATTGGATATTTCACCGGCATTCATTAGCATAAACGCTGGCAGTAGAGACGTGAAAGTACAGTCAAGGGTAAAGAAATGCTGACAAGCGATTATTCTGAAAGACAATTTGAAGCTGGTATAACTATTCTTCTATGCGAAATTTCGTCTCTTTTGACATGCTGATGCATAATTTGAAATTTCCAAACTCTCTGAGAGATGATGAGACATTAATTGGGGTTCTGATAATATATTTCATGGATAAGTTATTATTTGTACAAGCATATGAGCTATATTCAATAAAAATAACTTGTATACAATAATTATTTACAATTACAATTATTCACAATAAATTGTCAGAGGCATGTTGAAAATCAAAGGTGATGAGGACAAATCAGTTAAAAACTTTGAAAACACGGTTCTTAGTGAACTTTACGTGGCAGCTTGGACATTTTTTCTGTGGAAGATTGGAGATGCAGTTGAAGCAGGCTTTGTGACCACATGGGATGATTACAGCTTCAGGATGATCGTTGTCGAAGGGAAAGAAGCAGACCTTGCAATGAGGCTTCTCATTCTCAGTTTTTGGTTTTTTGGATTTAGGCTCACTTTCTAAAGACCAATAAATATTTATACAAAATAATAAAGTTTTTAAGTTCTTACCGACAGTTTCCAAAGCAACTTGAGTCACAAAAAGAACTCGCTTTGCACTTTTCTCACGTAGTTTTCTTAAAGTTTTTCCTTTTAATTTCTCCGACTCCAATTCTTTTTTTGCGATTGCGACCGCTTCTTTGGCCTTTTTCAGATTTTTCTTTGCATCAGATAGACTCGACGTAGCGAAACCTATCCTTGCATCACAATCATCATCTTCCTTTCTAATTCTTTGATAAAGATCATTGAAATACTCGTGTTCATTGTCAGCATCTATAAACAAAAGTCTTCTTATTTTTATTGTATGAAACTGATACCGTCAGGCTCAGGTTTAAGCATTAATGCGGCTTCGCAACAAGTTCCAATAACCAACTCGAGATAAGACAATTTATCCGCAGCGCAGTTTCCTGCTCGACATTTGAATGTTGAGTTACAGTATTGAAACGTGGCTTTTTCATCCGGAAAATCCAAATCTTTACATGGTTTGCAAAGTTTGAATTCTTGTATAACAGTCGTTGATTCGGAGATTCTTAAATATATAAGGGTACGAATGTTGCAGTGTAATCAATATTTTTTGAATAAAATTGAACGTAAAATCATCTTTAGCCTACCCGCATTCATCACAGTTTCCATGTTCACCACGATAAGTGAGAAACTTATCAAGGCCCACCAATTCCATCCTCGCACTACTTTTAATTTTTTCCCGTTCACAAATTTCTCTCTACTAAACTTCAATGCAACCACCGCAAATAAGACCTCGTTGGACGATCTTTCAAGATCAGATAGTTACGAACTGAACCATTTCCCGATAAGACCGATCCATTATCAAAGATTCAAATCCTTTTTACGAAGCACCATAATATCTCGATTCGCTAGAATATCCCTACTTCTTTTCTGCCAAGTAGGGGCGAGAAAGCCCTAACTTGTCCTTCAGAGAAATCTGTCGAATTCGGGTGGGCGAGTATCAACAGCAGTGATGACGGATCCCACATTCGCAGTTTCCACGCGAATAATTTACCCCTTCGCAAGGGTGAGTTCATGTGCGGAAAACTTCCTTAGATGTCTGACGCGCTCCTTCCAGAAAGAAATTTCCATCATCGAACCATAACCTTTTGTAAGAGAAAAACTACCGAATATGAACAGTCCAGCGCCGGTTGAACTCACCAAATACGGCTGTTATTTTCAGATTCCGCAGATGGACAAACCGTCTGAATGGGCAAAATGTGTGTTGAGGAAAATTTGTTGTAATTTTCTGATTTCATTATTTTTTTCAAGCGTTCCAAGCGCTGTCTGGTAGCCAAAGCTAAACAGTTTAATTGGCACAAAGCAAATTAAATTAAGAATTCGGAAAAGCATGTTAGGTCGAGAATTCCCGGAAGAGATTATGCTTCTTTTATGTAAAATTCTTCCAGTAGAGGGGGTCCTCCAGGCACGAAAGAAAATGGAATCTACTCGCTTGGTGTCGCTTATTCAGGTTTTAGTTTTTCGGACAGTCATCAAAATTAATCGGTAGATACGGAAATACAGAAATAACTGTATTTTAAAAAAAAACTTTGAAACTTTGAAGCATTCTGTTTCTAAAACAAAAAGTTCGTTTTTCTTGAAATCTAGGGTGCGGTGGGACGTTATCACATCCCGAGGATCTTGTGCTTAGCTCCGGCCTCGTCTTTTGTTTGAAACACGTTTCTTTTACAAAAAGAAAAAGAGTGCAAGAAACGGGTCTGTTTATCTAACGTGGTCACCCGCCCCGGACAGCACCGCGCAGATATGACAGTTTGCGGCGGAAAAATACTTTTGTCATTTTTTTAGATCGATTTTAGAAATGATGGAATGTAGACTATTTCATCCGAATTTCCGGGCTTTTAAGGTTTTCTTAGTTGTTTTTTTGATCCTTTTATTGTTTGAATTTGTGCAGGGAAATTTCAAATGTTATTTACATCAGGTGGGAAGAGCGAGCTTCTTCTGCGGTCACTATTATTCAGCAAGTATGTATCGGGGGCGAGGGAAGCGCGGCGATCTGTCAAAAAGGTCGAGCGAATTCACTATTTTTGCGCATTCAAGGCTTCATTCTTGCACTTTATTTACTTTCCAAGGAGTTGTTCGGTATTAACGATTGGCAGGGAAGAGCTAGATGGCTCAAATGGGATTTCATATGATTTATATTGTTCACCATCAAATATTATTTTTAAATATAAATTTTGCAGATTTTTATCAATATTATGGTTTTGCTTTTTTTCGTATTTTTCGTGCTCGAACCTTTCCTGGGCAGGAATTGACAGACGAAGATTGGCAATGAGGAGTTGCTTCGCTTCGCATGAGTTCCGAATAATATCATTATCTTTTACGCCATTTCTACTCGATCAATCTCAAGAGTAACTGAGCATTTGCAAGGTGTCCTTCTCAAGTGCTGGAAAATAATGCACTTTCTTCTAAACGAATATTAGCCCGAGTTGCGCAACGGCTCTTGAATTCGAAAACCCCACGTAAGGTTAACAACACTGCTAAAAGCTAAAGAGCTAAACATAAACTTTTTTCTTTCTTTCGCTTTTTTCGAACCCGACTTCTAAAACACAAAATACAGACTCTTCGTTTATGTTTTTCGAAAAAAAAACAATTATTATCTTTGACCTTTGCTCCTTCATAGAAAGTTGTCTGCTAGGTACTACATAAGGTTTTGTAAAAATACTGGAAGGCCCGTTAGAGAGTCGCCAGTACATAACACCTTCTTAGGGTTAAAAAGTCTGTATGAGGCCAATTTAGGGACCCCCCTAGAAGTGCGAAAGTATGTCTTCTTGGAGCAAGTTTTTCTCCAAAACTATCCTAGATACACCCTTAATTTTTATTGGCACTTTTAGATCTAACCCTCGACTACAACCGTTCCCAATATGATGATTTCTCGATATCAAACTTAAGGATATACAGGCCGTTAATGCTCAGGTTGCTAGGAGCAAGCTTTTTTGGGTTTTTAGTTGAGGTATACGGTATACCCTTAATTTTTTCTGGATAGCTTAACAGCCCGAGAAAGAGTAGTTCTTAATCCAGTTTATCAGAACTCCGGGCCCACTGGAAGAGGTAGATGAGCTTGGAGGAGGTAGAATTGAAATACGACGGCTATTTTGAATCGCTTGATCCGTTGGCCGCCTTTTAATTGTTTCAGCATGGCGGCGTTTTGTTTCTTCTAACTCTCTTTTGGTGATGCTCATGGCGATGGCGAAGGCTACTGGAATCAGGAAGACGTTGGAATATGCTTTTTTGAGGATTGTTAAGAAAGGGTCTTTTCGACAGACAGTTTTGTTGAGTTTTTTAGATTGTGGCTTCCAGTAAATCCACTTTGCCTATCAAAACAGCACAGAATTCGATTTTCTTCCAGAGCATGTTCTGACTTTCGCCGTGAATGAAGCGGTAGAAGAGAATGTTCAGAAAAGTGATAATCTGCCGCGGTATCCAGCTCAGGAAAAACGCACCCGTGACGAAGCGGGTCTCAATTTCATTTTTACAAGAAATTATAAAAAAATTGATTGCTTTGCAATTTTTTTAGCCTACCTGTCGCGTGATGGATTCGGACGACTTTTGCCTCTTTCGAACTTCTGCGTCCATTATTGAGTACGAGTTCTGTGATACCACCCCGCTGATTAGCGCTGGAGATCTGATAAGGCTTTGGATTGTTGAAGTTTGCTTCCTGACGTTGACTTCGATTTTGATATTCACCTTTCAGTGGGGATAAAAACGATGAAAATTGCTTGAAAAACGAGAAGTCTAAAATTGTCACGAATGTAACGAAGGTCACTAAAGTCAATAAAAACATTAACCCTTACTCTAACCCTAACCGAATACGTGACATTCGTGACAATTTTAGTCGCCATTGAATATGTCACGAATGTCACTAATGTCACGATTTACCTGAATATGTCACTAAGAAAAGACATGTTTTCGTTACATTCATGACATTCGTGACATTCGTGACATATTCTGTGGCGACCAAAATGTCACGAATGTCACGAATTTGGTTAGAATTAAAGTTAGGGTGACGATTTATGCTGATTTTATTGACTTTCGTGACAATCGTGACAATTTTAGCAGTGTTCGAAAAACGAAATTTTATCCCCCAATATAAAGCACAATGAATAAAGGAACGAGCTGCGCCAGAAATCTAAATTTCGTTAAAAAAGCAACTCATTTTCAATACTCTTTTCCCAGCGAAAAAGTGAGCATAAGCCGGAAAGAAACAAGATTGATTTAATGACCCTTAGTTTTTAGACGTTTCTAGTTCCACCTAAATATGCGGCTCATAACAAATCTGCTCGACTGAAATTCAGAGAACCACCTCTGTTTTCCAAATATTAGACTTTGGCAAGGGCAAACAAAGAGAATTTTTATTTACTAACGCGCGAATGAGGTTAGATTTTATTAAAGTTTACGGGAAATTGAGAGAATTAAAAATCATGCAATTCAATTTTCAAATTTTTTAGAATAAATTATGAAGTGACACCCTTATTTTTAAAAAAATTGATCTTTTTTTATATTTTAATAAATTTAGAATAAATTTAATTAAAATCTTATTTTTTAAAATTTGAATTTTAATGAAATTTTTTCACGAAAATTGAGCATGACAACCACCTTAATTCGAATCCAGACTTGTTTAACAAAAGAAAACTCCTTACGCAAGGAAAAAATCCACACTCTGAGAAAGCGTCTCGCCGCTTTAGAACCATCTTTTACGTGTTGGAATACTAATCCGTCGTGTTCAGAATGCTCGACTGGAGCTTATTCTTAGAGTGCCACTGTATACGAAACGTGGTGTTGCCCTTGGTTGTTTGTTACTTTGCGATCCGATTTTGCTGGTTTCTATGGACTCAGGTCAAGACCTTCGTTATTTATGCTTCCAAGCCTGCTTTTGACTTTGTCGCTGCTGCTGACGGTGGCTTTGGTAAGTAGAGTTACTTTGGTTGATGCTGACTGGGCTCGGAAACCTGAGTGAAAACCCTGAGTCAGGTTCTGAGCGAGCTAAAATGAAGCAGCTACTTTTCGATAAGGACTGAAACTATATTATTGAGAAGCCGCTTCGCGGCTTTGTTTGGTGAAAGCCGCTACGCGGCTTTTAACAAGAGCTATTTCAAATCCTGACTCAGATTTTCCTTCTCAAAAATCACATAAAAAAGGGGGGAATGGAAGGTGAGTCGGCCACCCAGACCAGATTTTTAAAAATGATAACAGCTGGAACGTTCTCTCAGCACAACGCGGCTTATCAATCATCGCCCAGGGGAGCAAGTGACTGTAATCAGCAGAGGAAATCGGTACGGTGCAGGGCAAAAGGGCCGCATTCGCAAATAAAAATCTGTTTTCAATGGCCCCTCCTTTCTCTAATCCGTCGTACTAAGAGATAATAATTGTAGTTGCTGCCTTTTACAGTCGATGTTCTTCTTCTCCTCCGGTCTTGTATAGTAGCACATCAGGGCAACGAGCTTATAGCGCAAATTTTTGGGCTGTAGGGCGGCCACGGTACAAATTTGTACCGCCGTTACAATTTTGTACCGCCGGTACAAGCCAAAAATAAAATCCGAGCTAGAATTGAAGGAAACTCCGTAGTAGTTTAGATAAGGTGGAGTGCCAAAACAGTTGTACTGTTCTCAAAACAAAATCTATAGAACTTCCTTCGTTCTTTCAAATCGCTTTCAAATTTTAAATAATTTAGCAATATTCTCAAAATCTGCTCTCAGTTTGCTGACTTGGAAACAGATCTCATCGAAAAATTTCCAAATTCGAAGTCAGTGTTCTCTTTGGCCAATGCAGATCTATATCACTCAGCAGGTAGCATTTGGCATTCAAATCAAAATACAACGCTCCCAGCGACTCTGTTATTTCAATTTCTAAAAAGTGCGCACTGTTTGAACTCCGCCGTGGTTGTGAGTTGTGGTCGGGGCTGGAGATTATTGAAATAAGTTCGCTCAACGCCCTATCTAACGCACCAAAAGTCTACCGTCATATTTTCCCGCAAAGTCACTGTTGTGGCTTTTTTTCTAAAATGAATCGAGCTGGGAGTTCTGGAAATTCATCCACCTATCGTTAGACGTTCGAATTGGAGTTCTAGCTTCTGAAATGATAGTGGAAAGTTTAATCTTATCGAAAATTTAAGCGCTGATAACTGGCGGAGCAGGGGGGATTGGCCGTTCCTGCGCCATCGAGTTCGCAAAAATGGGCATCAACCTTTTCCTCGTCGACTACAGTGCTGACCTCCTTCCAAAAACCGTCGCCGAAATCAAGAAAATCAATCCAAAAATCCAGATCAAAAGCAAAATCATGGATTTGACCAAACTAATGACGGATAAATCCGCTTACGAGGAGTTCAAAAACGAGTTGGATTCGGAAAAGATCGGTATTTTGTTTAATAATGCTGGCATAGGAAAAAGGGATGAAAAAAAACAATGAAGAAAAAGATGCTTGTTAGAGACTCTTTAATTAGAAAAAATGCTGAGTTGAAAAAGTGCGGTTATTCAGAAAACGAGAGCCAATTGTTTTAAATTAAAATTACCATCCCACCAAAGCCGAAACCAAGCTGTTTAATTACTCCGAAAGCTCGTACGAAGAAATCACGAACTTGGTGAAAATCAACATCGGCGTTCCCGCATTGCTCGACAGAATCGTTCTTCCTCAAATGCTAAAGCGGAAGAACGGGCTGATCATGAACATGGGATCTGCTTCCGCAAAGACACCAGTCGGCCTGTTGCCTTTATATGGATCGTCCAAGTCGGGGTACACGAAAGATAAACACTTCTAACATTGCTACGGAGTATCTGTCCGGAAAGTACAGTTATTTTCCTCTTTTGTGGACATTTTTTGTCCCATATTTTCTCAAAAATGTCCACAAAAGTGGGCAAGAGTCTCCAAAAAATGTCCCAACGTAGAGGCTTAAAATTTTTCGCTCCCATTAGTTTCTATCTAAAAACAGCAAATTTCATCCTTGAAACGCATTTTTCTTGCTTATTTTTTACTAAAGTCGGTTAAATGTTCCTCAAAAGCCACAAATATCTTAGAAAAAAGAAAAGATTTTTGAAAAAATACGCTATTTTTATCACCAGGGAAAATGTCCACAAAAGTGGAACATAATCTTTGCAAAAGTGTCCCACATAAACCCCTTTAAATGAAGAAAATGTCCACAAAGTTGGGATCCACAAAAGAGGAAAAAAACTGTATTGACTCAAAGAATACCAAATATGACAAGTTTCTAGCTCTAAACCATAGTACAGAGGGTAGGATCGCTAACCTGCGTAGAAAACCTGAGTCAAGATTTGAGAGCTTTACGTTAGAGTTATAAAAGTACCCTCAGCCGTAACAAGGACACACTCCCCTGAGGGCAAGCCTGGTTAGCTCAGTCGGTAGAGCGTTGGACTCTTAATCCAACGGTCGCGGGTTCGAGCCCCGCATTAGGCTTACTTTTTCTCAATCCCTATTCCTAACCCCAATAGAGTCAGGTTTTCGTCACAAGTTGACTAGCACTCTTGGAATTTTAAGGCTAGCCAAAATAGGTTCTAAAAGTCTATAATTTTAAACTTTGAAGTTTCGCCTCTCAAGAATACTTTAACGGAGGAGTCTAAAATTTAGTGGCCTTCAGTGGACAGCAAAGCTCATGTAAACTTTTAAGTCAAGAGGTTGACCCTTTTTAAAGTCCTTCATGATTCAGCTTTCGCAAAGTCTACAAGACGCTTATCCTTCGCACGAAAGCGGCATTACATTTCACGTGTTCCATCCACAATTCATTCGAACGCCAATGACGAAGGTTCTGGACGAAGGTACGCTAGTTATCCGAATTATTTAGATTTTATAGACTTTTGTCTAAGTGGTAATAAGATTGGTTATTTTGAAACCAAGCGGTCATTGATGGAGAAAACAAGGAAACTAATCGTGTTATTAAGCCGACTCTTTTCAGGTGTTCATCAAGTGTGTTTTTCGCAAAATCGATCTGCGTATTTGATAATTATTATTTCCCGAAGCGCGGTTGAAACAAAGTGAAGCTTTTTGTTTTCCCTAACACAAGGAGTTAATAAGGCTTGCTGATGCTCATGCACATTTTGCGTGAAACTTAGGACATGTTTTTGGTTCAAGAAAAATCCACTTATTCGTCAAAATTCGGAATTTTAGACCTATTTTTAGCGGCAACCTGTGTAGAGAACGCGAGTCAGGTTCCTAAAGAACTTTTACGAAAAGCCGCGTAGCGGCTTTTTTTAAATACGGAGCCGCAAAGCGGCTTCGCCAAAATTATAATTTCTATCTATTATATATTGTATATGATATATAACCTATTATAGCGAAGCCTAACCCTAACCCTAACCCTGACTCAGGAACTCTACACAGGTTGCCGATTCGGCAATGCCGAACCCAAATTTAGATTGGAAGGAGCAAAATAAAATTGCGGAAGCGATCAAAAACAAGTTCTTCCCTGTTGTCGAAGAATGGGTCCCTTCTGCGCTGAAAATGGTCGGAAGATATGAAACTTCTTGTGGATGGTACTTTCACGAGTTCGCCGGTAAAAAGAGATTTTTGAAGAAAAATTTATTTTTTTTAAAGTTTGGATGCAACCTGCAACTCAGTTTCTCGGTGCTCTGAAATGGGGATTTTCAAGAGATGCTGTCAGAAAAGCAATGAAGGAAAAACGACTTCGAATGGAAAAATGTTCAAAGAAAAAGCAGTAACCCTAACGATACCCTGATAAAAACGCGCTAGACTAGAGCGGCCTTGATTCACTGATTCAAATAAAATAAAGCAAAAATACCTGAAGACGAAATAGCCAGTCTCCCAAGGCACATTCCACTGGCAATAACAAGTGTACTTTGAATTTTGATCGTTCCAGATATTCCGGCATTTGTCAGGACCATTCGAGTCGAATTTTAGCGGACTTGGATGGATTCAAAAGTTGAAATCAACGAGGACTCATTCCAAAATCAATCACTTCTTTCGCGCGTTTTAATCTAAGCGAGATGCGAGAGAAATCACTTGATCCTCTGGTGATCCTCTTTTGGCTCATTTCGATCTAAGAATCCGTTTCTTGCACTTGATGTTTCATTCACCGTTAGTTGCTGGCGATAGTGGCTTATTCAGGGGTAATGCATATTCTGAACTAAATCCAACAATTCCAAAGTTAAATATGATCATCCTAAATCGAAGACTTCTGAACTAGAATTTGGCATTTGGTTCCAAACTTCAGAAACTTGACAAAAAATCATGATTTTTGACCTCTGATTCTCCTTTTCTTATAATCGAGGATCTATCGGAATAACTGTCAATTCGTATTCGTTACGATCTCTTATAAATTATGCGCCATTAGTAACGCGATAATGGATAGTTTACTCGAGTTCGGTTGGAGATTTGAAATTAAGGATGTCCACAAGGAAAAAAACTATACGGAACATAGTCAAAATTCCGCACAGAATCATGATGATTGGGGAAAATTGCTGTGGACACCCTTAATTCGACGATTTTACTGATTTTTGGGGACCCCCTCTGGTATTTAAAGAAATCAATTAAAATAGTGAGAAACTGTCAGATTTGTCAAAATAAATATTTCATCTCTGCCTGTGAAATTGACAAGCTAAGGTAAGATTACTAAGTATTTCGCTGTGGCTAAGAAAAAAAATAAGTCAAGTTCAAGTCAAGTAATCCGACAGTTGGAGAAATGCAGATTTACGCGAAAAGTAAATCGCTCATTAATGTCGAATTGGCTGCGATACCCTGTCCAAGCTGTCTATATTGCATTTGCACAAGACAAATGGTCAGCGTCGCGGCCCAAGTAGCCAGAGTTGTCTTTACCGAGTGGCTAATCGTTCTCAGCTCGCGCAGCTTTAGCGGGTAAACTGTTATCGGGTTAAACTCTGCTCAGCTCGATATTAGTCTCATTTAGCAGCATCAGGAAAGTTCTATAGCGCTTCGTAGATTGTCTCTTTGGCTCAATAAAAATGATCTTCTTCGAAAAACACATTCTCAACATTTCTTTAGTTAACCCTTAGCAACGCAGATGTATCTGTCCAGCGAAATCATGACCAAAAAGGCAGTTGATCCATACAAATTCAAAAGGGCCAGGAAACTATGAGTTTTGCACAAGAACCAGCCAAAAATCCAACTTTCGCTTGGGATCATTAATTTTGCGCTTACAACTAAAACTTCCTTTTTCTTTGCCTAAGGCTACTACTTAAGGGTACCTGGGTCGAGATGGCCATCTTTGAGGGTAAATTACTACCCTTAATACTTAACGAAAAAAGCACCTTAATAGCTGATTCAACAGATCTATCCTAGATCTCGGATCGTGACAGAGCAGTTTTTTCGATTTCAAAAATTTTTTTCAGAAAAAATGCCCTCAAAGTTGGCATCTCGGCCTAAAATGGCCAACTTTGACGCTAAATTCAGGCGAAAATTTTCATACAAACATTTTCTTTCTTTTTGGATACATAAAGTCTAAAGCCTCCTCTACAATCGTGACAGAGCAGATATTTGGATTTCAAAGATTTTTTTAACAAAATTTTCAAAAGATTGGTCTAGTCTTCACAAATTCCGCATTTTTGCTTGGTAAGCTTCCATTTTCCCCGGTTTTGAACAGAATTTAATTTTCTTGGGCAATTTTAAGCTTCACTACGATGTTAACCAGGCCATAAGCTTTCATTTAAGCCCTTAATCAGCAAAATTGGAGATGGAAAATTTTTCGTCAAAATTTGAGGCACTAGCATTTCCTATAGATTTTATACTTTACAGTGGTTTTTGACCGTGAAAACGTTTAGATAGCCATAGGGTCATTATAGAGTTTTTTGTTCCTTAGAACCTGTAGAATTGGATTCTTTGGTCAGAAAATGGTTTAAGGGGGTACCCAAACTCGACCTAGGTACCCTTAATCCTTAATCATTTAGGAACACAAATTCAAGAACGCTGTGCCCAAAAATGGACTAAACCAATTTATAGAAGTGCATTTTTGGATAACCAATAAGATTGCTGTATTTGTCCTAACAGCCAATCAAAACCCTGATCCATAAAATCGCTTCCATAAATTGGTTTAACCCCCAAAAATAACATTGAAAATCGACTGATTTCTAGCCTAAAATCTAGGAAATCGATCCGGTCAAAATATAATCTGCTGCTAAAATTGAAGATGATCCCGGCCCGATTGTTAAGAATTTGTTCAATCCACATCAATGGAAGTGCCTGGGTGAACACAACATTCGCCGCTGTCATGTTCAGTAAATATAAATGAGCTTTCATGCAGGATGCATAAGATAAGGGTGTACCTACTCCTCTATGTTATCAAACTAATTTGACAGGAGCAATGGTGGATGAATTGATTAATATTTTTTCTGCATCCCGAAGCTACCGCTTTCTTTTTCTTCCAAACTTGAATGAGTTTTTTAATCAACCAAATGTTTCCGACCATTCCAAAGAGAAAAACAAAAAACTTCGCGGTTTTCATTTAAAAATAATTTATTAAAATTTTTTTTTTGAATATTTTTAAGTGCCTTGTTTTGAAAACCTTCATAAACAACCAAGTAAATGTAAGTAAACACATCCAGTCGATTGATAAATGTATGATAAAGTCCATCGCAATAAGCCAGGAAGTTCATTCTGTCGAATCCCATTTTCTATCAGTCCCAGCCAAATTCTTCAAGTTCTTGGAGTCTCTCGTCTTCAATCAAATTCTCTAATGAGGCGTATTCTCGGTAAACGAAGAGGGGGAGCAAGTTCAATAAAACTGCGGAATTGATGAATAAGATATTCATGTGGTCAGAGAACACAGTTGCACGTGCGCCACCACGCTAAATCCCCTTTCATCCCCAAAGGAGACACCATTTAATGAATTTATTTGCGGTTTTGGTTCTGTTAATCGTCGGGAGAAACGTTTCATTTTGCGCAATTATTGCCCTGAGTTCATAACTGTATGATACAGTCTGTATCTGTTAACATCTTTACATCAGTTTTGTTACACATGGTTTTATTTTCAGTAAATGATGAATTAAATGAAATAAAAATATAACAAGGAATCTATATAACAAGTGTTGAATGAGTACTGCAGATGAATAATTGATGTAGATAGATCATAAAACTTATTTGATTTGGACAGATTTTAAACAGGAATAGTAGTTGTTTTTCACGAATCAATAGTCATCGTCTTCCTCTTGATTCTCGATTTTATCTCGAATGAGATCCTCATTTTCTTTAATCGCCAAAATAGAGTCATCAAAACGGCCATCAACAATTTTTTCTATTAATTTTTTATATCGTTCTTTCTCCAGTTTATGTTCCTTTTCACGCTGACTTTCCAGTTCGGACACGTGGCAATCAATTTCTTTAATTTTTACATTAAGCTTTTCAATATCGTTCTGACATTTTTCTCGTTCTTTTCGAAGTTTTTCAATATAAGTGGACATTCTTGCCGATTTCTGGAACGTATGATGATTTGAAAGAAATTCCTGTAGACAAACAGAATCTTTTTCCTCTTCGAGAGGCTGATTTTTTAATTCTTCTACTTTTTTCTCAACATTTTCAACGAATTTCATGTAGTTTGTATAAAGCGAATCCTTATATTCCGCTTCAAACCAGTCCACTTCAACGGGTTCTTCCAACAGTTTATCCAAACGTTTATCCAAGAAATATGATTTGTCTTTTAGCCAGGCCTCGAAATCACACCCATACTTATCAAAGTAGAATTTATGCCATGAGCATTTTGAGAATGTTCCATGTTCTTTTGCTATTTCTACTTCGACAACACCATTCAGACCATTATTGAGAGTCGTTTCTATGATTATGCGAACAACGAAGTCTATATCCCTATAGGGGGCTTCCACGATCTTCAATATGAAATTTTTCTGAATTTTTCGTCTGAAATCGAGCAGAAGATTTGTAAGATCACAAACTGCGTGATACATAACTCGGCATGGGTGAGATAAAAGACCATAAATTTCATCTTTCGATAGAAAATTTCCCGTTTCGTCTTCTATGACAATTTCTGGTTCTTCAAAACAGTCTTTATGCGGAGAATGCGTATAAACAAAGCATCGTCGTTCTCTATAGAGGAAAATGTATGTCTTTCTATAAATTGACATCTTCAAATTTTTCTTACAAACGACAGAAATAATGGACAACAAAAAATTATCACCTCCTTGCAATGTTTGTAGCACATGACGACAATTAGATTTTGGCGGTCTACAACGGTAAATACAGTCAACCGCGCTTTAAAAAAAAGTATCGTGGTGCAATTACTAACCCTCTGTTTTTCTTCTGTAGAGAGACCTTCTTTTAACAAGAAATTTTCAATCTGACTTGGAAATCCAAGTTTACCCATCCAAACTCATAAAGCTGTAAAAACTTGACGCAGTCTCCGGAAGCAAATCTGCGCAAGCAGGGTGGCGACGTCTGCATGTTCGTTTTTGCGAGGTGCTGAGTATACTCAAACATTGCGACTGCTTTTACGACAGATAGAGTGTTGCCGCAGCAGCCGGATTCTGAAAATCCTGTTTCCGCTGATCGTATTTTTTTTGTATTCAGAATAAAAAAAGAAATTGAATTGTTTCGACCACAGTGTCAATTTGCGTACGCGATATTAAAGAATTGTCCGCACAGTGGGGTTTCTGATTGATACGTTTTTTCTGAAGAGAAAGAAGAATTGAGAAGTAAGATACTTTTCAAATTCCCTCAAAAAAGTGTCGAGAAAATGAGCTGGAAAAGAAAGAAGTCCTGCTGGAGTATGACGGCACAAGGAAAGTGGACAAATACGGGCTAATCATTTAGGCACTTGAAAAAGGCAGAAAACGTTTCTTTGATACTTCAGTTACTTCAGATTGAGAAAGAGAAATAAAATTTTTATTGAAAAAGTGAATTACTGTGGCCGAGTTGGAGCCATAGTTCATTGCCTGCTTGTAAATCACAAGTGGCGTGTGGATTAGTTATCAAACAAAAGGTAACATCAAGAATTTTCAAAGTAGTCCAGTTTTCTCACCCGCATCAATTTGATTCCAGAGACATTTTTAATGCCCGTATCAGGAAAAATTATAAAAGAAAATCTCCTCCTCTAATTTCTTCCTCTTTTATATCGAAAAAGTTGTCCGCAGTAAAAACCGTTATATTGCCCACAAACAAGACCAAATGAGAAACATCGACAAGGCAAAGAAAAAAAACTGCAGGCTTTTGCAAATCCATAACCAGAGGATAAATGGACCAAAAGGAATCCAGACCGTCTGTAGGACGAAAATGAACGAATATGATGATGAAAGAATGCTTGTTGAATTTCAGTTGGAGAGACTTCAGGAAAGTTTTCTTTGAAAGTAAAAAGGGGGTGGCGTCAGGCAACGACAAAAATTCGACAAATTTCGCGTGGGCGGCTATTCGGCTTCTGATTGGCCGGTCAGCCGAATTCAGGCTTTTGATTGGTTGAAAATTTCCACGCAAAATTTTTCGGGATTTTTGTCGATTCCTGACACCTCCCTAAAAAAGGTTAATATTCGAGCTAACCCTAACCCTAACCTTTACCCTAACGTCTTATTTTTGAAAGCTGTCATAAAGCGCGAATTGGCCAAAAATGCCCTCCTCGGCGACCGCGAACAACTTCGCTCTGTGGCTGCTTCTGGAACGGTGAGAACGTGCCCCGCGCGTTTTTGACAATTGCTTGACAATTTTAAAAGTTTACAATTCGCGGCCGAATGCTCAGCAGCTACAGTGGCGGTGCACTTGAGAGTGATCACCCCAAACGTTCTTTTACTGTATTGAACCGAGTCAAATATTTTTTAAACTTGTTATATCTTGAGTGGTGCACTTATTTGAAATGAACGGACAAATAAGGTTTGAAATTTCAAATTTGGCAAGATATACGCGTCCTTAAGATTTTTATATAAAAAGAAATTGAAGAAAAAAAATAATTTTATGAAAAATTTGAGAGAAAAAAGAGGCTGCTCCTGGATCGCGCGGAATCCTGGATCGCGCGGATCCCGGATCGCGCGAATTCCTTGATCACGTGGATCGGGTGATTCAGGATTCCGCGCGATCCAGGATTTCGAGAAAATCAGAAATTCAATTTACAATTTTGCTTTTCTTATCAAAAATGGCCAGAACTGTTGTTAAGCCATGTAATTCTTATCTTTTCAAATCAGAAATGTAAGAATATCAAATAAATAGAACCTTCAACGAAGTCATCATTCAACTATTTTTAGTTGTTTGATTTCCGGGACCTACTTTTATGCGCAGAGATTAGCAGCCGCAAGTTCCATTTGGAGGTGACAAATGGATTTTCCCGGATTTTCGCAGGGACAGACATTTATTTGAGAAATGTTTTGAAAAGAATCAAGAGAAGAAAATGAAGGGAATCGTTAATGATGATAAATAATTTATCTTAAATAAGAATAGCTCTCAATTTTTATCCTAATCTGTCCCTACGAAAATCCGGGACTGCCATCCATTTGTCACCTCCAAATGGAACTTGCGCGCTGCTAATCCCTGCGCATAAAAGTAGGTCCCGGAAATCAAACAACTAAAAATAGTTGAATGATGACTTCGTTGAAGGTTCTATTTATTTGATATTCTTACATTTCTGATTTGAAAATATAAGAATTACATGGCTTAACAACAGTTCTGGCCATTTTTGATAAGAAAAGCAAAATTGTAAATTGAATTTCTGATTTTTTCGAAATCCTGGATCGCGCGGAATCCTGAATCACCCGATCCGCGTGATCAAGGAATTCGCGCGATCCGGGATCCGCGCGATCCAGGATTCCGCGCGATCCAGGAGCAGCCGAAAAAAGAGCATGGAATACCAGCTATTTTAACAAAACACTCAATTTTTCTTCGAAACTAAAGTTTTTTTAGTTTGATGATGATAATGATGTTTTCGAAGATATTGAGTACGAATTCGTTGAAGACAAAGGTAATTATATCTTCCATGCTCTCTCCCTCTCCTAATCTGATGAAATCAGCTGATGTGCTAAAAAGAGACAGACTCTTGGAAGATTTTGGGAGAAATTTTCATGGCTACATAAGTCGCCCGGGCGAAAATATGACGTCCATTTCAGAGAAGAAAATCAAATCGGAGTTTTCCAGGACTTCTTTGCACCGGTTAGTTACCAAGTTATCCTTCAACAGCACAGATTCCTAGGTCGTCGAGGGTCCGAAGAACCGACCCACGAGTGAAAAGACTCAGAGCAGTGGAAGATTTGAAAGAACAGACACTCATCGAAGCGGAGATTGATCGATTCCGGATGCGTTCGTCGCAATACGCCGATAACGACAGCCAGCAAGGTGCGCTGCATAAATTTTCAGAAAGAATGCAAACACTTGACTTGTGATTAACGATGTACTCAGACTGGGTGCGCCCAAGAAAAACAAGACCGAAGAGAAATGTTGATTATCCTGTTCGATGGGGGCCGGGAGTCAAACAGAAGCCAAAGAATAGATCGATTCTTGGTGGGTTGTCTTCGTTGATTTCAGTAAAAAATGTTTAGATGATTTCAACTATTTTAACATTTTGCTACCTGCGCTGAGGGATCAAAAGCAAATTGGAAATGCTGTCAATCACAAGGTTAAACCAGAAAATCAAGAGAATCTCGACTGGAAATTTCCATCATGAGTTTGACTTGATGAATGATTTTTAGGACGAACGAGGAGTATTCCTGAACGACGAGAACAGAGAAGGCCTACTTGCTCGATTGCTGAAAGATCAAACTTCTGATTCTCTTGAAAACTCGGACACGGAAAGCACCTTTATTCCCGAACCATTTGCTCCCGATGGCAACTTCCGAACTGCGCTGACGATGCCAGAATCATCCGAAGCAATGCTTGAAAATGCTCAGATGTCGAGATATGTTAAATCGAATAAGAAAAGATTCTTTGACGAAGAAATCAGCGCTTCTGCGTTGTTCAGCCACACTGCGAGTTCAAGTTCGATGAAATAATTGATCAAGCTCGACTTTTTTGAATTCTTGATTTTTTTGGTATGATTTATTGCATTTACTTTGAAATCAGCCAGTGAAAAAACTTCTGTACAAAGCGCTTATGCTTTCAAGAAAAGTCCTTATATTTAGTAGTACGGCTTCCACTTCTTGGCAGGGTCTTCTTCGCCCATCCAATCTGGGTAAAGTGGGAGACTAGGTGGGGTCTTCTTATTAGCATCGGCAATTCCGATCTTTCTTATAAAATCGCCGGCGGCTTTGGCACCATTAGTTTCATCGAAGCATTTTCGGCAGACGGATGGAACCTTTTCGTAGCTGTCTGAAAAAATATTTGAGGAATGATAAAAATAATAAATATAAAACAAAACAATCAATAACGACAGTATTAGTCTTAATTTGATTTTGCTTCTTACGGCCATAAATCATCTGGTGACACTCAGTCGCAGTGGGCATCTGTGGGCAGGGTCGTATATTGTGTTGTTGCTCTTCTTTGCAGACGTCTTCGTCCTTGCAACCCATCGAAACCCACTCGATCTTGCCTCCTCGTCGTCGCTCGACAATGCTGCAAACCTTGCCATATGGGCAGGTAAGTCCCATAAAACCGTAGTTGATGTTGTGCTGCTGCATGCATAGTCCGTAGTTTTCTCCTTCGCATTTCCAGCAAGATTTTGGTGGCGGCAAAGTAACTCGAGGGTAGAAGGTAGTGTGTGGTTCTGGGAAGTAGTGTCGAGCATCTTCGGTTTCGTTGCCGAGTCCTTGGGCAGAGGCAAGAGCCAAGGTGATTCCAAAAAGTTTCATTTTGTCTTTTTTTTTATTGTTGTTTGTTCAGTTGTTAACTGATGCCATTCCGTAATTTCTGGAGCATTTTATGCAGTCACATTTGCTCTCGGCGCCACCAACGTTGCTCTTATAGGTGGAGTGAGACTTGTGTAAGCTCAGTTACTACGTCGCTCGTCAAGACTCTTTTGGGGTCATAAGTTCTTTTGCTCGACTCAAAGGTCGTGTCTCTAATTTTAAGCCTCCATTTAGAAAAAACCTCGGATCTTTGCTGCGATAATTCGATGATACTATCTTCGAGAAGGCTACAGTCAGGCACTTTATCAAGCGAGCTTCCCGGATGGAAGTTTCCCGGAGGCGGTGAAAACCCGCGTCATCTTTATTTTTCAATTAGTCATCAAGTAGATTTGTTTTTTTCTGAGCGATGTTTGAAGTGAGAGAAAAATCGGTGATTCTTGAAAATGGGAATGAGATTCCTTTGGTTGGTTTCGGAACGTGGCCGATGAAGGGTGATGAATGTTACCACGCGATCAGGTAAAATTTTTTTTGACATTTCTGATGAAAATTTTTCATAGAAAAGCGATCGAAAATGGATACCGTCATTTCGACACTGCTTTCCACTACCAAAATGAAGACGCAGTCGGCCGGGCCATCAACGACGCGATCGAAGAAAAGAAGCTCACTCGTTCGGATTTCTTCGTCACTTCCAAACTCGCTGATCATCATAAAATGCCCGGAACACCGACGAAAATGATCGACCATCAGCTTGAAAAGCTCGGGCTGGAATATATTGACTTGTATCTCATTCACTCTCCATGGTCGTTGGTCCCGACGGAAGATTTGCTCTCTATGGAGAAGAAGAAGGATGCGTCGGGAAAGCTGGAGATGATAGATACTCCGCTGACTGAAACTTGGCGAGAGCTAGAGAAGGCTGTAGGGACGAGGTTCAAAAAATTAAGACCCCGAATAATTTTGTAAGCAGATAGTTTTTATTATCCCAGTGACCTTCAAGATGAAGGGATTGTGAAATTAAGAGGCGTCAAAAAAGACGAGTTTTGACCGGCTGCGGTGAAGGCTTCAAAGTGCACTTATTTCTGTGTCTCTCCCTTCGAGACTTGAAGTTAGTCTTGGAGGTCAAAATGAAGGATCCTCTAAAAAGATGCTGGAAAGATCAAATCACTTGGCGTTTCCAACTTTTCTTCGTCTCAAATTTCCGATATTCTCAAAATCTGCAAGCATCGTCCTCAAATGAACCAAGTCGAATGCCATCCTCTTTTTCCCCAAGACGAGCTTCTTCACTTTTGCCACGAAGAAAAAATCAATCTGACGGCGTACTCGCCTTTAGGAGGTGTTAGTCGGGAAATTGCGGAAACGAAGACGAAGAATTTCGAGTTCATGAAAAATGAAACGATTTTGAAAATTGCAGCGGAATTGGAAAAGGACCCGGCGCAAGTGCTGCTCAAATTTCAAGGTTTGGTTAAAATTTAGCTTTTGGCTTATTTTGTCTAGTTCGAAGAGGAATTATTGTCATCCCAAAATCGGCAAATGACGAGCGGCAAAAATCGAACAAGGATTTGTTCTCTTTCGACTTCTCAAAGGCAGAGTTGCAAATTTTGATTTATTTTTCTGAGTTGAGCTGAGCTGGCCTTTTTCAGAGGTCATTGAGCGGAGCTGAGCTGAGCAGACCTTTTGTTTAAGAGAGTTGAGCTGAGCTGAGCGGACCCTAATTAGAGCTGAGCTGAGCTGAGCTGATTGAGCTGAGCTGAGCTGTTTTTTACTGTTTTTTGAGCGACCACTCAGCTCACTCAGCTCAGCAAATTTGCAACTCTGCTCAAAGGAGCAGCTTGCGGAGCTAGAATCGATGAATGGAGGCAAAGAAGGAAGAGGCTGGACAGAAGAACGAGTTTCTCACTCAAAATATTTTCCCTGGTGAAATTCGTTAAAATCAGAAATAAACTTGACAAGTCCAAAAAAGTTCATATTTTCTTCCGTAGAAAAAACGTAGAAAAGCAGACTGTCCGTCTAATATTGACAGGGGGCTACATCAGAGCTGAAAAATTCATCCACAAGATTTTCCACAAGGAATCCAAGTACTGTTAGACCGCAGATATAACGACTTCTAATCACATTAGTTATTCCTTTGAGGTCCACTCGACAGATGAAAACCTTTGACAAGCAAGTGACAGTCACCGCAAGATCCACAGGATCAATGGATCTACCCTCCTTAGTTCTCATTAGTGCTTATTCAAAAGTAATGAGTCGAGTATAAAGAATGGAGCCTCCCAGCTTATATTTCATATAAAAAATGAGATTTCTTTATCTACTAGCATTTTTCGCCAGTGTAGTGACTGTAGCAGCTAGAAATCCGAACGGGCTCGAGTTTGATGCGCTGACTGTTTTTCTCGACATATTTTTCGCCTGCGAAGAAGGTAAGTTTAGAGCATTTTTAGCTTGGCCGCAGAAAAATTAAGAAAAATTTTCAATCAATTTAACCCTAACCCTAACCCTAGCCCTTACCGTAACGGCATTAATGTAATGGCATACCCTTAATCAATCCACATAAACTACTTACCCTAACCCTAACCCTAAACGACCGAATTTTTAGAATATTATCAAAATTGGTACTGTAGTTAATCAACAATTATGATTAAGAAAATTTGGAGAAATATGGAGATGAGATGAACGAAAACATTTACCAGAAAATCGAAGCAGAATGCAACCAAATTGCTACGGATTTTGTTTTGTCAAACGATGTAAATGATGTTCTGAAATAAAGACAGTCTAAGTTTTGGGTAAAACCAATTTTTGGAACAGATTTTTATGGAAAGGGTTTTGACTGGCCGGTAGGCCAAATACAGCAATCTTATTGGTAATCCAAAAATTCACTTCCAAAAATTGGTTTAGTCCTAAGTTTTAGACTCAGAAAACAAGGAAAAAGTTTGGAACGCTTCACGATTTTGCGTGTCATCCTTGCGCAGGGGCCATGCTAATCTTCTCTGTATCGTTCCAATTTTAATATATGTAGGGCCGAAGCCACTACGCTAGAAACCCTTCGATTCGGGGGTTATAAATCGAATTGCGCGCCACTCCGCGTGGGTACCGAATTATTGTTCCAGCCTGAGGTTTTAAAAGCTCTGATTGACGATCGTTATTTTGGAGATTTAATCGCAGCCTTAGAATGGCGAAAATTCAACACCTTTAAACATTGACGTTTATTTTCCAAAAACAAACTGTACGAAGCGGATAAGCTTCGCTTTGGAAAAAGCTCCAACGTCGTGGTTGACGAGACTTTGGCTTAAGCTTTGACCAGCGAACGACGCCCTCAGTGGCTCTACGTCAGTCTCCACGAAAATTTCAGAAAGTCTTTAAGACCAGGCCAGTGACAAACATGAGTTTAGAACAGCGATCTCAAGCACGAAGAGCCGATCAGAGCGCAAGTTAGCGAGCTAAAATAATAAGGTCAAATGGTAAGCTTGTTGTAGGCAAATATGATTCTAACGAGAGTGACTACCATTCACTGATCATTGACCTTGTTGAGAACAGAGGGGAACTCTTTGCTACTAAGTCGTCATTTTTTGCTACTTACGGAAAAAGAACATAGTCTACCTGCCACAGTTGTCAGAATGAAGTTGAAATTGTGACGTCATTACGTATTCCGAAAAATAAATCCTCAATAGAGTAAAATTTCAAAAGGGTCCTGAAAACAAAATCTTCAAGCAGCCATGTTTTTATTCCTCGAAATTCTTGAGTCGAGAAAGAAAAATGTTATGCTAAGTGATGCTCTTAGAGCTAGACTAGCTGTTATATAGTTTCACTATTATGATTAAGAGTTTATCTTATCTCTAAAAGTTTAGATAAGTACGGTACCAGATCCTTATTTCATTTTCGTCAGTTTCGCAACTATATGTGACACGAAAGAGTCTTAACGCGTGGCGGTGTTACTGACCATAAACTTTTACTCCACCTTTAAGCTCAAAGTTGGTGGCGCCAACCGCGCTTCTCCCTGCATAAAATGCGATCGAAATTACGGAATGGCATCAGAAAGACAACTGAACATCCAAAAAATGAAACTTTTCGGGATCACCCTTGCTCTTGCTTCCGCTCAAGGAGTCAACAACGAAACCGATGAACAAGGCCGAAGCTACTTCCCAGAACCGATTCCCACCGATGACTACAAGCCGGTAACCAAGACTCCCTTCTGGCCAGTTCGTACTTTGCCGCCAATGGACCACTGCTGGAAATGCGAGGGCGAAAACTTCGGACTCTGCTTCATGCAGCACTACAAACGATACGGTTACCAGCCACTCATGTGTCCAATGGGCAAGGTTTGCAGCATGACCGAGCGACGACGAGGAGGCAAGGTCGAGTGGGTTTCCATGCAGTGCAAGGACCTTGAGGTCTGCGAAGAAGAGCAATATCACAATGTCCGACCCTGCCCACAGATGCCTTCTGCGACTGAATGCAACCAGATGAAATATGGCCGTAAGTATCAAAATCATGATTGATTTTCAACCTTTGCTAACTGTATAATTTACGATATTTTTAGACAGCTACGAAAAGGTTCCATCTGTCTGCCGAAAATGCTTCAATCCACCAAAAGGCGCCAGAGAAGCTTGGGACTTTATCGACAGACTCAATGAAGCTGATGATAAGGGAGAAAACGGTCTCCCAGTTAAAGAATGGATGGACGGAAAAGACTACGCAATCCCTGGTCCAAACCCTGGCCCAGTCTACTAGACGATCCAATCTTCCTCAACCGTATGAGTTCTTTGTACCAGAAGTTTCTTTACTGACTGATTTCAAAGTGAATAACAAAAATCAAAAATCCAAAAGAATTTCTTTCTAGTAACAGTGATTTTTTTCTTTTTTGACAGTTTTTCGACTCTTATTGAATATCAGAGGCTCAGACAGTATGAATAAATTTGCGGTCGATCACGTGGGACTGCGTGGAAAGGTTGAAATCATTGCCGTAGAAAGTGGCATGCTCAAGAAAACACGGGATGTTCATTTTTACTACTCATTTATGGTGCCTATGCTATGGTAGACCTGTCCATTTAGTTTATCGTTGATGAGGATTGCGTTTGTAGAAAATTGAGAGATTTTTTTTCTTTTTTTTTCTTTTTTTTTAGTACTTGCTCGACGATATAAGATCGGAGTCATGTGAACAGTTTCTAGTGGACAGACAAAGTCAGTTGAAAACCTTGTAAACATTGTTGTCTTTGAACTCTGCTCGGCAGCTTGGGCAATTTTTCTGCGGCAAATCATTGATGCAGGTGAAGCAGGCTTTATGGCCACATGGGATGATTACAGCTTCGGGGTGATCCTCGTCGAATGGATACAAGCAGATCTTGCACTGAGGCTTATTTTCGTCTTCGATTGGTTTTGCTCGCTTCGCCTCTGGCTCATCTGAATGTACAATTTGATAAAGATAGACGAGAAATCAAAATTTTCGTAATGAATTATGGAAAGATCATCTTACCGTGGTGTTTGAAAGCAAATTTCGTAACAATCAAAACTCGTTTTTCGCTCTTGCCCAGCAATTCTGACAAATCTTCGTAATCGGATTCAGCAGATCGACGTTTCTTCCTTGGGACCACTTCATTTTCTCTGGCTCTGGCCAGCGCTTCTTCTGCTTCACTGACTTTTTTTTCAGCATAGCGGACTTCTCCGTTGGCATCGTCAATTTTGGCCATGTAAGAGATTCTGTTATTTGAAATAACTTATTTCTTAGTTTTTGGTAAACCTTGTTGATGGCGTAGTGCTCTTCCTTTGCGCCCTAAAGAAATATGAAGATATTTTGGAGGCTATAAAAATCTTACTATAACACGGATGAAGGCTCTTTTTCAAAGCAGCATCGCAGCAGGATCCAACAAGAACCTCACGGTAAGAGAGTTGATCCGCTTCACAATTCCCTGCTCGGCATTTGAATGAAGCGTCGGACTCTTTAAAAACTGCCGCCTTCTTTGGATACTTCTCCTCCTTGCATTTGTTGTCTTCGTTTTTCTTCGTTTTCTTTTCTGGCGGCTCATCTAGATACGTAAAAAGTTTACTTCTATCAAAAATTTGAGTAAACAGTATACTTCCATGATCTTTAAACGCAGCTTTGGTAACAATAAAAACTCGTAATTCACATTTTTGAAGAAGCCCTCCTAACGAATTCGCTTTCGCTTCGCTTCGCACTGGAGAGCAGAATTCGCTTCGCTTTCGCTTCGCAAAAATTCCCAAATTTTCGCATAGATTTTCGCACATCAAGCGACTTTGCTATTCGGAAATTTTGTATCAAAGAGTTGGAGTGGGGCATTAATAATGCCGCATTATTGATGCCGTTATAAATTCAAGTTTTCTCAGTCTTCTGAAGACGAGTCTAATGGTAGGTCTAACTCTTAATAAATCCAAGGATTGAGTGGTTATCAAGCAGGTCTTACCCCGGAATACACGTTGTCACCAGCCTTTTGCTAGTTTGCTTGTAAGTATGCTAGAATATTTTTTGAATGATCAGAATGATCTTGATGAACATGGCTTATCTACTAGAGAAGAGTAGAATCGAAGATGATCTCATCTCCTATCGAGCAAGGGTGACCATTCGGGCAAGAAATCGTCGATTGGCCATCCGAATGCCCGGCCGAAATAAAGGGCCAAGAGTCGCGCCGTCCGAATGCCCGGTCGACCTGGTGATGGGATTTTCAATAGATAAGGGCTTGAAAAATAAGTTTCGAGAGGCTTTTGATTCAGTTAGAGGAGCAAGAGAGCATAAATAGTTGTAAAGAATGCGAAATTTAAGAATTTTCCTCGGCGCGGGCTAGACTGAAATGCCCGAAAGCGCTGCATTCCCAGAAAAATCCGAACTTGCCAAACTTTAGGGGCTGGGCCGTCCGAATGCCCGGCCGAATAGATTTTGCCCAAAAATTGTCCGTTTTCCCCGACTTCCCGATGCCCGAACGGTCACCCCTGCTATCAAGTTTATTGCTAATGTTGAATTATCAACAGTTAGACCCACCATTCGGCTTATATTGACGAGCTGAAAAAGCTACAAACAGATTTTTTTGTAATTTTCTGCCCCAAAAATAGGTTTTTGAAATCATCTTTGCTTTTGAGTGGCTGATTGCTAAAGATTCTTGCCGAGAATGCGTTTCAATTCAAGCGAAAAAATTTTCGCTTTTTTTCGCAATTTTTAATGATATTTCGCTTCGCTTACGCTTCGCACATGGGCGAACGATTCGCTTCGCTTTCGCTTCGCAAAAAATTTGAAAAAATGGTTCGCTTTCGCACTAGGATTTCGGCTGATATTTAGACCCCTGGGTTACACGAACGCTTTCCTCTACTGTATCAGTAGATAATTCATCGTAAGCTTTCTCCAGTCTCTTTTCTTCTGAAGCTATCTGATCTCGTACTTGTTGATGAATCTTGGTGACATTTTGGTGTTCATAATTCACGACTTCAGCTTAAAAAGATATAAGTTAAATATTCCTCCTTAGAAATACTAGTAATATTATATTACGCAAAGAACTACGGATTTTTTTGAAGAGAATTTCTTGATAAGAGAGTTTATCCGCCTCACAGCTTTATGCAGCGCATTTGTAAGTTGCATCGGAGTCTTTAAATTCTACCGAGGAAGGTGGCAATAAGATTTGGTACAGACCAATTCTTCTATAAAATAGCTAGAATCGGTCTGATACCCACCATTTTTTATAGAATTATTTGTCCTGAACCAATTCTAATTGCATACTTCATCTGCCGACTTTTTTGGATACTTATCATTTTAGGGAGCTTTGAAACGTCATCCCACGCAACACGGACAGAAGCGATTTCAAAAGAAGCTAAGTTATAGGGAACAGAATTCTGCAATCGCTTTCTAGTGAATATCTTTCGGCAATTTATTTTTAGACACAATAGTCTGCAGATACTTCAAAAAGAACGGGGATATAACTGAGAACAGTGTATTCAATAACTTCTTGGTTGACCAGCGCATCTTCTTCAAAGTCAAGTCGTTCGATTGCATATGGGTCTTCGCGTCCAGAGACAATGAAAATTGAATTGCCGATCATTATTGCCGATCCGTAAATATGCTCCTGATTTATAAAAAAATGATTTTCGCGAATAATTTTGAAATTACATTTTCAAGATCCCCGATCTGTTTCCAGATGTTGTTTTGAAGAAGCCAAATTGCTGTTTGGTGAGAACAACTTCCTGGTTCGCATCTTTGCCCCCCAGCAAGCAAAAGACTTCCACTCGGTAGTCCCATCAAAACATGATAATGGATCGTGCTTAACAGATTTTAATAAGTCATTGACTTTTTAAATACCCCGGAAAATTTGTCAGAGTGTACCATCCAGACGAGCCTTTTGTTTCCACCTTATCACCGTTATCAGCAACCCGATAATTTCCAACGGTTGTCGGTTGCCCTTGGTAAAATCCAAGCTTTCCGCCTAAATGTGCATAGTGGGTGCTAGAAGTTGAAGAAACATGTGATGAATCGAATATGTGGCATCGGTCGAACCCGACAGTGTTGGGAAAGCAAATTAATGCTTTATCCCCATTATCAATTGTGAGTGCAGCGGACCACTCAATAACTCTGTATTTTAGTCGTCTCGGCTGTTTTTCCCATTCGCACCCAACCAGTTTTGAAATCTATGAATAATTTTTGTTTAGATAATAATGTATTACTTTAAAATTATCGGAGTTTCCACCAAAGATGTAGAGCTCGCCCTTTACAAGAGCATGAGGAGATGAGGAAAGGTAGTTGTCGCTGGGCGCCGTGATCATAGCTGCTATTTTTGTTGATCCGGTGAGTGAAAGTGAAAATGCTTCATTCAAGTCTCCACCCATAACCAAAATATGCTGATCAAGAATATAATATATATATTTGATTTTCAAAGATTTACATAGATATTTATACAGAGTACATATATATAATTCATATGATAACCTTACCCCGGAAAGGTTCGCCAGACTTCCGACAATTAGTGTTTTTGCCCAAAGTATAAATAAAAAGTATAAACTAAGGGTACTCGAAGAGGGTGGCGGGCGGCTACGTTCGAAATCAGTTTTTGGGCCCATTTTTCGAACAGCGTTCGAAATTTCCAAAAATCTTTGCCAAAATAGGCCAAAAAATGGATGTGAAAAGATAAGTTTGCTTAGAAAAATCATGAAAATCCAATTAAAAAAGCCTGTTCAAAAGTAAAAACGAAGATTAGCTATGCATTATATTATATAATTTATAATTTATATAGCCTTCTCGCGGGGCTTCAAGAGCTAACAAGGGATAACACGGAGAAAGGCGGGCGAGCAAAGGTGCGCCGTCGAAACCAAGGAGAGCGAACAAGGGGGCGTAGTAAGCAAAAGAAGGAAAGCGACAGAGGGAACAAGGTAACAAAAAGCGAGCGACCAAGGGGGGTCTTGCTGGAGTTTAACTCAGCGAGCAAGGGAAAAATGTTCACAAAATGTGGGCGAGCAAGGGGGTGGGGTACGTTATGAGCTGAAACCATTGAAATCGTGTAAGTAATGGAAGTAAATGGCAGTAATGGCATCATTATGGGAGAGTTTACTTATAAATCAGGCGCGGAGCGCATACAAGCTCATTTTTACAAGCAATTTCAGTAATTTTTGGAACGGCGTTCGAAATTTCGAACGTAGCCGCCTTACACCCCTCGAAGACAGTTTATTCGATTATCTATCGGCGGCTACCCCAGAATATTTATTTTTGGCGGGCTAAGGTTAATAAATATTTTTTACCTTTTCGGGAGGATATTCCAAGAAACATTCGCTGATGCAATCTTTATAATAATTTTATTATCTGATCATTAAACGAAAAACCAACATTTTAACTCAACATCACACATAGCGTGACAGTAAGTAGTTCCACAAGCGAGTCGACATTCCGTGAAAAAAAATCGACATTCTTCTTCACACTCCTTTAAATTTAAGGCTTTCGAATGGCGAATTTGAGATGAAGGGTTTGCAACATCAATTATATGGTCATTTTTTTCGTCTAGAAACGCATTCTCTCGAAGACTCTGCTCTTGGAAGAGACTCTCAGTTCCATTACCTCCAAAACACGCATGATAAAAAATGAACAGTTTAACCAAAATCATTTTATCTTCGAGAATGAATGAGTTTTGCATAAAAATTGAATTATTTGAAACAAATTTCAAGGTCAACTCAAAGTAAAACAAATATCAAATGCATAATTCCCTGCGGATTCGAGCCTCTGATATTTGAAAGGGTCATAAAATTAATATCAGATAAAACGGAATGGTAGATGGAACATGTCGATAAGAAGAATGTAATTGAACTTTATTGATAACACAAAACATAACATTGAAGACATCAATAATAGGCAGTTTGGTAGAAGCAAAATATATAGACTTGTTGCTTCCTGAATGAATCAGTAGTACGTATCCATCGGTGCATTCATCATCGTCGGTTGTTGCGTAAAAAAGTTACTCTGGCCTCTGTTTTAGGGTCTCCAAATTTAAGGCTTTAACGTCAGTCCAAAAAATATGATCGACCCTTTCCTTTGGACCATTCGTTGGAGCTTCTTTTCTTTCATTCTTCGATTTTGAAACCAAACTTTTACTTGCCTATCCGACAAGTTTAGCCGATCTCCAAGCTCTTGCCGTTTTTCTCTGGCGATATAAGTCGAGGACATGTATTCTTTCTCCAGCTCCGATATCTGCTGTTTTGTATAAGGACGCCGCTTTTTCCTCGCAGTAGAGGCGAGATCTGCTTTTGAAAGGCCTTAATTTTAGTAGTGAAATCAATATTTTTAAGCTGGTGTTTTTTTCTGCCGGAAATTAAGGTGTGGATTCCTGTTTGGGAAGTTTCAGATTTTGGTGACGGGTGAAAAAAAATTTTTTCCAGTTTTGAGTCGTTTATGAAAGAGTACTAAAAATGAAGCATTTTGGTACCTTTCTCGAGTTCTATCTCTAAGAAATTTGGGAGATATGGCCTTCCAAAAGTTCAAAAACATCAATTCTAATATTATCGATTGTGAGTAATCCACAAGAGGAATTTTCTAGTTCTTAGTGGATTCTGATTCAGCAGGGTCTAAACCTCTCTGGAATCCAAAAATCGGTCATCCATGATCATAATTATGGCGGGAAATCATCATTTTCTTAGACCCCAATTTTCGTTAAGAAAAACAGTGAAAATCGGCCGAAAATAGGAAAGCGCAGCGACAAAACGGCGTCGAAATCGGGCGCTTAAAATTAAGCTCATCCCATTTCCTAGCCTGATTCCCATTTTTGGGTTGTGCAGCTACAAAACGGCCTCGAAATCAAGCAGGTAAGAAATTTTCTCATCCCATTTTCTTCCCACGTGGCTAATACCTGATGATCATCGAAACTCTCTCTTGACGTGCTTTTAATTAAGGCTAACGAAGTTTTCTAGCCCACTTCCGCCTCTTAGACCCCCAAAACCATACCTTTTTAGAATCGACAGAAAATTCTAAGAACTATGACTGTTTAAAATTCCAGAAAACTCCACTCCTGGTCAATTCTAGAGCCGGAAGTTGACGTAATTTAGGTGTTAGGGTGAAGTGTGACATATCAAATTGATGCTCAAAAGATTCGAGTCATCCTATTATCAGTATATCAGAAGAAAAAATCACAGACGTGGTCGAACCGACCGGTAAAATTATGAAAAAAGGGAGGACCTTTAAAGAACGCGATTTTGGGGCTGAAGGAGTCAAGATAGACCCCCCATAAAATGAAGCTCTGAAATCGTTTTTTGACCCTTAGAATCCATTTTCGGGGTCAGAGTTTTAGATTTACGAAATTCGATTTTTCGAAAAAAGCTGACGGGGGAGGGTCTTTAAATTGATGAAATTTTTTCAGTTTTAACCGGTCGAATTGACAGCGGTCGGAGTTGATTGTAGTCTTACATGATAGGAAATCTTTTGAGCATCAATTTGATATGTCACACTTCACCCTAACACCTAAATTACGTCAACTTCCGGCTCTAGAATTGACCAGGAGTGGAGTTTTCTGGAATTTTAAACAGTCATAGTTCTTAGAATTTTCTGTCGATTCTAAAAAGGTATGGTTTTGGGGGTCTAAGAGGCGGAAGTGGGCTAGAAAACTTCGTTAGCCTTAATTAAAAGCACGTCAAGAGAGAGTTTCGATGATCATCAGGTATTAGCCACGTGGGAAGAAAATGGGATGAGAAAATTTCTTACCTGCTTGATTTCGAGGCCGTTTTGTAGCTGCACAACCCAAAAATGGGAATCAGGCTAGGAAATGGGATGAGCTTAATTTTAAGCGCCCGATTTCGACGCCGTTTTGTCGCTGCGCTTTCCTATTTTCGGCCGATTTTCACTGTTTTTCTTAACGAAAATTGGGGTCTAAGAAAATGATGATTTCCCGCCATAATTATGATCATGGATGACCGATTTTTGGATTCCAGAGAGGTTTAGACCCTGCTGAATCAGAATCCACTAAGAACTAGAAAATTCCTCTTGTGGATTACTCACAATCGATAATATTAGAATTGATGTTTTTGAACTTTTGGAAGGCCATATCTCCCAAATTTCTTAGAGATAGAACTCGAGAAAGGTACCAAAATGCTTCATTTTTAGTACTCTTTCATAAACGACTCAAAACTGGAAAAAAATATTTTTTTCACCCGTCACCAAAATCTGAAACTTCCCTTTGAAAATTATAATTTATGTGAGTAGGATGCGGGACTAGGTGCAAAGCGAAGAGTGCAAAATTAAATCAATCAGTCGATAAACGGCAGCTCGTAAATTTCTACCAATAAACCTTTTTACCTTTGCCGTGGGGAGCATCGTCAATGACGTCGAGCGGATGCTGCCGAGTTGAAGTTGACTTCTTCACGAGTTCTTCCACGGATTTCAGGTGACTCGAGGTTAGAGAAGTTGTCATCTGATCGAGTTTTTTATTGTTTCGAGTTGGGGCTAGTTACCTTTGCTGATTTTGCTTCTTCCGAGTCTGAACTTGAAAGACTTTTGTACGGCTCAGCGTGTTCTGAATCAAGTAAATATCTTTGAAGATTGAAAAAATACCTTTCGATGACGAAGCTTTGTTTGAGGAATGAAGACCTACGTTCGGATGAAAAGCTGGAATTTGAAATTGCTCGTGGAAGTTCCACTATAAACGAAGGAGTGACATATTTTCCTCGAAAACTTTTGGTTTAAAATATTCAGCGCCAATAAAAAGTTTTAATTCAATATTTTTCTCTAATGATGAATTTAAGTCGAAAGTGGTCATTTGGGAGGAGGAGCATTTGTCACTTTTTTATGGTGATCAGTCGGTAATTAGCGATTGATGGGAAATCATTCTCAGTTTTCTTTATTTTTTAAATTGTTGCTTAAATTAGACCTCACCTGTTCCAACTGACCGGGAGCGGGCATCAGTCCGGCTGGGCTTTTTGCCGTTGATTCTAGCGTGAATATTTTTGTGGGAAAAAGTGAACCCGTTTCTTTCACAGAAATTCATCCCTTTTTCAATACTCAAATATGAAGAATATTATTCAAACGGCGAAAATCGCACCTAGGGTGAAGTCCGGCCCGACTAGAGGCAATAAAATTGTACTGACCGCGGTAAACTTTTAAAAACTTTGCGCGTGCGACGCCAATAAAATCACCGCGGCCGATTTCCGCATGATAATGAGGAACATGGAAAGAGTATCAAGTCAACGGTTCCTGTAGTATGAATTCATGCAGGCTTGGAAGAATGAGGGGTTGTGGTAGTTTGATGCCATTGCGGCGAGAGAACCTTGTGGGTCGTGCTAGAAGGAGTGAGAAAGGAGTTTTGTAAGTGTAATACCTTCATGTTGTAGAAAGCGGGATGAAAAGCTTTCTGGTCGAATTCATGAGCTGCTTTTTGTAGGCTTTCTTGGGGGAGAGAAGGCTGACTTGCTGTAGCTGGTTGTGAGTTATTCTGTTCGACTTCTGATGACCTGATGGATGGATAGTTGAAAGCCTGGGGCTGGCTACGGGGTTCTTCGAAAGATTCCATCACTTAAAATTTATTTGATCGAAAATTGAAGAATCTGAAATTTAGACTGTCAGACAATTCTGAAATTTGAATGATGAGTTCAAATCAAGAATCATCTGGCGCTTAAAATTTGTTTAGTTTTTTATGATTTGCGAAGCGGCTGCAGCAATACACATGCTCACAAATTATCACCGTTTAATTACAGATCATCAAATCACAGTTGTGCTTCGGGCACGCTACTGCTGCCCATTAAAACTTTTATCTCTTTTCGTCAACTCCAGTCGTCAGTCTTTTCTCTGTTTACGCTACCTTTATGGCCCTCGATAAATCTGATTTAACTTCGAAACCCACAAAACCTATCCAAGACGAGAGCGAACGAGCCTTCGGGTATGTGACAGAGAAGGCGCCACCCAGCGAACTCCCTCCGGTCTCTGCCTTCATCCCATTGGCGCCAGGAGGGCAGATTGACGCGAATGAACGAATTCGCGGCCTACTTCCGGAGATAAAGCCTGACAGAGTGATTTTCAGAGGGACTTCTTTTGCATGAAACAAGACTTGTATAATACAAGTTGTATTTCAGAGGCTTATAAGAGGTGAGTATCTAGATAAATCTTTATGATAAGTTTTAAAGAATCGAAGATCTGAATTTCCTAGATATTTTAACAGCCAAGTTGGAGGCTAAAAAACAAGTCAATTGCCCTTTTTCAGGAAAATTGACCGAATCTCTTGATTTTTGAGCTCCAAAAAGTCAATTTTCGGAAGCTATTTTTTATGAAAAATATTAAAGAGAAGGTGCATTTGAGTCAATAAAAGGCATTTTTTAAATATAAAACCAGCAGAAACAAACAGAAACTTTTGAAAAGGCAATCTAACAGTAGGCCCAAAGGTGAGTGCGCAATTTGTCGCGATTTAACTTTACGACGTTTTGATTTATACTCGACGGACAGCTACTGAGGAAGACATCTATCTTTGTTCAATCAATCAAAATTCTTTTCACGAATAAATAAAACAAATTAGAGACTAAATTTTTTCTTAAAAACTTTTTCAGAAACACGAATTTCTTCGATTGAAATCAAGGAAGAGAATTTTTTTACGATGCGATTTCGGCCCTTTTGGATTTAAAGTATTCCTTAGTCTACTCATGAATTCATGATTCAGAAAGAAAGTGGCCTTGTTACGAAATAATATCATATGCTGCAAAGCTGTGGCTTTGTTCTTCGCTCCTTTCTGCTCGTAAATGTCGATCAAAGGCCTTGTTGCGGGCCCTACCACACTGCTTCAATTCCATAAAACTCTATCGTTAAGAAGCTTCTTTCCGGAATTGACAGGCCATGGCTGATATCAAAAGTTTATTTCATAAAAAGCATAAAAATTGGTCGAAAAAATGGCCTCATGGAGAGTCGAGAATGTCAGAAAGATTAAAGGATTTGTAGTCTCTGGGTGGCGACATTTCTTGCGAAGATTCTTGCTCGTTCGGAATGTCCAAAATACCTAAATGAGCGAATTAAAATTGATGATACTAGTTATTCAAGTTGTACCAGGGCTGATTTTCTTTGCAGGGGTTGTTGGAAACGGGCAGCTTATTTCAGCAAAACGCGAGTCTGGTCGAACTTTGGCAAAATCAATGGCAGGATCTGCATTCATTCGCTCCCATTCTCCATCAAGAAAGCTTTGTGAAACTGCGTTTTCAACAGGATCAACCTTCTCTTTCGTTTTTTCTTGCGATCTAGCAGAAGAAAATGCAAGTTGATTTCGTGAAGGCTAGAAAATCGACGATAAGTTCTACATACTAGTATAAAATGCTTTCTTACCAAAGCTGCTGGTTTTAGGGGAGTTCCTTGTAAATAAACATCTCTCGCTTGTATATTTTTGCTTCTCGCTTCCATGAAAGGCGATTTTTTTTTCAATAGAACTGAATATATTTTGATCTTTCTCAATAATCTGACGTTTATTCTAGAGAAAAATGGATGCATGCTTGCGTTGAAAAATTCATCGTCCCAGGCAGGGGTGGATATTTTGATTTCAACTCCTCATTTCAACACCAATTTGGCCATCCTGATTGGTCGAGAACGGGAATTTCGGGGTTTGAAATGAGGTTTGAAATCAAAATATCCATCCCTGGTCCCAGGTGTTTGAAAATTTTCGCCAATTTTGATATTTCTGCGATTTAGGAAATCGTTGGGTGTTCGTGGCCGTATCAGGTGCCAGGTGCGACCCAATAAATGGAAGCGAGCTGATCCGGTGGCTCGGCGGTGGTGTTAGTGGCCCGTACTGAATCGGACGGATATTACGCGCGCCCATCAACAATATCACGCCAGATGGTCGCTGCCCTGCCGGCTAACTGCGCAAAAGTTTATTAATTTGGAATTGATATTGCCGTGTTTCCGGGGCGCACTTTATCTAATTTAAACTCCTTCCGAAGAAATTTACGACTCGCTCTCTATTTATCATTTTCAATCCCTCTGGGCCACGCGGGATACAACTTCAAAAAATGCGAAAAAAACAAGTTTCAATTGATAATTTCAAAATTTTTTCGGTTATATTTTCAATAGTTTCTAGCATCTGTATAATCCTTTGATTTTATAGTATCTTGCATAAAACACAAGATAAAACCTCGACAATGAGAAAACAAAACAGATAAAAAAGCAACCACCAAGATAAGAGGCAACAAGTAAAAGTACGATACGAGATTCGGAGAGAGCAAGCGATGGCGGTGCGGTAAATCCTGGCGCCGAGCAGTCTGCCGCTAGAGGAGCGCCGCAGCACCAAATTCGTACTACACCGCCGAGCTAGGGTGTCCCTCGGCTCTGGCTCTTGAATTCATAAAAGCTGAAACTGAAGGAGAATTTCAAGCGAAATTCTAAAGAACCATAAATCTGGGTTTGATTCTTGCTTTTTAATTTTTGATGATTATCATATAACTTGGATGATATGAGATAAATTTTAAACGGTTAACGATATAAAAAAGATCCATTCTTTCTATTCAGTCAAGCGCAAAAAATTACTAAAATAAGCTGACTTACACAATCAAGAGCATAAACGTCAAAAATCATTTTTGCATCATCCAAAGCTGGCAGTATTTATGACTGTTTTCAGTAATAATTTCCATGAGAAACTACAGCCCCGTCGTTGCGATCTCTTTTCTCGTGGACTGCAGCTGCAGCGGGATGTCCTTCAAACTCAGTTGTATTTGTTAGAGTGGTGTTTGTTCAATCTTTCCTTCTTTTTATGATCTCGTTCTAGCGGATCATCAGAGTAGAAAGGTCGAATTCCCGTACTTTTTATTGAAACGAAGACTGTTTCTGTGTTTGTTAATCCATCAACGATTTGTACTTCCTTTCCACTTACTAAATCGCGCCCGACCAGGTGCGGCCACTTTCAATTTTCTTGGACGGGGCCCAATTTTTTCAGGATAAAGGATTATCCGGGGATAGATTACTGATAAAAAAAGGAGAACTACTGTTAACAACAGATCGGGGTGGCGTCCAGAGTTGCAAATTTGCTGAGCTGAGTGAGCTGAGCTGGCTGAGTGAGCTGAGCTGGCTGAGTGAGCTGAGCAGTCGCTCAGCTCAGTGATTTTGGAAAATGATCTGATCTGCTCAGCTCAGCTCAGCTCAGACAATTTTCACTTAGTTCAGCTCAGCACAATTATTTTCGAACATGATCTGTTCTGCTCAGCTCAGCTCAGCTCAGACGATTATCACTTAGCTCAGCTCAATCAGCTCAGCTCAGCTCCAATTAGGGTCCACTCAGCTCAGCTCAGCTCAACTGTCTTAAACAAAAGGTCTGCTCAGCTCAGCTCCGCTCAATGACCTCTGAAAAAGGCCAGCTCAGCTCAGCTCAGAAACCTCCAAAATAGGCCAGCTCAGCTCAGCTCAGCTCAGAGAAATTTTTTCTCAGGTCAGCTCAGCTCAGCTCAGAAAAATATATCAAAATTTGCAACTCTGGTGGCGTCAGGAACCGACAAAAATTTCGACAAATTTTGCGTGGGCAGCTACTCGGCTTCTGATTGGCCGGTTAGCTAAATCCAGACTTTTGATTGGTTGAAACTTTCCAGGCAAAATTTTCGGGATTTTTGTCGGTCTGACTCCAATGACTCTGAATTTTTACTACTTCAGAACGGCCTGTTCAACTTTATGATTATTGCGCCAAATCTGACACCGGGTAATTTGAATTTCGGTTAGTAGCTAGGTAGTTTCGGCTCGATCGAAGGTGCAGATTGAAGGGCTTTGTACACCTTGTGGCCCTCCTATAGAGAGCGTTCGTTATCAGTTGGGGAGGGCACACGTGACGTGCACCGGACAGGCGCTCCGAGGAAGAGTGTGTTGGTGGAGGTGCAACACTTGGCCAAACCAGGCCCGGCCCGACCCTGCATGCCTTTGCAGCCGGACAACACGCGCAGAATCATCACCTAGTTATACACAGATTTAGAATACCACGCTCGGCCTTCTTCTTAGATCTCTTAATTCGTTTATTCCGTAAAAACAAAATCCACAGCTTCTTCGAAAAACAAGACATCAAATTTCTCCATAGCAGGTCAATTCTACTGGCGATAGACCCAGTACGGCGCGTATACTTCATATCTGGGCTCGGCAACCTGAGTAGAAACCCTGAGTCAGGCTCTGGAAGAGCTTAAATGAAAAGCCGCGTAGCGGCTTTCTTAAAAACGAAGCCGCGAAGCGGCTTCGCCAGGATTTAAAAAAAAATTTTGGTGTATTTGCGAAGCCCCTTTGCGGCTTCGTATTTAAGAAAGCCGCTACGCGGCTCTTCCAGAGCCTGACTCAGGTTTTTACTCAGGTTGCCGAGCCCAGCTTCATATGTTCGAATTTCCAATACACTAGAGTTTATCAAAAGTCCCCGTAGAACCAATTCTTTGGAAGTAACTTGTGGTTGAGCGAGAGGGGTCAGCTGATCTCTTCAAGTGTGCCCAGAAGGATTCTAGCGCGCTATCAGGACTATTCACTCTACTAATCCACAACAGAAGACGTTTTTTGCTTGAGTGGCGGCTCGGCGCCGACACTTTGCCATTTTTAAGGTGCCACCCGTCGATAAAACTTAATTTTATATTTACACGGGGGATAAACACTTTTTTGGGTCACACCGTTCCTTTCAAATACGACACTCAGCGAAGGTAAACCCTAAAAAGGCCTTCAACGCGACTTCCAATCTTAAGGAGATCGGGGTCGAATTCCTGCGCCACCAGAACTGCAAGCAGCTGATACAAAAGCCATCAAACCTGGATGGATCACTCGACGTTATCCCCGACAGCATGTTCTCACCGAAAACTATAATCCAACTCAGCCAAATTCAGCTAATCATGAACACCAGGGTCGACTTGAAATTTCGGCAGGCAGCCGTCGGTTACCGGATCTTTAGGACGGTCAGCTGCTCCTCAAGTGCCGTCTTAGCTATTTTCTAGTCAGGCAGCATTCCAAAAAATAAGCCAAATACAATTTTCCTTCTTATAAAAATAATTATTTCGAATTCTTAATACCAAAAAATCAATTCTCCTCAAGACTGGGTTCGGCAACCCGTGAAGAAAACCTGAGTCAGGGTCTGAAAGATCTCTAGACAAAAGCCGCTGAGCGGCTTTGAAAACGAAGCCGCAAAGCGGCTTCGCAAAATTTCCTTTCAAATCCATTCATCAGAACTTCTAGACCCTGACTCAGGTTTTCTACACAAGTTGCCGAGCCCAGCCTCAAGAGGGTGTCTATTTTGATGCCCTTATTTCTTGCCTGATGCTTGGCACGAAAGTTTATTTCAGACTGGGTCATTTTAAATGGCCCGAACCCTAACCCTAACCTTGAGAATTGGTCTAGCGTAAACTTCGTTGTGCTAGAATTACTGCATTTCGAGTTGACTAATGAAAAGTATTAATTTACCTGAGATAGGCCCTGAGTGGATTTCGGCAGCTGATTTCATAAAAGTTATCACCACTTGAGCAAGTTTAATTTTCGTATCTTTCGATTAAAGAGCAAAGGTGTCAGCGGCCGCTGCAGCCTTGTTCACCGATAAGTTACCACCACTTGGCGAGTCATCTGTATGTGGGCGACGCTTCGACAAAATCATTATTTTCCTCATGTCCTCTTGTGTCATCGAAGCTGTCAGAAGGTTGTTTGATTATTTTATGGTCCATGTGTAAGCTTGGTTATTTCTCGAACAAGCGGAAAATAATTGATTCTCTGCCCGAATTCAAGGCCAAATTGGTATTTTTGTACGACCAAAAATTTGAATTTTCGTGACAATTTTCACCAAAATTTTGGTCAATTTCGAGTCCAATAAAATTTCCGCATTCGGCCTATAGGCCAATCAGATTTCAGAAAAAAGAAATAATCGCATTTTTCGTCGATTCGAGACGCGACTCAAAAATTTCTAATTTGAAAAAAGATTTTTATATTAATTTTTTTTTTGCAAAATCGTCTTTATCAGTAAAAAAGCTCTTTTGACAGAAAATTTATAAAGAAATTTCTATACTAGAGCTAGAACTGACCCATCGAGGCTCTAGTAGACTGTGACCGATTATACAGATGAGTATGCCGCTCAAAAAACAGTGGAAATGGCGCAATGAAAAGATGGATAGAGGTTAGCTAGCGGCCGCCCGATGTGGCAGACAGTCCGGCGCCTATGACTGCAGGTGCACCGCGCGCTATAACTCGCAGCGCGCTCGCCTCCACCGCTAGTCACCACCGTCCCGTCGCCGTCTCCACACACCGACCAGAAATCAATAAAACAACTAATTTTTTCCGAAAAATCGAGAACCAACAAAAATCTACATTTTCAACGAGAACGAGAGAACCAAATCAAAACAGCAACCACCAAACCCCTCTCGTTTGAAAACAGAAGCAAAACAGCAACAACAAAAAATGGCTGTCAAAACCGAAACCTACAACCAAGAATTAATCAAAACCTACAAACAGCAAGAAGCCTTCCTGCAAATTCTCAAAGCCTTGGTTGCTCAGGACCCGTTCCAGCCGATCAACGAGCTGCAGCTGATAGAAGAAACGATTCTTTATATAAAATTGTTAAAATGCCAGGTCGACGCTGTTAAATCGACGTTTTAACTTTTCCCTTTCTCTGTTTATTTTTGCTTGTTCATTTATTTTATTCACGCCCTTTTCCTTTCTTTTTCTGTGCTAAATAAATCAACTTTGAAATTTCACGAATTTTAATTTCTTAATAAAAAGAGCAGTAAAATAAGTAATAAATTTAAACAGTTACAGGAACTTCTACTGGCTTTTTGGCCACAAACTTCCTAAAAATATATCTTAGAACTCGACTTTTTTAATTTCAGTAGTTGAGACCCTTAATTTTAGGGCCTAAAACTTAAGTTCTTAAAAAACATTGTGTTTGCCAATAATAAACACTTACCATGTCAGGGCAAAACAAGCCCCGGTCTGAGTATTCTTCAACCATCTCTGCAGCAACGTTTTGCCAAGTTTCGCTTTCATAAGATGAGCAAATCTGTCCATAAGATTCTTCAATGAAAACTGAACGAAGAATTTTTTTCTCTATATAAAAACTAAAATAAACCATTCACAGCATCGCATATTTCATTTTCTGAGTACAAGCCCGGATCGGATAAATATCTTCAAATATTATTTTTCTGTTAAAAAAATCCAAAAAGAACTTACGCATTTATTTTATCATCATTCGTACTTCTCTTTCTGAAATAAGACATCAAAACTTCTCTCTTGTTGTTTTAAAAATGCATAATTACGACCACTCAAAAGCAATTTTAACGACTTACGTTATAAGTTTTACATCTGAATTTGCTCTTATCATTTTTGTGTTTTCGATGTTGATTAAAATAAGCAAGTTTTAATTTCACTTCCGGGATAGTCATACCGTGATTCACATTTCTGACTGTCCTATGTTTTAGCACAGGGAAATGTTCAAACGATGTTTCAAACGAAATGGTCACTCAAGAATGTGAATCGCGGTATATCGTAAACTTTTTGAATAGACAAGCCTAATCCCTAATGATGATCAAATCGTAGATAAAAATGAAGGTTCTTATCTCGTGTGGGCAAATTTCTTTTGAAGGCCCCAATTTTAACGGACTCGATATTCGTCATGAAGGTTACAGTCAGGTCTTGCAATTGCGCGAACTGAAATTGCGCGGTTTTCGGCAAAAATCCCGAAAATTTTGCATTTTCCAAAAATGCTTGTTTTTCATAGTAGAAAGAAAAGAGGCGAAAAAGGTCAATAAAATTGTCCCATTTTCAAAGAAAATTGACGGCTTACAATTACGCGGTTTTTGGCGAAATTCCCGAAAAATAAAACCGCGCATTTGCAAGCTCTGACTGTAATTTTAAACGGAATTTCTAGTCGCAGCGTTGTTACGTAACAACACTTTAGAAAATCCGTTAAGGACCCCCGTTAGCTTTTTCGAAAAATCAAACTTCGGAATTTTGAAATTTTGACCCCGGAAATGGATTCTACGGGTCAAAAAACGATTTTGAGGCCTCATTTTTTGGGGTCTATCTCGACTCCTTCACCCCCAAAATCGCATTTGAAAATTGGGCTTTTCGCCAAAATTGACGATTTTGCCCTAATTTTGGCAAAAATATAGATTTTTCTTGGTCAAAAATTCCTCCTATCAAGTTTTTGAAGCGAATTAAACCTGGGGACTGGGGAAAAATTTGGTGTTTTTAAAAATTTCCATTTTTCCAAGGAAAAAGCTGACGGGGGGTCCTTAAATAGGTGATCCCCTTAATTCCTTAACGCGGACACCTCCCATAAGTATTTGACGGTTGAATTTGGGCCCATATATTTTTTTTTCTTTTGAGAAAATAAAATGATGCCATTCTTTGATGACAACAACAAATTATTGTTCATCTGGAAAGAAAGCATAATTAACAATAAAATTCAAGCCGTATATAAATTGATTAGTCTTAAACATATGTACCACGTCGAATAGAGAGTCCCTAGTTAGTCATACTAATTCTAGTCTGAGATGCACGTGAATGGATTCACTCCGGTAGCTGTGTTATGAATACCGATTGCAGATTTTTTTCTCCCCGGTTTGCTGACAAGAAAACATTTACACATGGTGGACACCCTGGAGCTCGTTTGCATTCGTATTTTGGGAAAAAGTTAGCTGCTCAGATCTGACGCCGAATTTTCAAGTGTTATTTAATTAGTCACCAGTCTAAAATCACCCCTTTCCTGCTTTATTGAAATAGTAGCTTGAGTGTTAAAAAAAAGGAAAATCCCGCCTGGCACGTTATTTATCTCCCCACTGCCAGGTTGGATAATTATTATCTCCCTGCCGCCTTTCCTTATTTCCTGATGCTCAATTGCTCATGCATATGACAGCTTGGTATGTTCTGCTTCTTGATCCCACCCAATCTGGTGGCACTTTGGCGGGTTCATTAGAAGCTGTCACCGGATCTACCTTCCTCAAATCGTCGGGGAGAGGGATATATACTCTCCGCCTGGCGGTGGCGCCGATCAAATCCGACTAGTCATTTCTTTTTTTATCGAACTAGATACCTACATTCATCCTGGCGCGGGTGTCAGCCATCGGGAACCTGCGCCCAAAGGTGTCAGACGCAGCCAGAAAAAGAATCGAAGCCCGAAGAGAGCACGGGTAGAGGCCCTTTGTCGCCTTTGCGAACACTAAATCCACCTGCATACTTTCAACTTTTTCTAACGCGGTAGTCTTCCTGATAACTTAAAAAATAGCCAAAAAACTTCAATTTTTTTAATCGAAAAATCAAAATTTTCGATCGAAATATTCAAAATTTGATATATTTGTGGGAACTTTTGAAAGCGCTTTTTGAAATTGGAATGAAATTTTTCGTCGGAATTTTGATCTTCCCAGCTGAGAAAAAAAGGGGTGGGCGGCGCCAGGCAGGTGCTGGTGCTCATGGATTGGTGGTGCACCTGTGGAGAGAGAGAGGGGCACCAAAAGAAAGAAACGAAAGCAGGTGGCTGAGTAATGCGCCCCGACTTGTGTAAAATTTAATCCGCGGTGGGATAAAGGGGAGATGAAAATTTCGCTGTTTACTTTACGGCGAGTCGTCGGCCCGCCTGCTGCTTTTTGCGCCTGCTGTGGCACCACCACCACCAGTATTGGCACCTGCTCACTACACCTGGCTCTGCTCTCGGTGGTTATCAACCACCTGTGCTGTTTCTCCTTCTTTCAATATCGAAGTCATTTTTTTTCTCAATCGAATTCAATATTATCGAATAACACGAAACAAACTTGGTTTATTTAAGGGTGTATCTGTCCTAAGTCAAAAAGTCCGATTTCAATCAAAGAAAAGAAGGAAAATTAATGTTCGAAGGCTATCTTCCTTATTTTGAATAAATCCTGTCCAGTTTTAATTCGAGTTTCTTAGTCTCTCACAGGTGGCCTTAGCTCAGCAGGAGGCCTGTACAGGTGGAGCGAGAACGTTATCTAATCCACCGAAAGCCTCTTCTAAACTTCCGTCAGCCGCATCAGAGCGAGAGATTGCAGCAATTTTTTTCTTCGCTGGGCTACAGGTGCATCAGTTGCATCGGCCACCTGTTTTAAAGCAGCAATCAGTAGCTATCCTCGGCTGATTACAAAGGTTTTTGCTTATCATCAGAACGTGGGGCGTCGTGCGTACGCCGTGCTACTCGATAATCGATGTCCTGCCGAGTAGTAGTGGAGCAGGTGTTGCCTCTTCGTGGTGGTGGTGTCCTTCTACGGCTGGATATAATGCAGGTGCTCCCCGTGCGCCCAGCTGGACACTGATAAAGTACTCAATATGTGTATGATTGTTTTGGGCAGGAGCCACGGCGTTATCAGTAGCCGCTCCCCTGCTGGGGCCCACGAGCCAGGTGCCTCACTGCCACGCCAGGTGCCAGCACCACCTCCACCAGATATCAACAGAAATGCACCTGCTGGTCAGAAGCATGCTGCTATTTTTCATGTCAAAACGGGGCCTCATCCATCTCACTGGTCGGTTTTCGGAAATTGATCGTCCAGCTATTTCTGGTACAGTACTTTTTTACCAGATTTTCAAGCGTTGAAATAAGCAATAGTCTAATCAATTTAATTTTGACACCCTTAAACTGAAAAAAGAATTTCTCAAAAATCTCTCCCTAAATCGTAATCTTCTTGAAATGAACCTGTTTTTGTACGATGCTTATTATACAGTAAAGTTTCTCCGTCCACCTGGTGATGGTCCTCCACCTGTGTGGCTCATCCCAGCAGGTGCGCCCAAGCAGTTGGTGGTGGAGGCGAAGGAGCAGCTGGCGGCGGTGCTGGTGGTGCGACTCTGTCACCACCAGCTGCTCCATGGTGGCTCACACAGGTGGCTACCCCGGACGCGAGACTAGCTCAAGTCAAAATTTTAACCCGCCGGCTGGTACTTTGCCAGGTGTGGATCATCCGCTGGATCAGGCAAAAAGATGAGACTTTAGCTGCCCGTTTTTAAAATAACGGATTTGACCGTCATTTCTCACTCAATTCTACCTTGTGTGGTAAAAAATGCTGCGACAGAATCGTAATAATGGAATCTCTCTGGCTTTCTTGCGGGGCCACCCTAGCGCTCTAGCGCGTACTACACTCAGAAAATGCGCCGCGGTCGCTCTGGCCTTCGGTTTCGCCGCTGATCACTCCGACCACTTCGACGATTTCGACCGACACACTTTCATAACTAAGAGATTTAACAACGCATTCACCAAGATGAGAGCAGTTTTATTGGCTCTCGTGCTCTCAATTTTCGACAAAACCAACTCAGCCGCCATCGATGAAGATTTTGGAAAGTTTTTCAACGGCGCAAGGCCTTTCAGACGTTCTGAAAATGCGAAAATTTCAGACCTGGCCAAAGGTAAGAAGAGGGGTTATTCAAGAGGCAGGAATTTTACCGGTTTTTGACGAGCACGTGTTCAAACGGCCTGCGCAGGATTTTATTGGCACGAGCTGGCCGCCGACGGAGGTCACACTTGGGTTAATATTTACCGCAAATACAGCCCTACAACAGATGTAGCCTTATATTATTGAGAACTCTGAGTCCTTTCTGTGACTTCGTAATTGTATCGCTTTCCATACCGTGGTTGTATGTACTGTAATTGAGCGAAGGAGATTGCGCGCGGATCAAAGGAAAGGGTAGTTTTCGCAGGTGCGGCAGTGGTGAAGGGGAATATTTACTGTAGCTGTAATAAACGCATTCAGGCACTGCTCCGGCATTTCTCCTTCATCTTTACGAAAAGCTCAAATCGCTGGACGAGGATTCGCAACAAAAGCTCCTCGCCGATGGGAACACCGTCCGCGCCGTTTACCCAATAGAAGGTATTGTAACACAAATCCCCAAACACCTGCAAATTGCTCTCTATGTGTTCCTAGAGAATGCAGCACTCTCACGCAACCTGAGATCTGTTGACAATTGTCTTTGTAGATGCTGAAGGCAGGTGGATCTTTGACGTTTCGGCTTTGCCGGAGAACGAGAAAGTCGTGACATCCGAGTTCCGGGCGGTATTAGGACCCGGCCCTCAGGTGAGTCTTAAAAACACTCTTTCATTTCATCAAACGCACATAGAAACACATGAACATACGACACACAGCTACAGTATCTGTCCTCCAACTCAGCATTTCTCAAAAACCGACGAGATTTTTACCAGAAAATTTCACAAAAACAAAGTCATCAACTGTCATTCCTCGATCTGATGTTTGGACGAGTGCACTTTTCAAACGCCTTATTCACGAAGCAGTTGATGAGAACACATATCTTCAGCTTGATATTGATAGTTTACCTGAAAAGTAAGATCTTTTCTTTTTGCGTCTTCTTCAAATTTTTCTTCAGTCAAGACTTCATGCCGATATTGGTCCTCTACTGCAACGACATCGACCAAAATGTGCCGGAAAAGATGGCAGAGCCACTTGACAGTCTTCTAAGAAAAAGAAGAGAGACAACATCTTTTCCTTTGAGGTAAGAAAAATGTTCAAGAAATTAAATCAAACTGCCAAATTCAGCACGGAAGAAGAGCAAAAGACGCGCCGAAAACAACGAAGAGAACGAAAATGTAAAAAGCGAAAGAATACTCGTAGAAAGTCCTGCTCAAAGAAACGTGAGAAACTCAAGATTATAAAAAATCATTTGATATTTAGATTCAAGAAAATTGTCAGAAAAAATGAAGAAGAGAAAGTGCCAGAGAAAGAGTCTTCATATCGACTTCAATGAAATCGGCTGGAATAGCTGGATTATTGAGCCAAAAAGCTTCGATGCATTCTATTGTGCTGGCCAATGCGGCTATCATGAGATGCTGGTAAGTGACGAATTTTCTTACTCTTCACTAGTTATAAATTTCAGAGCTCGAAGAAATCAAACCACGCATTTCTCCAATCAATCATGAACAGATACGAGCCAGAAGTGCCCCTGCCCTGCTGCGTTCCAGACAAACTCGCTCCTCTGAGCATTTTATACAACGAAGAGAGCTCGCAACACGTCGTTCTCAAAGTCTATCCAAATATGTCCGTACTTTCGTGCTCGTGTAGATGAGGCTCACTACACTGCTTCTATTCTATTTTCAACTGTACATTCAACAATTGTAAATTATCGACGACTTTCACTGTAAAGAAAAAGTAAAAACATCCCTCTCTGATTGTCAGTCACTTTTAATTAGCACACAGGGAGCATGATTAAGTTGTTTGGTGCTCTGAATTGTTGAGTCATCATTAAATTGGAGCAATTATTCCAAAATTGGCGGTGGAGCATCCGGCTCTCAAGTGAATTGTTGTAGCGAGAGAGATAACTAGTATGTCGAGCATATTTGTTAGATTAGGGATCCTGGTTGTACTGGCAGAAGGGCAGTTAAACGATTGTGAGCCATTCGTAGGGCCAACTACTGGGCTAGAGACTTATTGCCAGGATGAAATCAACCAGAGACAGTACAAATCGATCGTTAGAAATCCGTCGCGGAATCCATTAGGTATGCTTTTATCAGCTTCTTTTCTCAATATTCTGTAGTAAATTGGGGAAAACTGGCCTGTCCTGCTCCTCAATATCGAAGCCTTACTGCTGCAGCTCAATTTGTTGATTCCCGAAACTGCTATGAACATACCCGGAATCTGTTCTGCGCAGTCATGCTCCCAGAATGCAACGGAACGCATGTTTTTGAAGCTTGTGAAAAGATGTGCACTGATTTCTCCACAAAATGCAATCTGTACAATTTTGCTGGACAGAGTGTCCGCTGCGGAGGGACTCATTTTGGAGTGCTGAATTGTAAGGAGTTTCAAAACGTTTACATCGAGACAAACCGGTGCAAATACGAGAAGATTGTGACTTCGACGAAGATTGTTGTAAAACCGACTCGGTCAAGCAATACTCCAAGTCTACTGTAAGTAGTTTTGAAATGTCAGTTTTAATTGTCGATAAAGGTCTGGAGGAGACAATGGCGTACGAAATCCGACAACTCCTTTGCCACCAACAAATAGAGCGGGGGAGGAGCCGATACAACAACTCAAGCCCCGGCGAAACCCGTAACAACTATGGCACCGACATGCCCCGCCGATGGAACTTGCTTGGAGCTCATTGAAGCCCAAGAGTTACAGTGGAGAACTTGCATTGAAAAGTTCATCGATCCTACTTCTAAATTCACAGTCATTTGCGAGTGGATCAAATCCTTTGTTAGGTGGCGTTGGGCGGTTTTCAGACGATGGAATCGACTTTGTAAGCGTTCAAAATGAGGATTTTGTTAATATCTTTTTCTAGCAAAGGCAATTACTTTCGAAGAATACGACATGGCAAAAGTTGAATGCCCAGTTCAGGGGACCGTACGATGCTATAGTGCTAAAAGAGTGAGTTTTGAAAATTATTTCGAGGAAATGGATAATTATTTTACTCAAGAAAAAATGCATCCGAGATCTGCACAATTGCCCTTATTGCTATTGCGAAATAGACCTAGACGATTCGTATGGAAATATTTTGCGCTACTGGTCGAATGACAATGACTTCTGGGGTTATCGCCTGCAATATCAATGGTTCCAAATGTCCATGAATTATACTGAGATTACTGATGAATATGAAAAGCTGTAAAAACTTCCAATAAACGTTCTTATATAATGATGACAAAGGTCTATTTTTGATATCAGTTTCAGAGGTAATTGAAAACATGTAAAGTTGTCGAAAGAAATGGCAGTGCGTGAAGAAAAAATGAACTTTTGTGACAGACAGAACTTCTGAAACAGGAGATAAAAGGCAGAGGAGTGTTAATTAAGCGAGTAACAGTTCACAGAACACGCTTGGATTGTAATCAACAAACAGGTTCAGAAAGGATTGACAGAGATTTTTGCTTTCTTTGAAGGGTTATTTTCGACTGGCTGTTCAGGCATCAATCTTTTTCGCGAAGGATCGACGTTTTCTTTGTAAGGGGACGTATCAAGATCCTGAGGGTCGATTCTTGCGTTGAGATCGACTTCAAGGACCTCTTTCCTTGCAGCTTTCTTTCTTGCTCGCGCTTCAGCTTTTCGTTTGGCTTCATTCGATTCTTTTTCTTCTAGCAATTTTGCCAACGAATCCGGGACGCCCGAAGAAGAGAGTATGTGGACTAGTTTTCTGAGGTGGATAAGGTCGAGATCAAGCGCATCCATTCTGATTTTCACAGTCACTGGGTACCGAACACTTTTACGAGCGATTAAATATTCGCCCTCGATTTTGCACCAGTCACTTCCAATAATACCGTTCATTCGATTCTTCGGTGCGTATTGACTCTTTACTTCTTCAGGAGTATTTCGATCAATGACAATAAACTCAGGGTGTGGAGGCCACCAAGCGCAGTTAGGTGGAGGCAGTCTTGGAAAACCCGCAACATGGTATCCCATCGGCACGGGCGGGCGCGGGGGCCAATTCCAAAATTGTGCGCGGGTGCGGGCGGGAACCGGGCCAAACATTTCGTGCGGGTTCGGGCGGTTTCGGGGGGCCGGTGCGGGAGGTTGCGAGGGTCGAATATTTGGAGGTAGTTGGGTCGATGACGGAGTCAAATTTTTAGTGGTGCCCTGAATTTTTATTAATTTTTTTCATTCAATGAATTATTTTTACCGAAGCAGTTTGTTTTTGATGATTTAAATTATTTGTAGGGCGCGTTTCGGAAATTTGTTTTTGTACTTCTTTCGTAGAAACTTTAGGGGCACGCAAAGAAGAAAGCTTGTTGTCGAGAATTTCTTTTTGTTTTCTATCGAGGTCAGGTAGAGCGTCCAATGTAATTCGTAGCACAGGATAGTCCATGGTCGAAGGAGTCATGAAATAATCGCCTTCAATTTTGTAACTGTCCTTCATAATTATATTTTGTATTCGATCTTTCCCCGCGTATGCATTCAGTTCTTCTTTGGGGCTGTTTTGATCAAAAGTGATTATTACACCCTAGAATTTTAGAAAATGTTTTTATTCAATAAATAGTTTTTACCTCTTTATAATTATTGTCACCATAGAAGAACTTTGGCCTTTTCACATATTTGTCGTACAACACTTTTTCGGCCGCTTTTTTGGCTTCAATTTCGGCCTTTTTTTTCTCTCGCTCGCGAAATCGAGCAAGTTGTTGCTCTCTTCTTTGTTTGATATGGGGAGGGACTTCAGCACTAACACCGTTGACAACAGCTTGTCGAGCAATGGAACTGACTGATCCAGAAGCAATCTTTCCATTTAGCAATTTTCGTCGACCTTTCGGACAAGAGGTTTTTCGAAACATTCTATCGATTTAAATCGATCAAATTTAATAAAAACGAATTCCAAAGAATGAATGTCAGAAGCATTTTATTAATTATTGCACCAATGATTGAAAGTTTCCTACAGTAAAAACGAGAATATAATTGAACACTAACACTGCTACAGTTTTGTTTCTTCCATAAGTAGAACCGTCAGAGCGGACCAGCCAGTAAACGGATGACATCCTTGACCCTTTCCGTCTTTTTCCGAGTAGTTTTCCCAAATAAATCCGGTCTCTTTGTAGTTTCGGAAAACGTTTCCAATTAGATTTTGTCTGAGACGAGTGGCAAGGTCGGCCGCTTGAGTCTGATAGGGACCAGGTTCGTCGCTGTAAAAGTCGAGCGCGTGGACTGCAAGGAAATTGATGTTAATCCAGATGTTGCCTCTCCAGTACGGCGGATCATGCTCTGTATTTCTTTCCTCGAACATTGGGTCAGATTTGGCTAAACTTCGAAGGCCAAAGTCAGTCCACAACTTTTGCGGATCACCAATCATTTCTAGCGTAGCTCCGAGCTGCGGACTGTCTGAATCGAGGATTTTCATCAAGAACGGGAAAAGTTGAATGTAGCCCGTATGAGGAACGAGACGAAGACGTGGTTGCTCGACAACTTTTCTGACTTTGATGACTCGTGGATTTCCGTGATCGTCTTTGACCTGCTTTCTGACGAGTTTGACATTGTGAGAATGAAGGCCGTAATCAGAAAACTGCTTCGCTTCGGCGTCCCAATGAAGCTTATTCAGTTTCGTATTGTCCTTCAGTTCTGTCTCTAGCTGTAAGTATTCGTAGTTCGACTGGCCGAGTTTTATCGCCATTTTGCCAAGGACTTGAGCCGCGAGAGCCATCCAGCAACGGAGGTCGAGATGGTACTCGTCTTTGGTCGGATGGGATGCTCGTGGAAAATCATCAAGGCCAGAGGTTAGGGTTTTCGGATTCAGCTCGAGATTCTCTGGGCCAATGTGTCGGCCTTGCCATGTGTACGTTCCAGGAATTGGACCAGCCTAAAGAAATGAGGGTCAAATAGGAGAAAATATGCTTTCCTCACCTGTGTGGTATTGAACCAACTAAACCATGCTTTGATCCTCGGATACAGCGCTTCTAACTGGTCTTTCTCCAAGCTCTCCGACGAAACCAAATAGTCCAGCGCCAGCAATAGCGTTGGCGGATTCGCCCGGTCGGTTCCCTGAATAATAAACGGATCAGGAACGCGTTGTCTCGCCTCTTCGTCGAGAATCTGTTCTCGTGGAATCCAACCGTCCATGTTGAGAAGATCGAGCCAGTGACAAAGAGAGTCGATGGAGATTTTCGGATTGAAGCGAGAGACGAGCAGTTGATGGAATCCTTCGTCCCAGAGAAATCCTCGCGGGAAAAATGATCTGCTCGGCACAGCGGTATACAGAGGGGCGTCCCAGTTTGGCGTCACTAGAAAAACCTCGTTACAAATTTAGGTCAAATATTAGATCTTACCTTTTTCTCCTTGTTTTTGAACTAACGAGTGGCCATAGTAATACCCAAAGCCTCCAATCATGTTGGAAACAGCTGCCATCGCAAATTCGAGATGTTCTTCTCCAGAGAATTGCTCTTGTAGCTTGATTCTTGAGCCAAAAACTCGCTTGAAGTTCTTTCTATGTCTTGAAAGCTCTTCTTCGAAGAAGTCCCCAACAAGAGGTCGTTTTCGTTCATGATTACCGCTGACAGAGTTGAAGTTGACTTCAAACGAACAGGGATGCTCGCACGTGATCGAGTGAACAACGACTTGGTGATTCTTGTGATTTGGCTTTCGGTAGTTTTTGTCGTACTTTGGCTCGTCGAACCAGAAATGCGGCACCTTTTGATTTTCGTCTAATTCGATGTACTCGCCCGAGAGGCGGCGCATAACGTCGTTTTCCAAATCGGTGATTTTGTTAATGAAGTCGCTATAAGTCCAGAACGCGGTGTTCTCTTGAGCATCGTGGAGAAATCGAACTTCAAACTTGCTGAGCGAGGATGTTTCGCCGGTGAACTTGTCGAGCTCGTCTGCGGGATCGTTGCCTAGTGGGACTTTGAGGTAGCCATCGGAATCGGTGACGAAGTAGAAGGCGAATGTCGTCGTACCAGATCCTAGGATTAGGGTTAGAGTTAGTGGTACTTAGGTTATTTCGAATTATCATAAGCTGGACTTCACGACTTGTGTAGAGACCTGACGCAGGTCCCTGAAACTGCTTTTACTCGAGTTCTTTCCGGAACCTGAGTCAGGTTTCTACGCAGGTTGCCGAGCTTAGATCATAAATTACCTTCAGTATCGACTTTTACAGTCCAGTCGCCGCCGTTTCCACCTACTTGTTGTTTCAAAAACTTCGTCCAGATCTTGTAATTCTTTTCTTGAATCGACTGCACTCCAAAATTGACACCATCGTGCTCCTTCCACCCGTACTTGAGCTGATTGTCCTGGTTGCACTTGTGTCGGACTATGTCTCCTTGAATTTCATTTCGTGGAAATTTGTTGTTCAGCCACATTAATCCGGCGAGAAGGGAGTTTTTTGAACGCGTTCTCAGGCCTAAGTAGTGACCGCTTCTATAGGTTCCCCAGAAACGACTCATGTCTTCTTTTGAAAGACTTTGGACTGCGGAAGGGACATCTAAGGGCTTCAGATATGAGTTTTCGTCTTTTTGTGTTTGAGTTGAACTTGAGCTGGAACTTTCATCGCGGGGCATAAAATATAATCCAAAGAAAATTATACACAAGGAAATTAGGATTTTTGGCAGGAGAGATTTGTTCTTTCAAGGGATAACAATTACAATATGAAAGAGGGGTACTTATTCAAACGGAAAAATTTCTCTAAATTATTTAAAATTTTTTCCCTTTTCCTGTCTCTTTTCTTTTGAAAGATCTTCCTCCAAAGCATCACTAGGTGGACCTTTGGAGTTTTTACGATTTCGAACTTGTGCCATTCTAAATTTTTATAATAAACGACCAGTTTTTTTGAATTTGTCAATTTCTCAAAAATGTCACTCTTGGCTGCTCTGGCGTAGTGACCTCTGGCGTAGGCGCGCGCAGACTTCAGTCAAGGAAAATTAAAGAAAAAAATAGTGAATCAGCGAAGGAAAGAAAGAGAAAGGAAAATTGCAAAGAAAGAGTTTTGGGAAAGGAGAGAGAAATGGCAAGGCCGGCGAGTGATCGATGGGTGGATATGGAAGAAATTGGTGGTGGTGCTTACGGAGTCGTTTTCAGAGCTAGAGATAGACGTAAGAACACACTTTTTGCTATAATTTTTTTAGATATTAAAAATTAAGCGGATAAGAATTAACTACGACGAAAGGTCTGATGCCCTTCATTTTACAATCAATAATTAACTTACAAAATAGTTTATATAATTTTCAATCGAAAATGAACTTACGGTTTTCCCTTTCAGAACACGACAACCGCGTGGTAGCTCTAAAACGCCTCCGAGTCCAAGCTTCCGATGAAGGAATGCCGTTGAATACAATCCGTGAAATCGCAATTTTAAGAAGACTCGTCGGCTTCGAACACCCAAATGTAGTCAGTTTACTGGACGTCTGTTGCTCCAGAAGAAATGATCATGAAATCAGGCACGGGTCCCCAAACGAGTTCGCGAAAAATGAGTGTGTTTGAACTTTGAAGAACCCTAATGAAAGGCTTTTATTAGTTTTTGAACATGTCGAAATGGACCTGGAAACATTCATTTCCAACGCCAGGGCGGGTGGGGGAGTGTCCATCGAAGACAGCCGCCACATTTCGAGGCAGTTGCTTTCTGGCCTTGACTTTTTGCATTCTCAGGTAGTCCCTGCGTCCTTGAAGATTCTAGTGATAATTTTAGTGTATCGTACATCGTGACCTCAAGCCTCAAAACGTGTTAATCACTGGCCAGCAACATGGTAAGTCTCTTTCTTTATGGGGACAACGCCCATTTTATTTTTGACTACTTTCAAGCCTGCTCTATTGACCGATTTTTTTCGTAACAATGATGTTTAGTAAGAATAGCTGATTTTGGACTGGCTCGTCTGTACACGCCCGAAACAACATTAACCCAAGTTGTGGTCACTCTTTGGTACCGAGCTCCTGAAATTCTCCTTCATGTTTCTTACCATTCAGCCGTCGATTTATGGGTGAATAACTCTTTCGTTGAATACCGACTTATCATTTTTCATTTTCAGGGAGCTGGCTGTATCATAGCAGAAATCTTCAACGGCGAGCCGCTGTTCCAGGGAGACCGAGAAATCGCCCAGCTAAGAGAAATATTCAAAGTTCTCGGTGTCCCGCCAGAAAGCGACTGGCCAGCGAATACGAATGTTTCAAGAGATAGTTTTGAAAATGCTCCTAGAATGGTAAACCCTTCAATTCTCCACCTCCCCTATCTTTCTCCCTAGAGCATGGCAGATATCGTTCCCCGGGCACCACCATACGCGCAGGAATTGATCAAACGGCTGCTAGAATTTTCCTTCGAGAAACGACCGACCGCTTCTGCCGCGCTCAAAGGCCCCTGGTTCCAGCCCCAAGGAGCAACTTCTATCCTCCAGCCTCAAGAGAATCGCGCTTCTAGCAATAGCAGTACCTCAACTGCAGAACAAACGGCTCAGAATTGCCCAAGTGCTGCTTCCAATCCTTCCAATTCAAATTCCGCCAATTCCGAAAACGCACTAACTTCCAGCACAAACGAAAGCGGCGATCAAAGCACTTCTTCCTCCGCTAGAATCAACTCTTCTATAATCGGCAACACTAGGTCAAGAGAATCGCCTCTTGCCACTCAAGATGAAACTTCCATCAAAAGAAGTAGAGCAAATACATGAATTTCGTTCGCTGAAAAAGTAAAAAGCCGATATGGCATTTTATTTAAGTGACATTTTACTGTAACTCTTTCAATTTCTAGATTTTTTCAAACTTTTTATTTTCAAACATTCAAAATTTTGTCTCTTTGTGCCAAAACCTCAAATATTTCTTATTGAAAAAGTACCTACTCTTTCCTGTCAATCAAAAAAGCGATGCCAAAGTTCAATCCTTCTCAATTTCTCCTGACCTTATCCTGAAACAACATTTGCCTTTGCTGAATGTACTGTACTGAATTACTGAATTATCTATCTCGTGCTTTCTCAACTTTCTCTTCCTCGACTTTTGCGAAACGCAAACAATTCAATCTCAATCTCCTCAATCATTTTTTCTCCATTTTTTTTTCAAAAAGAAAAATAAATTTCTTCTTTTTGCAATTCAAAACTTTCAAATTCTTATCATTTCTTATCAATTCAGGTTGTTTTCCTTTTCGTACCAAATAAACATTCTAGTGCCTATCAACTTGAAGTTCTTTCATTTTTATATCTTCAGAGAATTAAAAAGAAAAAGAAGAATGAGTATGGAATCGACGATTTTGACAAAACCAGAGTGCCTTGTTTACAGACTGCCACCGCGAAATTCAGTCAGGGGGTACCGAGCCGCCGACTGGGGGCTTGACAAGCCAGCCTGGACTGGGAGAATGCGAGTCACTGCCAGAGACGAAAAAGTTTCAATCAAGGTACTGTTATCTCTTGCCCTACCACCTCATCAACAGGGAATGGAAGGCTCCCCCAAGATCCCCCTGATGCCCTAAACTTCCAACTTTTAATAGCTCGAAGACACGACAAATGGACAGCTCTTCGCCGAATGTCCAATCACCGAATACCCAACGAAAGACATCGAATCCGTCAACGACTCGTCGAGATACTTCGTTTTAAGAATTCAAAATCAGGGCCGCTCGGCGTTTATTGGCGTCGGCTTCCGCGACAGGGGAGACAGCTTTGATTTTAACGTCGCTCTCCAGGTTATTCTCCTTCTCGTAAACATGCGCTTATTAACTTTTCTTTCTTGAGTAGGATCATTATAAATGGGTAAAGAATGCGAATGCTCCTTCCGATCCGGGCAATGTAAAGCCTCTCAATCTTGGTCTTGCGGAAGGGCAAACGATCAAAATCAACTTATCCGTAAGTTTTGAAAAAATATTTAGCATTCCTCAAAATCTTTCCCAGGGAAAGATGGGCGAAGGCCGAGAAAGACCAAAGCAGGCAGCGAGTACAAGTGGAATTTCTCTTCTTCCGCCTCCTCCATCAAAAACCAACCCAGCAGCCCCAGCTGCTCCAGGAACCGCTTCTGGAAATTTGCTGAATCTCGCCCCTCCTCCCCAGCCCGCCGCTCCCAGCAGCTCGACAACAGGTCTTTTGCCGAGACAAGCAACTTTTGACAATAACGACTTCTTTCCTAGATGACGATTTTGGAGATTTTTCCGCGCCCACTACGCAGAGCTCGAACTGGGTCTCGTTTTAATTCTTGAGCTTCGAAGTCAACAGAAAAATATTCAAGAGAATCGTTAATTTTCTATCAATCCGACCTAGAGCTTCAACATGTCTTCGTGCAATTTTCGTCTCTTTATACACAAAACCGTCTATATTTTAATATTTACTCTTTATATTCCACTATAAAGTACTAGAAATACTACTCTAACAGTCCTTAATATAATTATATTACCAGTATAATCAGATAATCTACATTTTCCATTCTTTTTTTTCATTTCCAACAACGATTTTGGGAATATTACTACTTTTTTCTTCCGTGGTTTTTCTTCAATATAATATTAAATATCATTCAATACGAATATTCAAATTTGCAATCCCTTCAAGCAAAGGAGCGTTTACTTCTTGTCCATTAGGGAAGAGCCAACTCCCATGGGGATTCTGTTTCGTTGCATCAACCTTCTATTTTCTTCTCCTAAAAAGAAAAAGAGTCTTTATTGAGAAATCTGCAGCAATGAGATTGTTGGATTATTTTTTAGACATGATGAGCCGCAAGGCCCTTCGACGAGCAGCAGCTGCTCAGAACTCCCACCCAAATTGTTTGGGCAGTTCTAGTAGCGCTAGAAAAGCTTCGTCTTTTCCACCGGCTGAAATCTCTGCGGCCATGCGACTTCAAGGGCCGACTAGGGTTCAGAATCATGACTTTCTTCATGTCTTTTCTGATACCAAGAAGCCAGCAGTTTCTGGACCACTCGCTATCGGTAATTTCCCAGTTTTTTACTTCCTCTAAACCTGCGCTAGAAATGCGACTTCTCCCAGAAGAACAACAAAATTTTATCAAAACCGAACTCGCCAAAATCGAAAAAGAATCCGTCGACGCCTCCCACACCGGCTACATTCTTCAACTAGCGAAGGAATTCGATGAATTTCTAGCGCTCCGTTTTCCCGATGTGAAGCGATACGGCCTCGAGGGATCAGAAACGATTATGCTTTGGTTCGATACGATTTTGAATGAGGTTGACAAGGACAATCATGTTACTATTGGAATGACACATCGAGGAAGAAATAATCTTCTTGTCTGTCTTTTGGGACTTCGAGCTGACATCATGTTCGGCAAAATGTCTGGTAAGTCCATTTATTCGGCCAAAATGCCTGAATCTTTCTAGGAAAACCCGAATTTCCATTCGACCCAGAGCATGAAAGAATCATTGGCGATGTTCTTTCCCACCTGCAGATCTCCAACAAGCTCGACTCGGGCGTATCCGTCTCTCTCTTGCCAAACCCTTCTCACCTTGACGCCATTAATCCCGCCGCAATGGGCAAGGCAAGGTCAAAAATTGACCACGGCAGCAAAGCTCTTTGCATTCAATGTCATGGAGATGGATCTCTCATCGGCCAAGGTTTTTTCGTTGCTGAAATAAAAGCTTATTTTTTGTTCAGGACACAACCACGAAATCCTAAACATGCAAAATATTCCCGGCTACGACGTCGGCGGCTCCCTCCATTTCTGTTGCGACAATCAGGTCGCCTTCACCGCTTCTGGAAATTTGTCTCGTTCGTGCGCTCGTCCTGGCGACTGTGCTCTACCTTACGGCAGCCCTGTAATCTCTGTGTCCGCTAGCCACCCAGAGCAAGTGATTCAAGCAGCCAAACTCGCCCTCCGCTTCCGCAACAAATTCGGCAAAGACGTCATGACCGAGCTTGTTGGCTGGCGAAAACACGGTCATAACGAGCTTGATGATCCTAAAATGACGAATCCAATTCTCTACAAACACGTTACCGCAGCCACTCCAACTCCCGACGTCTGGTGCTCAAAAATGGACGCAACGAAATCTTCAGAAATCATGGAGAAAGTCAAACAGGAACGAGCTTCATGGCAACAATCATTCGACGATGTAAAAGCAGATAAATACGTTCCTGGTCAGCTTTGTCGAAACTTCGGACCTTGGGCTGATGTTCAACGGGCGAATTCTTGGGAGCAGCAAACTTGGGCTTCCGGTTATGATGTCGAATCAATGAGGTATATTTTGTCGAAATCTGTGGAAGTGCCAGAAGGATTCAATCTCCATCCCTTTTTTGATCGACACAGGAAAACTTTTTACATCATTGATAATCAATTTTCAAATTTGAAGACATAGAGGACTCAGTAGTCGATTCTCATAAGGATATTTTGAAATGAATCAATATATTTTTGTCGAAGTTTACAAAAGAAAGCAGCGACTTGAAGCAGCCACCAGTGGCGAGAAAATAGACTGGGGAGCAGCCGAAGCAGTTGCATTTGGATCACTACTTGAACAAGGCTTTGGCGTTCGAATTGCGGGACAAGAAGCGGGTCGGGCCACGTTCGCCCACAGACACGCGATTTTGACTGATCAGGATTCCGAAAAACAAGTGTGTCCACTTGCTGAATTTGGCGCCTTCGACGTTGTAAACGCCCCATTGACCGAACAAGCTGTAGTTGCCTTCGAGTGGGGCTACTCGATCGATCATCCAAATAATTTATGCCTTTGGGAGGCGCAATTCGGCGATTTCTGGAATCAGGCTGAAGTCTCTGTCGATACCCTAGGAAAGGTCATCAAATGGATTTATTTGAAAATAAATTAGAAACGGATTAATCCCGCCAGCTTGATGTTAAAACGGAATACAGCGGTATCAAGGGGCCTTGGATGCATATAAAGATCGATTTTGGATCTGGGTTGTATTTTTCGTACTAATTAACAAATTTACCGAAAACCGACCTTGAACAAAGTGACGTGTGGCGAGCAAAAATGGGGTCTTCAGTCATCTCTTCTGATGCTTCTTCCTCACGGATACGATGGAGCTGGGCCAGAGCATTCTAGCTCTCGTGTTGAGCGCCTTCTGCAAATGACAGATTCTTTAGAAAATGGTGTTGATTCTGGTAATTCATCTCGACCGCTTATAATGCTGACCCCATTCTTTCAGACAATATTAACTTCCAAGTGCTTTGGCCTTCCACAGCCGCACAATACTTCCATATTCTCAGAAGACAAATGGTGCGAAACTACAGAAAACCTGGTGCAATTGTGATGCCAAAAACCCTCCTTCGTTTACCGGAATCGCGCTCTACTTTCGCCGAAATGGGGCCAAACACATCTTTCCAAACCGTGATCGACGACCCGAGCAAGAACGTCAAGGCGAAACGAGTGGTCGTTACTGCTGGCAAACATTACTTCACGCTCGTCAATGAACGAGCAAAGAGAGGCCTCCAAAATGATGTGGCTATTGTGCGTTTGGAACAGCTTGTTCCTTTCCCTGCCAAAGAGATTCAAGGTAAATTTATTCAAGATGCCCCATTGTTTTTTTATTGAGGTCACATTTTAGGACCTCAATTCTTTCATTTTGTAAATTAATGTCTTTCAAATGTCAAAAAATTTAATGCATTTGAGAAAAAAATGATCTAACGCAGAAGTAGATACAGTAAGAGAGAAACTACTGGTTAAATATTGTCATAATAGAGATCATCAGTAACATGATTGTGCGAGTAAATAGACGCTATACTCATAAGCGTGTGCATTTCCTTTTTCCCATCCTACCAAAATTCGATTAATCATCAGATCTTGCTTGTAAGGAATTTCTTTTCAGAGACTCTCGCTCGATACACCAACGCTACCTCCTTCATTTTCGGCCAAGAGGAACCTAGAAATTGCGGCGCGTGGACTTTTGTCAAACCTCGACTTGACTTTATTACTGGTCGACGATTTTCGTACTCTGGCAGACCGGAAATGCCAACTAGCGCTACTGGAACTGGTGTCGAGCATCGTCGACAACTTCAAGACCTTCTTGATGACACTTTTAACCTCTAAGTCTATTTCCACGACTTTGTTCTTATATTCTTCTGTTGAATGATGAGTGACTCCTGTACCGCTTGTTTCTGAATGGCTTTTATTTTTCAAAGTTTTAACTACCAATATTTATTCGAATTGAATTTCAACCTTCTATTCTTGTTCGATTTTGTTCTTACTTACCTGTCGGAGATTCCGACCCTCAATCAGTCAAATCAGTTCTTACCTACCAGCTTCAATAAACCGAAAAAATGATCAAACTTTCATCGCTAGAATATTGATTTTTAGACTCCCAAATTGAATAGTTCCGTTTTTAGAATATAAAATATGAATGCGGCATTGCTATCACAGATCCAAAATGGGAAGGGACTCAAAAAAGTACCCGATCACGCGAAAAATGACAGATCGGCAGTAGTAGGAGCGGGACAAGTATCTGGAGAGTCGAATAATAACTCGCAAGGTTCGTTCCAGCGATAGCTTCTTTCGGTTTCTTACTGAGTTATTAATAGCCAAAAGCCGCGGGCCTCCGATGCCACCAGGCGGAGGGAGAAAGGGACCATCACCGGGCGGCCCTCCGATGCCCGGCCTTGGTGGAATTCGAGCTCAATTAAATGCACAGTTCGGTGGCTCTTCAAGTGCCCCATCTGGGTAAGCCTCTCTTTCCTGATTCCGATTCTTTATCAATCTTATTTGAAGTGGATATAAAGCGCAACCAGCACCGCCTCCTAATTTCAAAAAGCCAAATGGTTTCCCAGCTCCTCCTCCACCAAGTTACGGGTCAAATTCAACTGGATCAACTCAAATAAGAGGCCCAGCTCCTAGGGTCCCTCCTCCGGGAAATAAGTGGGGAAGCCCACCACCTCCACCTCCCCCAAGCTCTGGCAAACCAACAGGATCAGCTCCTCCCCCTTCTCCGAATTCAAATAAGCCTGGCTACAGACCTGGTGCAGCTGCTGCAGTTTCAGCGCCGAATCCACCTCCACCTTATAACAGTGGAAGAACGTTGCCTAGAGTCACTCAAAGTCAGCAAAGGCAATTCCCTCCTCCGCCAGCTCCATCGAACAATAGGCAATTCCCTCCACCAAGTTCTGGAAGAGCAGGTTTGAAGCTATTCTCTCCAAATGTTTTTTAAAACTCGTACCTTAGGCCCACCACCTCCTCCAAGCAGAGATCCAGGGACAAGAACGACGGGAGGAAGTGTTCGTCCACCAGCTCCGCCACCACCAACTCAGTATGGCAGCCAGCAAAGAAATTTCCCAGCACCATCTGCAGCATCAAAAGCACCACAACTGAATAGGCCGCCTCCACCAGCTCCACCAATTCATACCTCCCCAGTTCAATCTTCAGTAAGCCCTTTTCCTTTGACAACCTATTAAAATCGATCCTAGAAGAGTTCTATTGACAACGCAGTGTTCACGGAGATTCGTAATCTACCAAGGCCCGATGTCTACAGACGGCCGGCCGCATCGGCTTATCCCTCCGAGAGCCGTAATGCACCGTCGCGTACAGCGCCAAAACCGCCAGGTACACTTTTTCCTGGTTTTCAAAATTAATTATTAACGATTCTGCTCTAATCGCGATTCTAAATCCAGCGCATTTGAATCTGAGTAAATGAAAATTCATGCCAAAAATTAAATGAATTTTCCTCCGACATGTTTTAGCCAGTAAAAAGCCTCCTGACCGACCCCCACCACCATTAGGTGGCTTTCCGCCGCTAAATTCGTTCGTAAAAAATGTTATTTGTCATTTAACAATTCCCAACAGTTAATAACTTAATACCATTGCATTTATACTGTCATTGTGCCTGAAAACGTAAGAACTCGTATTGCACGACTAAAAGAAAAGGACTTCAAAAGTTCGAAATTTTAAATAATTCATTATATAAATCAGATGCAGAAACATACGGACGGTATCTTGTCCCGAAAACAAGGTATGAATTTTCAATTCGAATCTTAGGATCCATCTCTTTAGAAAACTTCTACAGTAAAACTTGTCTTCAATTTAAAAAACAACGCCGAAAGTAGCTTCAAACTTAAATAACGTTCTCATTGCACCAAGCTTATCTTTGACAGGTTGATTGGCCTGTTGAGAATATTTGATTTGAAAAAACAGGTTTTTTTTAAGACTGCTCCTCAACTGTGGAGCGGTTTTGAGTACCTTAGAGTCGAGATTTTTTGAATCTCTCTTTTGGACCTTGTTAAAGAAGGTATGTAGTGTGTTAAATAAGGATTTGGTGTCAGCACCTTCTGTGGTGGTGGAGTAACCAGATAGTCAAAAATACACTAAAATCATAGGAAAAATTGACGATGACGTCATTTCTCAACCACCAACATTGGTGCTGACACCAAAAATAATCAGAAATACTTTTTACTGATGTGCGGAAGACCTCTGCTCGATTAGAACAAAAGTCTATCTTTAGTCAATTAGTTTTAATGTACAGTATTCGACCTGTGACGCTCGAGTTTCTCTCGTGACGTGTTGGATCAGAACACGAGCATTTGCGACTTACGGCAGTTCATTTCCTCATTGCGGTGATTTATTTCTAATTTTGTGACTTTAGGCCACTGAGGTAATCAAGTGTGCGGCTGGATGATTGTATAATTACTCGGAAGACTTCAACTTCTAATCAAGTTCACCTCAGAAATCGCTGATTTCGCTCGCTACCGATTCAACCTAACACTACTTGTATCTCCTCTGCTCACCTGGGAGAACATGCACTTATTCCAGAGCTATTCCTTCGCTGTAAAAAGTCGTATCCCAGAGCCCAAATTCACAACCAAACCTGCGTTTTAAATCTTGTACAGTGCAAAAAGAACTACTTATCAGACTCTCCTCCCTAACTGCTCAATAATTATTGAATATAATTTTATATGTAGCTTTTCCCCATATTTCTTATTTCTCCATTCAAAAATTCTACTTCCGTATATTTCATCGCTTCGCATATCTTCTAAAACTGCTAACCTTTGAATATATTGAACAGTTCTACCGAGATTTTAGTGCATTCGGACCACTATCTTCTCACTCTTTTTTGAAAATCTTGCTTTGATAAAAACAAACTATTCTACTCTCATATTTTATATATATTAAAAATTTCCAGAAGTGCCAATCAAGCTTATAGAAATAATAAATGATTGAAATAATCAATGAAAAATATGATTAATTTGCTTCTGATCATATGATCGGAAGAAATGGTTTTCTGACTAGTGAGCAGGTTGTTTGAGCACCGGCAGGGAAAATACAGTAGTTTTATCGATCAGTTGCAATTGCTGGTAGACTCAGTAAGAACCGGTCTCTCGTCTTCGCCTGATATCTATAATTAAAACGTCCTCCAGTAGATGGCGTTTTGTCGAAAAGGCATCAGAAGGTGCGCGCTCGGGGCTCTATCGATTTTGCCTCGAGGGCGTTCATTCCCCCAGGGCAGCTGTAGGGATTGCTGCAGCGCAACAAGCAGAGAGCAAGGCCCGTCTCCGAGAGCTCAATTTCACGCTCTAGGATTAATCCGAGCAACGAGAGTACTATTATCAGAAGATAAGAGAGCAACAGGGCGCTGTCAACTCGCTGAACATGTGGAGAATCCTATGTCTAGCATTGTCAGTCTTAGCAGAGCTCTCAACTAAGAACTCGGTAACGCCGTCAACGGAAGAATTAGGGAATTGAGAGAGAATTATTTTCAGGCCCCAGCTATCGCATCAAGATGCAAGAGACTAGCCCAGAAGCGAGAGAACGGAGTGTGGACCTCTTCAAAGGTCTCGTCCACCTGTAGCACTTACGATGACGAAGAAGCTGTTCGTATTTGCAAAGAGGTTCGTTTTCGTTATTTCTTGATGCTGAAAATATCAGCAGAGAATCTATCGAATAAGTTTCTGAAGCATAATTGATCTAGTCTGACACTTTGGGCCGCGATCGATGCCAAATTGGCCATTTAGCAGCTTTTAGATATTCTTATTCCAACAGACTTTGTCCAGTCTGAGCTGCAGGTCCTATTCGAAAATAGTATGCTTCATTGATTTAGATATTTCTCTGCTTTAAACCAAGATCAATTGACAGATTAACAGTGGCGCGCAGACTGGACAAGTGCAATAAAAATGACCATTTTTCGTCGCCCAATATTGACAAAAGGTTTATCTGTCTTTAGGCTTTCCCCTCCCTGTTCATTATTGGAGTCCGACCGACAGGTGCTGAGCATGTTGAGGGACCATGGTGTCAGGCTACTCACGAGGACTGGTCCCGACCGTGCAAGGGAAAAGGACACATGGTGATGGTTTACGAATGCCTTCATCGGGACAATAATCAAAACTTGCGCAAGGAAATTAAACACCAGGAAGAATTCGTTATCCCTCGAGTGAGTCCCTAACTGATCCATAATTGGATAGAAATAATTTCTTATCCAGGGCGATTATGAATTCACTACTACCACCAAACGACCAACAACTCCTCCGACAACATCAACCACAACATCTACAACTACAACAACAACCACGACAACAACCACAACTACTACTTCAACCACCACAACCACTAGAAACAAAGCAGATATCCCAACTGGTCCTCCAGGTAAAACAAAACTTTCTGACTGAAATTTTATACAAAATTGTAGCTCTTGCTGTTCCCCCAATGTGTGCATTCCGCCACACACCAAAAGTCATCAACGGCGACAACTGCAAAGATGTCACAAGCTGGCGAACAGTTGCCCAAGAGTAAGTTATAGATAGCCCATTTAATATTTATCGAAATGACACAATTCTACGCTCAATTTAGCGTCTGTGGCGAGACTGATTTCGAACTTCACTCCTTTGCGCCATTGGCAACTTGTGAAGATCATGATGTTTACCAGGGCCTCCAATTCGTCTGCTGTCCACCAAGTGAGTTTTTTTCTTTCATAAAATATGCAAGTTGTTATTCGAATTTCGAACTGGCATTCAATGAATATGCGGTAAATTGGCTTTCACTTTCTTGAATTTACAAATGTAATTTTGAGTTTTATATTCGCAGTCAAACCATCTGCATAAATTATAAGACCTTCACCGATATTATTCAGTCACTCAAGATAAAAAACAGCCAACTCCAGTAACCGAAGATGCTCCAACCGATAGTAATATCCAATAACAACGATTCCTTCCTTAATCTTGACCTTTTTAGAAGTCTATGACCTCCCAGTGGCAATGGCGATTAAATCGTCCCCAAGGGATGTTGAAGGTGAGTGCTGCCCCTTGTGCTAATTTATTTATAAAATTCAAAATTTAGTGAGCCGAATAGAGCTTAATGGGACCCCATCTGTTGCTGCAGCCGCCGTTGCAGTCGGTGCCGCCTGTGTTCTTCTTCTTACGGCTTTGGCAGTTATTACTGGTAAGACAATGGAATACTGTATTGGATAAGCAGTTGTGTAAACCGATTATTTGGGAAGCACTTGTCTAATGAGTCGATGATCGGACTCGGGATTAAGCGGGCGATTACAGTAACCGCACAGCACTAAGTAGCACAATGAGCTCCTGATGAAACTCTGGCACTTGGCACTCGCCTTTCTTTCTTTCCTTGCCATTGATTTATTCACGAGAGAGTGAATTCTTGACGAGAAAGTGAATAAATAAATGTGTGTTCTCTAGTTCGAGGACGACAGCGCGTACGCCGAGAACGACGTTTGGCTAACCAACGCACTCCATTGAGTCCCGAAGAAAGACATTTACAGGTAACAACAATCAATTTGAGAGCCAAACTCATCGATTTCATTCAGCGTCTCCAAAGTACTGGCTACGAAAACCCAACTTATCGATTCTTCGAAGCTCGCCAGTGACATTTTTGATCATCGAACTTGTAAAACTATCAACTTCTTACAACTTTTTCCCAAAGGAAATTTATCTTCTCCCAATGATTTTAATATTATATAAAAGAAGTCCCCAATGCGCTCTGTACAACCGACATCATTATTTTACTTTTTAATAAACACATGGAACATACTTATGAATCAAGCAGTCATTTGGTACTCTTCCTTGATTTTCTTTGAACAATTTATTGGGATGAGGGCAGAATAAGATTGTTGAGAGTCAGAACTCTGCTTCAGAAGGATTCAATTAAACGGTAAATATGAATATTCTGAATGAATTATCTGAATCCGAAACGAGGAACAGCAGAAATTGCACGACGGGATGAAACTTTAACAGACCCTAAGCGTCTACCTTGGGCAGTTTGTGCTCTACTTTGAGGAGGCCTTGCATGTTTCAGGAAGAGATATGACTCATATCATATGAGTCAAAAACGAATGCTCTGTGAGCTGAAACATTCCTTTCTAGTTCCTTGAAGTCGATCTGTATTGGATTAATCGACAGACTCGACTGGCTCCTCGTTAGCTTCTCTTTCAGTGAACTTATTTGTCTTTCTGATGTTAACAATAATCAAACGCCGTTTAATATAATTATGCCTTGTAAACATTTTCTTTCATATCCAGCGACAAGTAAGGATATCTTCTCATCCTCCGAGCCCTGAAAACCTGTTCTCGTGTTTCTTCCAGACTGAGCAATTATCTTTTTGTTCGTTTGTGAAACAGCAGAAGCAGTACTAGAGCAAGAAATAATTGCCTTTTATTGTTATTTCACAAAGTCTTCATACCGCGTCGAATGTGGAGATTGAAGCTGGGCTACTTTTCCTTTCAAAGCAGTGTTTCTCCGCTCCGATGCCGCAAATGACGACTGTAGCTTCAGTTGATCTTCTCGTAGACCCGCTGCTTCTGTTTGAAATCTGCTGAGTTCTTTCTTCAAAATCTTAATATTAATTGTTCAAAATTGAAGACAACGAAGAGAACACTTACTGAAATCTCATTTTTCAGTTGTTCATTATGTTCTTTTGCTCCTGTATTCAGCATTTCCATCCTGATCTGTTTATTTGAATCCTAGTAAAACATGAAATACCGCTTAATTATTTCATCTTTTTCGTGAATGATGCTTTCTGCTCGTCGAATATCATCCTTTGAAATATTCAGATCTTTCTCTGTAAGCAAAAGCTGCCTTGACATCTTCTTTCTTTCTCTGGTGATTCCTTCTGAAGATTTTCTCTCTATATGCAGTGTATTTGTCAGCTCGTTAATTGCGGCTTTGTGTTCGATGTCCGATTTTTTCAGTTCTTCATTTAGCTCCTAGTAGATAACGCTGATGATAATCGTAACAAAATAAATTAATATTTTTTAGAAGGCTTCATTTTACCTTGATCAAATTGTCGCGCGATATTATTTTTTCTCCAGTTTATCAATTATCTTCTTAGTCTCTTTCTCCTTCAGCGCTAGAAGATGCTCGTTTCCTTCGGTTTTTGTGTGCATTAGTTGAATAACCTAAGATTTGGAATAAAAAAATGTCTTTTTATTGGAAGATATGAGACTGGAGATGGATATTCAGGGTCTTTTTCAAACATTTTTGATGGAAAAAATAATTCAAACAAAACTTTTTCGCTTATCAAAAGACCATCGCCCGCAAGCCTTCCCTCGACAAATACTTGAAATGATGATGCTTCGATCGAAATTATGATCTTCAAGCAACGAAAATTTCTGCTAGCAGCGAGGTAGAATTTGAGAATGGAGCAAGACTCAAGGGCCAAATACAGATGCCTTTACTTAGCGGATATGGCCGTTTCCTTTGACAATGAAAAGTGTTCCGCGAAAAAGGTGCCAGGTGCTGTCATTTTGGTGTCAGTTCTACCTTCTCGATAAAGTCTAAGTTCACTATCTCGTGGCACGATAGTCGCCAAGCAAAGTGGGCGGCGCGATCAAAGAGACCACTGCCACAGGTGCGCCTTCCTATCCGAGCAGCCACATATCGAAGCTGGTTGTGTGCCCAACCTGCGTGTGCACTGCCGCGTCAGCAGAATTCGGAGCCACACGACGGCGATGTCGGGCACACAGCCGCGGGTGATCCATTCAAGTTGCCACCGAATCTCAGCTGTGTTGGGTCGACCTCGTCGGTACGGAAACGACACCGACCAACACAGGTGTCTTTTTCAGAATTATGGAGAAGATTTGACATTATTCTTTGCAAAAATTTTGACCAAAAGGAAAGTCAAGACCCAACCCAACCCAACCCAACCCAACCCAACCCAACCCAACCCAACCCAACCCAACCCAACCCAACCCAACCCAACCCAACCCAACCCAACCCAACCCAACCCAACCCAACCCAACCCAACCCAACCCAACCCAACCCAACCCAACCCAACCCAACCCAACCCAACCCAACCCAACCCAACCCAACCCAACCCAACCCAACCCAACCCAACCCAACCCAACCCAACCCAACCCAACCCAACCCCAAACCAAAACCCCTAGCCTACTGAAAATTCGGATTTACGATGTCTATCCACTCAAAATTCCCATTGAATGTTGAAAAATCACGTCTTTGATACAGGAAGAAATCGAATAGAAGTTAATTTGTGAAATAAAACGAAACTATCGCACCTGGGTCAACTCGGTGATCTTTGCACACATTTTGTACTCAATAGAATCTTTTGAAAATTGAGGTAGCTGCAACGTAAAATCTTTTTATATGTTAGGCGATCATTTCCCAAGAATTTTCTCTCATCGAGATTTTTCGAGCAGTAAATTGAACAGCTGCTTTTTAAGAGCTTAAGAAAGCAATAAAATAAAGTCAAACTCGAAATTTGTGAAATCAACGAGGATTTTTCGCGATTTTCGGCTAACACCTTCCCTTTCGCATCTTGCATGACGAATGCAATTAGCGTCTTCGTCCTCTCTCTCTCAAAACTGATCGACTTGCTCATTGATGATGATCAAAAAGTTGTCCCCTTGCTCTCTCACAAAAGAACGTCTCGTCTTCCACCAACGTGTCGAATTATTTTCTCACTTTTGGCGAAATAAACATAATACCAAGTAGCAACTTCCCTCAGCAGAACGTGTCACTTCCTGAATAATTATTATCACCTAGTGCAAATATCATCGGCTTCTTCAGTGATAGAAGAGGGGAATGGAAGGTGAGTCGGCCACCGAGACCAGATTTTTAAAAATGATAACAGCTGGAGCGTTCTCTCAGCACAACGCGGCTTATCAATCATCGCCCAGGGGAGCAAGTGACTGTAATCAGCATAGGAAATCGGTACGGTGCAGGGCAAAAGGGCCGCATTCGCAAATAATACTCTGTTTTCAATGGAGCCTCCTTTCTCTAATCCTTCGTACCATGATATAATTCTTCTTCTCCTCCGGTCTTGTATAGTATCACATCAGGGCAACGAGCTCCTAGCGAAAATTTTTGGACTTGGCAAGGAAAAATACGAACTATAATATGTACTATTCTCCAAACAAAATCTATAGAACTTCCTTCCTTCTTTCAAATCGCCGTTTACCCAACTTGAGGAAACCCCAACTCATCGGCTCAAGTAAGAGGAGTTTACACCTGGCGGTGGGCACTCCTGCACTCCATCAGCGCGACTCAGCGCCTTCCTCGTCCGAGTATGCGGCTCATCAGATTTCCGGTATTTCAGTAAGTGAAATCTTCGGATCTGATCAGAATGGGTATCATTAAAAGGAAATTTCAAGCAACATACAGGTTGGAACACTCGGATCGATAATCCCGGCAGGAAAACGATCGGCTAGAAAGGTTTATGTTTTTAGAAATGATTTATGAAATATTTTAAATAATTAAGCAATATTCTCAAAATCTATATCATATTTCAAATGTTGAAATATATCAAGAAATTTCCACATTCGAGTAAGTGTTCTCTTTTGCAGGTAGCATTTGGCATTGTTGGTCTTTGAAGCTCCGAGCTGCTCATGTAGCTGTTATCATTTTTAAAAATCAGGTCTGGGTGGCCGACTCACCTTCCGATACCTCGATAGAAGAAGCTACTCTGTTCCAGTAGCGTGGAAACGAGACAGCTACAATTCTTGATAATTATTCCAATCTTGAATTCGGCAAGACATAAGCTTACTCAATTTTCAATCTTATTTTTCTTCTATTTTTGCGATTTTTGACCATTTCAAAAATAAGGGTGTCACAGCGAAATTCTGAGAGCAATCCAGTTTTTACGGCCTTACATGAAAATACCTGAGATACAGAGCTTAAGCTACAGTAACATTAATTTCAACATCGCTCCGTATGTTGTGAATGAACATTTGGCGCTTTCAACTTACTAGCCACGTTTTTTGTTCAATTCCAGATGTTGATAATATGGCAAGCGTCCCAGTAGCCACTAGCTCTCAAGTGAGTCAATGAAGGCCTAACAGCTGAGCCATACGAATTCAGATATCCCAATATGCTCTCGCGATTAACTAGTCATTCTGCCATTTGTCTAGCTTACAGTAGTTTTGTTATACAGTAGTTGCAAGTACAAGGAAGTGATTTTTGGCGAGGACTTTGTCATGGTCAATATTTGCCTGTTCCCTAAAATACCATAACCCTAGATAAAGATCCCAACGCAAACAGTGTCAAATCACACACAGATTGATTAGTAGTAGTGACAGTGCCTTGAAACCGATTCTGGCTACTACAGTACAGTAGTTCCGAACACTAGAAAAAATAGAAAGAAAAGAGAGTCATCGACGATGAATTTATTTTGTAGAAAAATTGAGTAAATGAAATGGGATCAGATGGTTTCAAAGAAGTTTCTTCTCAGGCGATGATTTGAGTTCCATAGGCGGCAAAGTTCTCGCTGAAGTTCTCGCAGTCGAGAGAGATCGAATCGAGGTTGTGGAGAGCGCGGAGGTCGGAGAAGGAAGTCGACCATTTCTTCGAGAGACAAAAGTCGTCGGGAGTGCAGATCTGTATTTGAGAAGCGCTGCCGACTCGCTCGAGCTTGTTGACGGGCTTTTTGAAGTTTGGATCGTTGCGAGTGTCGTTTTCGTCGATGTCAGCGTTGCTAAAGAATCAATGACTATGAAATTTCAAGGGAGCTTACAGTGGTGCATTTTCGTCAAATCCCTTGAAGCTAATGTGGGCTTGGCTCGTGTGGAGTCGTCTATCGTTTGGATTGGAAACCTAAATCGAGAAACTCCTCTTTAGCTTTTTTGAAAAGACTTACCGGGACGGAGAATCTTCGTCGTACTTCTGGGTCGTACTCGAGATCGGAGCCCTTGGCGTTCGAAGTTGAGCCTCGTCGAATAATGCCTCTAAAAATAAATTTTATTTGGTGCTTTCTACCTACTTGGTATTTTGGGTCCATCTTTTTTATTGAGAATCGCACAAAATAAGGAAGCAATTTGAACACACTACCTTGACAAATCCTTCATTCTGTCAATAAGCGAGAATCGACGACCTGTTTTAGCTCTTAAAAATCTTATTCTATTATCGTTATTTTGTTCTTTTGAGCGATTCCTTCGAGTTGTTCTGGCTTTGGCGCCTTAGGAGCACTCTTTCGCCTTCCGAAAACCATCTTGTTGAGAAGCCTTGACGAACTTCAAAACTAAATATTTCACGCAAAAACTCTGGTCAACAACAGCCGTGTTCTAGAACCAAACAATTAAAAGTACTTTAATCCGAAAACGGATCGACCGTTATACGCAGCACACGGAGTAATCATATTTGAGCGTTTTTAGTTATCTGCAAGTCCAGATTTTCGTATTTGTAAAATCTGGCCCCGTCGCGTTTTTTTGCACATGATGCTATCATAAGCCGTGCCAGAAGGGGGAAGGAAAAGGACTCTCGAACGCGGCTGTCGCAACTCAGCTTTGTGTGCCCAAGGAGCCTTCGGGCGCACTGTTCCGTCAGTATGCTCGGTGGAAATGATTGCCAGTCGCATTTACGGCTCTTCAATGTATCAATTTTAAGCTGCGTTTCTTTTCATCCGTTGCTAGCAACTACAGAAGCCGAGCAAGTTCTCTTTTTGAAGCAAGAACTATTAGTAGCGCAATCAATTGTAATTAAAAACTGCCGACGCCAGTGGGCCATAAAAACGCCTTTTCAAGCAGGTGTTGGACAACTACTCGAAGACTAGGAGGATTTCCAAAGGTGCTAAGCACCTCAAGTGGGCGCTATTTAGCTGGAATCCCTTTCAAAGCTGACCACCTGAGCCAACGAACGAATTCTTCTAGAAAAAATAAGAAGGATCAGTTGTCCTTCAATCTTTCATCCTTCTCAGTGTTGAATTAAGGGACCCCGCCCCCAATTTCCCGATGTTTTCATGACGATTATGACGATGTTCTCTATATTTATCTGATAATTGTTGACGGATGAAAAAGCAGATAGCCATCGTGAGCTTTCCCCTTCACAAATAGGCGCAGTGAGATAGTTCCAGCTGGCCGGCTCAGCTTCCTAATTATTCCGCAAAAGTGGAAGCCTTTTGTCGCGGGAGGACTCTGAACAAAATCCTGCGGAAAATTGCCTCTTGATCGCACCGCTCAGAAGCTTAAAAACTCTTCAATCGTCAATCTTCAATCTTTCATGTGGAAAATTTAGAATTGACAAATTCTAAATTTTATGCAATTTAAGGTCAATTTTAGTCAAGATTTTTTGAAAATCAAATATATATATATATTCTATTTTCTTTCGCAAATTTAATACGCAGGTCGTAACCCCGCTGCAATTGTGGCCACTTTCGGCGTTATTCATCTTGAAATGCACCTGTTGCAGGGTTCGCCTCGCACCAAGCCCGGACAGGTGCGAGCTTCTCCTCCTCCACCAACACCGCCGAAACAAAACCTGAGCCGAAGGAATGCGCAGATGACTAGCGACTGAGTCCTTGATTGTAAATTTGTAATTATCGAATTACTGCTTTATCAGTACTTCAAAAATACTGATAATTTTCTCGCATCAAGCAAAAAGCACCGCCACTCCTGCAATTACCCCCTTCTGCTATGCAACCCCTGCGCATAAAGTTGTTTGCGCCCGGTGCGTTTAAAAGTGCTTTGGATCAAAAGTTGCCACTTTCCGCTGACTCTATTTGAATGTGCTCCCTGAGAGTCGCTTTGATGCTCCGCCGCGGAAGTGATTTTTCATTGAGTTTACTCAGCTGGGCGGCCTAGAAAAGCTCGCCTTACTTTTAATTGATTGTGCTGGATTAATAAATCGGGATTATTTTAAGCCTGGAAGGAATAATTGATCGATTATGTTGTAAAGAGCGGCAAAAAATATGATTATTTTACATTGCTAAGCAATTATTTTATCATTTAACAAAGCCCAAAGCCTCAAAAGTTCCATAATTGAGTATGATAGCGGCAGATGTGAACTTTTTGTTCAGAGACCGTTGAAAAAAGTGCTTTATATCTACATTCGTACCAAGATATCGGCAAAAGAAAGAGATTGTCACCTTGAAAATTGAATGAATTTATGACTAATGATTTTTGGGGGATTCTTTGCCACCTGAGTCGTATATTATACCCTTGCCACCTTCTGTACAACGGAACCTGGTTAAATATGCTGGTCGGCTCGGGCTTTCCACCATCTTTCAGCTTGTCCTCAATCTGACCCTTATCTGTATTTGCTAAGCACCTGCACTCTGTATCCAAATTGTGGATCAGGGAAAGACTCAAACTCAAGTTGGTCGATAAATTAGAATTATTAAATGAATAAAAATTTATTCGCAAAGTGGGAAGAAAATTTCGTGCTTTGAAAACATGAGATATTCCATCGTTGGCTCTCAAATTCTACTCGTCGGGCGCTGGCAGTCAGCTGGGAAGGATCAATGTGGCCCAGGCGCAGCTGGAGACAGATCAATCCCCAAGCTTTCCCTTGATACCACGCTGGGCTTTTCCATTTCACAAATTTGGTCAAACAAAGGGGAAACCCCGTCGAGAGCCTATCAAATCAGACAGCGTGTAGATTGCTGCAATACCCAAAGTACATTTCCGTAGTGCTCTAATCCCGTATTTGATCGAGATTTTAGGGGTAGATTAGTGTCAGAGCGTAGTCAAAACTACTGTTCTTGTTTACTGGAAAGATTACAAGCACTAGAACTCAAACTTCTAAAAACAAGACAGCTTGGAAACGAAGGAGAAGCTCGTTGCTTAGCCATTATCAGTCCAAAGCAAAATAGAAATAAGCATACTATCTATAAATAGGTGTTGAGTATTCGCTTTGGCGCGGGCTCATCCCATTTTGTGCCTTCTGCGGAGTGAATCAACGCGGCCGTGCTGCTGTGTGATGAACAATCTGGTGCTCGACAGTTGGCGCGCGCCGAGATTAGCAGAAGTCAGAGTAGTAAACTAACAGTTTAGCTACTGCTGAGCATATTTAGCGCAGACTGACAGTTACCTCCGCAATATGGTAATGAGTACTGTACTCGACCCGTGTTTTTGATTCTCATTTCTTTTGACTAAATACTGTTTCAAAGATGTAAATAAGCATGTGATCATGTTTCGCTGCTGTTACTACCGGTACTTCGGGACAGCCGTTTTTTCGCCTTCAATTTTCAGCTGCTGGGGCAAGCTGCGTCAGCTGGAGCAGCTCATTTCCAAGACAGCGGCACCGCGTGGTTACACCACCACCAGCACCAAGAACACCAGCACAACGAGGCCGCCCGGCAGCAGACATCTGCTTCAAAGAGAGTAGTAGTCAAGTGCCAAGAACTCGTCAGATGGTGCAACTTGCACGAAAACATAACAATAATCTCATTTAAAAGGTGCACAAGCTGCTTTGCCCGTACTTGATATGAAATTATGATCAATATAAATACCACGATGATCCGCGAAAAACACGAGAATTCGGAGATTGAAAGTTTCCTCATCTTGTCGATACAGGAGTGGAGATCAAGCACTGCCCGCAGGGAACAGGAAACGACTTTCCAGCTGAGTTCGAGGCATTGACCTTTGGGCACACTCGCAACCTGTCTAAACAGAGCGCTCCTTTGTGGCACAACCTGTTTGCACACATGGACCGTTGTCTCATTCAGCCACTCGCCTCGGGCCCGTCTCTCTCCCAGAGCAGGTCTCTATCTCTGTCCAAGTGGCCCAGATGGCCTTTCTATCCCCCTTCCTCTACGCACTTGAGCGCTCTTTCACCTTTTTGCCAAAACGCAGTCATAACCAAACAGGTGACTCGCTTCGAGAGCCCTTCGAAAATGTCGTCTTTGCCACAAGTAACTCCCAGGGAGACGCTAAGACGCTTGTTTATTCAATCTGATTTTCTGTTAAATTTCTCGTGGCACCTACCTTTTTTCTATCATATTTACAAGTTGATAGCACCTCAGTAAAACATCAAATGGAAAATTGAGAAAGGAAAATAGCCTTCTTTGGCGAGAAGCTGAACGAAGCTAAGGGCATCACAAGTGTGCCACCTGCGTGTGCAGCTTGCTTTGATCACAATATAACGACTAATTCAATCTTTATCCTTCTCAATAAACGCCAACTCAAGGAATCCTGCCTAGAATCTCTCAGAAAGGCGAAGTAATTTTGGTGAAAAATGTGAACTAGTGGATCATCTCTTGGATCAAAGAGAATCGGCAGCAATGTTTGTATCAAGAATCAGGCACAGGCCGCTCTCTTTCACACATTAGTGTTGGCCTCGGAATAGTTGACACCTTCGACCAGCTGGCACCGCACCTGACTGCGAAGAGCTTCACAGAGCTAACTTCTCTTGGACTTTGTTTGGCGGGCCAATTTGAACGCTAGGAGTATTGGGATAGATTCTTGGTAGTCTCATTGTGTTCGGTTTTCCCATGTTGAATCTAATTCTATGTAGATGGATGGCAATTAGGCGATAAATGAATATGAAGGCTGATGGTACTCAATACTCGCTTGGGCTTTTCCAGATGATTTGACATATGTCGGGATTCGGCGCATATTTGTACTCGAATATTTTATTATAATTTAATATTATCTTGGCGCTCCTTTTTTTTTCTTTCTGGTGTTCTGGCGTAATGCGATTCTGTCAGCTGCTGGAGAGTCGGAGCCGCCGTGCTGTGCAAATATCGCTTATCGAGCACTTGAGCCGGGCTGCTTTAGGCTATTTCCATCGCCCAGCTGACAGATTAGAGCACCACCAGTGGCTCCAGCCGTGGAGACGGGCCTCGCGCTCTCCCGGAGCAGCACCAACTAACTCATATCTCTCCCAAAAGCGCCTCGCGTCCAGCTGATCCTACACCTGCTATGACTCCCCGACGCTTTTCAACTTCTTTATATAGATTTAGCAAGAATATTTTATGAATAAATCTATTGTATTATCGAGCCATATTCCCTTAGATACAATAAAATTATGAGAATCTATAAAGAAATTATTGAATAAGAGCCTTTAATTTAAACTTTCTTCTCCCCAAGATGTGGTTTAAAAAGATCGGTAAATTCCAGAGCACCTTAAACACCGAAGAAATTATTTCCAAATTTAGCGAAGCTGTTCAAAATATGAATGGAAACAATCCCCAGGTGGAGTCTTTGTCATCTGTGTGTATGGCTTTCATGAATAAAAAGCGCACCAGTGACGGCATCTGTAAGGCCGGGACAGCTGTGCCGGCGACGGCGACGCAAAAACGACTACTTCCGTAGCCATCCAAGCGTCCCTAAAAGATCTGGGCTCCAAAATCGCCTCATGATAAAGCGGCCCCAAAGACTACTGAAAATCGGCATCAGGGCCAACAACATCTGCGTAATTGGCACCACATTTTTCCTTTTCCGTTTTGGAGAAAACAAAAGCCACTTTGGATATATCATTAAAATAACACGTGCGTTTCGGCTTCACGAATTCAAAGAAATCGACGATACTCAAAATAAGAATTCCTTAATTTCAAAGTTAAAATACAAGCAATGATCTTTTATCGAGTAAAATTAACTATTATCCGCTTTAAACCTTCAAAATATTTATGTCATAGAAATTTAACAACAAATCTAAATTCAATGCGCATTCTTGCCGTTTGGGTCAACCACCGGGTTCACCAGCTTTCCACCGGCTTTCCACCAGGCCACTTGTCAGTTTTTTTTGGGTCCCGTCGAAGCGAGCTGCGCCTCCCGAGCGCCTGGTGAGCGCGCCACAGCGCCCGAAACAGATGCTCTCCTCGCGCTCCCGCATCCTGTACATAATAGGAGGAAGTCACCAGCTCCATTCATTATCTAACACTTGTTTGGAATAACAAGTCGAAGAAAAAAAAAATTGTTTTCAATTTTTGCTACCAAGAAAAATTCGCCGCCACTTTTCTAGAAATCAACGAGAACTGAAAGAAGAAGAACATAAGAGATTTTCGAGAAGAACCGATGAGCTTGTGTGTAATGAACCAGCCGCAACCTATGGATCTGGCTCCGGCGACACCAGTTTCCAGGAAACGCAAGAGAAAGCCCTCGATCACTCGCCGCAGGCCACAAGAGCCCGAAGATTCCCCCGCTAGCTCCGAGAACGATCACGATTCAACCTTCTCCTCTCCCGCCAAATGCGTCAAACTCGAGCCCGCTTCTCCCGAGTCCCCCAAGAGCGACGACCAGCTCTCATCTCCAGAACAAGCTCGTCTCCCTCACAACAACGGTAAGCGAAAGCACAAATCCCCCCTTGGCAGTTCCTCTCCCCTTGAATCCTAAAAACACGAGAAACGTTTGGGCACGCACCTGAGCAAATAGAATCACTTCAAAACTTTGTCGCGGCTTTCTCTTTAGAGTTGAAAGGCTGCTTTCAAAGCTCGCCTGTTCAGCTGTTCGAGAATTTTTTCTCGAAGGGATGGGACCTTCTTTCAAGCCACCTTTTGATAATTAGACAAACTGACATTCCACTGCATCGAGTGTTTTCAACGACATTGCCGTTTATACTGCCCGTAAAAAATCTTTCGATGAAAAGACACCCGCCAGCTGATAGCTTTTTCTTTCTCAGCGACAACAACATTTTTTTCCTTTCGGGAAGGGCCAGCTGCTCGGTGGGAGGGTCTGACGTCTCGAAAGTTGTAAAACTCATTGAGGCTCGATTTTAATATCAATTTTTTATCCCTGGCACCTGGCAGCGGGGGCCCACAGTTTTACGGCTGATGATAGGGACTTATCAAGCTGCCGCGCTACCTCCAATAGTGTCGGTATTAAAACTCTTTTCCCCCGCTTTGATCTCCGCTTCCACAGTATTCTGCCAATGTCATCCATCAGCAGGGTGTCAACTACACCCACAAGGCTGCCAGTAAGTGGGCCTTGTGCTCCTTTGTGCGCAAAGCCCTTCCCAGCTAATTATGCTGCGCCCAGCTGGGCTCAGCCGCCCCTGTTTTCACCCATTTTCCATCTGGGCCCGATACAACAATAGACTTCGGATCACAAGCTCGCTAAAAATACATATATAATTTGCCGATTAGCCGTTTTTATCCCAAATTAATTGGCCATTTAACTACTCTTCAACCCCTTATAATCAACGATAAACTGACTCTAGCTGATCTTTTAGAAGCGCAAGAAATCGAAGTCGTCAAAATCGAAAAAGCATCAGATGACGAAGATGAGGACATTCCAATGATCATCCGCAACCAGGCCAAGTCCCTGCAGCGTGCACGTGCTGCGGCTGCTGCTGCCGCCGCTGCGACTACCTTGTCCACAACGTCGACATCTTTTCAACACAGCCAGATGGCCCCGTCGCCCTCATCTGCGATCTCATCTGCTCCCAGCGCCGCGTCGACATCGCCCGCGCCAGAAGCACGAAAGAAAACTCCCTCGAAGGCCGACTCCGAAGATGGCGGCTCCGTCAACGGCAAGAACTACAAAAACATGAGCCGAGAGCGGCGATTGATTGCGAATGCTCGGGAACGCACACGGGTGCACACGATTTCTACTGCTTTCGACGCGTTGCGCCAGGCGATTCCGACTTATTCCTACAACCAGAAGCTGTCAAAACTGGCCATTCTTCGCATCGCCAGCACTTACATCAAGTCCCTCACCGCTCTTACCGGAGACACCGAGCACGGCAGCTTTGGACAGTGCGTTCAGGAGTGCACCAAGACTCTGCAGATGGAATGCCGCGCGCGATCCCGAAGAAAGGGCCGTGGAAAGGACTAAATCTTCCTCCAATAATTATCTTTATTATCTATTCTATACCTGCTAACGTTGCAACATTGCTTCATCACTCACATGACTACCTGGTACCTGAAACTTAGTTCAAACATCACTTCAAAAAAGGTCAAAATTTTCCACTTAGAATTGTAAAAAAATTTATCATCCAGCTTTTGAATCTGTTCATTTTTTTGTCCATTTACGCTCTTTTTTCTGTTTCACCAAAAACAAACACGCAGATTTATTAAGATTATTTCATCAAAATTCGCTTTCTTTGACAATTATTATATTCGGCTGCAGTTTCGCTGAGACACAGTATTTTAATAAAAAATTGAAACAACGGAAGCTAGCGACTTGAGAGTTCTTTGCAGGATTACAATTTTGATAAACGTTTAGTCGAACTGATATTAGCTCTAACGAAGCATGTATAAATGATCAATTATCAGTTATCTGAGGGATGGCTTCTGAGTGTTTTCGGGCAAAATTAGGGGCTTCAAATCGATTTTGAAAAGACGGTGGTGCGAGTTTGAGCATCTGCCAGCTGTGGCGTCAAATACAGCCGAAATATGGAGCTCACAGTATGGATGCTTCAGATGGAGCGCTTTTGTCAAGGAGCCTCTCTTCTTTATGACGCAATCACAGGACTTGGTTCCTTGAGAATTTCTCAAAACTCAGATGTCCTTTTATATAATATCCCAATCGCCGCTTGAGTAATATTCAAATTTTTATACAAAATAAGAAACAAAGACAGCTGTTGTAGTTACTAATATGCATTTTCGCTGGAAAAAGGGTTGAAGAAGGTAGTAAGTGCGCCGCACCTGCAGCTGTTGCTCCCCTACACTTTGAGGAATATAAATAGGCCTCGGACGTAAAAAAGACGATTTTCACCATCCGGTCATCGTACGGGAACAGGAGTGGGCTCATTCGAAAGCTCTTGATAAGGGCTTTCTATTCGACTGATAAAAAAACTGGGCCCTCCCTTTCTGTTACGAGTTATTTTGAAAAATATTTTTCGAAGCTTATCTTCAAAATCAAATATCTCGAAAAAGGAGGGCAGGGCCCAGTTTTTTTATAAGCCCAACAGAAAGTCCTTTTTAAGAGCTTTCGAATGAGCCTACTCTTGTTACCATACGACGACCGGCTGGTGGTGATGATTTTTTACGTCCGAGGCCTAAATATAAATGCTTACCGGATTAAAATGCCAAATCGGCTCGTAAATATCACTGCTTTTTTCTTCAAATTCCTGGGTACAGTAACAAACTGGCGCTTGATACGACCCTCCCCAAGGTCGCAAAGTCTATTATCAAAGCTCGGAGTGATTTGGAAGAGACGATAGAAAATCTCGGCAGGGACGAGGTGGCTGGAGGTGACACCGTGACAGCTGCCATGACTGCAGCGATCTGTTGTGTTTGGATTAAGAAGAGGACAACCTGGCTGGCGTCGACGCTGTTTGAACAGACGAGCGCAACTTGCACAGGCGCAATGCATCCATCCGAAGCTGCCGCCCTAAGCGATCCTGTCCCTGATGAGTTACGGCCAAATGGCTCAAGTGGCCAAAAGTGGTGCCGAACGGGCGCCGGAGAAAATCCAACTTCCAACTTTCCGGATTCCAAGCTTCCAAAACTGCTTTCCTTTCAGTTTCTTCCATTTTAAAGTAAGCATTCTTATTGAATTTATCAAACAATCAGCCGTTATTCATCACCTCTTTTCCCATCGATCAACAAGTGTAGATGTCAGTCCAGTATCGGATACGTGAGGCGGCGTCTTTGATCTCTCCCTGAGAATGAGCCGCCACGTTCTCAGCTGCTACCAACTCAACGGAAATGATGAAGAGAAGAGCTGAAATGCGTTTCGGCCGCCAGTCCATCGATTTTGATCTGCATTCCTTCGCCACATCGGTCGAGATGAAACATGATTCTGCAACACAAATTCCTTCTTTTACAAATTCTTCAGTCATTGACTCAAAGAATCAAATTTCATTATCACTGATGAGAGTTTCAGAAAGCATCAAAAAATCTCCCATCTTTTAATTTCCACAATAAACTTCTTCTCTGTCGAAATAATTGACGAAATATGCCATCCAGCCTGAACGGAAATTCTCCATAGACGAGACCATGCGTCGATCTTTAGGCGCCTATTTTCGTCACATATTTTGGGACTCATTACCAAAGCCCGTGATTTGCAGAAATGATCATTTATCGTTTTATCGAGCATGTTTTCACATGTTTTTCGTTGTTTTCACAGACGATATCGGTTCTCACCCGTGGCTATCATTTCTAAAGGCGTCTTGGGGCGAATCTTTTCGATGTAGGTGGCTGTCTTCGCTCAAGAATTTTTGGCTCAACAAAACATTATTCAAAAGACCTGTCAAATTCTCAAGATCCATTTCTAGTTGGGGAGCTGCTGTTCCAATAGTACTTGGAACTGATTTAACAGCGTTGATTTATTGTGTCCTTTTAGCTTTCCTCGATGTAAATTTGCGCTGTCATAAGCACTAGAGTGCGCGCGATTGCTCGATTTTCATTGCTTATAAAGCTGTATTCTTCCTTCCAGCTTCTGTCGCTCCTAACGAGGACAAACTTTACCCTTGCTGTAATAAATCTAAGGCGATAAGAGTGATAACGGCGCCTTCGAGGCGCGGCAGGGCGGCGCATCTTCGTTTCGGGCACACGCACACAAGGAGCTCATTCCGGCCCCTGTACTGAGTGCACCTGTCACATCGTTTGGGCAGCGCCAGCCGCCGCTCGACCTGGATGCTGCATGTGTGCCCAAGGATTCTGCAGGCGACCGAGTGGCAGCTACCGCCCGTCTCCGCGGAGCCCGCAATCGTAAAACACGAAAACTTTTTTTTATGCCAAATGGTTAATCAGCTTAGAATTATCTTCGACAGCTACAGTAAAAGTACGATTTGAAATCACAAATTTCTAATTCATAAATTTTTATTTCCAATCAAAAATCTTGGCAAAGTCGGAAATAATCTGTTTATTCAGCGATGTTGAACTTGAAAGGGATGCAACTTCAAAGGAAAAAAAAGCTCCAGATTCGCACTTATTTGGCCACATTTTTGATTATCTCTCAAGGTGGTGCAAGCAGGCTCCGGCACCATGCGGGCTGTTGGTGCTGCAGCTGCATTAGGCGCACTGCGCCAATCGCAAAGGAGAAAAGAAATCTGCCCGCTACAGGTGGCGCACACCTGCCGACACCACCACCAGTTTCAGCATCAAGAATTGCTGCAAAATTAGAGTTTTTTTTTCAGGTGGAAGGATCACATGGCAATTTTTGTAAATTTAGCACTGTGTCAAAATCTTCCCAAAATCGAATATTAAATTTTGGAAATCAAAGTTTTTTTTGTTAATTTTTCTCACGGTCCTTAGATACGTAGCTTATCACCTCTAGGACTAAAAAGGGGAAAGAGAAAATCATGAAAAAAGGCAACTTTCATCAATACATTTGGAACCGAAAAGACATCCAAAAAGTGGACATCTGGGCTCGGCAACCTGTGTAGAAAACCTGAGTCAGGGTCTATAGATCTAAAATGAAAAGTCGCGTAGCGGCTTTTTTATAAACGAAGCCGCTTTGCTCAGAAATCAATTGCTAGTCAAGGAAGTTATATCTGCGAAGCCGCTTCGCGGCTACGTCTTTAAAAAAGCCGCTACGCGGCTTTTCATTTTAGATCTGTAGACCCTGACTCAGGTTTTCTACACAGGTTGCTAAGCCAAGGTGGACATTGTTGGTGAACTCGCTCAACGAGGCTTTTTGCGCGAAATTGCGGAGAACATCTTTAGCTACTTGGAATTTTCGGATTTGTTGATTGTCGGGCAGGTATCGAAACAGTGGGCGGATATAAATATCTCAAGAAGAATGTGGAAGGAAGGGCTATTGAGAACGATATCAGTCGTAAGTGCTCTTGTTTTAATAAATATTACGAAAGTGAATATTCTCCTGCGCTTATAATTATCCAAAACTAAGGATGAAAAGTGGAGGAAGCAAGTGGAACGGTTGAAGATTTGCGACTATGACGAACTTCAATCGAATAATCTCTTAGGTAACTAATAAAATAAATAGTGCTCCAGAAGAGTTATGCCATAGAAGAATCGTCATAATCATTAGATTGCGAGAAAATTGGAAGAAGGATCAATGGATATTTTCGAAAGCAACGACAGAACTGGGGGCAACGCCCTCAAAGCGTTCAGGATGAGTTGTCCCATATTAATAATATGATATTATCTCCTTTGAAGAAAAGAACCCTCGAAAGTTGATGTTTTGAACTCTTGATGTGCCTGAAAATAACTCTGGAGAAAGACAGTAAATTTAGGAAAAGGGAACACCATCAAACCACTTGGAATCGACGCTTCTGATGATTATATTGCGGTTATTGTCGATAGATTTCATGTAGGAAGCGCTTGAAAAGACTGAAAATCGGTATTATCTTCTTAATTTTGTAAGCGTAAAGCAGTTATTCTCATTTTCGCCCGTTCTGACGGCCAATTCATCTGCAGATTGACCGATTGCCCGGGCGTTAAATTCGTTCAAGTTCATAAATCAACTTGTGTCGCTTCCAATTCTTCCGGAAAAACGATTTTCATTTGGCTCGGTTTGAAATTTCACTTGCAGATAGTGATAAGCCAAAAATTTAAAACCGATGGTAAGAACTTGCCGAGTGGACTGTTACTCAATCAAATCCGAGTTCACGAGCCGATAATGAGTTTGTCCTGCTTTTGGGACATGGAAAAGATGTTTGTTGGGACGATTTCGTCGCTTATTTCTTATGAGATCAGAAATGATGGCGAATATTTCGATGAAAACTGTCTTTTGGAACTCGGAAAAGGAATCACGAAAATAACTGCAAATGATAAATCGCTGTTTTACGGGACTTTTGACGGTTATCTTGGAATGCTGGACGTTAGAACGTTGGCAAAGAAGGCTGGTTTCACGAAGAAAGGATACAAGATCTCTTCCTTGATTTCAAACGATGGTTTTCTCGTCGCACAATTTGAAACTGGGCTGGAGATGGACAAATACATCTATATTTGGAAGATCGATGACACTTCTGATCGTCCATTTATATCGCCACTTGCGATTATTCCGAACTCAAAAAGTGAGCCGACTTTTTCGAATGGGGGAGCAGTCGTTTTCAATGGAGACGAAATCTGTGTCGGCGGACAGAATTTAGTTACTATTTATGAATGGATTGAATTCCCTTTACCAGCCCTAACCCTAACGCTAACGCTAACCCTAATCAACCCTACCCCTTAGCATTATTACTATATCGAAACTATCAAAATCCAATGAAAGTCAATCGAAAAGCTTCAAAGAGCAAAGGAACTGAAACTGTCAGCTGAAATGACAGTCATTAATCGCCTGAAAGTTCAGGGCGTATCAAATTCTCTTTATTCCAACAAGAATCTGCTCATAAGGAAAAGTTCCTCATCGTAACTTTAACATCTTTTATGATCTAAAAGTAACTTTTCACAAGCGCCTGTGGTCCTCTTAATGGATTCTCCTTCACGATCTTCTCATTCAGCGAAGAATTTCAATACAATAAGTACCATTATGAGCTGATAAGATGAATCTGATATAATTCCTTTTTCTAATAATAAAGAAAAACTGATGATGATTGTTTTGAACAGAGAATTATTAACCGTCGTAAAAACTCGCTGAGCACAAGTAGATGTCAGAATAAAAGGTCATTCTGAGGAAAAAAAAATAAACTCGACAGAGAGTAAGGACTCACGCTTTGAAGCCAAGAGAAGACATGTGCCACCAGATACAGAAAAAGAGAACTTTGCAGGATGTTTTGCACTTTTACAGCGTGCAGCTTCTTATCATTTCAATTTTTCAAATTATGAACGGGTCTAATTCAAATTTGCTAATTTTTTTCTTGCTAAAAGCTTTTCGATTCCTTGAAAGAATGGACGCCCTGGCAACTTGGTACTGGACACTTACCTTCGGAACAGGCTGCTTTATCGGAATTTTCGGAGTAGCAACTGGATCCATGGGCATTTCATATTCAAAAGTTTCCGATAGTACTAATTTCAAGATACTTCTCAAACGAGTTGCGATTATGGCGTACGTAACAATGTCGTTATCATTTGGGGTGTATTTTTGGTTAATTGTTATGACAGGAATGCTTACTTCCTTGAAGTGGAATAATGATTTTACCGTTTATCCCGTTTTTCTTGTCGGAGAAGCTATCTGCTTTATGATTCAGTGGTCGTTTTTATACTATCTTGCGAATGTGACGGGATCGCCCTGTAATTGTATGGCGGAAGGTTCGTGCTGCTACACGGATCCAGTTCTTGACGCCGCATCGGAAGAACCACTTGTTGCTTCGAACCCTCAAGGCTGCAATACAATGCCTGTTGTGCACACTTACTTACCTGCACAAACCCAGCCAACAGGTTCGCAACATGTCTCGCTCTTATATTAACTCAATACTCTAGCAATTGTCTATCAACAGCCTCCGCAGGGTACAACCTATCAAAGCCAAGTATGTTTTATTCGATTTATTATAAATAACGATTTATAAGAATTTCAATGGATATTCCGTCCACACGGTTCCTCAACAACTACCCGTAGTCCCACAGGAATGGTTTTGATTTTGATCTCTATGGATAAAAAGCTAGAAATTCAAAACCTCGATAAAGGCACCGCCACGGGACTCTCTGAGCCCGCCACCTTATGCAGAGTCAAGAAAATTCAGCGTTGAGGCAGATGAATGAGACTTTTTCCTGCTTTGACTGTATCAAAATAAATCCATACATTAGATTGGGTCATTTTATTTTGCAGGGTTTTTATTTGTTCACTTTCGGAGCGCCTTGATCCGTGATGCCCTTTACTTGAACAGTGCTAAAGTCGTTTTTTAGTTTGTATCGTAAAGAGATAACTTACTCGGTCAGCCCAGCCATCTGAATAGCTTCAAATGCGAAGACACAGAAGTCAAACCACCAGAAGCAGTTCGCGGAAACATGAGGAGCACTGTTTTTGGCGACAGTTATCTTTTCATATTTAACAATTTTAAAGGTTTTCTGCTGTTAAATTTGTCTTGAAAACCAACCCAACAAGATGCAAAGACGAAGTGGTAGAGGAGTCCCCACATGAACATATCTTTTAGGGATATTATTCGTAATTTTTTCGAAAAATCCTCCGAAGAAAAAATACGCAGAAAGTACCCTATGTATTTATCCCTGACAAAGGTAGATTGCCCACCCCAAGAACAACATTTACAGAACCCAAGAATAATCGAAAATATCCACCAAATTAGACTATCAATAGTTGAAATAAATTAATGAAAATGATCTAGTACCTGATGCAGCAGGTCGCAAAAGCAAATGGCCATTGCCAACCATGCTTATGAAAACATCCATGGTTGTGGTTGTCATCGCAAACGGCTACTAGGCAGCATATAAATGCGACAAATTCTAGCACAATATGGATGACTTTGATAATGAGTTGCTATTTATAAGTTTTTTTCCGGGAATCGTTCATTTTATTCACTTGGTTTCTGAGTTGATTGTCTCTCTTAAAACTTTCCTTGCAGCTCTGCCGTTCTGCCATCTTCCTATATCTCTCCTATCGCTGTTTTGCATCGATTCTTAGAAAGCGGGGCTTATACCAGATGCCCGTTGAAAGCATTTATTTTCGTAGCTAAGATGGAAACTATGGCCGGAAATGTCATGTTATCAAAGTCGTAATTTCTGCCCTGGTTACTTGGTTACTTTTTTTTATTAAACAGTTAGGGAACAATTTTCACGAGCATTGAACTTATGAGAAATTATAATCTTTCATTGTCCCATCAGCCGAGAGAGCCGTCTTTTTTGAGGTTTATTTTAATGAATGATAAAATAAAACAAAACTAAATTGAAATATCCTGGTTTCTATAAACCCGTTCCTCAGCTGCTTTTGGTTTGAGCGTAGTAGCAGACTGCATTTCCGGCGGAGCGTTCTTGTGAGTCTTAAACACTACAAGCAGCACCACTAGAAGAAGTACAAATCCACAGAGTCCAATGACAATCCACCATTTTGCTTCTGCTGTTGTCAAAGCGTTGGTCAGGATGAGCTTCACTGATTTTGGTTCAACGATTTCGTCGCTGTCAAGGATCGGACTCGATATGATCATCTTATTGTTTTTCGTTATTTTGGTTGATGTTGTTTATTATTTACCTCGGATGTTATGGTGCTATTTTCTCGACACTCGGGAGTGTTCAGCTTCTTCATAAGATTGAAATTGACTTCAACTTCGCTCAAGAGAGAAGGCAGAAGATCTTGTTCAGACTCAACTCTGATCGTCAACTTGCCATTTTCGCTTTCACAGGTTGGTTTTCGCATTGTGAGGGTTCCAGAAACGACTCCATTTTCTTGTTTGCAAGGATTTTCGAAAATATAAGCTTCTGTTATTGTTGTGACGACGGCCAAGTTTCCGGCTTTGACGGGACTGACGCCTGAAATCAAGGAAGAAACACTGATGCTGATGATTTCGGCTCCAGTTTCGTTATCATCTTTAAAATGATCGTTTACGATTTTTCGATTTCAAAACCACTTACTGTCGACATTACACAACGAGCTATCAGGTGAGACGCTCAATCTCGCAGTATTCTTATCCAGCAATTTTTCTTGAACAACTGTAATCGAAGAAGAGCACTCAGTGCCGCCGCAGTTTCTGATTTCTTGACATTTTCCGCAAGAAAAGAGCTTGGCTGAGTATCCAAGTTCTTTGCTTGTTCCATCTGCTTTGACGTCAAATGCGAAATTTGCTCTTTGGCGATCGCCCTCGTTCATCGCGAATCCAAGAGACTTGAAAATGCACTTGCGACCGAAGTAAGTGTTTCCACAGGAAGAATCATTTGGGCAAGCATCAACGTACCAGTCGTTATCGGAGGTCATGTCGAAGCTCAATTGCCTTGGCAGAAATTAATGATTGAGAATCAAACAAAAACTACTCACCCTTCCTCGAACTCCATCATCAGAGAAGGTCGCATCAAAAGAGCATCATCCAATCTCACCGTCAATTGCCCATTCAACCGTTCAGCTGGTACATTGATACTCTTCACCGTCGTCTCTGTCTTGTCCATTTCGACATCGAGGTTGATTTTCGGCGTCTGAAAAAAATCAGAAACGTACGAAAAAATAACTTACATTTGAGCCATCGCCTTCAATTTCCACAAAGTGTCTTGGAAGCCGACTCTTGCAGCCAAAAGTGTAGCCGAACATTTCTTGTTGATTTTTGATGTTCAACTTAGCTTCGAAAACTGCTAGTTCAAAAGGACCTGTGTTGCAATCTTGAAGAACTTTGCTGATTTCAACCGAGATTTCTTCACAGAATTCTGATGATCTTCTTGTTTTTATCTCGATTTTCTGCATAATGACATCTCCAACGAGTCTTGGGTCCAGCTGGATTGCGACTTCGACCGTAACAGAGTTCGGTGCCTCGACGGGTTTGTCAGTCAAACGCACACAGATTTCAGCTCGAAGTTGATTTGCTTCCCGATCAAGGACGGATTGATCGCCCCAGTAAAGCTCAAGCTTAAACATCGGTTTCAAGTTGAATAAGTAAATCATATCAGATTCTCCAGCCGTGACAAAGAGTTGGTTATCTTCGCCAGTTTTGTATTTCATCTTCGATCCGAGAGCTTTGAAGTCCCCAGTTGGGGAGTATCCAGAGACTTCGCCAATATCAGTTTTGTCCAAAAGGCAAAAATCTTCAGCGGAGGCCTCATTAGCTGCTTTCATCGTAAATTTGCCTCCGTAGATGAGATAGAGTTTGCCAAGTGAGTTGTTTTCATTGGCTGCATAGGGGGAGGAAATGACTACATCGTTGAATCCGTCACCGTCTTGGTCACCGACGTGTTCTATCGCAGATCCAAATCTTCCTTCTTGATCAACGCCGAGGAGAATTTTCGGATCGATGTCATCTAGCTTGCCATCTCGCTGGATATAGATAAAGATTCTGCCGATATCGTACTTTCGCTTCTCCGAGTAATGAGGAGCTCCGACAATCAGGTCATCAAGTCCATCGTTGTTGATATCAATGACTTGAATCGCGAATCCAAATGACTCGTGAGAGAAAGTTCCGCAGACTCTTGTTCGTCTTGATTCGAGAGCTTCACTCGATTGTTGATAACTTTTGGGCATCTCTCCTCCCCATTCGTATTCTTGCTGCAATTTCAGAAAGTTGACGCATCCAGTTCTCTTGTGCTGGTCATTCAAACCACGATCTTCGACTTCTAGCAAGAAATCTTCGCCGCCAATATTGATCGAACCAACGTTTGAGCCCCTTCGTCCTCCAGCTTCTTTTCGTTTGATGAAGTCTGGTGTCATCGACTCGCTGGAATATTCTGGCTTTGAAAAGCTCAAGAACTTTTTCTTGGTGATGGATTTTTCGATTTGCTGCATTCCAGCGACCATCAGGAGAGCTTTGCTTGGGAACTCACGGGTGTTGAATGCGAAGGTGTTTCCTTGATTGTGATTTTTCGGTGCTCCGACGAAGACGTTACTGTCGAATTCATTGATAGATGTTCCAAAGTGACAGCTCATGCTCATCATACCCTGGTCATAGTTTCGACCGTAGCGACCGTATTCTTGTGTGCCGTTTTTCCAGTAGATAGTCGGTAAACTATGACCGCCCGTGGGCAAGAGTGGGGTCAAATAAGTGAAACAAGGGGAGATCCAGTTGATGGCGGTGGAATCGATGTTTCCATTTTTAAGCCCGTCAATTTGGTCCTTGATGTTCTTGACATAATAACAAGACCCAATCGGGAAGTCGTGTCGTTCAACAGAGCTCTGCATGTCTTCAGTTTTCTTGAGAGTTCTGCATCTCGTCTCGCCTTCTTCCAAATCTTCATGATCGCGACGATCACACATCGCAGCCGCGGTAGCTCTAGGATCGCAAAACCAGAGAGCGCCAGAATCATCGACTTTAATTGTGGCGCCGAGAAATTTATTGTGTACCAAGAGGTTTTCCTCCCTTATTCCTCGAAAGATATTATTCATCAGCGTCCCCTGATCCGCCTCAAAGAGCAGCGGGCTTTCGTGGCAAGTCTCGCTTGTGCATTGTCTGTCGATTTCGTAACTGTAAACGCGACCTGTGTAGCCCGGCTGTACGTTGAATTTTGGAGCTCCAACGACTAAATTGACCACTTCTTCGCCATTTTTCCTCTGAGTGAAAAAGTCGAAGCTCGCTCCGAACTTTGACCCTTCCTGGCTATTCGTCAGAGTCAGCTTTTCTGAAAACACGGAAGACTCCAACCCAAGCACTGCGGAAAGTGCGAATATCATCGACCGCATTTTCCGCGAAGAAAATCAAAAATCTCTTTCGTTTTTTCTCTATGCGCCTGTCAAATTTAATTTTTTGGTCAGTGCAAGCCATACATTTGTTAAATATTTGCCTTTCACTATTCATCGGCTCGAGTGTGTGCCTAGGGTCTTTACATTTCAGCGCGCGGTTTTCATAAACTTCAGAAGATTGCTTTATGTGGCAATATGAAAAGTAACCAGAAAAAATAATTCAAGGAGATTGCTATTTATTTGTAAGATTGAAGTCTTTTATCTTCCATGTTCATTATCGAAAGGATTATCGAATGTGCAAGTTTCCACAGTCATAAGCTGCCTGATTGAATTCATCCTCCGAAATTTCGACTGCGTTTCGTGGCAAATTGCCGGTCCTTTCGTATTGAGCGTTTGCGGCATCGACGAATACTTTTTCGTTACTGATCAATTCTAAGGTAAGTTGGTAAAATAACTTTCAGCCATTCCACAACTCACCAACTTGATCTTCAATCCTGTCATTCACAAATTTCATGAAGCGTGTTCCATTCTTGAAAAAAAAAATCATCAAGTGTCAAAAATGATTACAACTTTTGACGAAGAACGCCGTATTTTGAGCTCAATTGATGTTTGCCTGATCACTTCCAGATCAGCCGAGGTATCATGAAGTCGATGAAGCTCATTTTCAGAAATCGATCCATATTTTCTCTAAACAACTGTTACATCAAACACCATTTTTTACTCTACTTCTGGTGTGAAATCCATCTTGAAGTATCTATCGTTAATTGATATTTGCCGCCGAAACATGGGTTTTGGCGGAATTTTGGGCCTCCCTTGAATTGCATCACTTAGATCTCGTTGAAACTTGTCCAGTACTCCAGGCTCAAAGTTGTTCTTAATTCTTTCTTGAAGCCCCTAAATGTTAATCAGTATTTGAGCGTCAAATAACATGCTTGTCTTACTGCGAGATTGCGGTTAAGCTCGACTTCTTGCTCCGTAAGCATTCGATTTTTTTCGCCAAGGCTTCTTTGAGTACTGTTCCAATCATCGAATTTCTTTGTCAGGAGAGTTGTTCGTCTCATACGCTTTGAGCCAGCTCATTTTAAGGATTATTCTTATTCTAATCCTTTTAAAAAGCGTTCCTAATAATATTGTTCGCGACTTCGCGTCTTTCATGAATTGTCTGAAAATTGTGAAAAAAAATAAAGTTCTGCTTCTTTACCTGAGAATCGGATAATCGAAGATCGTCCGGCAACTGTCTTCCTAATTCTGTGCTAGAATACAGGGATTTCTCCAAGTCAGCAACTTCAGCTTGCATAATGGAAATCAATCGCTTCGAGTAGTTGACTTCATTTTCCAGCTGTCTTCTGAGCTCTTGTTTCTCTCGGGTGAATTGATTCCCTTGTTCGTGATGGGCGTCGTAGGATTCTTTGAACTGACGTCTTTGGTTTTCCATTTCTTTATTAAAAAAGTAAAATGACGAGCTAAATACTAACCCTACCTCTTAATTTTTTTGGCAAATCGTCATGATTTGCTTTTGGCGTTCCAAAACAAATATCGTATTTTTCGTACGAAGACAACAAATTTGGAGATGAACCTATTCGCTGGGGCAGATCATGTTGTTCATGCTTAGTTTGCTCAGGAAGTGTACTCATGTGTCGAAGAGGAGGTTTTGACGGAAACTTGGAGGGTGTGGAATCGTAGCCGGGTTCCATTTTGTTTTTCAGTTTGTCGTAGATTGGCTTGACTCTGATATTTGTATTTTTCATTGATCAATTTGGCAGAAAAGAAACAACAGTACTTTATAATGAGAAACAAGCCTTGGATGCTCAAGAATCTGAGATGCAGTCGGTCGTTTCTTTCTCAATTCGAAGCATCCCTTGATGATCTGATCAGCATCAACGCTGCCTTCTACCGGTTTGTATTCTAGCGCCTCGATTCGTTGCCCCATTTCTAATTCTACATTTTTCTTTTTCTTGACTTCATCGGTCAAAAATGGATGCTCGAGCATGATCAACTCGTAGAGAATGACTCCAGCTGCCCAGATGTCAGAATCACGACCAAATTTAGCCTCTCCACCAGCGAAAAATTCGTAATGAACGTATGCGAGAGTACCACTTGCTATTTTTAAGGATATTAAAAGAAAGATGCATCAGAAGAAAAGAAACAACTAAAACATATCCTGTTACAGTAGAAGTAACATCATCACCCAAGGTCTTGTTAAGTCCAAAATCTCCGAGCTTGCAAATGTTTTTATCCTTTTTGAAAAATATGTTTTCCGGCTTGATGTCGCGATGAATGATGTTCTTGCCGTGAATGTATTCTAAGGCCATGTTGATCTGAGTAAACCAGCCCCACAATTGATCATCATGGAGTTTGACATCTAAATGGTTTCTCATTAGTGGCACAAAGAGAGTATCTTACTGTTCTCTTTTGCTGCATCAATTGTTTTTCTTAGATCTCCACCTCCGCAGTACTCCATCACGATACGAAACTCTTTGATAGAATTCCCCATGAAAGAGTTGCATTCAAGCTCGTCCAAGTATCTCACGATATACGGATGGTTGAGGCTCTCTAGTACTTCAGCTTCTTTTTTCGCATTTTTGATTTCTCTCTCTCGTTCTTCTTTATCCTTACTCATTTTTATCTTTTTCACGACAACCTGTTGTCCATCTTATTTCAAAATATTATTAATAAAAAAACGTCAATAATTGACCTGTTAATCGCTTTGCCAGAACTACTTCACCAAATGCTCCTTTCCCCAGTGTCTGTATCTTCTTATACTTATGCCCATGCTCTTTGAAGAAATTTGCATCGAACATCGCAATTCAAAAACGGCTCAAAAATCTCCTTTAATTTTTTGGAGAATGGAATGGTCGACTTCAAATTATGCCAATATTTGCAATCTTGGCAAGAATCATGCGTTATTCCGTTAAAATTTAACACGATAACTTCTTCTTCTTCTTATGAAACATTCGCAAATAGGACTAAGGCTCATCAAAGTGCCAAATACGCCTGCAATTCCTGCAAGAAAAAAACGAAAGTTCAATGTGAATATCTTTTTATTGATGTATTCAAACAACAAGTGGCAGGTTTATGTTTGTAAATTGTAAAATAAGTGAAATTCTATTCATTCCTAATTTGATGATGTCGCCGATTCGGGCACACCTTGAAAGCTCATACGTCTCATTCTCAGATAATGGCCGAGTCCCCGCACAAAATTCGTCGAAATCGGGAACTCGTTGAATATATCCGTGTATATAAGTTTTTTATAAGGGAGTTAAATGCTTTTTATATCTTGCTTTTCATAATATGAACATGGATCTTTGAACGTCTGGAAAATATAACGAACTGGAAGAAAAGAAAACATCATTTTTTCGGACACTTTTTTCAACGCGCATTTTGATCTTTTTGTGCTCAATTGAGCTCTCTTGGGCGTCGTCCGTGAGGCGTGTATCTGATACAAGTCTGGTCGCACAGCATTTTTGGCTTTTTGAAGCTTGGGCTTGCCACGAAATCCTCGAGCAGCTTGGGGGAGACGCAGATCACGTGATCGCCCTAAACAATAATTTTTGATAAAGGGCTCTATTCTGTGCTCGACAACTTGTGTAGAAAACCTGAGTCAGTGTCGCTCAAAACCCTTTCATGGCCCTGACTCAGGTTTACTTCACAAGTTTTCGAGCACAAGATCTCTTCCTTGATTTCAGTGTGGAAATTTTCCCATTTGAAAATCGATTTTAAATTGTTACCTTCCAGTACTTGACAAGATTGAGCGAGCGGAGCGTCCAAATGATGTCGTCCCGCGAGATGCAAGTGTTCTCGCTCAAATCGGCGATCGTAATTTGCCCGCGGTAATCTTTCAAGTTTTCAAGCAGCACATAGGTCCAGTAGGATCGGTAGGAAAGGCGGCCGAGATCTGAGAGGGGCTTCTCCGGCGATCCTGAAATTAACGATCGAGAAAGCTGTTCAAAATCGTCAGAAAACTCACCAACTTGTCCTTCGCGTTTGGACAGCTCGTAGCTAAAGCTGATAAGAAGTTTTCCATAGCCCTGGCGTTGATAAGGCGGGAAGGTAAGAATGCAAGCGAGGTTGTTGTTCTCATCGGACTGTTTTTCCTTGCTGTAGTATCCGATGATTTCAGCGCCCTGAATGACCATTAGGGTCGGAAGAAACGGTTGGAGTCTTACCTCAGGCGTGGACTTGGTAAGAACATAGAAATAGAAGGGGTCAACGTCGAAGTAAAGCGTTTTGTGGTCGAGAAACAGCTTGGCGACAAGGCATAAACACTGGCAGTAGACTTTATCATGGTTCCCGTCGACTTCGAATATTGCTAATTTTTCATTTCCGGTTTCCTACAGCCGCTCGTTAAATTTGATTGAGGGAGAAATCGAACCTGTCTGTAAATTTCATATCCAGGAGGATTGCGGCGTGAACATCTTCGCTTGTGGATGGCGTAAGACTTCTTGGTCTTCATGTACTTGAGGCAAAAGGCACAGATGTAGAGCTTTGGCGTCCTTCCGAATACTTCAGGATAAGGGGAGTAGTACCAGCAGTCAATCTCGTACCGGCCGAGTTGGATGCGGTCTATGTATTTTATCTGAAGACGCTTTAAGTGATCGCCCTTTTTTTCTAGCGTTAGAACCTTGGTAATCGCCTCGTGTTCCTTTTCCAGCGCGGCAGTGGCGGGATCCATGTCAGACAGAGGCATCGAGACATGATTGATCTCGTCGTATTTCCTCTTCTTGTTTCTCGTCACCATCGACTCTTCTTGCTGATCGTTTGACGATGCCACATTGGAATCTTTAATTTCTTGCTCGAGCTTCTCCGCTGAAAAATTAAAGTTTCAACTTCGTTTCAAGTTTCAAGTTCAATCAGATTCAACTGTTATAACAGTATCTTCTCTACAGATAAAGCCATGAAAACAAGGATGGGACGCCTTATCTCATCCTTGTTTTCACTGTGCTTGGCAACCTGTGGAGAAAACCTGAGTCAGGATTTGAGAGAATTTCAACAAAAAGCTCTTTCAAATCCTGACTCAGGTTTTCTACGCAGGTTGCCGAGCACAGGCTGTCCTCTGTCGGATAATTGACTTACCATCGATCCACTCGTCAAGTCGTCGGTCGAGATTTTCATAATGAACGTAGTATTCAAATCGCTGCGTGATAGTGTTCAGCCGTTTTTCTAAGAAGAAGATTAGCCACTAAAAACTCAAGGCAAAAAGAAAAAATAATCTTCACGCATCATTTCCAATTCAAAAGCTTTGCCTGTTTACTTTTCAAACAATAATCTGTATTTGAGATGAAAAATTTCGAAATCGATCGGAAATAGTACAAAACAAAGAATTTGAAGCACAAGTGCCCACTTGTGTATAAAACTACCCAAAAAATGAGTCTACCTAATTATTTCGCCAATATTTTAATCTTAAATAAAAGCCTAACCCTAACCTGAGCCAGGCCTAACTCAGGATATGAAAATTCATGTCCTAAATAAACTCTTACAGTAGAATCTAACTTGTAATACTGAAAATAAACAGTAGTTAGGTCAAGGGAAAGAAATCAATAAAATCTACTGTATAAGATTTTTAGTAGTATTCAAAATATATATTTACTTATTAAAAGTGCGAAAAACAGGAACACTTATTGAAGAAAAATGAAGAAAAAACTGTAAATTAATAGGAGCTATTGAAAAATTAATTACTTTCAATTGGTAATTACGCCCGCTAATTTCAAAACAAAGAAAACAGCGTCGTAAAACTCAAAAACAAAAGAAAAAAATGCCCCTATTTTACGGATAATTACGTCGAAAGTGTGTTACCTAAAACAAAAGTCTTCGTGAGTCCCGTATTCCGCCTGGAAATAGTGTAAAACTCGCCGAGTTTTATCTCTGAATCCTTCTCGTCCTTGCTTTTATTCGCCATTCTGGAGACCATCGATTAAATCGTATTCTCGTAATTTTCGCGTTTTCTTTTTCCGTTCATGCGTTATTATCAAAAAGTTAAAATAACAATTTCCCCAAAAATAGCGGTTCTAGAGCTTTCTTTTCGAGCCGAAAAAAGGCGCCCGAAAAAGGGGAATTCTCTTTTCCGCGGCGAGAGTGGATCGATCGTCCGTTTTTCAAAGATTTTGAGAAAAAAAAAGCGCGGGCGATTTTTAACCGATCAGCGCGCGGCGCGGGCGAGCGAGATTTAACCCATTGGCGCAGGGAGAACGAGTGGGCAACACTGGCGTACGAGTTGAATTGAGGCCGCGAACGAACCAAGTTGCGAAAATTTAACTCTTCAGGAATGGGCGTAATTGAGAATGATTAATCGGTTAGTCACTTGATTACTCACTGATATCAGTGAATGAAAAATTCAAAAAGGGAATGATAAGGGGCTTCTACTTAAGGGTAGAACCTAAGATATTGAAACAAAGCTAACCTGATTTCGATTTCATGTTTAAAAATTCAATCAATAAGTTGACAAATTTTCTCTATTGTGAAATATGGTAGAACATTCTATTCGTACTTTCGCTTAGTATATCTAGAAAAATACTAAATTAGTAAAATTAAATTTTATTTGTCAAAATACTCAATTTATCAAGTGAAAATCTCTTAGTAACAAAATTTATCCATGTCATCCAGTGTAGAAAACCTGAGTTAGGATCTGAGAGTTTTTAATGAAAAGCCGCATAGCGGCTTTTTTTAAAAACGAAACCGCAAAGCAGATTTGCCAGAGTTAGAAATAATTTCGCAAAGCCGCTTTGCCGCTTCGTTATTTATAAAAGCCGTTACGCGGCTTTTTATTAGAGATATTTCAGACCCTGACTCAGTTTTTCTACACAGGTTCCTAAGAACAATCTCTTTCGGTAAGAGTCTAACCTTGATGATAAGCTGCGAATAAATTCTTCAGTGGTGGTGATAAAATTCATAGTCGGATAAAGTTCAGATTGGATTCTTCTGAAAAAATCGTGAATTTCGGAAGGTTTCGCGAATTGGAATTGAAAAGTGGCGCTTTGCCAAATTGGCGCTCTCAACAAATGAGGATCGCGCGCTGAGTCTTGAGACTGTTTCTCAGAAGAATCACGAGATGGCTCCGAGGAAAAAATCAAAACCAAAACAATGAGGACAGAAATTTATTGAAGAAAACGTAAAATTAATTTAAATAATTTAAAAGAAAAAAAGAAGATGAGCTCGTTTACTGAAGAAGAACGGGCGAATTTTCTCGCGGATTTTGAAAGAAAATATGAAGAGACAGACGAAACTATCGACGAAAAGATTAAAAATGTCGTCAGGTAAAAATCCATCTTTTTTTGCTTCAGATTTTCTTTTTTTTTCCTTTTTCAATAAATTCATTTTTAGATGGATGGGCGAGTCTCATTCCGCGGAAGAAAACCTAAAAGACAACGACGAGGAAGCCGAGCACGTCTTTGCCAAAATCCACCGAACCCGAAATTCCCAAATCTCCGTTTCCGCCGTCTGCGGCTGTGGCAAAACTGTAGAAGGAAAACGATGCTTTGAAAAGTGCCACTATTCGAATTCAAATGAAAGAAAACTTCGTGGCTTGTTGGGAAATGCGAGGGAATGGCTCAAAGAAAAGATCTCTTTCAATCAAGCACAAGCTTCAGAAGCAGTTAGTTCCTTGCGATTCGAGTTGGAGCTGAAAGAAAACGAAGAAAATCAAGTTTTTTGGAAAAAGATCAACTCGATCGTCAGAAACAGCGAAAAGCTCCAGGCGATTGGCCTGTCAGAGCAGTTGAAGTCCTGGTTTGTGAGATTAGTGCTAGCTCAGCGTTCGCATTTCTCGTTGCAGGATGAGTCGCAGATTTTATTTATTCTGACGAAATTGCCAGATGGTTGGGTGACATCCTGGGCGGCGAAATTGGCCATGGTTCGACTTCCCATAGAGCCAGATCCTGGCCTTATCCAGCACTACCTCTTCCTCGTTGAACTGGTTCTTTGCTGCTTCAAAACTGAGCGGTCCCTCTCCTCAACCCCTATTCAAGAGAACAAGGAAGAAGAAGAGAACTCTCCGGAAGAACAGCTTCGCAACCAAAACTCGACTTCAGCCACTCCCTCCGTCGGTTCCAATTCTTCGGAGACCTTTTCAGTCCTCGAAGACGAGGAAATCCTCGGCGGTCCTTTCGACCCCGAATCGCCACCAAAAGACCCCGCCGAGCCGATTACGAAACCGAGTCTCGGGCCAAGCGATTTGATCGAACTCACGAGGCAATTACGGCTATCAGAAGCGATAGAACTCGATGTCATCGATTCCAACGCATTGATTGATATTTTCTGCCGATCGCTGGAAATTTACTCCGCTTCTTCTGCTTATTCACAGTACTGCTCTGTGATTTGCTCGTATTTGGAATGCGTCGTCAGAAAGTCGGCTCTATCGCCGAATATAGAGGAAATTATCCTCAAAACATCACAAAAATTGCTGAAAATCTCCCGCTTGAGCGTTCTATACAGCATTTCCGCCTTCCCACTTGAGCAACTCACGAGAAACGGTGTCAAACGAATGGTTAGTTTGTTCCTTTTTCCGAACGCGAAGATGGAGTCGCGACGAATGAAGATTTCAACCGAGCAGAAGCGCAGCTCGCGAATCTTCATCAAACCGAACTTTCCAATTACATCCGCGCCGCGAGCTGCTTTCTAAGAAAGATCGACTACCACGACGAAGAAATTCCAGATGAAATGGTCGCCCTGGTTTCTCCGTTGATCTCAGTCATGGTTAGGGTTTCTTTCGTTCTTTCTGCCACGAAACAGGATTTGCTCGACATTCGGCAGGACATTTTTGGAATGCTGATTGATCATCACCCGCCGATTTTAAGCCTGTTGATCATCTTTTTCTGCGATTCGATTGAAGAAATCGGGTTGGCAGGAATCTCATTCTTCGAAAATCTCCCATCGGAAGACTGGATTCCTGGATCAAATGATATTTCTATCATCAAGGACTTGATTTCTAACAATCCATACGACTCGCCAAGGTCCAAACTAGGCCAAGTACTGCTCAAATGTATCAACTTTGGCTACTCAGATGGCGAAACTAACATCGATCTGGCAACTCATCATGCGATTGCGAATATTTGCGTGACGGAGAGTCTGAAAATTTCCGAAACAAATCACAAAAGAAAGCTGCTTTCCAGGACGCAGGAAACGCTTGGTTTGGCAAAGCTGAAACTTCAGTATCTAACACTCATGAATTCAACGATTTCAAAACTGTTGTTGAATAAATATCTCCGCGATGATTTCAAGGAGTTCAATCAGAACGAAGCGGTGGCAGTGGAGTCGTCGAGAAATCCTCTTTTAGGGAGCGCAGCGGTAAAATCTAGTGAAGATCTTGCTTCTGCGTACATTTTGTGCATTTCCAATGGAGAAAATGATCTAAACAACATTATTTCCTGCGGTAATCGCTGCATAGAAAAGCCAGAATCTGGTATTCTTGGCCTTCGTCTGTTGGAAATCGCCCTCAAAATGGTCTATTCAATGGAGAATTCTTCTCTCCAAGAGCATCAGGCGAATTTATCTTCATTTATTCTCAAAACGATGGAGTACTCAGCTGACCAATGTCAAGCTCTAGTTTCTCATTTGATCATGACATTCGATGGATTCTCCGCTTTCCTCATTCAAGTTCTATTCTCCAGCCCTTCAAACATCGAAAGCACGGGAGCGATTGGCATTCTCGATACGATTCTCAAGTATCACCTTTCCTACCCAGCCAACAATTCAGCGGAGAAAGTTCGTTGCTCCATCCGAAAAAGTCTGAAAGAATACGTTTCTCCTCCGCTCAATTCTCCTACGTCGCCAAAAACGAAATGGCAGTCATTTGCTTCAGCGTTTTCTCGAGTTGGCTTCACACAAAACGACCTCGACATCAAAATTCCAAAAAATTCATCTACCGTTGTCAAGCTCGAAGTTTTCCAGCAACTGGAGAATCTTTTCCGAGACCCATCGCTGGGCCATCTTCCTCTTTCACACGCGATTCGAGAAGAGCTCCTTGAAAACCCTTCGAAATCGATCGAAGAAATCAGTCAAGACATATTCAATCGCTTCAAAATTCAAGCTCCACTTTCATCCCTTCCAATTTATCTCATCGGAGAGCTGCTTCTTTCAACCCCCTTCAATGATCCATATCTGCCGAGTTTAGTCTTCTCGTTTTTGGTCCTCTATCTTCAGGAAATACAAGAAACGGCAATTGGCCACCGCTATTTCGACGTTCATCCTTTTGTTGAGATGATCTCAAATCTGCGAAAAAGACTTGTGGAAGCATCAGAGTTTCATACTGACTCTGTTTCCCAGGGACCCCAAGTCGTTGGTGTTTCCTCGGGACAAACGTCCCTCGCTTCGCTTTTGTGGACAGCAGCACTTTGGCTAGAAGAACCACGAGTTCACGATGCCAGATCTGAGCTAGTCTATCTACCGCCCCAATACGGCCCAGATTTGCTGATGAAAATCCGCTCTGGCGACAACTCCGATTGGAAACCATTGATTGAAGCGGTCAACTACCAGCAGAAATTAATCGCGTCAGCCAAACAGTGGGTATCACTATTCTCATTACCCACGAGAACTTTGGACTTTTGCTATTTGACAAAAACTCGACGACCAATTCTGCTAGAATCGCCTCAAAACAATCATCTGGTCGAAGGCTTGACTGGAGCTGATGAGAATTTTCCAACGAAGGAGATGCTTTTGGCGGCGGATATTCCAGCAATTTGCAGACCGCTCATTTCAGAAGTCATCCTTGCTGCCGACTGGCAAACTTCATCGCTTGCAGAGCTAACGCAACTGGACATCAATTATTTGGAAGTTTTGCCGGATTTGTACCAGAACGTCTCCCACGTCATCGAAATCACTGCTTCTTGTGGAACCGGCTTCCGAGGCCACTCTTGCCAGGCACCAGCTCGCGTTCCCGTAGAAATTCAGCTGCGAACGAAGATCCCCGAGGTCTTCAACACTCTCAGCTCGAATAGAAATCGGTATCAAGAAATTCGCACAAACTGGAGCAATCCGCAAAGATGGGTTAACCTTGGCCACGTCGCTTACACGCTTAACAGAATGTGCGAGATTCTTGCGGATGCGTATGAAAATGCCATTCTGGAGACGGATAAAGAACAGGCAAGGAAGCAAGGGGAAGCGCTTTTCTTTAGCATCGTTACAGCTGTTACGCCGAGTGTTACAGCATTCGCTCCTTGCTCAAGAATCGTCGTCGATCTAGTTGAAAAGCTAGCGGGAATGTTTTGCTCTGAAACGGCGAGTTTTCAACACCTTGATGTCAGCATCCGCTATCCAACTCTAGCCCCAATTCTAGCGCCTTATTTTCACCCCAACGCGCAGCAAGACGATTTCGGCGAAATGTACACCCTCGTCATGCAGCGATTGAACCGAGGCCACACGAGTTTTGCTTTTTCGCTGCTTTCCAAGTTCAATATTTCTGAATACGCTGCTCGATGCGACGAAAATCAAGTTGCGGATTTGATTTCTACACTCAAATCTGGCCTCTTCTCCCTCGCTGGGGATACTGAAGGAGAGACTAATGTGGACTTCGATACCCCACATAGTGATGAGAGTAGAGAACTGGTCAAGGATATTTTAACGAGGCATGCTTGCGATGTGCTCTTGACGAATCCGAATATTTCTGCAGAAACAATTCTTCAGGCATCGGTTGTTATTTATCATATATTTTCAATATATTACAAAGTAATCGAAGGACGATCCAAAATTAATAAGAAATCATTTTAATCACAATTTTGACGGAGAAAAATAACTACGGCTCTTCAAATGTTATCGTTACATTTTCTCGAATAATAAATTCAAGCTTTTGGCTTCGGTTTTATTTGGAAGAACAGCTGATAAAACTGATAAAGATCGAACTTTGATTTATACTATTTCTTTCAAAACCGAACCAAGACATTTCTGCACGTGACGACGCAAGGAGATGGTTTTGATAACGCCTGGGTTCGAATTTGCACCACTCTTTATAAATTCGAGTCTGGAATGATCAGAAGCGACGTAATTGACGATGTCATAAAGCTAATCTTCGGCCATTTTGCCAACACCCGTCACGAAGAAGACTTTTTCAGCTCAGGTCCTTGGCCAGCTGTCTTGCCAACAATCGCCCAGATTTTATTGACGCTAATGGATCTTCTGCTGGTTGGAGATTCAGAAAGCGCGATTCAGGAACACTTGGAATTGACATTCATGGCTATCGAGCCTTTTTTGAAACCAAAAGAAGACGGGAAACACTTTTTATGGCCAATTGCTGACCAAACTAAAGACTTTTGGGATCTGCTCATGACTCAGTACATCAAATGCGCTTCTATTTCGGAACTCTTCGCGCAGAGGCACTTTTTGCTGAACTTATTGGATATGATTACATTCAAAGAAATGGATCTCAATTATGTTCACAATCTGACCAATATTCTGGAGAAATTTTCTTTCGCTGAACTTGTCCCTACATCAGAAGTCGTCGAAAAACTCTCATCAGCACTAGCTTTAGACAACACACACTTGTCTTATCTCGTCAGCTTGATTTCCGCCGGCATAAACTGGGCAGCGTTCTTCTACTCGGACGACGATGACAGTCAAACGATGGCATTTCTGTTCAAAATTTTGCTTGAGCTCGTCAGCGATCGATTCCCCCTCCACAAGCTGCAGATCATCAATCCACTTCTTCTTTCCTGGCCTGAGCTTCCTTGGGAGAAGCTGACGAATGACTTTTTGAAGCATAACTTTCCGGATTTGCCGAGCAAGATCGGTTTGGAATCATTTGTCCACCCAACAAGCTGTCATCAGAAAGCGCTTTTACTCATTCGCGAAGTTTTTCTCAACGGAGAAGGTAGTAAAAATTGTAACAGGAGCATCCAATAATGTTTTAATAGGGAATTCAACTGAAGAGGACCAGGAAAGGAGACGTATCTGGCTTGGAACTGTAGCAAGATGCGTGAAAAGAAGTGGTATCTCGAAAAAGGATGACTCTGTGCTCACCCGAATCCCACAGTATCTCACTGATCAGCTTCAGTGGGCCATAACTGGTAAAAACAACAAAGTGACTGTTTGACTTTTAAACTTTTCAATTAAGGTATTCCGCTAAATGAGATGGACGAGCTAGCAAATTCGAACGTATGGGGCGAACTTGTGCACATCATAAACTACGACAATTCCCTGGTGGAATATTTCGTTCAAGCAATAAGAATGGAAACCGACCTCTTGAAACTGCGACTTTACATAACTACCTCGAATCGAATCGTGAAGGATCCAGCTTGTCAAATGATGCTCATGGAGAGTGCCATTCACAAAGCCATGACATTAGGTACCATTCCAATTAATGAGCTCAACTGTGAATGAATCTTTCAGGACATGGGCTGGCACTTCTACAAGGGACTCTTTGCACTCTACCTTTTCATGGACGCGATGAGCTGCGAACAACACTTTGTTTGACGTAAGAGCTCTATTCATACATTAAAATTAACCGTTTTTGTTCAGTGAAAGTTTCCTAACGCCACTGATACTTCTTCAAGAGCAGCTTCGACCAAACCTCCCCGTCTCGACTAAAGTCAAGCTCATTTCTCAGAACGCATTCTACGTGAAAGATGCGAAGCCACGAAAGCCTTCAGAATGGAAGCTCGCTTGTTTTCTTTATCAAATCGTTCGATTGACTCTTTCGCTTTGGACCACTGTATGTTTCTGATTTAGATTCCTTGCTTATGTTTCATTTCAGGACAAGGAAGATGGAAACCTTCAAGTCTTCGTCCACAACGACTTGCTCAATCTTCTCGGTAGCTTCTTTTATGCGGACACTGGATCCGTTCTTCTGAATATGATTGGCCTATCGAGCGCGTCTGAGCCTTCAATCGAGTTCCAGCTGTTCGTGAAAGCGCTCCAGGAACTCGTCAGTAACTACTGCAAGGGTCTCAATCGAGAGAATCTTCAAGAGGTATGTTTTTTCTCTCTTTCAGTGATCTAACTTGATCATAGTTTGCCCTTCTTGGAATTCAATCGACCAAGTTCTGCCAACACGAAGATTTCGTCAGTCAACTGTGTGATCTTATTGAAAGACCATCTGTTGAAAACACAGGTTAGTACTGCTTTTAAGTGTTCAATCCTGACAGTGTTTTTCATAAGACGAGATAACTCGCTGTTGGGCCCGCCTCACCGACCATCATCTGGCGTCATTTTACCTTGATAATCCTTGAGGCCTTGAAAAAAAAAACTCGATAATTTTTCCCCTTTTCTATCTTTCTTTCTGTTCAAAATATTCTGTCAAGACTGAAAAATTCAGGATAATATCTTCAAAAACCGTTCCGTTCAACAAAAAAAAAGAAAATAAATAAATTTCAAATGTTCAGAACACGCGTGTTTGAAAATTTGAAAATGCTTCGATTTCGTGTTTTTAGCAAGTTTCCAGTAGCAAAAAGGTTCCATGCAGATTTGGTCAGGAATATCGCAGTTATTGCTCATATTGACGCAGGAAAGACTACTACCACTGAAGCGTTGTTGCATAACTCTGGCAAAAAGGCGGTGAAAGGATCTGTAGGAGAGGGTCAGAATATTCTCTGAACACTCGTCTTTTCGTACATTTTTTGACCGTTCCAAAGATGATGGGACGACAACGACAGACTATCTTGTTCAAGAGCGCGAACGAGGAGTTACCATTCAATCTTCAGTAGTGTCGTTTACGAATACAAATAAAGAAACCGGCCAGATTACAAAATACAATATCTTTGATACACCTGGTCACGCTGATTTCATTTTTGAAGTCGAGCGAGTTCTCCCGGTAATCGACAGGTTTGGGCAAACCACTCAACGTCTTCTCATGTTTCTAGCGCTCTGCTCATCTTAGACTCTTGTCGTGGCGTAGAAACACAAACAAAAGCAGTTCTCCGACTAGCCAGAAAGCACAACATTCCAATAATGGTCTTCGCCAACAAAATTGACAAATTCAACTCCAATCCATCATTTTCAATCGAGTCGCTTGAAAAATTCGGGATGAATCCGATCCCGCTTCAAAAAGTAGACGAAGACAAAATGATCCAAGATGATCTTGAATCTGATGATGTTGTCGAACGCGTTTCAAATTATGACGACTCGATTTGTGAAAAATATTTGAATGGAGAAAGTGTCAGTAAAAAAGAAATTCTAGCGGCGATCAGGGAAGCTCATGGACGATGCGAAGCAACACCAGGAGAGGCTTTTTATTAGCGATTACGTTTTTGATGGCATTATTATTTTGCAAGCCTGAAAAAGTTCTATTCGGGTCATCGAAAAATAATGTTGGCCTGGCAAAGCTGATCGAATATCTGACCCTCTTCGACCATCGAGAAGAAAAACAAGACTTTACTGGCTCTTCTTTTGTGTTCAAAATCACTAATGACCGCAGACTTGGCGAAATTGCCATGCTGCGAAATTTCGGCCCATCTCCGTTATCATTGAAATCAACGAAGACTCTTCAAAACTTGTCGAATGAAAACATGCCGATTTCTACAAAGAAAACTAAGATATTTTCTGTTGATGGAGCAGCTTTCGAACCCGCTCAAGAAATTCAACAAGACGACGTTCTTGTTCTATCGAACTTCCAGAACCTGAAAACTGGGGATTTCATCAGCAACAAGAAGGCAAAGACATCAGAGAGCAAGTTTGACAACTTTCTGAAAGCCCGGCAAGCATCTTGTTCCGTTGTGCTAGAAGTCGAAAAACAAGGAAAAGAACAACAACTGCTGGCCGGATTGGAAGTTCTGTGCAAGGAAGATCCAAGTTTGAGCTTTTTGGAAAACGAAGAAACGGGAGAAATAATTCTGAGAGGAATGGGCCCTTTTCATCTGGAAATCGCGATTTCGAGGCTGGAAACAGAACATAGGCTTGGTTCTCAAAAAAGATTTCTTGATTCTCGATTGAGTCGGAAAAAGCACCATAAGATTGTTTATTTCACCGATTTTCAAATGAGCACCATAATTTTTAACCGGAGCGGTGCTGCCGGTCATGATTTTTGATCGACAGTCTTTACGATAAAAACTTCAGTCACCAAATGAAGTAAATTTCTGTAGGGCAAACCTATTCCCGCTGAGCGCTTACAGCGCTCAGTTGGTTCTGCCCCATTTTCATGAATTTCCGACTATCGGCATATTAAACCGACCGGTTCTTCCTTTACTGAGAACCAGTTGAAAGAATCAAGGACATTTATCAATACCCCGTTCGCGTGGATTATCGCGAAGTTCCGCAATCGTCAGTCTTACACGAAACCATCATCACTGAAAATCATCTCGGGCGGGATTCAAGCGTCAGATTTGAGCTCGAGCTTGAGCCGCAAGAAAATATTACCGAGTTTACGACAAAGAATATAATTTTCGGAAGCAATGCGGTTGGCCAAAATGTTGATGGGCAAAGTTCGAATGTTGAAAATTTCGCGAAAGAATTCAAGGTCAGGAAATTGATTGAAGAGGGAGTTATGATGGCGACGATGGCTGGTCCCGTCGAGAAAAATCCTGTCATTGGTTTCGATTTGCGGATCAAACGCATCGAAGCTCAGGGATGCTTCTTCAAGCAAATGAAGGGATTCATTGTTCAAAAAATGATCATCAGAGCTATTCAAGAAGCGCTTCGAAAAGCTAATTGTGTCGTCAAAGAACCGAGAATGAAATTCCAGCTTTCTCTTTACAGGTTTTCAGCATCTAATTCAAGCGTTTATATATTTTCAAGCGTGGAATTCCGCGGAAAAGTGATGGAACTTCTCGCTGAAAATGAATGCGAAGTTTTATCAGAAGAGCCCGAAGGTGAAATGTGGAACATCTCTGGACTCTTGAACGTCTCGCAAGAATTGAAAATCCAACAGAGACTCCTTTCGCTTACGAGAGGGAACGCTTATCTTGAAACTTCATATTTTGGCTTATAAAAAATAAACCAAATAAAATTAATGTGAGTATTTTTTCTTTAGTATGTGCGGAATCGGAGTGTTTGTTAACTGTGAGCCAGATGATCGAACAATCAAAGCATTGAAAAACCGAGGGCCAGATTTTTATCACCAGGAGACCTTCAACGTTGTAGGACAGTCAGTAACAGTCGTTGCTACTGTTTTGTCTCACCAAGGAGAAGGAATAATTTCGCAGCCCATTGTCACCGACGACTTTATTTTCCTTTGGAACGGCGAAGTTTACGATCATCCTCGCTATCAACCGCAAGAAGGTGGCGATACCAACTGGTTCTTTGATAATGTCGGTTCGCAAATCACCGGCGAAAATGCGACAGGAATTGAAATCATGAAAGAAATCAGAGGAGAGTTTGCATTTTGCACAATCAACCGAAAAACTGGAGAAATTTCTTTTGGACGAGATCGACTCGGTCGCCGATCATTGCTTCTTTATTCCTTTGAAAATAAATTTATTCTGGCTTCATCTTCGTCTGGCTATCACTTCATAGAACTACCCGCTGATGGTCTCTACAGTTTTAACTTGAAAATGATGGACAAACTCAAGAGACATCCATTCGCAGCGAATACAAAAGTTGATGGGCACATGCTCGACGAGTTTTTATTCTCGAATTTGAACGAAAACATGTTAGCAATAGAAGGAATCAAAGATGGGAAACTACACTCGCTTCCAGTCGAGAATGTTCAAGGCTCACTTACTTCCGATTTATGGAACTTCGAGCAGAATTTTGACGGGTCTTGCACTAACGACTGGTTGCCAGAGCTTGAAATAGTCTTCAAAAAAGCAGTTGAGCGCAGAGTAAAGCTAAGAAAAGGATCAGTAGGAGTTCTATTCTCTGGTGGACTTGATTGCTCTCTTGTGGTAGCGCAGGTGCTGGAAATTTTCGAAGGACAGCGGGAGTTAGCGACTACGGTTTATCTCTACTCTGTTGCGTTTGGAGACAACGAGGAAAAATGCGAAAAGTGTCCAGATAGAATAACCGCCGTAGCAGCATTTCAAGAAATCACAGAAGCTCATCCAACAGCGGATTTGATCCTCGTCAAAGAAAATATTTCAAAACAGGAGCTTCAGAAAACCAGAGATGAGAGAATAAAACATCTGATATCTCCTCGAATTTCCGTTCTTGATGATTCTATCGGCAGTGCGCTTTACTTTGCTGCTCACTCCGAAGTTGGCAGTGATTGTAGATTGCTTCTTTCTGGCCTCGGTGCGGATGAATTGTTTTGTGGGTATTCTTGTCATAGACGCGTTCACGATCGTGAAGGACTTGATGCTTTAGGCTTTTGGTCTACCTTTGATTTTGACAATTTTCAAGGGAACTTTTGGAGACCAAATTTCAAGGGCTAGAAGTTCAAACGCACATTGAAAGAATCGCCGAAAGAAATTGCGGTCGAGACGATCGAGTGATTTCAGATAGCGGGCGAGAATACAGAATGCCTTTTCTCGATTTGGATTTGATCAGTTTCTCCTCGTCAATTCCAATTCCAGCGAGATGCGATCTGACAAAGCCAAGGGGAGAAGGTGAAAAGATGCTCTTGAGACAACTTGCTTACAAAAAGGGATTAAAAGTACTGTTTTCTTTCACTAGAAATAGGGTTAAAACATCTGCTAGACAATTTCTTCGTTCGAGAAGCGCGCGATCCAGTTTGGCTCAAGAATAGTGAAGATGGAAGACAAGAAAGTGAAGGGAAACGATATCTGTGCAAACTTACAGAAATAGAAATTGCCCAATTTCAATTAAAAACCTTTTTAGTCTGTTAGTCTCCGTCGAGCTCAAGCCGCGCTCGTTCTAGCCGAAAATATGAAGCCCACTCAGTTGAGGCGAGAAAGAAGCCGCTTTTTATTTCATTTTGAGAAATTGGACGAAAAAGATGTCTCTTCCAAACCGAGTTAGCAAGTACAGAGATTTCTTGCCAAAGTCGCCGGGGCATTCAGATAATTACTACGGCTCGGCGGTAATTAATAATGAAATTCATGAACTATTCTAACTTCCTTTCTAGCCGCTGTGGAGCCAGTCATCCTGCGAAAAATCTCAAGATACTCAGACCTGCCCACCTCGATTTTACACGAGAAATCCGTCAATAGAGCGAAGGAATTATGGAAGTCAGGGTTTCTCCATTGGAGAAAGCTCACAACTTGCATCTGCTCCAAAGGTACTTTTTTGATAATTTTTTTTTCTTTCAAACTGAAATTTTATTTTCAGGGCAGAAAAGTCAGCGAAGCTGGTCGACCAAGATCCTTGCCTAGTACCCAGGTAAAGTCTAGTTGAAAATGACCACAGCTAATCAGAATTCAAGCAACTTATAAATGGCAAGCTTGCTTTTACTGCATCACAATTTACTCCAAAGAAAGACGCTCCCAAGAAAAAAGACCTCCGTATCGACAGCTGGACACAGATGACACCAAAGTCCAGCAAGCCGAAAGCACAGGAGTCAAAGAAGACAGTGAAAGATGCAGCGACGGAGATGACACCAAAGAAGAAAGAGGCCAGCGTTCCAACTAGGAAAGAGGGTGATGTTCCAGAGAAGATTAAAATCAAGGAAGAACCGTGGCCGACACCACCACCACAGGCTTCTAGAGCGACTCAATGGACACCCAAGTCGGCCGGTTTGCAGCTGAATTCTCTCCAACGAACCCCTATCAGAAAGAAGAAAGTAAGCGAGTACTTCGAAGAAGCAAAGAAAAACTTCGGGGAAGAGGGAAGTAGCTTTTCGATGGATTTCAGCGAGTCGCCAGGAGGAACGTTCAGAGTTCACTTCGAAAAGAAACAGAAAGGTAAATCAAAATCATCGTTGTTTTATTCTGATTTCGTCCCTTCTAGCGACGATCTTGGAAAGCGAAAAGAACGGGAAGATCAAGTCGATCATGAAGCGAAGCATCAAGAAAAAACGAGTCAGCTTCAATTCTCAAACTGAGCTCATCTATTAATTCTACTGTTTTTTGATAAAAATTGTCATTTTTCAATAAAATTTTAAATCATCAACTTTTAGAAAAGATCCCTAGATCGCGTCGTTTCTTTCGAATTTTGACCCCAGTTAACCTCTTGACCGCCTTTTCGCGTTCTGGAAAACTTTTTTCGCGTAGGTTTATTACGCAACAGTGCGCAAAATGCGCGTAATGCTGGAGGATTTCGAGCTGGGGACGATCTTTTCTTCAAAAAAACAAAATCTGAGATCAAATTCAAATCGGTAAGAGCTCACTCAAATTCCCAGAGATCCAAGAAGATTTTTATGACGGTCGTGAGAGCGCTTTTTCGCGGGCGAACTTCTTCAAGCGCAGAGATGATAAAATTAAAAAAAAAAACTTTTTTCAAATTATCTTTCAGAACTTCCTTTATCACCCTTCGCCCAAGCCACTTTCATTTCTACCGTTCTTTATCTACCTCCCTCAGCCCTCTTCGCTCACAGCATCATTCAGACTTGACTCAAGAATCCCACCTCTTTTCTTCGTCGAAAATGTCCTCCCCACCAGCAAAGCGAAAGAAATCCGCGAAGATAGAAGATGATGGAGACAAGATTGCTCTTTTCATTTTCCGCCGAGATTTGCGAATCGAAGACAATACGAGCTTGATCAAGGCGATCAAAGATGGATACAGGAAAGGATTCACAATCTGAGCTTAAAAATTTCTTTTTCAAAAGAGCCAATTTCAGAACCCTTTCAAAAGAATTCTCCCTGTCTTCATCTTCCCTCCCGAGCAAATCGATCCAGAGCAGAACGAGTACTTCTCTCATCCAGCAGTGCAGTTCATGTGCGAATCTCTCAACGATCTTGGGCGCAATTTGAAGGAGAAAGTGTCCGGAAAGCTTCATCTTTTCAAAGGCGGGAATCTCGAAACAATCAAGAAGATCAAGAAAGTCGTCAACTTCTCCGCTGTTGCTTTCAACGAGGACTACTCAGTTTATGCGAAAGAGAGAGATGGAGAGATTGAAAAGTGGGCGGAGAAAAACGACGTGGAAGTGATCAAAGAGGAGGATTACGGACTGTTGCCGATCAAAGATGCATGGCATCATCCTAAAGATGGCCCGCCAAAGCCATACCGAGTTCTTTCCATCTTTTTCAAGGTAAAACTCAAATTTCCAATGCATTTTCATTAGATATTTCTAGCACATTCAAAAGAACTACGATATCCGAATGCCAGAGTCTGAATTTGAATTCGAAGCATCTCAATTCACCAAAGCCAAGTTTGACTTCAAATTCCCCATCGACAAGTTGAACACGCTTTACAAAGCCAACGAAGATTTGGCCGAACGAGGAGGAAGAACAATCGGCCTAGTTGGGCTACAGAAAATCGAGAAGAAGGCGGACTACAAGACGACTCGGGATTTCATGCACCTCAAGGCTGGGACGACGAAAATGTCCGCTCACTTGAAATTCGGAACAGTGTCTATTCGAGAGATGTACTGGCGAGTGGCAGAGTGCTTTGGCGAAACGCATGATATCATTCGACAGTTGGTGTTTAGAGACTTCTACTTGAAGATCTACTCACACAATCCCGCTCTTCAGCGAGGAACAGCCCTGCAGGATGGTTTGGATAAGCGACTCCCGTGGAATGATGATGAAAAGCTATGGAATGCCTGGTGCGAGGGAAAGACTGGCTTTCCCCTTGTTGACGCAGCGATGCGGGAAATGAAGGCAATTGGCTGGCAGGTAAATCTAACTGAATCCAGCTCAAAATCTAACTCAATTTTCAGCACAATAGAATGCGAATGCTCACAGGATGCGTGTTGACCAAATACTTCATGATTGACTGGCGAAAGGGAATGAAGTTCTTCTACCAGAACCTCGTCGATGCGGATATTTTCAACAACACAGCCGGTTGGGGGTGGGTCTCGTCAACTGGCCCCGATGCCGTCCCCTACTTCCGCTACCCCTTCAACCCTTGGACTCAGTCGAAGAAATTCGATGTGGTAGGAGTTAGATTTATCTACATCAAATAACTTTTATTAGGATGGAAAATACATCAAAAAGTACATTCCCGAGTTGGCCGATGTTTCTCCTGCAGATCTTCACAAATGGAACGACGCATCTATTCGAGCCAAGTACAAGAAAAACAAGAAGGTTCAGCAGTACCCAGCGCCGGTTATTGATCATGAAGAAGCGTCGAAGAATGCTGTGGCTCAATACAAGAAGGCTTTTGAGGACTGGAAGGCGTCAGATGAATACAAGAAATAGATTTGCTCGAAAAAGATTCCATGAACTGCCGCAAGATTTTTTTGCACTGCCTCTGTTTCTTTGTTCAAGAATAAAATGAGAGATAACAGGAAATACCAGATAGTAATTTGCTATTTTTATTTGCAGTCATTTACGAGCAAGGCAGCGATAGATAATACTCTCCATTTGTTGAATCAGTTTTTCTGTTGCCCTGTAGCGTCGTTTCAATCGAGAGAGGACCGTACCATCATTGTTGACTTCCTTGCCATTTCGGCGTCTAGTCCGCTTTCGCTTCTCTGATGCTTGGCTGCATATGACTTGGATTCTTTGAGCAAGTGACCTCCTCAGTCGTTTCAGATCATCAAGTTCTTCGAGAAACTCGGGAAGTTTCTTCACATCTTTCTTTTCCGATTTCCAGTCGAGACGACATGGTTTTCCTTTCACTTTCGTTTTCACAAGTTTCACTTCATAAGCAACGTACATTTCTTGTATTTTTGGAGAATGATATGAAGTTTTTTCAGGTCTCTATTTTATTATCGATATTCTCGAAAATAAAAAAAAAAATACGCTACTGTCCAAAATATCGAAGGTAGTAAAATAGCAAGATATCGATTTTTTCTCAATAAGATTATGCGTGGCGAATTTGGATATTTATCGGTCAAAAATTTTTGTTCTCCAGCGCCGTTATCAATTTGATTGATGCTCATCAAATGCTGATGTAATCAGTTCACAGCTCTTGATCTCGAAGGCGCAGTTTTCAAGTTGAAATGAAACGCTGTCGGCAGAGATCAAGGCTTCAAATAGAAAGAATTAACTAAAGGAGTATCAGCAATTCTAACCAAAAGCCTTCCTTATTTCTTGATGCTTATAAAGACTCCGGTGGCTTTATCGATAATAAATTTATTTGTGATATTTATCTGTGGCAGTGTGAAACTTTTTGAAAGAAAATTTCATGTAAATTGTTCTAATGCACTGTCTTCAAACAATCGCGTAGTTGGCGTAGACTTCCTTTCGGACGATGAAGTATTCTTCGGAAAGAGCTCCTTCGACTTGAATCACACCATTCGCACTCTTTTTGATGCTCACTTTTTCGTTGCAAACCAAATTTCCTCCTGAAATCCATTTTAAAAAGTAGCCAAGCTATGATTATCCAAGGATTATCCAAGGATAATCAAGCCTTACCGATAAACTCTGCCTGCATGCCCATTTCGATTAGTTTTGACTTGAGATCTGTAAGCTTTGTATCGTTTATGAAGATAGTGTCGTGTCCACTCGAGTAGGTATTTGAAACAGGCTACAAAACAGTTAAGAACTGACGCTTTCTCTCTTTTCTATACCTGTAAAGTCGGAATATCATCGATTTCCAGCTTCCTCGGCTCATCCGACTCTTCCTGCAGCTCAAGTCGACCGCCAAAGTAGTCAACTCTTCCTCGAATCCTCGCGACTTCGATATCTTTGCTTCCAACACGAACAAAATTCAAGTTGCTCAAAAGAGAATCCTTCAGTTTCAGCTGGTAGATGAAGCTTTCCTTCGTCGCGTCGATTAATTCGTGATGCTAGAAAAGTGCCCATGACATTCTGATAAATAGAAGAAAGAACTTACCACTGGCATATGAATTTTTATTCCCTGGACTCTTGATTTGATATCTTTGATGAGCTTGTCCTTGTACTTTTCTTTCGTGCGGATGAGGATCAATTCTTTGGGCTTGATAGTCGACAGGATTTGAAGTTGAGATTCGCCGTCGACTCGTCCTTCGAAATCGATGAATTCGATGTTGCATCTTATTGAAACCTGAAGTTTATTATGAATTATCGGATGATAAAGGTAAATGTTACCTGTTCTCGTGATTTGATACACTTGGTCGGCATTTTTTCCTCTTCCTCGGGGGTATCGGCTCTTTTCTTTTTCTTATGATTAGGATTGTGTCGCCCAAAAGTAACAGACTGTTCTCTTCCAGCTAAATCGTCATTTGAAGGATCACTTTCTGGAATAAGCTCGTGCGTTTTGTAGTCGTCTGGATTGATAATTTCGCCGTAATCGTCCCATTTAATTCGATTCTCGTTGAAAGGAAACATTGGGAACTTCTCCTTTCGCGCTTTTTTGAAGAAACCGCCTTCTTTCTTCTGCTGATGATGGGGCATCATGATGTCGTAAATTCGCTTTTTCTGAAATAATCCGTCAAGAAAGGCCTCAAAGAAGAAATTTTACCTTGACGATCTTTTTCTTGGCAACAACGTTTTCATTTTCATTATCCGATTCGTCGCTCGACTCTTCCTGCAATCGCTTGATGAGTTTGGCGTGCTTTTCTTGGGGTGCGCGTCTTTTCTGGCATTTTGAGAAATGCGTCCTTTCTGGCATCGCGTTCTTTCTGGCAGTCGCGTCTTTTCTGGCACTGGAGTCTGATTCATTTTACTCTGATATTGAGTAGGGTCAACCAAATTTAATATGCTGATATTAATAGCATAAAATCTTTACCTTCAATAGCAACTTGCCACAGGCAAAACTTTTTTATTTGATTTAAAAATTTTTATTATCAAAGAAAAAAGTGCTGATAACTTACATAACTTAAAAGATTTTCAGCATTACTTATGATGATCTCATAATTTTTCATTCGATTCTAGTGCCAAGAAATTGGTCCTCTCAATCATATTCAAAACTACGGGTACTTCTTCTTGAAGATAATTTCAGAAGGAAATAACAGTTGATTAGATTTGGTAGACCCTACTTGATATCAGAATTCAATGAATCAGACTTCAGTGCCAGAAAAGACGCGACTGCCAGAAAGAACGCGATGCCAGAAAAGACGCATTTCTCAAAAATGCCAGAAAAAACGCGCACCCCTTTTCTTGCTCTCTTTGCTTCTCAAATTCTTCCAATTCCGGTCCAACCAGAGGCACCCGCTGCTTCATTTCCAGCGTAATCGAACTCATGCCTTCGTTTTCGATGATTTTTCGACAAAGAGAGCCTTTGACAGATTTGCTAGACATAATTATCGCGTTTTTCGGGTGACCAGCCATCATCGTGAACAGTTCTCGCGAGAAACCAGTGTCCATGTCCATCGGCGTCGCAAGAACTACTTTTGGCTCTGGGATACGAGCAACTTCTTCGATGGACATTCTCAATTTCAGCCGCGTAAGGTCGAAGACATTCTCTCTTTTGTGGGTAAACCTGGAGATGATTTTCTCGCTCATCCATTCGATCATTCCTTTCGCTGCTTCAATCATGCTCGGAGCTACGTTTGAGATCATGACCAGATTGACGCGGGAAAGGTTGAATCGCTCATCGTTCCAGAGTCCTTCCAAGAGAAGAGCCATTTCTAGCGCTCGGCCGGCGGTATCTGTCGTAATCAGGACGTTTCCGCCCTTGGTAGTGGTGTTTTGAATCCGTCGAACAAGGCGTTCTGTTCTTGTAGCTCGTCTTTCTTGCTGATAGCCGTAAGTCGAGCAGTCAGTAATCATCAGTGTCGGTTTGTCAAAAGCATCGAGCTGGATTCCGTTCAGATGCGTTTCTCTTTTGTGATTCGCGTCGACGCAGTAGACGAACTGTTCTTCCTCGTCCTTCACGATCTTCCAGCTGGTTCCGCCGATCATGTGGCCAGCTTGAACTGGAACAATTTGTAAGCCATAATCTTGCCCTCGTACAGCTTCCGTTTGATTGTGCTTGAGTTGAATTGCCCGGTCGAAAACGGCATCTACGTCGTCGAGGGTGAACATTTCAAAGTCCTCAACTGCGTTTCTCGCCAAAACCAAGTCGTAGAGAAACATTTGACCCATTTTACAGGTAGGCATCGTCATGTAAACCGGACAAGTGATTCCCAACTTGCCCAAGTAAGGGAGCATTCCACAGTGAAGAAGATCAGGATGAGAAATTAAAATTGCGTCGATTTGTCGCCCATGTCGCTTTAGTCCATCTTTAAATTCTTGTTAAATTATGTGATGAGTATGGAAGGGCTTACCGATGATTTTTTCGTGGTGCTGCTCGGCCCAGCCGCAGTCGAGAAGAAATTTGAAATCGTCGATTTGAAGCAAGTGACAGTGAGGAGCTTCATCGTCAAATCCAGATAATGACTGGAAAATTATTTAGCATTTCTATTGAGCTGATTTTTACCTGAAACTTGACGATAGACGTCATCCCTGAAGATTACTCCTTCTTCCTTATTTTCTCTTTTCAATTTTTCAGGCTTTGACAAATTCTCCTTCTCGTATTGAGCCAATCGCAGCGCGCGCTTTTTTCAAGAAGCGTTCATTGTAGCGTTGATCTTCTGAAGGAGCACGCTTACTTAGACTTTTCACTCACTTGGACTCACTGAAGACTCACAATTGAAAATTAAGGGCTTGCAAAAGTTATTATTATTAAAAAATTTTAATGCATCGACGATTTTCAATAAGGATTTCTGAGTGAAATCCTTACCCCCTTTTTATTTGCTCATTGAAAAGAGCGTAAAAAGTTATCCCATATTCACCCGGAAAATGATGAAATTTTGGAAAAATGATGTGATGGCACGTGACTGAAGTCCCAAAAAACTCAAACTTTCCCGCTCGATCATTTTCGACTCGTCTGAGCTAATAAGACTTGTAATAGCTCAAAATGATCGTCTCTGCGAGCTCTTGGTGGACATCAAGTTTTCATCCCTTTTAAACCCTTTTTTTAAATTTCTATTTTTCGAGCAATAGATGAAGGGATGAAAAAGGGTTGAAGAGCGATGAAAATAAGAAGCCCGCCAAGAGCTCGCCAAGACAATCATTTTGAGCTATTACAAGCTCTTGTATCTCAGACGAGTCGAAAATGCCCGGGCGGGAAAGTTTTGGTACTTTTGGGACTTCAGTCATGTGCCATGACGCTATTTCTTCGGAAATCTCATCCTTTTCCGGGCAAATCTGCGATAACTTTTTACGCTCTTTTCAATGAGCGAATAAAAAAGGGGGGTCAGGATTTCACTCAGAAATCCTTATTGAAAATCGTCATCATTAGTTATTATATTATTGCATTATTAAATTGTATTACTATCATTTCCATCATTTCTCGAATATTAATTTTTTTTTAACATTTATAACTGTTTGAACGTAATAAACCTTATTAAGCAAATCAAACAAAAGCAAAGAGTCAGTAAATTTATTTCAATCAGGTTTTGGTATTTGAACATGCGATTAGCAATTTGTTATCATTGAAAGAAAAAGAGCAAAGAAAAAAGAGATGTGGACGCAAGTGCAGCTGATGCCGAAGCTGAAAGTGATGTACTGGAGACTTCAAATTCGATATCCCTCTCGAACGACTGTGGAGGGCTTCGGTCAGTAGAATTGGTTCTGAGTGATCGAACAATTGGAGAATCACCACATCTGTCAGCGTAAATACATCCTTCGTAGTCGTTGCTCTCACAACCGTTGATGCGGCACTCAAGATTCACCTTTGCTTTTCTGCCTCCGATCGCCTTAGTCAAAATATTATCATGTTTCTAGTTTTCTGGGTTACTTTTGGATAATACAAGGTTTTCCATTGAAGCTGATCGCGTCGAGTGAACTCGAAAGAATCATCAAGAACGACGGCTTCAGAAAGACAGCCGTCTTCGATAAAGTTCTCCACGACATGAGTTTTACTTGTATCCTCGGAATTCGTAAATGTTAGATTGCACTGCTGCATGAAGGGTCGATATTTGTCATAGCCTACATTTTAGAAATTTTTGAGATGATTTTTTTAAATACCTCCAAGTGTTTCGAAATCAAAGAAGAATCCTAATTTGAACTCTTCTTCTGACGCCGGGAGAGAGTTCTCGTTGATTTCATATTTATCTTTTGGGAAAATTAGTTATTTTACCGAAAACTAAATTTCAAGCATTACCGCTAATTCTAGCAGTGATCTCAAAGTCGAGTTCATCACTATCCGTCACGGTACCAACTGTAGGAGTCGGTAATATAATTACACTATTAACGTCCTCCAATTCGACAGTTTTGAGGGAGCATTTAATGTCCCAGCCGTGACCAACAAAAACAAATTTTTCATCGTCACCGATTCCCTTTTGATTGTTATTATTAAATCGTTATGAGAATCTAACCGGTCCAAAAAGAGTGTCAAAACCGACGCCAAAATTGTACACTGTCTCCCCGTCTTGTCTTATTTTCGAATTTTCAAAAATTCTTTTACATAATGTAAAGTCTTGTTGAAGGAGATAGTCTCATTGAGCTCGAACTCGCACGCGCAAGAATCTCCGTTCTGGAAGATATCCTCCAAATACTCCTCCTTTCGAACTGCTTCTGTAGCCCGATTTATTGTTTCAGTATCAACGATGCAAATTTTTCGATCGTCCTTAAGCACTTTTTAAATAAAGTCTTAAAATATTTAACTACAATCACTCTTCCCGGAGGCACTCGTTTTCCTGGAAGCTTGTCAAAGTCCGAAATGTCGAATCGAAAGTTTTCCGCATTGAAATCGCAGTCGAGTTTTGACATTGGACCTGGTGTTGGTGGAGGTGTTGGGACAGGAGGAGAGCAGAGGAAGTCATCGCCGGGACAGTCAACTTCGCATCCGTATCTTTCAAAGCAGTCTGGTGTTGTAAAGCACACGTGTGTAAAAAGATTGCATTCTTGATTACCAGCAGCCTCTCCATCTATTTACCGATAGTAGGAGTTTGAGAAACATTAACATACCGCATGTGGTCGAAAGTCCAGCATCAGCATAAGCAGCACTACATTTGGTTTTAACACCTTGAGACATTGCTGTCCCAGCAATTGTTGACAAAAAAAGTTTCATGTCAGCCTATATCTCGATCGATTGATTTTAGTGGCAACTAAAATTATGAGAGAAAATTATGCAGTCCTGGATTTTATATACCATCGGAAGCTTGATTTCTTAGCTGCGGAAGTCTTGATCGGATCTTGAACGCCTCTGGTGGAAACTAAAAGGGAAAATCATCCTACAACCTTCGGTTTATAATGAAGCAAGGAAAAATAAGAGAAGACAATTCTGACTTCGGAAAAGCGGAAACCAAATACTTATACAATCAACAGATTCAATGAGAACATCCTGCCTATTGTAATTTCTCCTGGATAGGAATGCTTATTCTGTACTTTCTGCTAGGAAAGTTGAGAAGTGAAGCATCCAGCAAATTTATTCTTTTGTCGGGAATAAAATCTTTCCCATCCGGGCTCAGCAGAAAATTTCTTGATCTTTAGTTTTTTTAGTACAAAGGTATTGTTGACATAGCTGGGAAAGTAGTCTTTGATTATTTCCCGGGTAATATTCCGGGTCGTATCATTCGTCCCACTTCGTTTCTTTGAGAGCCATTTTGACCCAGCCATTCTTCGAAAAGAAGTGCCTTTGAGAAAGATAAACTGTTTGACAGAACTTCCGGCGTTTGGAATTACGTGCATTGTTTTGCTGAATGTCGCAGGAGCCGGTGTCTCCTAGAGATTGAAAATTGGCTGTGAATAAAGTGTCCGGAAGGACATCTGCTCCAGGTCTTAATTTGGTTTTTCAGAGTACAATTAAAATTAGCGTTTGATTCCTATGTTAGGATAAAGAACAATTCATTTTCAGCACCCATTCTTGACATGTGGTTTGGTCCATTTGAAGTGAAAAGAAGTTCCGCTTCCCCTCATATCAGGTTTTCCCTTTTTCAATTGAATTGAATTAATCTAAATTCAATCAACTGTTAATATTTTGAACGAGAGCGAAAACCGTTTCCCACATCCGCTAATAAATTCTTTACCCATGGAAGATAGTCATGGTCTTTATTGTAGCTAGAATATTCATGGTTCACTTAAATCTAAATGATTTGGCCGTTTCGTGACCACTAATGATCTCAAAAATAGCTGATAAGCACTGTGAAGTTCACATGTGTACCCCAAAATTACCTGGTATATTTTGAAAATAATGAATTTGACATCAACTTCGTTGCGTCGAGAGACTTCTAGACGAATTAGCAGTCATTTTTGGTTACGAACAAACATCAAATATTAGCGATGGTATACAAACGTTGATTTCAATCCGCAAAAATCAAAATGCCAAGCTTTATCAATGTCACTACTTTTACATTTGCAATATGTCTGGCCATGTGTTTCAGCGTCGCCGGAACATCCTTTACAAGAGCTGCTTTTACGACAATCGAGAGATATTTCGGAGTGAGCTCGACGAAGATTTCTGTTTACGCCAGGAAAGTCATGAATTTTGCCTCAGATGCATTCATTTATTGATCAAAAATGACTCTAAAAAGCTTCAATCAAATGGCAGCGATCGTTATTACTCCCGCGGCTGTGCATTTTACCAGAAACATGCATATTCCTCGCATTTTGTATTTCTCTTTTCTCGCAAAGGCAATCGGGTTCGTCGTTCTTGTCTTGCCATATTTTCTCGGGCCCCGGTATTTCCCCGACGGAGTTGACAAGATCGAAGCAAATGAATCGCTAATCACTGGAAACATCTTTTGCCAGAACGAGGCTGAAGAAGGAACGACCAGAAATAGCATGGGTTACTGGGAATACTGCATTCCCATTTCAAAAATCATTATCGGCGTTGGCGGCTGTCTTATCTGGCCCCACTCAATTTCGTTTATCGATAACAACTCCAAACAAGGGCAGTCCTTGGTCCTTTTCGGGTTCAACTTTGTTGGCATCTTGCTTGGCCCAATGCTTGCTTACAGCTTTGCTAGTTACGTCCTTTCATTGTGGGTTAATTTCACTTATGAATGTGCGCCAGACTGGGTTGATCCCAACGGATCCGACTGGATCGGAGCGTGGTGGGTCGGCTATGTTATTGCTGCTGCTTCACTGTTGATTTTTTCAACCCCTTTGGCTTTCTTTCCAAGGTCTCTGAAGAACAAAAATGAGGATAACAAGGAAGAAAAGGAAGAGATAGATGAGAATTTGGTGCTCAAAGATCACTTTGAAAACGAAGTCGAAAAGACACCAGAGTCCTCCTCCTCTATGATTTCAGAAACGAAAGCGCTGTTAAAGAACCCGCTTTTTGTAATGCAAGTTTTAGCCGGAATCGTCAATAGCTGGGCGATGGCGACGAAAGCTACATTCGGGTAAGAAGAACTTTCAAGCTTTCGAACATGATTTTCAGTCAAAAATACATCGAAATTCAATTCGGTCTCTCCCCAGCTGATGCAGCTCAACTCAAGGTTTTCTACATTGGCTCGCTTTGTGTCGGATTTTTGGTCGGAGGACTGATTGTCAAAAAACTGAAGCTGAAGCCATTCAACGTAGCAGTGTTCCTTTTTGTCGTCCAGACATTATATTCGATTACGTTCCTCCTTCTCTGGTCCTTTGAAGGGTGCTCTCCCCAAAGTCCAGATTTGCTCTTTGGATCCAAAGAAGGCCAGAGCTTGGCGGATTGCGACTGCAGGACAGATAAATTCGTACCTGTTTGCGGTCAAAATATAACAATGGACGGAAAGATTTATGATGAGCTGACGATTTTATCTCCTTGCAAAGCAGGCTGTTCAGATGTAGAGCTCACTTATTCGAAAGAAGAAAAAGAGTTCTTCGGCTGCCCAGTCGTTTCGAAAGGAATCGATAATAGAAAATATCTGGACTGTGCAGTTCCAGTTGAAACTGGCATCTGCGGTGCGGAAGAATGCAAAACAAGAGTGTGGATTTATCTTGCTCTCGTTTGCCTTGGCACTTTCTTCTCAGGTAAGACAAAAGTCAATACAGTTTTTAAGGCAAAAACTAAGGAGTTAATGGTTCTCCTGGAACAGTGTTTCTGTTACGATCAGTCGGAAGCGAGCGCAAACCTTATGCGATGTCTATTCTTGGAACTTGTATGAAGCTTTTTGGATGGCTCCCCGCTCCGATTCTATATGCCAAGCTCTTCGGTAAATAACACAATGAAGAAAATAAACGAATTCTGATTCAGATTCGCTTTGTGCAGTGAAAGGATCGCTGGACAACTGCGTCTTTTACGACAATAATTCCGTGAGGCACTTCTACTTTGGAATTAACGCGGTCATTGCCGTCTTTTATACAGTCATCAACTGCTGCTTTCTTCTCGTTATTTGGAGGAGATATAAATCGAATAAGGTGAACGCCAAATAATTATTGATTTTGAAAGAACTTTTAGCCGATGTGGGGAGGAATGGACATGGAGAAGCCGTTTTAAAAATTACACACTCGTTCGAAATAAAAAATATATATTTCCTGTTACTTTAGGGAGAAACTCATTTCTCTCTAGAAGATAGCTTTTCATTGTGCAGAATGAAGGGAAACATTGAGAAATAAGAGCACAAAGAATATTTTCATTTTTTTTTGAAATTAATCGAGCAGAGATGAAGAAGCTTCACACTCTTCGGACATTAAGCCTAGCAATTGTTTTGTGTCTCTGTTTCCTTGTAATTTTGCAAACAAAAGTCGCAACTTTGATCGAATTTGAAGAAAATGCACAAGTCCGCAAAATGCGCAAAAATCAGGAGAGCGAAGGCTGCGAGGGGTTTAAGAAAAACGTTATTTTCGTGAAAACTCATAAAACAGCGTCTTCCAGTGTTCAAAATATTCTTCTACGGTAAGTAAAATGAACAATTATCATTTTATGAGTTGAGTAGTTACACAGTCAACCACGGATTGAATCTGGCAATGCCTCGTCACAACGGTGCTCGCTTCTTCAATCCCGAGCCGTTCTCTCCTGACATGGTCCGGCCATTCTACGACGAGGATGAGCAACCGAATGTCATCGCTAATCACTTGGTCGCCTCTCCTGAGCTCTTCAATTTCATCCCCGATGCCTTTACTTTTACGATTCTTCGATCAGTTCCAAGCCTTTACGAGTCTACATTTGAGTACTTCAAGACCTCTACTAAAGCCTTCAAAAACGCGGGAAATATTGATGCTTTCTATTCAAATCCGAAAGAATTCTATGCTCCAGGAAGTCATTATAATGAATATACTCGAAATCACATGGGAAGGGGCTTAAGAATTCTTTTAATATTGGTAAGAGAATCTCGTATTTTTTAATCCCCGAAAAGCCCATGATCTTGGGTTCAAACAAGACTCAGTGGATCCTGTATATTTTCAGAAGTCTGTAGAATACATGGAAAGAAGATTTGACCTCGTCCTCATTAGCGACTATTTTCTTGAGAGTATGATCCTCCTGCAAGACAGGCTATGCCTCACGATGGACGAAGTCGTCACCTTGGTCGTCAACGCTCGGGATAAAAATCGTCTTTATCGCCAACAACAGTTGAAAATATCAAGCGCTGGAATTCTTTCGATCTTTATTTATTCGACCATTTCAACTCAACTTTCTGGAAGCAGTTGGAGACAGTTCCTGACTTACAAAAACGCAAAGAAAACCTGAAACAGCGAACTAAAGCGCTAGAAGAGTACTGTGTCGCTGAGCAAAAAGTGTGCGGCTATTTCGACTCCAGTTGCGGCTGGCAAAAATCTGGTGCCAATATCAAAGGATTCTCTCTGACAGAAGCTGGTGCGAAGAATCAACTCTGCATAGATCTAACGATGCCGGAACGACCATTCTTGGAGAAAATCGCAAAGTTGCAATGGCCGTTTTGGAAGGCTTTTTATTGGCCAAGCTTTTTAGAATTTTAAAACTGTTTTCGCTTTCCTGACCTTGTCTTCTACCAATAAATTTACAAAAACATCTCTGGCTGTATACGATGCCGCCTCCCGGTCGAGGATTACCTTTTGTACTTTGCTCTGGAATTCACTTTAGTTTGAACAAGGAATCCTGGCTTTCTAGAACGGTGAGAAATCGTCGTCTAAGAAAACCCATCAGTCAACCGGAAAGAGCAAAATGCACAAGAGAAGGTTTTACCAAAAATATTCATCAAGTATTTTTCTCGGCTCATTTTGTACGATTTGCTTGTTCGTTCTCAATTATGTAAGTCAAGTCTACAAATAAATTTTTTACAGTGAAAACATGGAAGAGTACATGAGAGACCCCTCTTGATTTTAGGACTACGTTTCATCATTCGAAAAGCAGAACTATTACCGAATTTCGAACGGCGTCTGCAGCCCAGAATTTATGCCAACCTCTTGGCGTGATAATTCAGCCGCTCAAAAATGGCATGTTGGTCTTTTGAAAGTACCGCGGTAGGCGATTCTTTTCTTCAAGCTTCTTCCATTTATAGCTGCCCAAAAGGAGAGAGAAGACTGACAGTTATCATCAAAACTGCAATTTTAAATCGACAGAGCCGAGATATTCTTCGCAATTACTATTTGAAAATCAAAAGAAAACTGTTGGAAGAAAATGGTATTGAGTTGTCTCATTATTTCGTCGTCGGCAGGAAAGAAGACTCGACCGTTGAGGAAAGAGCGACATGTTTTTATAAATAATTTTTGTCTGAAATTATCAAAAAGCTCGGAATAGGACGCAGATGACATCATTATTGGAAATTTCGAAGATACTTATGCCAACTTACCCTACAAAACAAAAGCCGCCTATGAATACTTTTCTTTGTGTGAAAACAAGGAAGACAACGATGACACGAGCACGCTTGTGATCCACGACGATGATACTTGGGTGGATATTGTGGAGATAGTAAAGCTGTTTGGAGACACGGGCCTGCCTGCCGATGCTGTTTTCGGGAATCATCGCCTTGAAGTTTCCGTTAGAAACGAGTGGATGGACAGAAAAGGATTCGATGTCAACGAAGAAATCTGGCCATATCATTATTTGCCAAATTATATCAGTGGACCTTGTGTAATCATGTCTTCGGAGGTAGCTAAGAAGATCTCTCTGTCTGCTAGGTTTTGTTCAAAGGTTATCCCGTTTGTCACATTGACATATTTAGTGAGTTCAAGATTATACCCGAAATACCTGTCGAAGACGCAGTTTATACCGGCATCTTGCGAGTAAAGAACTGCCTAAAGCTCGGAAGATTGGGATGGCTCTTAAATAATCACAAAAAATACTGTCTTCATACAGAAAACCAGATCGAAAAACTACAAAAGAAGATAGATGAAACTCTAACTTCTTTGAGTCTCCTGTAATGTCAAACACTTCCTAAAACAGTTTGCCAGCGGATTATTCTAATTTCTCTCTAGAAGAAAGCTGTTTTTTTTCGCGAAAAGAAATATTTTGACGGAATAAACGAGGAATAAAAATGAGAGCAATTTTTATTTTTTCTATCTTTTTCGCCGGAATAAATGCAAAATTTGAACCTGACTGTGACGAGGTAGAAATGTTCGAGGCCCTTTGGGAAGGTAACTCAAAATCTGATCGGCAGGATGCAAAAAATTTTTCAGGAAAGGACATTCCGAAGCTAGAGAAGATCAAGCATGAAAAAGCAGCAGCCTTGTGCAAGTCAACGGAGACCGCGAAGAAGAGAATCTCTCAGCACGCAGCGAAGTCGTTCTTGTTTTATCTGACCGGAGAGTTGACAAAATTCAACAAAAATTTCAGCGTGAGTGATTCCTGAAAAAATGTATTGTTGATTACTTTTTAGAAATCAAATCACATCGAATGCACGCACCATTCTAATCTGCTAAAAATCACGAAATACTTCCTCACCATCGATTCCGACTTGGTCGACAAGGAAAGGTTAAATAGAGAAGTTAATAAACAAGCATGAATGAAAATATTTAACGTTCGCTAAAGGCAGACTCGGAATATTTAGAAGAACTGGATTTTCGACAAATTATCACGAAAACAGCGAAATTGCTGGCAGAAATGAATCTGAGACTGGCTAGAGAAGATTGCAAGGTTCGATTTGTCAGAAAGCCGCTGATCTGAATTGATATATTTTTTAAGGGAACGGATAATTTCGAGTTGCTTGTGAACGAGTCGAAAATTCAAGAAATATTAATCAAACTTCAGGAACAGTTTTTCTCCGACTACTTTTTTATGATTAAAAACTTATTTGAAAAACTCCAAAAGCAAAAAGAATCTCGACGAATTGAAAAATTAATGCAATGAAAAAAACCAAAGATTTTTTCTCTAGAAAAGATATTTTCTTTTTAGATAAAAGTGGTCGAAGCACAAGCGCGAGAAAATGACTGAATGTATTCAATACGATGGTAAATTGAAGAAAATAGCCCCTTTTCGATCTTTTTTCAGGCGATGAATGCGTGGAGTGGAGCGAGTACGACTTCGTTTACGACATTGTCAATGGCGAAAATGGCGAGGTGCAGATTCAGCAACCGCCGCCAGAGGTGGAAAAAGCACCCACGTTTTCCAACGAAAGAATGAATCCATATAACATGAAGAAATACGGCATCTTGCTCGTCGTTTTCGTCGTCTGTTTCGGCTACTGCTGGTACTGCTGCAAGAAAAACACAGAAAAGGTGAGTCAAAAGAGCGAAAACTTCATTTATCTAGCTTCAGGTTCAAAAAATGAAAAATGGCGGCGACGGAAAATCTTCCATTTCCTCCAAATCGGCCGGCATCGGCGGTGGACCAGTCAAAAAGCCGCCAAAAGAGATCTCCGTCCAAATCGATGCGGATTCCGAAGACGCTGACGATGTTCCTCCAGCGCCATCTGCTGCCCGTGCTTTGCGTTTTTCAAGAAAACAGGCGGAAAAAATGGTGATTCTTTTTCTATACTTACAGTTGTTTCACATTGTTTTAGGGGGAAGTATTCGTGGAAAAAGTAACGAGGCCATTCAAAAAGCCACAGAAAGGCTACGAAGTAGTCGGATCAGACACTGACTCCGTCGCAGAGGAACATTCAGAAGCAAACACGGACAAATACGGCTCCGTTTCCGACCGATTCTTTTAGCTCGATCTTTTTGTAGCCTCACTGCCCATTTATCGAAATAAATATACTCACGCACGATATCATCGGAACGAGAGGAAGGGACGATAAGATCGTCGTTTCCGACTGAGTTGGCATCAGATTGCCAGTTTTCAGAGCATCTACTAGTCAAGTAGCTTGGTTATTTAGCTTTGAGTCCCTGAAATGAAGTTGAAGTATTTTGAAGAATTGAATTTTTATTTGAAAGAAGCGAAACGAGAGCTGAAAATTTTCAAATGGTCTTGCGTTGTTTCCTTTGTTCTGTAAGTTAACTTCCTAGAAATATAGGAATCGACAATCGAGGTTTCTCTGAAACAGTTTTTGACTCATCATTCAGTTTCTTCTTATCAATCCATTCTGCTCGAAAAAACTCGTTTGAAAACTTCGCGTTTCCAATTGAAAATCGTCTTCCTTACGATGCATCCATCAACTTCTCCTTATTCCGGTCCTTCAAGCTGCAACGAGAGTTTGAGAATTTAAAGATTCTTGAGGAGACAGTTCAAACTAAAAACATCACAAGGAATGGTTTGCTAACTGAATAAGAAGGAACAGAGCAGATTGGCCAAACTAGTTAAAGAAACTTGATTGTTATTCCTGAGATAAAACTGACTTACGAAAAAGCTCAAGACTTTTGCGAGTCCCGTGATGCTCATCTTCCGACAAATTTTCAGAAAACCTCTTTGTTGAATGAATCCTTCTGGGTTGAGTAATACTCAATTTTCGGTATCTTTTTCTAATTTGATTCAGAGGAGACGTGAATTTTATCACAAAAGAAGCAAATATTTCCGCTGAAATCAACGATGAGACTTTGGAAAATATGTTCAAGGACCGGAAAATTGGACTTAATAATCTTGGTATTTTTTAAAAATGACAATTTTCTCAAAAAAAAACAAGATAATCGAAAAAGAACAAAGATTTATGGAAATCCGATCAGATTTTTGGCATGAAAAACCTTGCCATTATCCCATGAAAACCGATTTCTACGGTATTGATAACCCTAACCCTAACCCCATCCCTAATGAAATTTAGAAAAATTTACGAAGAGCTTTGTTTGTGAAAATGACACATTTACCGAGCTTGGTCTCGTGAAAGTGTGGACTTCAAAAACTATCCACTGCAAAGTCAAAAAACTGACGAGAGACTTTCTCCTTGAAAACAATCTCTTCAACAATCAGTTTCTCTACAGTAGGGCTTTAATGGAGTCCTTGAAATCGAAGACCTTTTTCTTAGCTAGTTGGATAAGAGCGTCGACTGCGCCTGGATTCAGCAGAAGGATTTCTGGCTGGACTCTCGCTGAAGCTTGGAAACAAGGACAAGACCAGATGCCGATTTGCTATCCAGATTCATGTACGAAAAATAATATTTTTAATGATTAAAATTTCATCAGGGGTCAAGCACTTGGTTCAAGAAGACTCGGAATTGAGAGTTTCCTTGAGATCGAAAAATCGAGTTCTCTGCATTCAAAATTAGAAATAAATGTAAAAAAAAAACGATCTTACAGTGGCTTGAGATTGTAATACGAGGAAGGCGTGTTTAGGGGACAAGCAAAGACAGTTTTGTGGTTTTTGCAAATTGAATTAAATACTGTCGCCGGGGCAACTGAGTACAGTTCCGCTCTTTTGTCGGGAAGCAGGCGTAGACACTTTCCATTCATTTCTCAAGAATAAAGATCTCATTTATCGGCATCAATCTTGGCCATTTTTTTCTATCAAAAGACCGGTATCATGGAGCAAGAAATATCCTATTTTCAAAATTACAAAGAGCAGCCCGTAAAAAAGGCAGGAGATATTCGCTTCAATTTGAACGGTAGGTTTTCAAGATCAGAAATTAAACTAAAATATCCAAGCCGAGGAAAAGTCAAGAATCATTCCAGTTCGGGTAAACAGCAGTTACGGACATCGGCCTTTTTACGATACGATAATCGGGCGAGAAAATGTTCGAATCAACCACTGTCGAGATTTTCTTTCAAAAAATGGCATTGGTCTTTGAAGTATTTGTCTGTAACTCAATAAAATTATAAGCTGCACGAAAAAATGTTCAAAGAGAAAGTCTTCAAGTCAATAGCCCGTCCTCCCACAAAGTGGATGTTCCAAAGAGAGGCCCCGGAAATACTTGAAATGCATGAAATTCGTCCTCACTGCCCAAATTTGTTCAATAGAATGGTACCTTAAAAGTTGATAAAAACTAATGTGCAGTTTTATTTATTCGAAATTTTTTCAATAAATATCAAAGAGGTTACTCAAATTGTCAATCAGAGTCCAATTGGCAAGGTCAGAACTCTATCATTTCTTTCTTGAAAAGTTAAACATAGCGAAAAGTCCATCATTTTTCAATAATTATCATTCTTTACTGAGTCAAAAGACGTGATATAAATCGCACGGGCAAGCCCAGTTTAGTTTCAAAACATTCAAACACGTTCGAGGAGCAGCACTCGTAAATAACTAGTCGTAATCATTAGAGGAGCTAACTGCAACACGCACCTCCACCTAGCGCTGGCGGGTCAACTGACCCGTATAAAAGAATGGAAGCCACGAAGATAGGCGATAAGAGAGAGAAGGGCAGCACTAAGAAAGATGAAGCTTTCATTAGCTGTCTTGTCTACTGTTTGTGCAAAAAGAGATCCAGAGTAAGTACATCTAATTTGATTTAAAAATATGCCAGAAAAATAGAAGTGCGATATCTTTTTATTGGGATCGCTGATTTTCACAAGATATTTTGATCTTATTTTATCCCTATTTTCCAGTGCTGAACGTCGCCTCGAGAAAATACGAGGAAAAGCAGCCGAGTACAAAACTTTCGCAGAAAACAATGACAATGTGAGCACCAAGCGCCTCAAAGTCATCAACGAGCGAGTTGATCGGCTTGTTTCCGACCTCGAAAGAATCGACGTGTCTGCATGTCCGAGCCCTGGAGTCGAGGAGGACAAATTTTCCGAAGGAGACGAGGAATTTAGCGAGCTCTGTGACGCTTCTGGAAAGTTTCCATCGATGGTGCGATCCTACGCACGTACGTTTGGATGCCAAGACGGTTTTCCAAATCGAAACTTTCTGGAGAGACTTGTCAATCGATCCCACAAGCTCAAGCGAAAAACAAAAAAAGCTGCTAAATGCGATGCTCCAGCCGCAGTAACCACCGCCACCTCGATCGTCACTGGAACGCCATTCACCAATCCACCTATGCTTGAAATGTGCGACGAAGGGTTTCACGCTGAATGCGATGAGCTCACAAATTCCGAGATCTACTTCGAGAATCAGTGGACTTGCCGAAACTGCTTCCGAGTGCGAGCAACTTATGGCCAAAACTCAGGCTTCAAATTCAACCCGGCAAAAGGCGATTTCGTTAGCGTCCGATTCACCGAGCCAGTTGTCTGGCAAACTTTCAACCATCCAGTCAAAAAGGTCACTGAAGTTGGTGATGATAACACCTGGAAGATCGACTTCAAGCACGACGGAAACTTCATGAGCGGAATGATCTTCGAGGGTAATCTCCAAACGTCGGATGACAATCTTCACGTTGACGGAAACTGGATCATTGAGTCAGCTCAACAATGTAATTGCATAAGAGGTCCTCCTCCACCACCACCATGCTCCGAATCTGACCCATGCAAGGGCAAACTCGATTGCCAGACATTTATCAATGCCTGTGAAGTCACTCCGTCGCGAAACAACAGAATCGCTACAATCGATGGCTCCAAAAGCTATTTGGTCTCGGCGGAAGTCCAGTGCGGCGAAAGCTCCGGTAACTGGGGCGGTATTGTCCATATCAACACAGGCTCAAGCAGAGAGGTGTTTGGGGACAGATACTTCACGTTGTGGGCGAGGCCCGATGGTGGAATTAAATTTAATGCTCCTCTAAAGGTAATGTTTGTTGCATGTTATGACATTTTTTAAATTACTCAAAACCGCATTGGCTAAAACGTGCTTCGAAATTCTAACGGTCGGGTTTAGAACAACGGCGAATTCCACGAAGTTGAGTACAACCACGAATGTACCCCTGGTGAGTGGAATACGTACACTGTCCTTCAGCAATACGTCGACAGCGTCCTTGAGCTATCTGTAAGCGTAAACGAAGAAGTCCTTGGTACCCACGTTGTCCCCGTAAGGAAAGCTTTCCAAGGAGAGCTGTTTGTCGAAGTTGCGGGCGATTACCACCCTGCTGCTGACACTTTCAAAGTTCGAAACTTCTTCCACCAGACGTTCTCTCAACCAACCTCTCCCTGCGGTACACCAGTTGACCCCTGTGATGGAGATGATTCTTGCGACGCGCTCGTCTGGAACTGTCCTATCCGACCAGAATGGTCAAATCTTCTCGGAGAAGTTAAAGGCAATGCAGTTTACTCTGCTTCCGTCGATGTTCTCTGTTGAAAAACCGACGGCCATGGCTGGGAAAATGTGATTCACATGACTCAAGGAACAAATCGAGATCAATTTGGCGACGGATATTTCACGATCTGGCAACATGCTGACGGTCGACTAAAACTCAACGGACCGTTGAATGGAAATACTGAATTCGACGAGGTTGAATACTACGTCGACTGCGATGATGATTCCTGGACAAACATTGCTATTTCTCAGAAACCACTTGAAGGAGGACTTTTAGAACTGAGTATGTACCAAGATGGAGAACTCCTCGGCTCGAACCGAGTTCATTCTAGCGACGCTTTTAGCGGACCAATCAAGGTCTACGCTTCGAATCCGTTTATGCCTCCAGCGGACTTCTTCCAGATAAGAAACTTCATTCATCGATCAGCTCCCTACGAGCCTGCTTCTTGTGATGCTACTGACCCATGCGATGGCATCCACGAGTGCGAAACATTCATCAATTCCTGTGCAGTCGCGCCCTGGCGAGGAACCCGCCTTGCAGAACCAAACGCTCACGATCAATTCAAGATCTCCGCTGAAGTTTTCTGCACCGATCGAGTTGCGTCGAACTGGGAAAATGTGCTTCACGTTCATACTGGAACCAATCGAGAGAAATTCGGCGATCGATATTTTACGATTTGGAAGCAAGGAGGACACGCGGATAGAATTCGTATTGTCGCACCTGCATTTGACAATCCTCATTATGAGCTAAACGCGTACGTCGATTGCGCTCCTGGATGGCACACGTTTACCGTTCAACAATCCAAATTTGATGGAAACAAGATGAACCTTGAGATCATTTTCGACGGGGATGTGGTTGAGTCCCAAGTTGTCGAGAAAAACAATCTCTACAGCGGTCCTCTCTTTGTAGACGTCTCCAACGAATTCGCGTGGCCCGCTGCGTACGATCACCTCGTCCGAAACTTTTTCCATCAAAACATCGCCTGTGCTGATCCATGCGTTGGCAAAGAAAACTGCCAGACAATTGTGAACGAGTGCGAAATCCTTCCGGTAACGAATACGAAGATCATGGAAGTTGAGGCATCGCTCAATTTCAAAGCTTCAGTCGAAGTTCTTTGCGACCACTCGTTGCCACTTGACGGTCAATGGAAGAATATTTTCCATATGACCGGCGGTGAGAATTATGGCTCGCCAGGAGATCGAACTTTCGCCATGTTCCGCTCAAGGAATGATAATCAATTGCTCATAACAGTTAACGACCCAGCTGGAAGCAATCACCAAAAATACGTCTATGACGAGTGCAGCCAGGGAAGATGGAACGAATATTCCGTTGAAGTCCGTCAAGTTGAAAATAACCCGTCTCTCGTTCGATATGTTCTGAGTGTCAACGAACGAGAAGTTCTCGAAGGTTTCTACTCGCGAGACGGAACTTTGTCCGAAGGTCCTATCCACGTTTATGCAGCTGATGACTATTATCAGACTGCAACAGCTCATGCTATCCGAAACTTCTATTATCAGACGTTCGATGAGCTTGATGGTATATCTTGTGATGATCCAACCGATCCTTGTGAAGAAGAAGGACTCGATAACTGCAACACAATAGTTGATAGCTGTCCGGTCGCTCCAGAGCCAAATAAACAAATTGGAACCGTCGATGCATCGCTCAACTACAAACTATCCGTTGACGTTCTCTGCAGTCACATGATGCCTCTTGATGGTCAGTGGAAAAACATCTTCCACGTTACTGGAGGAGAGAACTATGGACAACCAGGAGACCGAACATTCGCCATGTTCCGGAATCGAAACGAAAACAAACTTCTCATCGTAGCCAACGATCCCAACGGAAGCAACCATCAAAGCATCCGATACGTAGACTGCAACGATGGCGAGTGGAACACGTATTCTCTTGAAGTGAGACAAGATGAGACCTCAATTAACATACTCAAATACGCCATTTTCATCGACGGGGTTGAAATCGATGCCGGACTTTACAGCAAAGACGGTGCACTCACCGAGGGCGATCTCAAAGTATTCGTTTCTGATGATTACTACGATTCAGCCCTTACCTTCCCTGTTCGAAACTTTTTCTATCAAACATTTGACGAAATCGAAGAAGTGGCTTGCGAGAATTCTACCGATCCCTGCGATGGCCTTGAAAACTGCACAACAGTTGTGGATAGCTGCCCGATCAATCCGAAGAAAAATGTCGAAGTCGGAACTATCAGTGCTTCCCTCAACTACAAGTTCTCAGCTGATGTTCTTTGCAGCCATACTATGCCTCTTGATGGCCAGTGGAAGAACATTATTCATGTAACGGGAGGAGAGAACTACGGAAATCCCGGTGATCGAACATTCGCCATGTTCCGAAATCGAAACGAAAACAAGCTTCTTATCGTTGCTAACGACCCCACTGGAAGCAACCACCAAAGCATAAGATACGTTGACTGCAACGATGGCGAATGGAACACATATTCTGTCGAGGTTCGTCAGGATGAGACTTCAATCAATATTCTAAAATACACTATCAGCATTGATGATGTTCAAATTGATGAAGGCATCTACAGCAGAGACGGCGCCCTGGCAGAGGGTGATCTCCAAGTCTTCGTTTCCGACGATTACTACGATTCCGGCATCGCATTCGCGGTCCGAAATGTTTTCTTCCAAACTTTCGATGAGCTTGAAGCGATCTCTTGCTCATCTCCAACGGATCCCTGCGATGGACTTGAAAATTGCAGCACAGTCATTGATAGCTGCCCAGTTAGTCCAAAAAAGAATACTCAAGTCGGAACTGTCAGCGCTGCAATCAATTACAAAGTATCTGTAGATCTTCTTTGCAGTCATCTTCAGCCGCTTGATGGACAATGGAAGAATATTTTCCACGTGACTGGAGGAGATAACTATGGGGCACCAGGAGACCGAACATTTGCCATATTCCGTAAACGAAACGAGAACAAGCTGCTCATCGTTGCCAACGATCCAAATGGAAGCAATCACCAAAGCGTCAAATACGTCGACTGCAACGATGGTGACTGGAACACGTATTCGCTTGAAGTCCGGCAAGATGACGACTCTCTTTCAACTCTTCTTTACGAAATCACCATCGACGGCGTTAAAGTCGACGAAGGCAGTTACGGCATCGAAGGAGCTTTGACCGAGGGCGATCTTCAAGTTTTTGTCTCTGATGATTTCTACGATTCTGGTATTGCTTTCTCTGTTCGAAATTTGTTCTTCCAAACCTTCGAATAAGAAGTTTATCTTTAATTGAGTTCAAACTTTGCCCTAATTAAAAAAAATCAACGAAAATATTCCTCAAATGACTGTTTTATCCTAAAGAATATATTTATTATTATTTAATAATTATTTAAGGACCCCCCCCCCCCGTATCTAGATATAATTATATCTATCTAACTATATCTTGAATAATAGACAGAAAGCCTCAACTGTGATGGGAAATTTCTTAGATGAAGATTTTGTTATAGAGCAAACGAAGATTGTAGACTGTGTACCAAGACTCACTCAATGAGTAAATATTTTTGCAGAAACTTACTGCCAGTAAGTAGTTATTCTTGTGAACAAATTCTAAAGTATCCTTCTTGTGGTATGTTCAACATCATTTTTGAAAAATGAAAGTATCTTCGCATCCAAAAGAAGTAACAAGAGAAGCAGTTGAGAAATGGGTGGTCGATTTTAAAAAGAAATTGAAGAGAACTAGCAGCAGAGATGATTTAGACAGGTTGATTTTGTCTGTGGAGAGAAAAGATTTTGAATTTTTTCATTATGCTGACTGGGATGCTGTTATTTTTGAAAATGGAAAAGGAGAAGTTTCTGGACCCCTTATTAAAGAAGAATGGGCGATAACTTCATTTCAAAAAATGATCCTCGACAATAATCCCAAACTAGAAGGTAGAAAGATTCGACGGTCAGAACTCAAAGAAGAAACTGGAGAATGGATTCTTGATCAACGTCTTGAAGAAAAGTTATTTCTTCTGGGGGAGAAGCGATTGTTTTAGAAGAAAAATTTGGAGAATTGGAAGTTGGTGTTCGGGTTCAGGCCTTTGACTCGACGCTGTTTGCTGACAACAAAGATGAGTTGGCGTTTTTAGTTCATCTTTCAAAAGGTAACTTTAATTTTACTTATTTTTGATAAACTTTCAGATTACGAAATCGCTGAAAACCGCGAAGAAGACGACGCGCCTGTTACAGGGTTTGAAAAGACACAAATTTTGATTGAGCATGAGCACGACTGAGCATTGGCGTGCTCATATTAAGCTGAGCCTGAGCATGATTGAGCAACCGCCTGCTCGAATTTCCGGGAACGGTCGGACTCATTACCAAAATGTTTGGTAACCCATTACCAATTTTCGGTAGTCGATTATTAATTAATTTTAACTTTTTCGCCAAGTTTATGAATAAAACACCCCACAAGTTTTCTATTATACAGGCGCGGAGCGCACACTTGCTCTTTGAATGAAAAAATTGCCACTTTTTTGACGAATTTGGTAATGCATTACCAAAATTGGTAATGGGTTACCACAATTGGTAATGGGGATCAATTGGTAATGAGTCCGACCGTTTCCCCAAATTTCGCTGAGCCTGAGCACGCTGAGCATGCTCAGAGCTCATGCTCAGTGCTCTGAGCATGCTCGGACTTTTCAAACCCTGGCCTGTTATCCCTGTTCATCAAAACTTGATCAAAAACTTCTGCAACATCGAAGTTTACTCGAGCATGGACGAGCAAAGAGATGACTGCCTTGGATGGATTACGATAATGGAGAAATGCGACTCCGACTTGAGAAGCAGATTGAAAAACGAAGATTTGAGTTTAGAAGCGAGGAAGAAAATTGCGATCGGAGTTCATTTGGGAATAAATTATTTGGAGAGCATTGGAATTGACCATCGCGATCAAAAACCTGAAAATATTCTATTGAAAAATGGAGAATGCAGATGGATTGATTTTGGGACAATAGAAGAAAAAACTGGAAGGGAGAGTTACCGAAGAATGGGCTACGCGAGAAGAGGGAGCAAATATAGAAGCTATTCGCATTTACGTAAGTTTTGAATTTGAGTTATTTGAAAATTATTTGCTAATCTTATTTTTTCAAAGGTGCTGGGTCTGCTGCATTTTCATGCAGTTTGCAACTTTTCGGACACTATGGAGGCGTCGAATCAGCACTTCACGTTTTGATTTTATGCGATTGGAAAACAGCCTGGAGCCTTCTGTTCAAACCGATCGAAGGGGGCTGACCGGACTGACCAGAGTGTAATATGGGCAACGTGAGGTGCTAAGTCCGAAAGAATGAGGCAAGTGCAGGTGGGTAGGACTAGACACCAAATGAAGACATGCGAGGAATATTGACATTGATTCTTCCGCTTCAGTCCGAAAGTTATGAAGATAGGCAAATTTATCCGTCTTATTCCAAAGGCGCTGAAAACGTCGGTATGCTGAAAACGTCGTGTATCCATTGATTTCGTCTTCCGTGACCATGTTGGTAACTCCGGTTTTAAATGAGCAGAAATTATGCCGACTTTCTGAGTCTGGAAATCAAGCGCGTTTGGACTAGAGCGCTCCAGAACAAGAACGGTTGGTGGTCGCTCAAACCACGCAGTCGCAGTGTCGTTGAAGTCGTAGCCATCCACCTTGGAGAACATGTTCCGATCCCAAATGAATCCGACTTGTTCCTTGCTTGAAGTTGTTCCTTGGCGCTCTCCAGTGAACCAATCGTACTTGTCGACGGCTGCGTCGATGTCGTTAACGAGACTTAGGAATGCCGTCTCAGAAATATCTCTTATTTCCTAATCTTGAATTATTTTTGCCGAATAATTATTGAATTTGCGTGGATAGTAGCAATATCGTAGCGCTGGAGGATCTCGACGATTTGGTTTTTGACAGGCTCTTTTCCGTATTTTGTCATATAAAAGTCTATAAAATAGACTATAATGGCGCATAGCCTATGCGGCATAGGGTTAAAAAGTCCGGCAATACCGAGAAAAACACGAGAAAAAAAAACAAAGTTTGACCTTCTCATAGAGCAAACGCAAAATCGACGTGTGCAAATTGCGCGAGATTCACTCACTAAGTAAATATTTCTTGCAGAAAGTCATTCTTGTGCGGAAGTTTTCAATTTTTCTTTAACTTACGATTTCTTCTTCGACGCTCAACATTTCGTTTGAAAAAATGCACGTCTCTTCTCATCCAAAATAATTGACAAGAGAAGCTGTTGAGAAATGGCTCGAGGAGTTTATATATAAATTGAAGAGAACGACGAGCAGAGATGATTTGGACAGATTGATTTTGTCGGTGGAGAGATATGAGTTTAAAGATATATGGTGTGCTGGATGGAAGGAGGTTACTTTTGAAAATGGAAAAGGCGTAGTTTCTGGTGGAAAGTATAATATAAATGAAAAATGGCCGATAAATTCATTTCAAAAAATGATTCTCGACAAAAATCCGGTACTCGAAGGAAGGGAAATTCAACGGTCAGAACTGAAAGAAGAAACTGGAGAATGGATTCTCGATCCTCTTCTTGAACAAAAAGTTATTTCTTCTGGAGGAGAAGCGATTGTATTTGAAGAAAATTTTGGAGAATTGGAAGTGGCTGTTCGGGTTCAGGCTTTTGATTCGGCGCTGTTTGTTGAGAAAAAGGAACAGTTGGAGTTTGAGATTCATCTTTCGAAAGGTAATTTTAGTTTTGCTAATTTTTGATAAATTTGGGTTAAACCAATTTCTGGAAGTGATTTATTGGATCAGGGTTTTGATTGGCCGGTAGGCCAAATACAGCAATCTTATTGGTAATCCAAAAATGCACTTCCATAAATTGGTTTAGTCCATAAATTTAGGCACAAACCAAAATAAGTATGTCTGGAGCTAGGACGTGACAGCGTAGGACCAAATCACAAAGTATCATACATTAAAGTAAGATTTAATATTCTCATTGGAAAAAAAGAATCGTTTGATGTTCTTAGTGGAAAAAAAGAAAAATTTAAGATCCTTATTTGAAAAAAAGTAAGTGATTTTTAGGAGGGCCAATAAGATTGCTGTATTTGGCCTACCGGCCAATAAGAAACCCAAACTTTTTTAATACTTACTAGTATCACCGATCCAATTTTGCACAGTCCTGACTTGGATTTACATTATAATTTTATACTTCAATGGGGTAAAACCAATTTTTGGAAAATTTAATTTTGGAGAAATGAATTTTGAAACGATTAGTGTAGAACAAGTTAGTAGAGAAACGATTAGTGTGGATAGAGTTATTTTGAAACGACTTATTTTGGAAGAACTAATTTTGGAAGTGATTTTATGGACAGGGTTTTGATTGGCCGGTAGGCCAAATACGGCAATCTTATTGGTCATCCAAAAATGATTTTTGGAGACTTGGATTTCCAAAATTAACCGGTCCTAGATTATTTTTTAAAAATTAATCAAAAAAAAAATCATTTTTCCAAAATTAATCGTTTCAAAATTCATTTCTCCAAAATTAAATTTTCCGAAAATTGGTTTAGACCCTTCAATGTATGATACTTTCTTATTCGATCCTTCAATGTATGATACTTTCTTACTTGGTCCTACGGTGTCACGTCCAAGCTCCAGACTTACTGACTTTGGTTAGCCCCTAAATTTAAGATTACGAAATCGCTCAAAACAACAAAAGGGATGACGCTCCAGTCATCCCTGTTCATCCAAACGTGATCAAACATTTCTGCAACATAGAAATTTACTCAATCAAAGACGAGAAAAGAGAGGACTGCATTGGATGGATTACGATTATGGAAAATGCGACTCAGATTTGAGAAGCAGGTTGAAGAATGAAGATTTGAATTTAGAAGCGAGGAAGAAAATTGCGATCGGAGTTCAAGCGGGAAGTGAGTATTTGGAGAGTATTGGAATTGAACATTACGATCGGAAGCCTGAGAACATTTTATTAAAAAATGAAGAATGCAAATGGATCGATTTCGGGATAATTTGGGAACATACTGGTAGGGAGAGCTACAGAAGAATGGGTTACACAAGGAAAGGGAGAAAATACATATTCTCTCTGTATTTATGTAAGTTTTGAATTTGAGTTATTTGAAAATTTTTTGCTCATCTTTCTATTTTTTCTAAGATGCTGGTTCTGCTGCATTTTCAAGGGGTGAGCAAATTTGTGAAGATGGACTAGGAGATACATCACCACTCCACGTTTTGATTCTTTGCGACTGGAAAACAGCCTGGAGCCTTCTTTTCAAACCGATCGAAAAAGACGAGAGAGAGAAAATAGAAGAAGAACTAAGGGTAAGAGCGTCTTATTTCTAATGAATTTCATCCAGGAATATTTCTAGAAATTTCATGCTGAGTGGCTCTCAAACAACTTTCACTTATCCGAAAAAATCAAAAAAGTGTCAAAAATCATTTCTCTTAAAAACGTGGCTCCTGATTTTTGCCTGGACGATCCAAACTTGACGAAGTCTTCGGCAATGGCCAATCTGAAACAAAAACTGACAAGACAGATCAATTTCGACTTCAAAAACGTGACGAAAAATGTTTTAAACCAAAAAGAAAGCAATCTCTGCGTCCCCATTTCAGTTTCAGTTCTTCTAAGATGGGCGGTGAAAAATGATTTGAAACCTGAAAATTGGAAAATGGAAAAATATTTTACTCTCGAAACAATCTTCACTCTTCTGACAATGATAATTTATCCGCGAAGTTTGGCTGGCTTCAATCTCAATCCGAGAAAAGAAGAACGGAAATTTCAAGAAAACGAAATTGAATTGCTTCTCAGAAGAATGAAATTCCAAACTTATTTTAATAAAAGTGGATGGAAAATTATCAGCAGGTTGAGTTTGATAAATGCGAACTTCGATTTTGAAAAAGGTTTTAAAAATAGTCAAATTAATCATTCTACATATTTTTAGTCCTTCTGCATCTAACCTTAACATTCTCCCGTCCCTTAACCGTCACCGGCGCCTACTTAAATCCCGACGGCTCAATATTTTTCCACCAAATGGTTCTCGATCGAATCGAAAACTCCGAATTCATTCTCCAAAACACTCTCATCGACCATTCGGGGTCTCAAATCAGGATTCCTCTTTCTCGCGAATTCTACGTCGAATACCACTTCATGGAAGATTGCTTCAAATGCTACAATGATTTTGTTTATTTCGGTGATAACAACGAGTTTCTCGCTTTGGTCAACGAGAATTTCAATATGGAAAAAGAAAGATGGTATCTTTTGCCTCAAGCGTATTCAATTACTCTTACTCCACCTCAAAAAAATTCATAAACGACTAGATTTTCTGAAAACATAAGTTGATAACTCAATGCAAATAAAATATTTCATTTATTGAGAAACATCAAAATAACTTCGTGGTAATCAGCAGGTTTTATTGATTTTAATAAAATTCAAACTCGACAGGAAAATGATCAGAAACCAGCTCAGTTATAGGATCGCCGTTGAAAAAGATGGAGTCAGTGTTGTAAAAGGTTTGATAATCGAAAACTTGTCCAGAGCCTGCGACGAAGTTGTTCTCGATCTGCCCAGAAAGAACAATGTGATCATAGGCGCAAACTGTGCTTTTGACAGTTGTGTCATCATCGAAAGAAATAAGCCACGTGTTGTTTCCGGAAGAAAATAGCGTCAAATCTTGAGGATCACGGACGTAATCGCAGTCGGCGTTGAAATCGCCAGCGATGACGACATCGTCGAGGGTTGGATGGCGACTTCTAAGATCGTCTTCGACGTCTTGAAGGTGATTGATTTCATCTTCCGTGACCATGTTCGTCACCCCGCTTTCTGGTTTTAAATGAGCAGAAATGATGCCGACTTTTTGAGTCTGGAAATCAAGCGCGTTTGGACTAGTGCGCTCCAGAACGAGCACGGTTGGTGGTCGCTCAAACCATGCGGTCGAGGTGTCGTTGAAGTCGTAGCCATCCACCTTCGAGAACATGTTACGATCCCAAATGAATCCGACTTGTTCCTTGCTTGAAGTTGTTCCTTGGCGCTCTCCAGTGAACCAGTCGTATTTGTCGTCGGCTACGTTGATGTCGGTAACGAGACTTGGGAATGCTGTTTCGGAGATGTCTCGGATTTCCTAATCTAGATTTACTTTTGTCAACTTATTTTTGAATATGCCTGGATAGTAGCAATATCGTAGCGCTTGAGAATTTCGACGATTTGGTTTTTCACAGGCTCTTTTCCGTATTTTGTGGTTCCGAATACTTGAATGTTGAAGCTCGAGACTTAAAACTGGGTAAATAAACGGCTTGAAAAAAAACCAAAATACATTTTGTAGCCGGAAGAACCGTCGTTGTTGTCGCCGCGGAAGAAGCAGCAGTCGATGTTGTCGCAGCCGAAGTTGTCGCGCTAGAAGATGAAGTTGATGATGCTGGAGCTGTCGTCGTAGTCGGGGCAGCCGGGCAAGAGAGAGTCGCTATATCAGCATCGGTAATCATTCCACCAAGTTTTCTCGCATTCCAGCCGCAAACCCTTCCGTTCCATCTTGGACAAGCGCAAACTGCAGAAAATTGCTTGAAACTTCCACTTGAAGTTTGCAACTCCTCGCCGTTCTCACATTGATAGGTGCATTTTTTCTTGTTCATCGAATTGAGATCACATGTCACAGTCACTCCTGCTGGCGGGGCTGCAAGTTCTGTTTCGCATGTCTCACATATGCTCAGTTGTTTTTTCCAGAAAAAGCTATCTGTTTGGTTCCACCGACATTTTGTTCTTCGCTTGCCAACAGGAATGAATCCTGAGGAAAAAATCAACGCCAGAGTTTCATTTTAACAAACCTGGATCGCAAACAAGAGCACAAGTTGCTTGATCACAGACCACCTGTCCATTAGTTGGCGTAATCAGAGGCGGACATAGGGACCAAAGAGCAGCAATTCGCCCCGTTGGAGCTCCCCAGCCACCTTTTTTCTGCTCCAAAGTCCTGAGAAAATCATCATACTTTGGCTGCTCGTATGTCAAAGCGACAGAAGCGAGAGATGGTAAAAGCTTCATTCAAAAATATTTTTTCTCTTCTATTCTCCGGTATTCGGACAATTTGAGTTATGAGACATGGTCCTTATGCAACCTCGTTCCGAATTGGTTTCGATGTTAAATATCAATGAATTTCAATCGACGGGGAATTGTCTGCAGAATAAAATTAATCGACATGACGGAACAATTATGTAATCAATAAATTATTAAGGATAACTTGACTTACTCCACGGTTCTTCACAACTGTTAATTCTAGCTCGATAATTTCACTGCTCTTAAAATTAAAACAACAACACGCAATCAAACCCATTAAATCATGTCTTTACTCTTCAAAAGGAAATCCATATGCGGCATATACGATATGCCGCATTCGTTAAAACACTCTACACATAAAGAGTCTTCGAAGGCAAATCATTTTAAATTAGATAAACTTTTATTTGTACAAAAATAAATCAGCTTGAAAAATAAACAGCAGGAATTCCGTAAATAACAGTGTTGAAAGCTTGACACTCATTCGGTTCAAATGCTGGGCCTTCTGGTTCTGGACTTGGCATGTTCTTGCCCTTCTTTGCCGGCTTCTTGACTTCTTTGACCGGCTTCAGAGATGGATTTCGAATGTGGAGAATGCAATCGACAGCAGAGGTGCCTGAGCTCATTCCATTGACGATTTCCTTCAGTCTCCATTCGTTGGACTCCTGGTCGGAACTCCACTGGTTGAGGATGACAGAAGAGACTCCAGAAAGCGAAAGCAGGGCAACGGAGTTGAGGTAGCTCTCTGCTTGAATAACGACAGGATCTCGCTCAAGATCCAACTTGTTCTGTTGAATGAATGAAGAGGGCTCTGGACTGCGATCAACGAGGAAAACGGTGTTGAGATTGCTCAAATCGAGTGCAGCGATTCGCGAGGGCGGGATCGAAGAGAAAAATCTTTCGCGTCCACAGTAAACGAGTCCATTCGACGCTGCCATGAACGACTCAATCTCGCCAATCGAGAGGCCTGACTTTTCTTTCCAGTTCTGTCGCATTTTCGTAACTGAGTCGGCGCATCTTCCAGGCGTTGCAAGACAAACCGTGTTTCCAAGCGAAGTCATGTTCGAATTTGGGGCAGCTTTTGACTTCTGGTCTTTTTCTTCTCGAAGAGCCAGTCTATTGAGGAAGATTTGAAGAGAGAAGTCTCGCGAAATTGGGCGATCAGCAAGCTCGGGAATCAACTCCAGCGGTGTGTCCAGAAGATGGAAGTCGGCAATGAGAATGAATGGCTGATCTCGTGGAATCTCGGACATGTCGCCTTCAAGTTGAGCCGTGATGTTTTTCAGGTACTTGATGAGCTTATCTCGTGCATTGGTGACCTCTACTTCTTCATCTTCATCTTCGTCATCCTCGTCATCGTCTTTCTTTTCATCTTCGGCCTTTTTCTCTTCTGCGGGAGCGGATGCGTCGGCAGGTTTGTCTGATGAATTTTCCTCTTCTGGCTTTTGGTTGTATTCTTTCTTCAAAAAATCGGAGAGAAGATTCTGTCGAATATCTTGAACTTCGTCTTGGAGGCTCTTCAGATCGGCCAAGTTCGCCCTTGCTCGAACGACTCGAACATCTTTAGTGTTTGCGTTGAAGAGACCAGCATAGATAAATCCATCGGCATGTTGGAGAATCAGACATGAATAAGGCATCTTTTCAATCGGAGAAATTTGGAATAATTTCGAGTTTCTCCACGACTGGAAGTTGTCGATCGATGACCAGAGTGTTCCATTCATGTCGCTGTCGCCATAGATTTGAGAAAAGAGCAGTCGAATGCAATACGCAAGACGAGAAGCATTAGGAGCATTGCAAGCTTGAGAAAGCAGTCGCTGGCAGAATTTCGAAGTCTGGGCGCCTTGGAGTTGAGCGAGGACAGTAAATGCGAACTGTTCGTCGGTGGATCCAATCGAATTCAACATCGACTGGCCGGCTTCTATTTGCACTTCGACATCTTCTGGGCACAATGCACTTGCATTCATGATATATTGAGCGGTTTCCACTTGCCAAATGTGGCTGAGCTTGGTCTTTTTCCAAAAGCTTTCGATTTTGACTGGATCAGACATTGCGCGTGGCACATCATCGTAATCTTCGGAATTCGCTTCTGACAAGTTCGTTTCAGACTCTTCTTCAATCGGCGCGTCCATCACAGGGCGAGGTCTTTCTTGCGCTTTTCCGAGATTAGTTCGGCTCACATTCAAAGTAGAAAATACGGAACGCGAGTTCATGATCGACGGGCGCATCATTGAGAAATCACCGTCTTCGTCGTCGTCAACTTCGTAAGCAGCTGCCTTCAGGTTTATCTCGTAAGGATTCCAGACTGAGTTCTTTCTCGTGTTAGCGAACATGTCATTCGTAATCCAGAAATCGTCGGACCAAGGATTGAACTCAACGTTGCCAATGTCACTTGGAAGATTCGCCATGTAGAGGGACGCACGAGCTCGCAACTTTTTGCTGACATCTTCGTTTGAGCATAATGAGAAAAGAATGTTTAGTGCTGCCTGAGAACTTGCGAGTTCCAGTTGTTTCCACTCAAGCGCAAAGCCTTCCAAATTTTTGTACTCTTTGACGTATTCTTCGATTCTCTTTTCGACATCGGATAGTCCTTCGAAATTCGCGGCTTCTTGCATCTTATCTCTGTAAGCTGAGCTGGCCACATTGGCAAGTAAAAGAGCAAGCGTGAGTTGTAAATTAGCGACGACGGCGTTGCGAGAATCAGCAGTTTCCAAGATTTTGATCGCTTTTGATAGGTGTGAAACCATGTAAAGAACGTCTTTTTGTCTTGATCTTGAAGTCCGTCGATGGAGTTATTGAGCAAACTGACGCGCTTTATGAAGATATTTCCATGCTCAAGAACGACGGTGCCATATTTTTCGCCGGTCCAAATTGTTTCAACATATTTGAGCAAGTCGATGATTTCGCGAATTCGTGAATTGCATGAGCTCGGAACTGCAGACAAGAACATCGCCTCGTGAAATGCAATTTCGGCAAGATGAGTGTCGATCAGATACCCTTGGCTTTGCTGCTCTCGTAGCTTCATGCGGAACTGCTCGAATAGACTTTCTGCTTTCTGTTCGGGACGAGTTTGACCGGAACCCATAATCGCGGCGACCATAAGCTCACATTGTTTCGGCCAAAATGCGATCGGAACCTTTGAGGATGTTTTCAGCGCTTTTTCGAGACAGTAAAGTGCGTCTGATATTCTGTGCTTGTTTTCGTAAAGCTTGAGCATGATCGCCCCACGTAATTGGTAAAATCGCGATTCGAAGCCATCGTTTCTCGCCCTACTGGCACAGATGCACAAGCCGCTGTCGCAAATGTTGAGCGCAGAATCCATGAAGCCACATTTGAGCATAAGTTCAGCTGAGATAAGCCACGAGTCAAGAGGGATGTTCTCTTCTACAGTTTCGTTAACTGGGATGGGCACGCGCTCGATAAGACGTTTTTCCAGCTCGATCTTGCGCTCTTGGTTGCCTTGAACCCCGAGCGAGAGCGACATGAGCACGCTGATGGTCGTCCAAGTGTACTCGTTCTTCATTTCTGCGAGAGTTCCAAGCAAAACTGCGCAGTCTTCAGCATCGCTGAGCATTCCATTTTCCACGTTTTTCGTGTACAAAAAGTAAAGCGCAGTGCAGAATGTTCGAACATTTGAAATCTCCTCGAGCTCCACCTGCTTAATGAGTTCAAACTGAGGACTTTTCGGAGGCGGTGTCGCATCATCTTTCTTGCCTTTCTTTTTATTCTGCGTTAATGACGGTGCAGGTTCTGGTATGACGATTTCGCGTTGTACGTCCGTAAGCAACTCTTGAATGGAATCTTTGACAAGGTCGAGGATCTTCCTTTGGCTTAAATTTTGCTTCTCCATTTCCGAATTGACAGTTTTGAACTGGCTCAGCTTGCACATCGCGGCAAGTGCCCGAATGTTGATTTCAGCGCTGCCCTTGGCCTGTGTCAAGGTCTTGAATGATTCGACGTATCTCTCGTTTCGCTCTTCAATCGTCGCTCGCTCGAGTAGCAACTCGGCAATGTGCGATTCCACACGCATCGTGCGGGCATGTTTAATTGCGTTATTCAGACTGGAAAGTGCTTGAATTTCTTTGCTGAGCTTGATCTGCGACTGAGAGTAGTGCCGCCAGTTGGCGGAAATGAACTCGTCTTCGTCACCTCCGATTCTGTTGATATCATGCGTTGGGTCCATATCAAGTTGAGCCTTGCACTCGAGTCTTGTAAGATGAAGCACTTGTCGCTGTTGAATCTTCGGCATTGACTGCAGAACCGTGTCTAGTTCTCTCAGAGCGGCGCTGTAGTTTTCAATATCCATGTAGCTCTTGACGACGATCCAGTACAGCCGAGCTCTAACTTCTGCGTTGCCTTTATCTCTTGGTCGTTTTGAAATCGCTGCGATGAGCTGTTTCGCTTGTTTCGCTAGCATCGCACGGCCCTTGATCTCATTTGCCAAACGCCGACTTGCATTCCACCACAAATTCGCTGCCGCCAAGGCTAAATCTTCCGATAGTTCAGCGGCGAGGACGAATTCGCGCTGAATCTGCTCTAGATCGCCTTCTTCATTTTCGATTACTTGTCCAAGCAGTAGATGGCAGAATGCAACTTCTCTGCTGCATGTTTCTCGATCACTGCCGGTCAGCTTCGAAAATAAGTCCAGGCTCGCTTCGCAGGATTGTCTTGCCAATGGAATAAGTTCTTGTGCACCACTCAAACACATCGTCGCGAGGAAGCGATAAGCCATTATGATGAAGGGAACATGTCCAGTTAATTGAAGTTCTTCATTTCTTGTTTTGTCGATCAGCTCGGCTAGATCAGCAAGACTTATCGCAGCAGAGCTCTGCGAATTGTAATGAAGATCCAAGTTGAGCCAGACATAAACCAGCAGGTTTTCTTGCTTCAAGCTGGGCAGCGAACCAATCTTGAGCGTCGACGAGTTTATCTGCTCCTTGTTGATTTCAGAAATTTCCAACCGCAACTTGAGCCAATTTCGCGCCAGTTCTAGCAGTGATTTCGCGTCAAGCGTGAATTGCCGTGTCGCTTCGATCGCTTTCTCGCTAATTTGCAAGCATTCTTGCAACTGAGCCAGACGAATTGCGAGTGGAGAGTCAGATGCTTGTTTCTCCACTTTTGTTTTTCTTGATTTCGATGCTTTCGAAGCGCGACTATCATTACTGACTTCGCCGAGCGAGTTGTTTGTGCTCAGAGGTGGCGCATTAACTGAAGAAGGCGGTTGGCTCAACGAAAGGACTGTCGCTGTTCTGACCAAGAGATTCGGCTCCAATGACGGTTGTTTCAAAAAGATCGTATAAATGGGCATCAGCATTTTCTGAATGTGTTTCAACTGGCCGGTGACTCGAAGTTTCTGCGCGTAGTTCCAGAGGTAGACGGCAGCGTTATGCACCATGTAAGTGTAGTTGAGCTCTGATGCCAAATCCAAGCAGTCCGTCATTAGAGAGCAGATGAAGTCTGAGATGTTCAGCTGTATCTCCTGGATTTCCGGATCTTCGTGAGCTGGATTCGGTGCGAAGATGTCTGATCCTTCTGATCGCAGGAGTTGGACCCAAGCTTCAGCTTCCAGAAGCATCGATTCACAGCAAATTCTGCCAATGGCAAGTTCCGACTCGCTGTACGGTGCTTCTGTCTCTTCGGCAGTGACGCTAATCTTTGCCGAAGAAAGTGCCTGCCGGTTCAACATCTTAGATGTTTCCGGCTTCAGGGAAGTTTTCTTCCCTGCCACACCCGCCGATGGGCGGATGCTTCCTGCCTGGCTGAGAATTCCAGAGCGCGTAGACTGCAGTTCTACGTCCTCCAAGTCAGCTTCGTCAGCGCGGCGTAGCCCCTCGCGGAAAAAGGCGATCTGACGGCCCATAGTGCGGAGCATATGCCAGCGATTGTATTTTCTGGCAATCTTCATCGCTTTGAACCAGATTTCAGCGACAGTTAGCTCATCATCGTATTTTACAGTTGTAGGAATAAGTTCCAGGGCAGCAAAGTAGTCAACTTCTTCGTCGACAACAAATGGCTTTTATGGATAAATATTAGTCATATTGGCAATGTAAAATCTGAAAATTTTTATCTTCAAAGTCTAATCAATCCATTCCTGAAGCTTTTTCTGGCCATTGTAACGTTCCATAAATTGCGAGGACAACAGACGCCCTGTCTGCACCAAGATAGGGTTGATTTTGTTCACCGGTGCGATACTTGCTTCTTGGACGAGCTTGCCTGCCTGTTCGAGCTGATTTTCAGGACGATTGTAAGGATTCACAGCAGCAGATATCATTCGCGCTTCTTGATGCATCTTCTGTTTCATGACTTCATCGTTGCAAAGGCTGACGGCGTGGATCAGATGCCTTGAAGCTGCAGTAAGATTTTCTTTGCTAAGCGCAAGTCGACTCAGTTCGCGGCAACACTTGTATGCATTTTCATTCATCGGATCGTGACTGACAATCATGTTAAGTGCGCCAATGACGTATTTGTCGAGCTCGTTCAATTTCAACTGTGGCTCCAAGAGGGGAAGAAGCTGGTTCCAAAGCATGGAGGCAGCGATTCGAATTAATCGCTTCGTGGTCGCAACTTCAAGGACGCTCGTGATTCGGATTATGTTCTTGATTCTCTCATCCACCGACTTTTTCGTGTATTGCTGGGCGTATTTCTTCTTGATCGCAGCTGCTCTGGCACAAACTTGAAGGCAAATCATTTCGTTGTAGAGTTCAGTCTCCGTTGGCATGATTTCCTTCTCAATTTGTTTCAGAGCGCTCTCTGCTTGAGCTAGTTGACCGGACGAAATAAAGTGGTGGATTATCTCGAGGATGAGTTGAGGACAGTTTTCACCGCGCGGTCGAGAAAGCTCTTTCTTGAGATAGGCTTCGAAACGTCTTGGATCGCGCTTGAATGTGGCAAGACGATAAACGCCGACGAGAAATTTTGATTTTTCTTTCAGAAGTTCCACAATTTTTTCGTCAGCAGTGACCGTTACCTCAGCAGCGAGTCTTGTCGTGACTAAAAAAATTTTATCATTTTTTTCTAGAACAAAATTGTTTACTGGTCAATTTTTCAAAAATTCGGTCAAAATTGGTCAAAATCTAAGATTCAAATTTTCACTTACAATCGTCGGTGATAACGGAGGGTCCATGCTTAGTGTCCATTAAAAATTCTACAGCTTCTTTCTTTCGTCCAGCAGATTTCAAGTAGATGATCGTTTTTATCATAAACTCCTTTCTGAAGATTTCCCCAATCTGAGCCAAGTTTTTTCCACGCTGCGCCACGATTTTGACCATCAGTTCGCCCAAAGCCTGGTTTGGCTTCATTTGAAACACTTTCTTTTTGAAAGGATGATAATTTTAAAAGCATTTTGCATTATACGAGGTGGTGGTTTAGAAAATTTATAAATTATTTGAACGATAAATTCATCGTCATCCCTGCCTTGATGATATTTCTATTGAGAGTATCGTCTGTGTCTGAAAGAGCCTCGTTGAAGCACCGAACTGCATCTTGAAACCGTCCATCATGCAGAGCAAATTTACCGCGAATATATCTTAGCTTGGGAGTCGGATTCGTTTCGTGCTCAAGGTTGAGCAAGACCTTATTCGCATTTATATAAAAATCAGAAAACCCCGGTACTTACCCTCTTTGCGTTTTCGTAGTCTCCTTCTTCGAATTTGCCAATCGCATAATTGACAAACTGATCCACGAGGGCCTTCTTTTCCTTCAACTTGGCTGCTTGCATCAGCGCGCTTTCTGTCAGACTGATTCCTTTCTCTCAAAACATCAACCCTTTTTCTCGCGTTCTAGAGAATTTTCGCAAAAAAAAATTTCCCCAATTTTATTTTTTCTTCCCTGGGCGCGATCGTTGCCATGACAACAACGAAGAGAACTTTTTTTTTCTTCATCAGTTTCATGCTTTCGTGATTCCTGCTTTGTCAATCATAATTCATAAAGAAATAGAACTTTTATCTTTTATAACGATTTGATTAAACCGACACAAAAGTATCTCGATTAAGAGTTGATTGCAACGTTTTATTGAAGATATTCTGTAAGAGTAATGGAAGCAGCTACAGTAGATTAAATAAATTATTTTTCCTTCTTTTTGAGTCCTTGCGAAGACTTTTTGGTTTCGAACGCGTTGAGAATGAAGCTAACACCAATGTTGAGGATGACCAAGACGAGAGCGACCACAATGAAGGCTTCAATCAGAAGTTTAATTAACAGCTCGAGACGATTGCCTACCTGTGAATGAAGAAGCGGCGAAAGAGACGAGCCAATTTAGAACTGGAAGCATCACAATGAAAAACCAAATAGCCGTTGTATAAAGCGGCTCAATGGGCAACGACTTGGAGCGCAACTTCATCGGCTCCGAATAGAACTGCGACGATGGCAAACTGTACTCGCTAGGTTGCCGGCCAATATTGCTACCTTCGCTAAGCATTTTGTCGAATAAAAGATCCTTGAATGAGTTTAACGCTAATGAGCTTTAGTTGAAAGTTACCTTTTCTTCGAACAAATCGAACAAGTACTTTTTGCATTCTGATTCTTCAGTAGGAATTGAGTCGAGCTCCATTCTAGTGGCACAGACTGACATTTTGAAAGGTTTTCCACGGAGAAGTTCTCCGACTGTCACATCTTTATCGCCACCAAGGACTGTTCGGAGATTCATACAAGTCCGAAAAGGGAAAATTTTGATGGAAGTCATTTTTGAATCTTGAATCCGTTCCTACTGTGCAGTCATAAACAGCCTTGACATTTGAACTGTGGAGTGAAGTGATTGACTCGTGGAAGCCCTTTGGCCTTGGCAGCAGCAAGTGTTTCAATGTTTTGTGCCCTCGTTCTTTTGCAAACTCCATGGATTGAGCGTGTTTTTCTTTCGTAAATCGAGTGCCTTCTGGATACAGAAGAAGCCAAACTGGAATCGAATATTCTGAGCAAAAACTATTCAATAAAAAATTTCGGCGATTTGCTCACCTCTCAAATGTTCCATTGACTTTCGAATCTTCGACAAATCTTGGCCCGTTTTGCTTCTTGACAAGAAAACAAACTCATTGAACCACATCGACCAGCCGAGAATCGGAAATTTAGCGACAACAGCTTTCACAAACGCTTTGCACTGCCCGAGCATACCGTAGTACTCGGCAATGACCCAGTCGAGAAGCCAATCATGAGTGTACCGATGGTTGGCAATGCAGATTACAGATTCATGCGAACTAAAACACATGTTTCCTTTTCAAAACTTGCCTTTTTCTACCTGAATTTTTCTAGCGAATCGGATGTGTAAATATTTATCTCTCCTTTACACCAATGGAGGGGATAAAAACAGCTATTCTCCACCAACATTGCGAAATCAGCTTGCTACATCTTCTGTACAAATTTTTCGAAAGAAACCAAACAGGGAAGATAGCGAGCCACGCAACATTTGCCACAATGCCAGATAACAAAAAAGTGAAGAATATGATCAGTGCAAAAAGCGAGGAGCGGATGTTTTCCAACATTCCATCATTGGCCATTCTTTCTTGGGGAAGGGGAGGATCTTTTGGAATGAGCGAGGAGCTGAAGAAAAGAAGACGTTTTCTCGAGTAACAACTTTTGTAAAAATGAAGAACGGATATCGTACGAACCACAGAGGCCTCTTAGACCCAATAAAGCATCATCAATTCGCCTGTCTAAATAAAAATCACGCTATGGCGTACTACGCCCACGAGTTTTCCGCGATTAACAGAATACACACAGAATACACTCCTTTGAAAGACTCTTACTTCTTATAAGCCAGTTCTCTTAAAAAACGTAAGGATGCAACTCTTTTCCTTGGCTTCAAACTAATCAATGAACGCGGCTTTAGCTAGACATCACATGATACACAAGCCATAAAGACTTTAAGACATTGAGTGAGGTCAAAGACGTTGAGACGTATTTTGAGCTAAAGCAGACAAACTCCGCAGAAGTCTGCTAGAGCTCAAACATAAAATCCGAAGTTCGAATTTTCAACTTTTTCTTTTCGCCCGCCAGACAGGGAGTTTATTTATTACTACACAGAAAATGATGATTTCTGCAGACTTGTCTCGGGCAGAATTACCGCACAGAAAGAATGGGTACCATAAACTTAGAACTTTTGCAGTTTAAAAGTTTGAACTTATGGATTGGATGAATCTACAAGTTCGGAATTTCGATTAGCCTAGAAATGAACCCAGGTAAGAAACAAAGATGCTCTTACCTGGGCCGCCTGCTATCTAAAAGGATATTCAGAATAGAAATGATTTACAGGCATTTATCGTTAGACGGATTTGATATTTTCTCAAGAGGGGTTGGTGTTTTAGGTCGTAGATTTGTCTAATTTCTTGCGTGCTCGGTTTGTTTTTACTGTCGCCACTGCGATCTTCTCTCGCCTAAAAATCGTTAAATAAATTAGGAGGGTCTCTTCCTTACCATTGTTCTTTCCCTTGCCCTTGTTATCTCTCATCGCCCACTGTGGAACATCCGATCCTTTCTCCTTGCCCATTCGTCTATCGATAAAGGTACTGAGAAGCGAAGTTCTGAACTGCAGATGCTTGGTCTTCTCAATAACTTGCTGGTGCGCATTCGTGGCGTGATCAGACATGACCACGTGGCCTCGCTTGGTGTCGATTTTCGCGTCCAAACGGGCGTTTCTGATCAAGTTGACGATCCATCGCTCGGCTTCCTTTTCGTTCATATTGAGCTTCTCCGCCAATCGAGAGATGCTGATAAGAAAATGAAGTTTCTGGTTGCATAATTGCCAATTCTTGCCAATTATTAATTGGCGTAATTTACCTGATACACTGATGAATTCGACAGAAAGTTTCGAAGATAATTTGTCTTGCGTTTTCGATGAACTCTGAACAAAATTTCGTAACAAATCAAGAATTTCACGGATCAAGAACCTTTGGTGTAGTTTCTCAAGAAGAAGTCATTCTCCAAGACCTTTTCGCACTCCTCCAAGTACACTTGAGCTTTCTGGAAGTCAAATTTGACGTACAAACTTGAAAAAGTATAATTCAAATCTTGAGTTCAATAACTTTTACCAAAGAATAAACTCAGTGATGGGATCTTTGTAGGCATATTCTTCTTGTTCGATGATCTTGACGAGGTCACGTTCGATTGTCTTTCGCTTTCGAGAGTTGATTGAGAGGACAACAGCTGCAGTGAGGTATCTGAACGATTAAGTCAATCAAAGTAGGAAAGGAGGGTCGGATCTACCGAAGAAGCCAAGGAGCCATGGTCTGGATAGCGTGAGTATAGTCAGCGTTGTGAAGGAAGAGCTCGATAAGAAGTTCTTTGCCACGGGAGAGGCCGTTGAAGAAGATGAAAAGCGACCAGTGAAGAAGCCATGTTCGCTGCTGGAGGAGCTGAAGAGCAGAGGGGCCTCCTTCGCGACCAGATGTCTGGTCAATGTTGTCACGGAGCTAAAAATGACAGCTGTTTTAGATCGACCGATTTGGTGAGAGTTTACCTGGATCATAGCTTCGTGGGCGACTTCGAACTGCTCAGAGCAGATAGCGGCGGCTAGTCGACCCCAGACAGCGTCCAACGAGTGGCTGTGGTTCTGAGGAGCGAGCTGAATGAATCGACCGAGCCATTCCAGCGCGAGCTCGTAGTTGCCAATGTCGTAGTTGAACTTGGCGTACTTGTAGATGTCGTCGACGATGGACTCCTCGTATCCATGGGTGGAGATAAGAAGCTCAAGCACTTGAGAAGACGCTCGCATAGTGCGAGTTTGAGCTTGGAAATCAGGATCAGAGAACAAGTCGGTGAGTTTTTCGAAAAACTCGGATTGAGTGCGCAATTCCTTGATGACTTCGTCCTTTTGGGCATCGTATTTGTCGGTGCTGTCGCCTATCTCTTCTCGCACTTCTTTCAAATAATCAATCATCTTGGTGTTCTTCTCCAAAAGATCGGCCTTGGCGCGCATAATCGATGTTCGATCGAAGATAGCGATTGTGCCACTTATCAAGTGATAACAAAGATGTGTTTATGTTTATTGTAAGATAGATAATTATGAATGAAGATTTGAATCCACGATTCCTGGAATGAGATTCCAGCATCATCAAAAGCATATGGGGATCAAGAGATCGCCCCAACTTGGACGTCAAATCATGTTGAAGGGCGATGCTATCGTCCGAACCGCCAGCCATACTAGTAAGACAGACGAATTTTAATTTTGCCAAATGATTCACTGCATAAAGGTATCCTTGTTGAAATAAATAAATATCAATTGTTAAAGTTGAAATGACAAGAAGCAAGACTTTGATACAATCTGATAGACAATTTGAGAAAAAGCTAACTGAAGATGACACAGTCTGAATGATTAAGGCTTTAGAATTCTAGAGGAGCTCGATGGCCATGGCAATGCCTTGGCCGCCGCCGACACAGAGGGCAGCGACACCACGAGTTTTGGATTGTTGTCGGAGCACGCTAATGAGTGTTGTCAGAATTCGACAACCACTGGCGGCCAGAGGATGACCAAGTGCAATTGAACCGCCGTTGATATTGACCTGAAGATAGTTAGTTAGCAAGGGATTTAGCAATAGAGCGACGCGCTACCTTAGATTGGTCAATTCCGAGTTCACGGAGGCATCCGAGAGACTGAGCAGCAAAGGCTTCATTTAACTCGAAACAGTCTGTTTCTTCAAGCTTCCAGGGACACTTTTCCATCAGTTTTCTGATCGCAAAAACTGGTCCTAAGCCCATCACTTTCGGATCACTAAATATTCAAATGAAGTCGTGTCTGAAATCGTCAGATTTACCATCCAACAACGGCGGAACAAACGATTTTTGCGATTTTATTGAGTCCAAGTGATTCAACAGATGATCTGTTCGCTAAAACAACTGCTGATGCTCCGTCATTCAGGCCACATGCATTTCCTTTAGTAACAGTACCGTCTTTCTTGAAGACTCTAAATGTGTAGCTATTCATCAAGCCTCTTTTTTATGCAACTCACGGTTTGAAAGAGGCGTACTCTTCCGCCGTCCAAACAGATGGTCCCTCGTCCGCATCAATTCCAGCGACACTGACGATTTCTTCTTTGAAGAGACCATTATTTTTCGCCGCCAAAGCTTTTTCCATCGTATTTCGAGAGTACTCATCTTGCTCTTCCCGGGAAATCGAGTATTTTTCAGCAATATTTTCAGCCGTTATTCCCATGTGAATCCCGTTGATTGCGCAAGTCAGACCATCCACCATCATCGTGTCTCCCAAAACGACTCCGTCAAAGTTATCTTCTTTCATTTTAAAAGTGCCCATCGCCTTCTTGCTTCGCAGATTGGAGCCATGAGCGGCGGTCGACATTGATTCCATTCCACCAGCAACGATTACGGAAGCATCGCCAGCTTTGATCGTCCTAGCGCCATCAACAACAGCCTTCAGTCCAGAAGCACAGAGAATAGAGACTTGTCCAGCTGGGCAGCTAAACATATCGTCATTACTTTAATTCGATAAGATGAAAGCAAATACCTTTCAGGAAGACCAGCTTTGATTCCAACTTGTCTCGCTGGATTTTGACCGTGCCCAGCGCTCAGTACATGGCCCAAAATTAACTCATCGACGTTTTCGACCTTAACGTTGGCTCTTTTGATGGCTTCGCTAACTGTAGCGACACCAAGATCGACTGGAGATGTGTTCTTGAACTGTCCCAAAAACTGGCCAATGGGAGTTCGTGCTGCGCTACATATAAAGACTTCCTCCATTCGTTACTCTATTTTATTCTACAATTGTTGGTTTCAAAAGACTGAAAGATAAGTCAAGGAAGCGTTTTTCATGTTTTGTGATATGGCGGCAGTTGAATTTATTCTGCATGTGATAATAAATGGCAGTGAGATAAACCTGAGAGTGAATAATTTTCAATTATTGAACTAGTACAGTGATCGTCTAAGACGATTCGTCTTCGACTTGCTGTATCTGTGAGGCGACATCTTTGTCGAGAAATAACTGGATGTAGGTGAGGTTTCTCCTTCCTATTTTTATGTTAGATTTCGGATTACAGTTGTTAATATTACCTAGTACTGTATTTTCTTGGATTGTGCGTACTCGATTATCACTGAAAGAGGTCCATCTCTGTGTGCAGATGTTTAATACATCTGATGTGTAATGTCCGCTGTTTGCCTCTTTGCCATGGCTGAAAGTCAAGTATTCGAAGATAGAATAACAAGAAAAGCTGATTACTTTCACACACAATAGTCTATGTATATATATAATATATTACTGATTAATCGTAGCGACGAGTCCGTAACTCATGTTTAAAAGCGGCTCCTCTTTGATCTTTATTTTGGCGTTGTCGTTCAACTGCTCGTTTATGTCAGCGGGAAGGTACGAGGATGTTGACTCGATGGAAGAAGGCTCCAGCATTGGCTCGTCATTCGGAGGCTCTTCCTCGTCACTGTCTTCGAGAGACCTAGCCATTGCGTACTTGATTTGTTGCTCCTCTGAAATTCTTCTTTAATATGACGTTTTTGACCTTGAAAATCACCTGTAAGTTGTTTGACAGCTCTAGCACCAAGTCTCTTTTTGTAGAAATCGTCAGAAACGCCTATTCCCGACGAAACAACAGCCGTCTTTTTCGTCTCAATCACTCGTAACTTCTCTACCGCCTCCTTCGCCACAATAAGTTCCCCTGGAGAGAGAACATGCTTAGCATTGCTTTCTCTTGCTTTCTTGTCGACTACGTATTTGACACTCACGGTGGTGGATAAATCGATTGTGTTCGACGATTTTTTGCAAACAATACTATTCTAAAAGCGCTGATAGATTCGAAAATGACCATTGATGGTTACCTCTTCTCTATTCCACTCAGTCAAGAGTCGCTGGAAATGAATGATCATCACTTTCGGACTCTTAGATATTCTCGTTTTGATGTCATGCGTCGTATTCTCCCCACACTTGACGCAGTTTTTCTCAACCTCGCTGGAAGTAAATTGCTCCGTGATGCAATTCTGCACAGTTTGCCTATTCTCGGGTACTGTCATCGACAGTGTCAGCTCTTTGTCGCTTGTGTGCGATTTTTCGTTGCAGATTCGGCATGTGCGCTCGTTTAGCAGCTCGATCTCGAAGTTTTCGGTGATTGGGCAATTAGCACAAGAACTGTACACTTGAATCTCGCGCTAGAATTTGTTGTTGACGATGAATCGTTGAATTAATCTTACCCTTAGACTCTCCATTAGAGAAATCAAGAACTCGTGGGCATCCTGCATATCGTTGTTATCAAACTGATTGTGGTTGCGAATGAAGATCTCGCGAAACTTGGCGATCAGCGTTTCTCGAACTTCTGGATCTTCAGATTCGAACAGCTGTTGAGTCACTTCTAGTAGCGAGTCCTGGAGGATTTCTTGTTGGGATTCTCGGACCTGTTGGGTGAAACAGCGCAGGGAACTGATGAAGACAGGAAGGGCAAACAGAGCCTGAAGGAATGGAATTAGTCGAGCACGAGCAATGATCAAAGAAAGAGCAGGATAATGATCGTCTCAGCAGGCGTTTTATCAAGAACAGAAGCCCGACTCCGCGCCTAAGCCAAAGTACTTTCGGATTTCATCTATCCGGGTCTGTACCCCTGCGCCAGTTGTCATCATTGACGATCACCTACCGGTAAGAGCGGTCAGCTCACCGGGTAAACCTCTCACCTGGATTATGGCGTTCATATATAGGGGTTTTCACGGGAACGGCGCGGCGCGCTCCGGGCCTTCCACCGTCAAAATCGAACTCTTATTTTTTATCAAAAATGAAAATTTAAATTATCAAACGTACTAATTAAAGGTCGCAGATTCCAAATATCGAATTTTTATTCTATATTAATGTCAAATTATGCCGAAAAATCACTTTTTGCACAAATTTTCTTGCTTTTCTCCCGGAGTACATCAAAATACACCTCTGATTTTCAGATATGATTGATAATAGACCTTTATCACTTATCTCTCAAAAATTCAGAATCCAGCAACATTCAGCAGATACTCAAACTGAGGGTTAACTAATCGGAAGGGCCTGGGCGCGCGCTTATTTACAGAGCGCCCGGGGAGCAGTCCGAACCTTTTTGCTCAAGGTGACAAAATCAGGTGGTTCGATGCTGGAATCCGGGGATTTCCGATTTCGGTATTTTTGGAATCAGCGGATCAAATTTAGTCTACTGTGTGAATTTCAGAAACATAGCATAACTTTGAAATTCCCGTGAGAAACCCTATTCATATAGCAGGTGTTCCCAAGATTCGTCAGTCCACCGTTCATTTTTCTCGTAGCAGGGGCTTTCTTATTGCCCCCGAGTTCTTGCGAGTCTTCCTTGTCTTCACCAATTACAGTCAAGGCCATTTCAACTTCTTCCTGGACATTTTCGTATTTCTAAATTAAATTTAGAAAATTTGAACATTGGCAAACAATGAAAAGATGCAAAAGTGATGATTACCTCGAGCTCTTTTTCCTGAAGCCGACGAGATTGGCGTGTCTGAAGTTCTTGGAAAACTCTCCGATTTTTTTCTTTTCGAGGTTCTTTTTTCGAGTTATCCGATTTCAGACTTATAATCGGGTCTCTGTCGTACTCTGTGAAAGGATCCATGGAGAAATCTTCGTCGGAATTCTTCCGAGACTTTTTTCGGCCCCTCGTTTTCGGCTTCTCGTTTTCATTTCCTGATTTAGGGCTTACCTAATAGAAAATGTACAATAAGAAGTAAAATAGCTCAATAAGGGCCTTACCATAAAATGGTCGGTGATGGTAGTTTGTGTTTTTGAAACTTCTTCGTCTGAATTATTGTTTGAACTTTGAGGAACTCGTTTTCTCTTCTTTTTCTTAGCAGGTTCACCAACTGATTTCGCCGGCTTTTCATCGGTTTTTGGAGGTAGTGGCTCGTCGATTTTTACTTGGGCAATGTCGTTTTCGACGGACTCGTCGTTCTCTTCCTGCTGATTTTCAGGAATCGATTTGGGCCGCATGACATGCTCAATGTTCGGCGAAGGCAGACTGTCTTGAGACCTGAAAATCATGGGTAATCGACATTTATCAAAATAAATAATGAAACTTACGATTCGCTGGAAATTTCTATCGGCTCTTGAAGAGTCTGTCCGCCTGCGTCGTCCACTTCCATGCTTTTTCTCTCAAAATCTTCCTCAAAATTTCTTCATACGATATTTCTCTTTCCCAGGTCACAAACTCCTGTTAGAGGAAGTCTAGGATGTTTGTCGAGAAATCGAAGAGTGGAACGAAGAGAATTGAGGGAAATCGTAGGTTCGTGAAGGTGCGGGAGCGCCAATCGCGCGCCTCGATCAAAACTGGATTTCCACGAGCAAAAGATTCTCCAAGCGATTTTCTCGAAGAGATGACTATCCCTTGCTGGCTCCTCGACTTTGATTTCTGTGGGAAGATTAATTTCTGATAAAATGAAAAACTACACATAGGTTGAGAATCATCCCTGTGATTTCTGCGATAAATATAGCGATAATATTGCCGAATTTGTGACAATTAATAATAAACGCTATTCAAACTTACTGTTATAAGAATACTGGCTTGAATCAACGTTTTTCAGTAAAAAAATATTAAAAAAGAATCATTTTACAGAATGTCGGTCATCATCAAGGCACCGAATCGCGAGCAAAACGTCTCTTTCCTGAACAAATTAGACGATGAAGAAACTTGTGTGAATCCAGGAGATGTTATAACGGAGAATACTGATTTTATGCGAGGCCATGGAACCTACCAGGTTATTGCCTGTCTGTCCATCCCTTTTCTACCTCTTCTAGGCTTCATCAAACGAATTACGAGCATCAGTAGCAGGAACAGTAGAACGAATCAACAAGCTAATTACAGTTCGCCCGGCTAAAATGCGCTACAATGGAGAAGTGGGCGACATTGTCGTTGGGAGAATTATAGAAGTGCAGCAAAAGCTCTGGAAAGTGGATTGCGGGACCAGGTTGAATGCGTTTTTGAACCTAGCGGCTGTTAATTTGCCTGGTGGAGAGCTCAGAAGAAGAGGAGCAGATGATGAATTGGTGATGAGGAAGTTTTTGCAAGAAGGAGATTTGATTCTAGGTAAACTTGAAATAAAAGAAACAATGAATGCTTTGTTAGGCACTCTGAAGAAAACCTAAGTTAGGGTCTGAGAGTCTGCGCGCCCTTATATTAAAGATCTTTCAGACCCTGACTCAAGTTGCCGGATATATATAGCTGCGTACGGTTTCTTGATTTCTACTGATTTATAATTTAGCCGAGGTTCAAAAAGTCCGAGAAGATGGCTACCTAAACCTCCACACCCGAAGTTTAAAATACGGCAAACTCGGCCCAGGCGTGTTGATAATTGTCAGTCCCTCGCTTATTCGCCGCAGAAAGCAGCACATTCACAATCTACCATGTGGCGTTACCGCGATTTTGGCGACGAATGGATTCGTTTACTTCTGCCCGCTCGTTGAGGAAGATATTTCGATCGTGAAAGAAGTTGATTCGGCGACGAGGGAGAATATTTGCAGATTGCGGCAAGTGACACTGTCGCTGGCGAAGCATCGCGTGAGCCTGTACGATTCTTCGTTGTTATACGGTTTGATTGAACTGTTGATATTATGGCTACCAGCTTCATTTAGGATTCGAGGCAAGTCTACACTTTCCAGTAGCAGAAATCGGCTTTGAATCGAACGAAGAAGAGTGGCTCGCTGAAATGAAATCGCGAATCGACCGGGATCAACAAAGCTGATCTTCATTTCATACTGCCTTCAAACTTGCAAATTACAATTAAAAAATATCAATAAAAGATTGACTTTCATCAATACTATCGATTAGAAATCGGACTGTAAAAATGGCAAATGCGTCGATGGTGAAAACGGAAACTGGAAATGAAGTGAGAGTTATTCAAGAGCCGAGCAACGGCTGTCCAACACCATGTCCACTGAGACTAAAAGACGCAATCGAGCAAATCGCGCTAGAAGGTCGAGATGGAATGACTGTTGAATGTCTGCTCTACCGTCTGGGCCACCATCCCCAAAGTGCGAAGCTTCTGGAAATGCTTCCCCGAGACCGAGAACTGACCTTTTGGCAGCTCTCGGAAGATCGCGCGTTGCCTCAATTTCCAGTCCGTGCTTCCATGACGGAATCTGACTCGCTACTCGATGCAACTTGCGCTGACGAAAAAGACCAAGAAAGAGACCCTTATCTACCTCCCAAACCTGCCTTAATCACCGACATCACAGCCGACGCTCGTGCCAATCCAAAAGAGCTATTTTCTCAAACTGATTCGTACTCAAGAATTTCCATTGTAGCTTCCAAAAGACAGCGGTATTCAGCAATTATCAAAGGTAAAACAAATCTACATCACTTCAATCAATTCAATCTAAGACACGAACCTGACAATTTCGCACCTTGAAAGCTTAGATGTCAAGCATCAATTTCTCATTGAAAAAATCACCCGGTCCAGGGAAGCAGGATGTCTTCAAAACATCCTCAATAAAATTAAAATGCCTGGCGACGAAGAAAACAAAAGCAGCGGGACTCACATTCAATACCTAATCCGACCGCTGGAAGAAGCAGGAATAGTAACAAAGCAGCAATATGCGTACCGGCTGAATGGGCGCGTCCGCCACCAAGTTCTGATTATTCTAGCGCGGTTTACGAGGGATTACAGGACGAAGCACAAAGTCCTGGCGGAGAAAATCCTCGGCATTCTGAAAAACGCGCCAGGCTATCGAATGTCAATGGTGCAGGTGAAAAACGAACTGCGACAGTTCAACGAGGGCCGCAGAATTCCAGACGATCTCTTCAAGAAAATCTATCAAAATTTAAAAAGCAACGAAACAATCGACTACTGCCTAAACGACTTTTCAACGCAAAGAAGAGTCCATACGATTGGCGAGAGAGACATGTTCTTGACGGAGAAATATGTCAAGGAGAACTTGAGCTACCAGGAGAAACCGCCGCCGTTCTTTCCCCTCACCCATGGTGTCCCCATTCTTCATCAAGGTAACTACGACTTCATAAAGATTTTGAATAAATTTACTGCTCCGTCAGTGCAAGGATGAATATCCGCATGTCCCTCCGCGGGAGTCGGTTCGCTGAATTACCCGTTGACGGGTAACATCATTCAGAGTTAAGAAACTGACCTCCATCCTCATTTCTAACCCCACTTAACCACATGAACGGTCGGTTTATGGTATTTTCTTTTAGTGTTTGCCTATGCTGAGTACCGTGGCGACGCGGGTTTTACCCAACGAGATCTGCAAGACGAATTTCTGGTGTGTTTCGGAAAACTGGAAGCTAGAAACCTAATTCGAAAGATGAAAAAGATGGACTACATAAAAGAAGTTGGAATGAAAGAGGATGGAAAGCAAAAGCACATTATTTACAAGCTAAAGCCTGGCCTGACTCTTACTGGGTTTAGATTTGAAGATACGCCAGCGTATACTTACAGGAAGTACCTGATGAGCGAGGGCAATGATACGAACGCGGCGGATTGCACTGAGTCGCTTTTTGATCAGCGAATGAGGATCATTCTCAATTTCGTTGAAAAAGAACAAGTCGTTCCTGATTACAAATTCAAAGATATCGTCTCGATCATCCGCGACGAAGAAAAGCTTTCAAACTATACTGTCGATCGACGTACTATCCTGAAGGCGCTCAAGAAACTGGAAGAAAGGAAAGAGATTACCATCCATCGAGAAATGATCACTTTGGTCATGTCTACTGCAGATGACGATGAAGCCGGGACCGACCCTGAAGATTGCCCAACGGTAGACGCTACTTTCTATGTCTCGTCAAAATGCGACCAAAAGAAGCTTGACTACTTCATCAGACAACACAAGATTCGAATGGAAATCGACAATCTTCTTCGATGCGAGCCATCGAGACGAGCTTTTGGGCGGATTCAAGGGGAGTTTGACATTCCGAAATTCCAGCGTCTCAAGGCTGTCCATCTCTATTTCTGGCACTTGGCACATTTGAGCGATCCGGGAATGTTTGGTGACCTGGACGTGCTTTCTCAAAAACCGAGGATTTACTGTCCTGGAGGCGAGTGGAAAGAATTCGTGCCTCCAGTTTATCCACCAGCTCATCTTTCCGAAGGTTGGATAAATATCGGAGAAGCCTATCTTCATGTGCCACTCTCCATCTTCCGAAAGTTTGCTCCTGGCGCCATGATCCACTTCAACGATCCGGACAAACGATCGTTTCTCAAGCGCAATCCGAACATCTTGCTGCGACATATGCCCAATCAATTGAGAAAAGATCTCTTTTACGGGCGTCAGAATTTGCACTCGCTCTACGAGTGCCTGGAGAAACTTGCGTACATGGGCCTTTGCTCATTTGAATCACTGCCAGATGCGAGGAGAAAAGTAAACGGACATGATGATCCAGGTTCGATACTCATTTTTTGACTAGCTAACTGTTCGTCTAGGGCAAAGCTGCTCGCCCTGGTTCATGAGTAAAGACGTTTTGAATGTTTACATGCATAAAAAAGCGTCGGTCCTCGACACTCGAAGTTGCCTTCCTGGATACATGTTTGTCAAAACAAGTGGTAGTTTCTCACGCATCTCGTTCGACTTCAAAAGCCTGGCCGACGTCGAAAGTTACTGGTCAGAACTTCAAGCTGTTTGTACAACGACACCGTTGAACAAGAAGCTCTACAGTGCCACTACTGAAGATGAGGACCGCGTTTACGATATCTATCTGGACGATGAAACTTGCATCGCGAGGAATTCGATTGACAACAGTAAAACTGCTGAGCAGCTGCGAAAAGAATGGATTGTTGACCACATTAGGTAACGATATGAAGGGATTATATGAAGGGTATATTTAGCGAAAAATCGAAAAAGATGATTTGTTTTTACTTTTCGTTGATAGCTTTGAATTCGAGCTTGAAATCGATGGGAACGATGAGGGGTGTCTTCGGGTTCTTGAATCGTGGGTCGGACTTGACGTCAACCTTGTCAAAAAGGTGGAAGCTCACTTCAAGATATACGGTCAAAATGCGATCAACAAAGAGAACTGATTACCTTCTTCGTTCCCCGGGAGTCCACAGTTATCGATGCGGATGAAGCCGTTCGCCTTGTCAGTATAAGCTCCTAAAAATAATTACATTTTGATTCAGATAAATATTTTAGTAACGTCTTTCTTCTGGAGTCATTGCGTTTACTTTCTTTTTCTTCTGATCCTCTGTAAGATTGTCGTAGATATCATCCTTTTTTGTATAAGGGTGGATAGCGACCAAATTGTAGGCAATCGAGTCCAATCTTCGAGGGAGCTCTGCTTTGATCACAACTATGCGCTTTCCATTGACTGCGATTGACTTGAATTTGAGAGCGCAGCATTTGTGCCATCGAGTCTCGTTAAAATCTTGGATTTCTGCGTCTAAAACATCACCGGCTGCATTTCTTTGAATAACGACTGGAACAGCTTTCGGGAGGGTGTATTTAGTCGACCATTTTAATAATTGTAAATCAAATTTATTTTGAACCCTTGATCTATCTGAAAGACTCGAAGCTCTTGTTGAATTCGATCATTGATAAAGTTCGCCAACTTGACATTAGTTTTTTGCATTGAAGATTGATTCTTGAAAACCCTTTCGAGCCCCCCTTTAATTTGATCGAAATTCTCATTCAATGTTTTCTCTATGTCCTCCTTTGACTTGTTCAAAGTAGCAGCTGTCATTTGCGTATTTCTGCGTTCATTTTGCTGCGGTTTCGGAATAGGATGGCTCTCTGCGGACATTTTTATTACTCTGATTTGGTCAGTAGCGTTGAGAAGTTTATTGAGTCCGAAAAACAAATCACAAGTTTGTCAATACTGTTCCAACAGTGTCCTGGCAACATAATCAGCAAATGCAAGCCTGACTCAATAATTTTTTTTTTTGACGATAAACGCGTTGATAGAAACTGTTTTATTTCCTGAAATGCATGGCTCTGAAATCGATTTCAATGTCCACAGGAAGCGTTTCGGGTGCGATACCATCGTGGAATCGAGGATCTGAGTAGATGTCGGTAACGTCGGAAATTTTGACCGTGTCTAAAAATTTCCTGGATTATTCGATGACTGAATGTCTTCCTTACAGATATCTCCTTCTTTGGCATTCTCGCTGTAGCACACTGGCTCAGTCTTGTCATAGTGAGAGTACACTTTGAATCTGATTTCGTATTTTTCCATGTAAGCTGGCGTGTGTACTTTGATGTTCAAATGATGACTTGTTCCTTCGGTCGTCACAATAAATGTAAATTTGCAGCCTTTGTGCCACTCGCTCTTTGAAGCTTTGAGCTCGCTAACTTCCAAAAGCTAGTAGGTAGTAGATAGAATATCGTAGCGAAAAATAATCTTACCACGCCGTTTTCCATCTTGCATTTGACAGGGATATCGAGATGAAAGTATCGAATATCAATCGACGATACTGTCTTGAGCTTTTTCGCCACGGTCAGATTTTGCTGCTGGATATAATTCATGCCTTCATGGACTTTGGCAAATGCCTATTTGAAAAGATTTGTTATTTTATCTTCCCTGCTGTCTTACCTGTTTGATTGCGCCAAATGCAGCTTCAAGATTTTGCTTCGCGATTTTCTGTTCTTTTGTTAGATTTTCCTCTGGAATCGAAGAAAATGCAGCCATTTGCGGCTGCCCCGGCATTTCCTCTTGCATAGGCATTCCTCTCGGCTGTGGAGTCAACTCCGCCATATCTTGAATCGGAGCTTGTAAAACTGACCAGCCTTCTCTTTCTCTCGTTTGCTCTTTTCAAGTTCCCTTTCCAAACAAATGTCAACAGTCTTCGTCGTAGCAACGCAATTATCCATGCACAATTTGAAATAAAATTTTATAGGAGACTGGATCCTGCACCACTTGACGATGGTCAAGCACCCGGTCCACAAACTGGTGCTGCTGGACTTAGTCCTTGGCTATTCTCGCATCTCGATCGGAACTGGGTCCGAAAGGAAATGATCAAAGCAGAAGAAGAACAGGCGAAAAAGAATCATCTCGATGCAATGCGTACTACCTGGAAGAAGGACGCAGACGGTATCATCTACAAAACAACAATCAAGCGAAGAGCGACAGATGGAGGAAAGAGGAAACCTCTGCCTAGAAGTCAAGCGAAGAAGCGACCAAGAAAAAATGTCCCAGAAGCGAACCTGCCGAAGATTCAAAAGATGAGCAGTCTGAGAGTCCCAAAAGACATTCCATCGGCACAAGGAAACATGTGCCACGACAACCAAGACATCGAAATCATCTTGTCAAAGCAAATGTACACCTTGAATGATGTGCCGATGGCGATTAAACGAACGAATTTCAAAGCAAACGAAGATGAAGTTCTTTTCCACCTGAAAGTTACATCATCAGTCCTGATGGAAGGAATATTAGGCGTGAGCTTTCCCGGAAACAGCGGCACCGCACCTAACAAAAACTCCCAATGGCTGGATCTTTGCATTCCTCACACGACGCTACGAGATTATCTTCGTACAGAATGCGGGTCTCTTGACAAGACCTCATTCTCCTGCTATCGACGTTTGACCAAACACACCCGTTACAGGGCCGAAAATCGACATGATCACATGCTTGATCAAATTTCTGACGATCATGACTTTATCCAGCGATATTCTCCCGAGGCCGAGGAGCTGAGTAAGAAAATCGAGGCGGAAATGAACCATGGAAAGGTCAACTGGACAAGCTCAAACTTGTTCCAGGATTTCTTTAGGAAGATTTATACTTATGTGAAGGAGCAACGCTACAAGCATACATTCGATCTGCCATTGAAGAGCTCATCTTTGAGACGATATGTTATAAGGAAAGAGTTTTAAGAATTTTTCTATATAAAGTTTTGACATTTCAAGCGATTAAGATTTTCCAACTTTACACGTGTATTACAGATTCTCTAATTTCATCTAAGTCCATCTAACTCACCTGAGGGACGCATTTGAAAAACCACTTCCTCGTGAGGTGAGCGCTCGACAGCCACAGATGTTCGACCGGCTTTACAGACAGTATGGAGGTGCTCAGTCGATTTCAGATGTGCAGACATTCATTGCTGAGAATGTGTTCTCAAACATTCTCATATCCAGCAACACCTTGATTGGCGCTGGTGGCGGCTATCCGAAGATCACTCCCGATATCACGAAAGAACTGATTTTCTTCGCTCTCGAAAAATTCAAACCTTATGTATTGCACTAAATTTTTCTCGTATCAAAGCTTGTTTAGGACATAAGCGAGGCAATACGATGGCTAGTGAAGGCAAAAGTTTGCAAGAAACTGCCCCGAACAGATGCGAAGAGTCTTGCATTTGAGACTGTCAAAGAGCTTGTTGAGAATCAAATGGATGGACTGATCATTAACGAGTTCAGCAGGCAAAAATTCCAAGATCAGTTGATAAGAAAGAATGATTTCGTCAAGTCGGCCGACACTTTAAAAGAACTCGACTCAAAGCCTGTGGTGGAGTTGACAACTAAAGGAACAATGTCCGAATTTATAACCCTCGCTGAAGGGGTTGTAAATGGAAAGCTCACCGCGACCAACATCATGCCAGAAAAAATACTCCTACTCTTATTGACCGAAAGGGAACGAAAAGACTTTCAAAAAGAAGCGGAGCGATTCAGAGATAAAACGTTCGAGGATCAAGAAGTTGAAATGGCGAGAAAAGCAAAAGATCATTACAAGCATTTGTTAGTGATGAGAGGAAACTACGAAATCGTCGACAAGTCGGTGAATCCAAACAGCAGAAACGCAAGCGATAGAACTAATTCGCGAACGATGAATCTGATTCCTACAACGATTTCTATCGAAACAGGTCCGAGAAGCATCAATGAAGGCGAAAAAATTGCTCCAGTTTTCCGTGCGATCAAATACAGAATCCCCGAAGGCGGCAATCCTCTTGTGGATAAAAGACCGATGGCAAGAAAAGTCCTTCGTTATTGCAATAAAGGCGATTACAGACCATCTGCTGCGAAGAAAATCGAAAACATTTGCCTGTGGATTGTTCAGATTTTGAGCAACGTAGGGGAGCTAGAAATACTTCAAATATAATTGTTTTTTAAGGCCGGGGTCTCTGGAATGGATGTCTCAGCAATATTTGAAGATGCATTTAATAAAGGCAAATCGTTTGACCCAAAGGAAATTGCTGATTCGATAGAATTTCTTACAGAAGAAGGCTATATCTACAAACTTGGAATAGGAAAGGTTCCAGAATACTTTTTGATTTTTTTGCAAATCCTAGATAGAAAGATAGAATTCGAACCAGTAAAAGAAACTGAAAAATGTTTGCATTACAAGCATGCAAAAGAGTGGTTTATCGAGACTCCAACGACAGAGTCGATCGAAAACAGAAAGAAGGATAAGAACGCACCCCTCATTCCACAAAAAGGAGTGGCCTTCGTTCAAGCTTGGAATGATTTTGACGGCGGAATAAGCAGCGATGCTTTTGGCGCGATAATGTGCAATATCGTGGATTTGATTTCGTCAAATCCTGGAATAACGCAAGAGATGATTCTTACTCAAATTATTCACCGTATAGTGGGCCCCGCCAGGTAAGAAGTCCTGAATTATTGACTCTTGTTTGAGCCGTTCTTTAGCATTCTCGATCTGCTCGGAAGGTTGGAAAAGGTCGGCATTATTGAGCAAAACCGAGTGAAGAGACTTTCATCGTGCATGCCGTTTGAAGAGGATGACAACGAGGAAGAAAGTGAAGTCATTTATTACGAAATAACTGCTACTGGAATTGAAAAAACTGCTAGAATTATGGAAACTTTAGTTGACAAATAAGTTTCCGCCTTTTTCCTGTTCAAAATGTTCAAATTCTTCACCTACTCAATCGTTCTTGATTTCAGATTTCTAATTGAAAAGAAGTGGAAGCAGAATGTTCAAATAAATATGGACGAAGTCGAACCAACTCAGCTTCCAACAACAGCTTCGCCGAAAACAGAAATCAACAACCAAAAGAATCAAACAATAACTGATCATTTCTTTGCCTTCCTCGACATTTGCGTTTCTGAAGTTGAGCTTTACTGGTATCAAGCAGGAACACAGGACAAATTACTGACGATCCAACTTGTTGCTTTGTTTATCATCTCTCTCGCTACAATCATTATTTGGAAGCGGACAAAGCCAAAGCTCATTGAATTTCAAGGATTTCAACAGATTGAGCGGAACACTGCTGCCAACAAAAAACAGAACTAAAGATGCCACGACGCGTGCCCAATGAAGGTTTGCGATCCGGATTTTTAGCATTTCTTCAATTTTTATAGTCATCGTCGAGCTTCAAAAGCAAACAGAGAGTGTCCGAAATGTTTCAATCGTTGCCCATGTTGACCATGGAAAGACGACTCTGGCTGATGGCCTAATTTCCTCAAACGGAATCATTTCTTCCCGCTCCATCACCGATCAGATGCGATACCTAGACTCACGTGAGGATGAACAGCTGCGTGGAATCACGATGAAGTCGTCAGTCATCTCCCTTCACCACAAAAACTCAGCTGGTGACTACTTGGTGAACTTGATCGACTCTCCTGGCCATATTGACTTCTCTTCCGAAGTTTCCACTGCTGTCCGTCTATCAGATGGCTGCCTCGTGGTCGTCGATGTGGTAGAAGGTGTTTGCCCGCAAACAAAAGCTGTACTGAGGCAGGCTTGGTTGGAGCGGCTCAAGCCCGTTTTGGTTCTCAACAAAATCGATCGACTAATTTTGGAAAAGAAACTAACAATGTTGGAAGCATACCAAAGATTGAATCAGGTTCTTGAGCAAGCAAACGCAGCTGTGGCTCTGTTATTCTCCGCTGAAGTGATGCAGGAGAATTCAAGAGAACGAGAAAACGCTGAAAAAGATTCAGCTGAAGACATAGAGGACAACTGGACAACGGGAATCGGAGTCATTGATGATTCAAAGCTGTACTTTGCTCCAGAAAGTGGTAATGTCGTCTTTGGAGCGGCTTTTCATTCATGGGGCTTTACAATTGACTATTTTGCCGACATTTACGCAAAGAAACTTGGCGCTAGGAAAAATGTCCTCAAGCGCGCGTTGTGGGGCGATTACTACATCAATATGAAACAGAAGAAGATTGCAAAAGGAGCGCTAGAAAAAGGAAAAGACCCCGCATTTTGTACATATATACTCAAATACTTCTACGAGATTTACAACCTGGTTGCTGATAAGAATAAAGAAAAATGTATGGCATTTGCTCAACAGCTCAAAATCAAAATTTATCCACGAGAGGAAAAGTCAATCATGACGTCGCCGGATTCATTTCTAACAACTCTTCTTGGTCAATGGTTGCCTATCAGTAATGCAGCTTTAGACGCTATCATTCAGCATGTTCCAAGGTTTTTACCGACTTTTAGCATCTAATTCAACCCGATACTTTTAGTCCAAAACGTCTTCCAGCTGATAGAATTGAAAAATTACTTCGTTCTGATCAATCTCCTCCCGACGAAATTGTCAAAGCGTTTTCTCAGTGCGACAGGGATTCTGACGTCAAAGTTTGTTTCATTTCAAAGATGATTGCTGTGCCTAAAACTGAGCTTCCTCAAAATCGAAGGGGTCCGCTTACAATGGAAGAAATCCGTTCTCGCCGAGCAGCTGCAGAGGAAGCTGCACGGAAAACACTAGCCATTACGGAAGATGAGGTTAAGGACTCTTCTGTGGAAAGGTCAGCGAGCTCGGAAGAGTCGCATGTGTTCATCGCGATCGGACGAGTTTTCAGTGGCAGTCTGCGTAAAGGTGATGTGGTATTTGGTCTGGGAGCAAAGCATCGTGTAGGAGACTCAACTTACTCGGAGGAAATAACCATCGGAGAGCTCTATCTCGTCATGGGTAGAGATTTGGTGTCTATCGACGTAGCTCCGGCTGGATCCTTAATTGGAATCGGAGGAATCAAGGAATCCTCGAATATGATCATCAATACTGGAACGCTCTCAAGCACCTTGAACTGCCCTTCATTCGCACCTGTTTACATGGAAGCTGTGCCGATCCTTCGTGTTGCCGTGGAGCCCGAAGACCTTATGGACATGGAAAAGCTTCGAGAAGGTATGAGGCTTTTGAATGTTGCTGATCCATGCGTCGAAATTATGGACACAGCGACAGGAGAGCTCGTGCTTGGAGCTTGCGGTGAGGTGCACCTTGAAAAATGCCTTGACGACCTCGAGAAAATTTACTCAAAGATCAAAGTTGTTAGATCTGCGCCGATCGTTCCGTTCAGAGAAACTCTTATTGAGCCTCCAAAGGTGGATGAGCTGGGGGAAAACTTCGGTCAGCAACAGAAAAACTTTATGAAGAAGTTTCTCGAAATGGAAAGCCGTGGTCAAAAATTGGAGGATGACGAAAATGACAGGGAGGAGATAGATCAAGCTTCCGGCTCCGTCTCTCTATATACTATCAATCGACAGGCGCGGATTAAAGTCCAAGCTTTTCCACTGCCTTCAGCTGTCCGCATTTACTTAGAAGAGAAATCAGACGATATACGATCGATTGTCCTTGGAAAGTCCTCCTTAGATGAAGTGGAGAAGTTACGCTCAAATTTGATGGGTGCTTTTCACAAAGCTGGGTTTGCGAAATCCTCGGCAACTGTCGATCAAATTATTGCATTTGGCCCCGAAGGATTTGGACCTAATATCTTGCTGAATATGGTCGAGGTATGCTCTTGAATGTTAAGACACTAATACTTTCTTTTTTAATTAGGGGTATGAAGATAGGTCAAATTTTTGGAGCGAGAAGCAGCAAAATATCAAAAGCTTAGATCAACAGCTCATTTCAGGATTTCAAGTCGTTGCTAGTTCTGGACCGATGATGGAGGAGCCCATGGCGGGTGTTGGTTTCAGGTGTGATTCTCTTTTTCCTACACCTTGAGTAAGGCGGATATTAAGACTGCTCGAATGGGAAGTTTTCCAAGACGATAATTTCGACATCACCCTCACATCTGGGCAGCTTATGAGCACTGTAAAAGAAGCCTGTAGAAAATCTTTCTCAATCTTGCACAAGCGACTTCTCGCTGCGATGTACACGTGCGAGATTCAAGCATCGTCGGAAGTCCTGGGAAAAGTGTATGGAGTCATTGGAAAGCGCGATGGAAAGATTCTGGAAGAGGATATGGTCGAAGGAGCGGACTTGTTCAACATCAAAGCGGCTATTCCTGTCATTGAATCGTTCGGATTTGCTGATGAAATAAGAAAGGTAAGAATTTTTTTGATTGGGCGAGGTTAAGAAAGATTTCTTTAGAAAACATCTGGCTTAGCGTCGCCTCAGCTTCGTTTTAGCCACTGGAGCGAGGTCGAAGGGGATCCTTGGTGGGTGCCTACAACCGAAGAAGAAATTCAGGTCCGTTCACGAGTTTTTTTGCCTATAAAAACAAGAGTTCAGCACTATGGTGAGAAGGCAGACTACGAATCAACAGCGAAGAAATACATGAATCTGATAAGAAAGCGCAAGGGTCTTTGGATCGAGCAAAAAGTAGTTGAACACGCTGAGAAACAGCGAACGATAACGAAGAATAAGTAATGGAAAATGTGCTAAAATAGTTATTCTGAATAGTTCAAATCAACTTCAAATGCTGCTTTAAAACTTCTAGCTTCTCAAGATTCTTGATTCAGATGAAATAAGACTTCCGAACTCGAAACATGCCTCAGTTCTTTTGTATTTTCTCCGATACGCTCGTTCGCGAGCAACCCTCAGACGAGGAGTACTTCGAAAGTGTCACTTTTCAATTTCCAATCAGCCTTCAAGCGTTGAAGATTTGTGCTTTTGGTGCTCCTGTTCCTGGAAATTCTGAGATTCGCTCGGCAACAGAGCCTCCAAACTTCAAGTTTGAAATTTTCGCTGTTGATACAAAAAATGAAGAAGCAGCGCTTCTCGTGCCGGTCGGCAACGGATCTTACCATTCCGCCAGCGATTCTACCGATTTCCACTTGAAGCCCATCATGACTAACCAAATCCTAATCCGGGGGAATTACACCTCTATATCTTTGGCAATCTACGGAAACTCATCGAAGTTCAAGCCGAAAGAAGAAGTAAAAGAAGAAAAGATGTCTTCCCATAGATCACGAGATGACCGGGATAGAGGTAGCTCAGATAACGACGACGATAGATACGACGAGTGGGCTTATGTGAAGCATGTGCGAGACTCCCACCAAGATAAGATTTATCCCATCACGCTGGATTCAGACTTGCCTCTTTCTGATTCCGATGAGGAACAAGAGCCTAGAATGGCCCTCCCACTAGCGGCCCCGACTCTGCCACAAGCAATCGCTGCACAGGGCAATCCTGGAGAAGTGAAATCGGAAGAGCTTGATCCTGAAGTCAAAGCTGAAATGGAGAGAGCACCACCGGTGAGCTCGAGACTATCGCCGACAGAACTTCCTCAAGGCAGGGTAGACAGACGTCTTTTGCAATTAGTTATTGAGCATAAAAACTAGATGAAACAGGTTATGATAGAAGATCTTCGAACATTTGTAGGAATTTTCCGATTAACGTAATCGGATAGCGAATTACAGACGTCTTCATACCGTAAAATCGATTGAGACAGCGTCTTTCTCCCTTTAAAAGCATCGCCCAAGACACTTCTTCCGATTCATCTACTGTCAGAAAAGAACGAGGATGTTTCCGCCGAAGAAATTCAAAAGTCAAACGAGCCCTCTCTCGCTCGATTGATCGCAATCATCAAGGAGCTAAAGCCTGATTCAGAGACGGTCCGGAAAGTCTCACTTCTTGAAGAATCATGCGAATCCGTGCCGACTTGGCTTTCCGCTGTAGATGACACTTCGGCTATCAAGTTTGTCAATGAAGTATCGAGCACGCTCCGAAGCCATTTTACAAACATGGAACTGCCACCGGCAGCTACCGTTCGACTATTGAAAGCTGGACTTCGACTGGTTACGCTTATTGCCGCCGTCAGTGAGCGCTTTGCGAAAAGACTCCTCTCTATCGGAGTTCTGCAACGATTAATTTACCTCTTGACTTTGAAGGACTTCGCATCGCCGATGCAGCTCATGACACTCAGTGCAATTGATCAGTTAATTTCATGGCCTTTTGGAATGCACGCCTTCCTGAAGTTTTCTTTATGTCAAGAGTTGAGAGGTTCCGGTTATGAGCACATCGTTCGTCTCATTCTTCGAAAGCCAACAGTCCGAGTATCGTACGCTTGTGGTCAGATTCTAACGAAAGTCGACGTCTATCGTTCTGCCTTTGAGCTCAAGAACTTGATGAAGGAACTCATGAAGACATCGCCCTTCGCCGACATGAACATCGATGAGGATACATCAGTGCCTAAACGAAGAGATGACGCCGAGAATGTGGATTCAGATACCGAAGACCAAGGTGAAAAAATGGAAGAGTCAGCTGCTGATCCAGAACTTTTCAACTGCGATATGGAACATATCATTCCATACGACTCAATTCTTGCGACGAAGGAAACATGTACGAGAATCGTCGAGCTTATTGAGGATATTGTCAAGATCATCAAAGATCCATCTGTTGTCACTCTTCTTGCAATAAAAGAGCTTCCCAATGGCAGTACCAAGACTCTTTCAAATAAGGGCAGAGTTTTCATCTCTCGGCTTCTTGATAGTGTTGGAATCGTGAAGATCTGTCTCGGGCTACTCCATTTTCCATATTTATCGCAACACATTCATGTTTACGCCGCCCTGGCAAGTCTTTTGAGAGAGCTCACAACGTCAAAAGAAGGCGTTCTCCTTTTCGCAGCTGATTTTAAATCGTCTAATCTTCTTGTCCAAGCTCTACTCGCATCTGGCACAAGTCCGGATTCAGATGCCCATCGGTGCTCGTTTATTGAGCCGGTGTATTTAGCGATGACACTTGCGACGAGTTTACAAACAGTCGGATTCTTGGACGAATTAGTTAATCCTGCCCCTGAAAAATGGTCTCAAAAATACTGGAGTCCTCTACAAGGAGTAATGGCTATATTTTCTGGCTCAGACTACCTTTCCGAGCAAGCGGCAAACATCTGCGCGGATCACTGCAAACTTATACTGAATGTGATGAAGACGAATGGCCCAGCAAGTATTCAAGCTGCTGAACTTTTACACAGCGCGCTTGAGAACTCCTCTAATGTCTCGTGGCTTGAACCGTACCTGACAGAATTAAACCTAATTATGGAAAGCGACAATCAGATATTGGACGTGTTCAACAAAGTCTTCACTGGTCAAGTGCAATTCACGACCAAAAACGCTCTTGTAAACATACGTCGACTAGCGGAAGCGTTGGAATTCGGGGTCTCAATTGAAATCATTCACGGGCCGTCAATGTCGTTTTACGTTCGAATGTTGGAATCATTACTTGACAGCGATCAATCTATCATGATCGGAATCAGCAACAACATCATCGATGTTTTGACGGCTACTCTCGAATCTATCTCCAAATGTATCACTTTCAATTGCATCGCGAATCAACCATTGCCTCTAAAGAGTCATATTCAAGCGAAACAAATTATCATGTCAGCCCTTCGATCTACGAAAAAAGTGTTGATGACAATTACAAACGCGGGCTTCAGCTATCCGGAAAAGAAGCTCTGCTCGAATGTGGTCGAAATATTCGCGAAATGCTGGACACTTATCAACTATGGAAGTGATTTAATAGAAGACCAGTGTGAGTTGACTTGCGATGTGCTCGAAGAGTTCTTAAAAAATCCGGAAAAAGCTACAGATCTGAACTCCTCCTCTTGGTACGTTCTTCTCAGCTCCGTGTCAGAAGTACTTATGCAGAATCCTGCCTATTCTATACCGGCGATGACTCTCTTCCAGCGAATTCTCCCATGCTCCCCTGAAGATCCATATTTGAAGATTTGGCGCGTGATAATGGAACAAGATTTTGTCCTTACGGAGAACATTCTTGAGTTCTTGTATGCGTTTGCGCACTCTGGCCATGTCGAAATTTCAGAACTCGCGACGAATGTTCTTCTTAGAGTTAGTTTGATAAAAAGTGAAATTATTAGGTAAAAACTATCCTCGACTGCGATTAATATGAATTCAGTGATCTCTCATCAAAAATAAGGCAGAAATTCGCCCCAATTAGTACTCATGAAAATGGAGAATCGAAACCAACAACGGAAAAGGCAAAGGATGATAAATTCAGCGAGCTTTGGAATTGGCGCAGATCAGCCAAGCTACTCGAAAATATTGTCCAGCCGAAGACGTATTCCGCTGAGGAGACAAATGCGCTCATCGACTCAAGGTAAATTTCCTCTATCTTAGGGAAAATTTTCCATGATTCTCACTTTATCTTTAGCGTAAATTTAAGTTTATATTTTACTTTTTACATAAGTTTTCTGACAAACCAGGATCATTGACGACGATTTAGATCCTTTAAAAATTGAAACTTTCCATAGCAAAGTATTTTCAGCCTCATGGCAATAACGAAAGCTGCCATCGATTGCCACAGTGAGCATGATAACTCGCCAACCTCCTCAATCGTTGGACTTTTCTTCACCCTTGCTGAAACTGGCCATTTGACAAATACTGAGTATATTTCCATACTAACGACTGGCTGCGACCTGATAGGTAAAAAGTTTACAATAGGTATGTCTGGTGTCCACGCTTCTCATTTCTCGGTGGCTTCTAAGCTTGGATAACCAGGCTTATTTTTCCGTTAATCGAGTCTCGGGTATTAATGGTTTTCTAGCGCAAAAGCGACCAATGTCAATGGGAATGATGTCGTGCTTGATGGAGTTGATTATCCTCGCAGGACGCCGAGGAAATCTTGAAGTCAAGAAACTGCTCCGGGAAAAAGTCCAACGCTCTCAATTGAAGCAGTTCTTGAGCTCGTATTTTGGACACATCGCCCGAGTGGGAAAACAAGTGCTCGACGCAGACATTTTCATTCTATATAATTTTATTCGGATGATTGTCTCGTCTCTTGAGAAAACCGACCTGACGCCAATTTTCCAGGGCCCGGACTCGCCATTCAAAGGTGACGAAATCCTTACTCAGGTTGACCTGGATTAAAAATTAATTTCTTCAGGATTCATGAAAAGCTGGGCGAAAATTTCGACAGAAATCGATGAATCCGAGCGCGCCAAGATTGAAGAGGTCGATCAGTTTTTCACGACGCTGACGAATCCATTCTTCTTTGAAATCGATTCTCCGCCTATCAAAGACGATTCGGACGAGTTTGAGAGCTATTCCAATACTGTCGACTTTACTGGCGATCTTATTTACAAGCCAATTTTGTCCGAAGATGTATCCGCTGAAGAGTGAGCCAAATTCTTTCGTTTGATAAATAACTATTTTTCCAAGATTTCTTCTTTCAAATATCGACTTGCTGGAAATTTCCCGGGAACTGACAAATATCAAACTAGAAGAAGAAATCGAGAAACTACTGATTGAGCCCGAGATTACATGTATCACCGAGGAGGACCAGAAACAAGAGACATTTTCAACACGAATTGGCCGTAGCATGACTCTCCAGCGTCGAAATGAACAAGAAAAGTAAGTGGCAGATCTACATGCTTATCTTATTCAATTTCCCAGACGACGAGCAAGAGCTGCTGCACGACCAGGACAGAGCATGAGAAGACCAGGAAGACCATCTGCGATGCATATTGACGATTTCAATAAAGAAGAAAGCGACAGTGATAATGGTAAGTTGATAAAACGAATTTTTCTAAAATCCAATAAAGATCGCGGTCGTCATTATTCTGGCGGCGGCGGTGGCGGAGAAGGATACCGTGGAGACGCCTACCGCAGTGACCGAGGTGATAGAGATAGGGACCGTTCTCTCTCTCCAAGGTAAGAAAGAGCCGAACGAGAATAGAATGAAGTCATATAAATAGATATCGCGACCCTCGTGACCGTGGCGATCACCAAGGAGGGTACCGTGGAGGCGACCGTGATCGCGACAGAACGAGAAGCCCACCTGGACGCCGTGGTCCACCCGATTACGACAGGCCAGATGGCGACAGCCGTGGACCGCCTAGAAGAGGTGGATACAGAGGGGGCTATCGAGGCCCGCCTCGTGATCGGGACAGTCATCACGCCTATTCCGGAGTCTACAGAGGATCACCAGGTGGACGAGGTCGAGGGCGCAGCTTCCGTGGCTCGAGTGACAGAGGCCGTGGCAGATTTTAGATCAATTTCCTTCATTGAATTTAGTTCATTCTTTACTACTTGTGATCTCTATGCTTAAACTGACCTAAATAACTTCTTTCTCAACTGATCTTTCCCCATGCTTAAAAACTGCTCTAAATCCAGACCACTGCTTATTAAAAATTACAAAAAAATTGAAGCAAATCTCCTTTAGAAATTCTAAATGGATTCAAGTGCTAATGATCCAGCAGCACAGGGATATTCCTACGAGGCTGATCGTCCTGAAAGGTGCACTATTTAATCTTTAAGCTCATTTTAGGGAATATTAAGCTACGACGATGGCGAGGAACTATCAACAGAAGATATTCATCGTCTCCTGGCTGCATTTATCATTTGTGTCATCGCTACTCTCGCTCATAAAGGTACCAAATACCCGAATTCTATCAACCACTACTTATTCTCCAGGCGACATCTTTTGGACATTGATGTTTTTCTTCTCAATCCTTCTCTGCGGAATCTGGTGGGCTTCTGACAAAACTGACAATCTGTACCAGTCTTTCACGAAGAAACCAACTTTGAGCCAGCGATATCAGTTTCACGACGAGTTCTAGCAGACTGTACTTCACTCTCTCATTATCCAAATATGCCTTCAGCCTCAGTTTTCTCGATTCACAATTGTACCTATCAAATTTTTACTTCTCATTCTTGCCTGTCGTCCTTCAATCTTGCCGTTTTTCTTACCTACGAATTCGTCTCTTTGGAATATATTGAGTTTTCTTATATATTTGAAACACTCATTTTAAACGATCATGAGTGTAATGTTACTCCTTCTTTTTCCGCAATTGAAAGCATTTTGTCAAATTGGAATGAATAGGATAACATTTGCGGTAAGCAGCCCAAAACAAGCTTTTTCTTTGGATTACTCCCTTGAAGCGCAATTGAGCCTCATTTGAGGTTTTCTTTTTCCCAGTTTCTTACGAGAAAAAAGTGCATATAAGGAACATAAGTGCCAAATATTAAGAAAGATAGTACTGTATTATCAAACATTATTGACAGTCTGGCCGACCATCAATTATTTTCGGGAAATTTCTTGCCGTTGAAAGCTCCAACGAAATCGCATCCCCACGAAAAGCATCCTTGATATTGTATATCCTCATCAGATGAGCCCGTCGAATAACTCAAATCATCGTATTGACTAACAAAATTTCACGAGATCATTTTTGTTAGCGAACATTCCAGAGCGCATGAGTATAAATATTAGTCACGTAATCACAGCAGCAGCACCACCACCACCACTGATATATAAACTGGGGAGAAAGGATGGGCCGTCTAAACATTGTGAGATAGAAAACAGTTCAATTACAGCTATATTTTAAACATGCCTTGCGTAGAAAAACAACATCAGAGAGCAGAGAAATCAAAATACAGATTCGTTATCCTCACATTGGTCTGGCTCATTTCGTTCGTCACATCATTTCAATATGTTGAATACGTCAATCTTCCAGAGTCAGTTCTTGAGTACTTCCAAATTTCACATACAGAGATTTCGTGGACGATAACGATAATGAACGCTGTTTTTCTTGCGCTGGTTTTTGCTGTTATTGCGCTGTTGGAGAAAATAAGCCTGAGAAATGGCATTATTCTCTGCACAAGTTTTATCTTTATTGGCTCGATCTTCAAGTGCCTAGGAATGTTTACTAGAATTGTTGCTTGATTTCTTTTAAATTTACTCAATTCTGAAAACAAAATCAAGTCTCTCGTCGATTCTTCTGGGCTCAAATCGTCGGTCAAGGATTTGTCGGTGTCGCAAATATACTTGTCACAATCATCCCACCAAGAGTAGCAGCAGTTTGGTTTGCTGAAGATGAGCTATCAAGATCCATTGCTGCTCTTCTCAGTGCTCAAGTGATCGGAAACGCGCTTGGGCTTCTCATTCCAAATTTAACCATTAAGGCAAGGCTTTGCTACATTCCCTTGCGGAAACGCCGAGCAAACCGCATTAGGGGAATAAGACTCGATCTATTTGAGCCGGATCTCTATCCTATGTGAATATTTTAAAGTATGAAAGTGACGAAAGCCTTCGACAAGTCACACATAACGTTAGAAGAGGAAGAAACACACGAGGAATTCTTGCACGAGCATGGAATCACAAGGATCTGTACGCAATTTGAAAGCAACATGCGCTTGTTCTTCGTCTCACACGCCGTTATCGCCCTCATTTTGCTTTTTCTTACAGTTATCTTCTTCAAGAACAAGTCGTCTTACAAGCAAGCGGATGAAGAAGTTGCCAAAGAAGAGGACAAGACAATATTCAACTGGAAGAGTTACACAACTTTATTTAGCAACAGAAACTTCGTTCTTGTCATTTTTGTTTACGGAATATCAGTTGGCGTCATTATCTCAACAGCAGCTCTCTTCCGTCCGATTTTAGAGGAAGTGCTGAACAGACTATCAGAGGGTGCTGAACTGACCAGTCTGATATCTCAACTCGGATTCACTCGCACTATCCCAGGCTTTTTCGGCGTTCTCGCTTTAGGAGCCTTTCTCGACTCTTATCCCTACTTCAAAGCTTCGCTCAGTACAGTAATATTTCTACTGTCAGCCTGCCTTTCTAGCGTTTTCCTTGCATCACTGTTCTCTCCCAATGTATTCATTGTCTATCTTACAGTAGGAATCTATGGCTTCTTTGCCATGATGGTCTTTCCTCTTGGGTTTCGATTTGGCGCTCACCTAAGTAAAGGAGTGCCAGAAACGACCATGGCTGGGGTTCTCTCAATTTCCAACCAGTTATTTGGCCTTATTTTTGTCCAAATCAAGACCTATATTATCGAGTACTTTTACAAGAGATCAAAACATGTAGAAACATCAAGAGGAGTTATGATAGCTTTAGTTTCCCTCAGCATTTTCGCATTTTTACTTTCTCTATTTATCAAAGAGAACAAAAAACAAGGTGACTTTCCTCAAGAAATCTCTCGGAGAAGTTCTGAGTCAACAAATATATCTGGACCAACTGTGTCTAGTGTCTGTGAAAGTGTTTAACCGTTTCTTGTTTGAAAAACATTTGTTAATAAAAAGAAACAATTTTATTTCTCCGTCATAGTTTTCACTCAGGAGTCAGCTCAATTTTTCTCAAATAAGGAGCATGAGAATAGCAGTCAGTGATGCGATCAAGGAAGAGGATAGAGTAAAGGCAGAGGAATACGTGATCAAATTTCGGTTGCATTTATCGCCTTGGCAGCAGCTTGTACACGCGAAAAAGTCAAGTTCTGGCACCTCACCTCCTTCGGATGCGGGATCGTAATGGCCAACGCAATACTGTAAGAGTAAGAAATAATTATTTTTAAATATTAACCCAGGTTAATCTCTAAGCTCTTAATCAACTTACTTCCTCGCATGTGCGGGTACACCCGCGTTTATACTTTTCCTCTCCGTCCGAGGAGATGAGAACTGTGGAACAGCTGAATCCTGGTGGGCAAGTCACGGTCGGACTAGCATCTGTCTGATTTCCGCCACAAGTGCCATCGTCTAGCTCACAGGAAAAGCACTCTTAATTCCGGTTTAGCCTCCTGAATAACTTGGGCATATTATATGCCGCATATATCATAATGAATCGACTGTATCGGAAATTTGATGGATAAGCGGCCTACTATCTATAGGCCGGCTTTTCTAAATTTACGACAAGTCAATGTCATAGTATGTATCTAGTCTTGAAATAATCATCACCGGCAAAAATAGCTCAAAACTCACGGAATCTTCAATATACGATATATAACTCACCAAATTGGGGCTCCGGCTCTCCTTCCGGTTCTGGAGCTTGATCCTCCCCGACATCATCCTGCGCAAAGGCACTGGCGAAAAATATAAACACCGGAATTTGTAAAATCTTCATGCCGGTCCGCAAATTTCTTATATGAAGATTTATACTCGCGCAAAGAGCTTTTGTACTAGCTCAAGTTGTTTTCGGCAAATACTTGAGCGCGTCCAGTTGTGTCCAGAGTGGCCACACTTTCGCGTGACCAAAAACGGAATTCATCACCCTCAAGAGTGTCCGGAATGTCATCAGACAATGGAGCATCTTTTGTCCTAAGTATTGTGTAAGTACGAATTCGAAACAGTAGATTCGCAATAAATTTATCCGTATGGAGATTCTCTTCCTTGATTGCAATAATGAATCCACCTGTTTTTACAGTCATATAATCTTATATATATTTAATATTTAGATATGATATCCTAGTAGAGTTTTTCTAGCATATTCGAAATAAAATTTGTCAAGCTGAAACACTCAAATATTCAAAAATATTGACGAAGAAGTTGTTTAGTTTTCACATCGTTTTTTGCAGTCTACCATTCGCAGAATAGAATAAAGACGAAGTTCAATTCCCGTCTGACCTAAATGATGAAGGGGAGTGTGAACTTAATATTCTTTGTTTTTACAAAAGCGCAAAATTTATCGCCAGAGAATTGCGGGCATTCTGCCTCTTGCTTTTCGACTACTTCAGGTTTTTAGTGCTGACTTTGTGATAAACTTAAAAATTGTCATAGAATGCGATCTGAAAGATGACGGAAATTCTTGTGTCACGAGTTTATGGAAGTCAGTCACATATGAGGGGAAGCCAGCTGTGAATCTGACGATATACTCGAGCTCAATGTCTGAAAAGGAGGGGAACTGGGCGGGCTTAGGAAAGTTCGCCATGACATTTGTCTGTCACTCATATGATTCAAATTTCATCATCTTTATGATTCTTGAACATGTGTGCCTCAGCCTTTCAGATAAAGTCAGGCTGAACTTGGCAAGGCTTCAGTGAAGCAGACGATATGGCCATTGCAGATTTATTCATTTGCAAAAGGATTGGAAATGATACAAAGCTTTTTCAGGACTGGAATCATAGAGGAGTACCAGATAAAATCAAGAATACGAGCTCGTTCGTAAGATTACAAAGCTTCATATTCTCTTGAGTTCTTCAAAAGCATATTCATATCAAAATGGCCGACCTGTCGAATATATTAACTACTCGGGCATCTTTCCAGAAACCGTTGAAACTTCACTTCTCGATCCAAAGAATTCAACTGTCGGCTTTTGGTGCTCATTTACCATGTCGTCAAATCATACCAAAAGCTCCAGTACTAATAGCAGCACAGTTTTCATTTACGATAAAAACTCGATATATCATTTGATCGAAGCCTATGGGCAATTGACGTCTTGGGTACGTAGACTAGCATGATTCACATGAAATTCTCTCTCATACATAAACAAGGATCTAACTTTTCATGACGGAACTGCAGCTGCTGGAGACGAAGTTCACGGCTTTTACGTAGACGAGATTCATAAAGAATACAAAATTCCATCAGAAACGAAGAACACCAAACTGTTCAAGTCACATGGAAGCCTCATGATCATCGCGTGGGGTTTTTTCATTCCTGGTAAGTTAGCCTAGAAAATATCCGGGTAAATGAGGACGAACTTTAGTCGGAGCTCTGCTAGCTGCTGCACGGGTCTTATTCCAAAAAGGAGGACTCTGGTTCCATCTTCATCGTGCATTCATGATCATTGGAGTTTTGTTAAATATTGCTGGATTTACTGTAATTTTCATCGAAAAAGGTGGCTTCGTCTCGCCGAGCTATACTTTAGGTAACCTCAATTAACAGAAAAAAAACTTACAAACAAGGATACGTTCATGGAATATTCGGCTGCATGATCATGTTTTACTCTGGAATCAATGTTCTTCTTGGGCTTTTTCGACCAGATCTTGAGTCGCCCAGGAGAAAAAAATGGCGACGAACTCATTTCATCTATGCTGGACTTGCTATTCTTCTTTCTAATGTATTTCAATTGATACTTTTAAGACATCAAATCTCTGTTTCCTAGACGAACATAACTACAGGGCTTTACATGGTATCCCTGAAGTCCTCTGCCATTGCTTTTGGAGTGCTCAGCGGAGTAGCTATGCTTTTTATTCCCCTGTTTCATTTTTGGCTTTCTTCTGACGATTTACCAATGCCGATTCACCACCTTGTTCTGTCGGGCGTACTCGCCATTCTGCTCGCGAATACCGTCGCTGCAGCAACAACGTTCCTTTTGAACACTTGAAAACACGCTCCACAACTCGATTTCTGAGAGAACATAACATAAAAGCCTTCCGTTGCACGTCGATATTGATATTATTTGCACAAGATGGAGTGCTGAGTTTATCAAGTTGATACTTGTGGCACAATCAAAAGTCGACTTAGACGCTAATCGTTAAAATCCACCTGCAGTACATGTCAAAATTGTATTTCTAAGCATCAAGAGAGTAAGCAAAAAAAGACTGGCATTTGATCTCATTTTTGGGCCGGTAATGCTTGTTGGATTAGGGAAGTTTGTACCAAGATCAATTAGTGTTTCAGTTGTTCTTTGATAAGAATTAGGTTTCGAAATATGCACTACTTGTAATCAGGGTTGCAAATTTTGCTTTATTTATGCTGAGCTGAGCTGGCCTTTTTAAGAGGTCATTGAGCGGATCTGAGCTGTGCAGACCTTTTTTAAAGCTAGTTGAGCTGAGCTGAGCGGACCCTAATGAGAGCTGAGCTGAGCTGATTGACCTGAGCTGAGCTATTTTTAACTGTGTTTTAGTAGTTAAACTGTATTAAAATCATTGAGCTGAGCTGAGCTGAGGAAAGTGATAGTTGTCTGAGCTGAGCTTAGCAGAACAGGTCATGTTCGAAAATAATTGAGCTGAGCTGAGCTGAGTGAAAAATGTCTGAGCTGAGCTGAGCAGATCATATCATTTTCAAAAATCACTGAGCAGAGCCGAGCTGAGCAACTGCAACTGCAAATTTGCAACTCTGCTTGCAATTTTTATTGATCAGATGCGTATCAGGCCGATCATTTTGCAACAAATCTGATGCTTTGAAAATTTCACACCTTCGCAGGAGACTATCATATGCTTAATTACTGCTTTTTCCCATGATTATCGCCAGCAATTTATGAATTTACACGAGCATTGTTGTAGGTACACTTTAGCTGCCAAATCACCCCTCGAGCCAAATCAAACCCGCCCCCGGGACATGGAGTGGCCTTTTGCTCGATCAAAGTCGCCTATTGACGCAAAATGGCCCCTAAATCGTAGAATTTGTGATCAAACCGCGGCCATGTGTCAGCGAGTAACGGATCTTCCGGCAACTTGGAAGTGCTTTCTCAATATTTAGAAGATTAAGCTTTCCCATTAGGACATGCTCTTTGAACCAAACAAACAATTTTGACTTGTTAGATGCTTTTCAGTTTGCCCAAGAGTCACGAACTAGCCATGAAGCTGGAGCCACCTGCACAGGTACTTTCAAGTGACAAGGAAATCTGCCACAACTTGTACCATTATGTTCACAGGCCTCTTCACTACTTCACCTGTAATCGCAACTTCAAAAATCGTCAAACCAAAATTTCCATGGAGTGCATTTACGCTCGATTATTGCGCGAGCACGTGATCATTAACGCCGATCGGAACTGATTCTCCTTAGGAAGTTCTCTCGATGATTGATAATTTATCGACTGGAAGGTAAATGTCACTTGATGGTTGACACGATAATATTTTTTCGCTAAAATTATTCAAACATGTGAGTTTTACGCATACGTGGGAACGACCTTTGCGGTTGTAAATTACACAGTGCTGCGTAAACCACAGAGGAAATAGCCCAAACGATAACGACTTTGATTCATGAAAGAACAAATCGACTTCTATCGAAGCGGAAAGCACTTTGCTGAGGTGAAAGTATCGTTTCCGAGTCCCATTCGCTCGCACTTGCCTTGATAGAAAAAAATTGGCGCAAGCTAATGAATTTTTTTTATGATTTGTCAACGAATAATTATTGGCTATAATTTATTGCGTTCGTTTTTATTGCAGGCTTAACGTTTTCGGAACAGAAATTCCATCATCAGAGCCGGTTGCTTGAAAACTTGACGATCTTTTTTACAAGGGAGAAACTGACCTTTTCTTGTTGAAGAGTGAACTGATCAAAATTGCGAATAATAATTTGATCCCTAACCATATTCTAGAGAAAATTCTTTAACCCAAACTGTTTTTATAATCTCAGAGGCTCCAATTGCCTTCAAAACTTGCCTCTGAGTGGTATCACAAAATGAAGATTTTTCGATGGTTGATCTGTTTGTTTAACTGCGGATCTTTAAGCACGATTTCAAGACCCTCAACTTGTTTTCTCTTGTCATAAGGAAGATTTTTATGTAATATCGAAAAATGTGAGCTAAGATAGTCAAATCGAGATTGAGGATTATTTTGCTGATATTTCTCAATGAACCCTGTCTTAAAATCATCACACTCTTTTGTATGAGAAAATATAGCTGTATCTTTTGATGGTTGTCCATGATCTCGGATTCTCATGCTCAGGGATTCCGACTCTCCAATATACTCTTCGCCGCACCGACATTTAAACGAATACACCACATTAATGGCCTTTTCGAATTCCGTCTTCGGCAGTAGACTGGAGATAATCGTGTTACGCATCGTTACAGTAGACAATGCCGTGTGCAAATTAAATTCTGGTAAAAATACGGATATCAACCTGCGCAACTCGCTGGTTATTCGGGACACCCTCTGACTCGTGAAAGGAATACAGAGTGTAAAATTTCTCTCTGGATTTTCAGACTTTTCCAGTTTCCAGTCTTTTTTATCCGTTTTACCCTCTTTAACTACTCTTACTGCATCACGTATAATTTCTAGGGGAAATTCTTGAGAGAGATATTTCTGTTCTATCTCTTTTAACTCCTCGTCAAGAGTTTTCTGACAAGAATGCTTGTAGAATGACCTTTTGATTTCTGATATAAGAATTCCCTTTTTCAAAGAGACCGGAGCAGTATCTTTTACGAAATTCATCGGAACTGTGTGTTTACGATTGTTGCGTATTTGAAGGATATTTGATTCTGAAGGATAAATTATAAAATCAAGGAATTTTATACCACTTGGACAAGATCTTTCGACTGTAATTTTCAGACTTTCATGAAGACTTTGAAAAATATTATTGACTTCGTCGAAACAACCACGTTTGAAGAATACGATGGTATCATCGAGATAGCGCCGATAACCGAAAATGATTTTTTCATTAATCAATTTTTTGATTTTGTCTTTTCGAGTACATGTAGATAAAAATTTGCCAATTTAGGGCTAATACTGTCACCCATACTTAGACCCGAAATTTGCTTATAATACTTGTCAAAACAACGGAAAGAGGTCAAACGAGTGAGCACAGAAACTAAGACAGGCCTAAGAACAGTTTTTGGAATTGGTTTCAATAATTTTTTTCCTCATTTCTAAATCTTGGCAAAATTTTTGACGGTGAATTTTCCTCATAAATAAATTTGATTAATAACTCAATTAAATGCGAAGTATTTACTGAAGGGTACATTTTTTCAATATCAAAACTTGCATAATCAATTTGTGAGTAATCAAAATTTTTGTCTTTAAACCAGTCGCTAAATTGTTTTGATCCTTGAAGAGTAAAATCGCACTTCAAGTTATCAAGTAATTTTCCAAGAAAATTTTTCTGAAAATTTTCGCTTACTGTATTTTTGCCGAAATAATAGGCCTCATATTTAATTCTTGCTCAAACGATGGTTTGTGATATTTGGCTAAACCATAAGCTACTTTTATATTAGAAATAGGTTTATTCAAATTATAAAATTTCTTGTCGACATATTTTTCGAGTGATCTTAAGTTTTTCCGCATTTCTATAGTATCTTCCTCAACCGGATCTAGTGGCACCTCAATAAATTTATTTGTATCCTTAAATTCTGCTAAAAGAGCATTTTCGTATCTGTCTCTTTCTAGAATAACGATTACAGAATCTTTGTCACCAAGAACAAAAACAATATCTGAATTATCCCTTAAAAATTGTCGTATTACTTTATTACTGTCATCTCCCCCAAAACAACAAGTGAGTTTTTCATGCATAACAGTAAGTTTTCCCTTAAGATGAAATTTAGATATCGGTGAAAGAGACTGAAATTTGTCATACCGTTGAAGATGTCCAAGTAAACTGTCAAATTGTTGTAATAAATTTAATTCATGAGGCCTTCCCCCTACAGGGGCCTTGTAACCTCTTTCTAGAATTTTCTGAATATTATTTGGAATTTGTTTACTGGATAAATTTTTTACTAAAAATTTTATTGGTTTATTAAATTGTTGTTTGGCTTTGAGTTTCCCAAATTTAATTTGTCTCTTGTTATCTCGATCTTCATCTTTTATTCTAGCTTTATTTTCTAAATCTATTATAAATTTCATTCTTTCTTTTTCCGATTTAATTTTTTCTTCATCGAAAAACTTTAACAGATGTTCATTAAATAATACCCTAATTTCTTCTAATTTTTTATTACAATTTTCAAGTTCCCTTACTAAAATTTTTTCCCGTTCCCTACGAATTTTATTCCTTCCCCATTTACAAAATTTTAAAACTGAGGCTGGTACCTTTGTAAAATTAGGCAATAATTGATCAGAAACACAGTTCGATAAGAAATTCTGTGCTCCCCTGGACCTGTGCATTTTTGATGCCAAGTTTTCCAAGCGCTTGATTCGATGTCGGTAGCCATTATTTGAATCGTTAATTGACATCAGAAGATAAATGAGTTCGTTTTTATTGCAGGCTTAACGTTTTCGGAACAGAAATTCCATCATCAGAGCCGGTTGCTTGAAAACTTGACGATCTTTTTTACAAGGGAGAAACTGACCTTTTCTTGTTGAAGAGTGAACTGATCAAAATTGCGAATAATAATTTGATCCCTAACCATATTCTAGAGAAAATTCTTTAACCCAAACTGTTTTTATAATCTTTTGAATATTTTATAATCTGTTTTTGAAGGCAATTGGAGCCTCTGAGATTATAAAAACAGTTTGGGTTAAAGAATTTTCTCTAGAATATGGTTAGGGATCAAATTATTATTCGCAATTTTGATCAGTTCACTCTTCAACAAGAAAAGGTCAGTTTCTCCCTTGTAAAAAAAAGATCGTCAAGTTTTCAAGCAACCGGCTCTGATGATGGAATTTCTGTTCCGAAAACGTTAAGCCTGCAATAAAAACGAACTCATTTATCTTCTGATGTCAATTAACG